TCAAAATAAATTTTGGAAGAGAAAATCATTGCCGTCTCAGTCAATTTAATTCTCTCTTTGCTTTTAGAAAATAAATAAAAATACAGCTGTAAATAAATGTGACAGATTAAATTATTTTTTCTTTTTCACAAAACTTTTTCTACAAAAACGTGCCCAACTAAAAATACAATAACTAAACAAAAAAAGTTTCTCTTCTTCATTCCGCCTCCCTTTTAATCTCTAAACTAAATTTGAAAAAAAGCTAGCCGTTTACTAATTCTCTCTCTTTCCTTTTTATTTTTAAAAACATCACTTGATTGGATAAAAAGAGAAAAGAGAAAGAAAAGGAAGAAAAGTGGATATAAAATTAAAGAGAATATCTAATGCTTTTAGTCTTTTTTCGACATTTAATGTTTTTGAATAAAGTGCAAAGTTTAGAGCAAATAAAAATGATCGGAAAAATTGATAATTTTTGAAATTAAAAATAAAAAAATTTGAAATTAAATTTGAAATAAAAAATAAAAGCTGTAAATAATTTTAAATGATTTTTTGAGTTTACATTAAAGGAGATAACCTTAACTTTAAATTATTTTTCTATCCAACCCTAAAAAGTTTCTAAAATTTATACTAAAAATTTATTTATTTTTACAATTTCTTTAAATATTTTTTCTTCTACCCAAATAAATTACAGTAATCATCCCCCTCCCCCTCCCTTTCATCTACAAATATATAAATCCATTCCCGTCATCACTCCCTCAAGTTTTTTCACACAAGTCTCTTCTCCTTTCCCCCTCCCCTTCCCTCTCTCCTTTTTCCTTCTTATTGCCATCCGGCTGGCTAGAAAAGCTGAGACGAGGGGTCTGAAAAAAACTGAAAAAACGGCCAACAATTTTCGCTGCATGAGTGGTGATGACACACAAATAAATAAAAGAAAGAAGGAAAAAGAAGAATAAATACAAAAAGCAGCGGGACATTCAAACAAAAGGCAAAACCAACGTTATATGCTTTTGCTAGTTTTTGATAGAAAATTGAAGTTGAAATAAATAAATGGGGAAGGAGGGAAGGAAGGGATGAATGCTTAAATGAAGTTATAAAAAGTAGAAGGAATAAAATTGAAGGAAGAAAAGAGAATATTAAAATTTTGAGGGAAAAACTTGGAGAAAAATCAGAAAAATCAAAATGTTGATTGACAAGGGAAATAATAAAATTTTTTTCACCTCACAGTTGAAAATATGCGAAAATATGTGAATATTCGAATTTTTGAAATTTCTGAGAAAACAATTTTCTCCAACATTTTTGTGTTGAAGAAATAAAATAATATTCGTCTTGATTTTTCAAACAAATGGTTAAGAAAAAAGTGTGAAAAATAATTATATTAAAAATTATTTTGAGGAAATAGAAGGAAAAAGAAGAGGAAAGAATAAATAGATTAATAATATACGAGAAAATCCGATTGGGTTTGGATTAGTCCGAATAATTTTGTAAGAAAATAAGAGGAGAATAAATAGTAACTAACAACTACAGATCATCTACGGCTGCAAAATTAAATAAAAGAGGGAAGGGAAGGGAGGAGGAGGGTGAGGAGAGGTCATTTAATAATAAATAAAGGAAGTAAAGATTTTTTTAAACAAAAAATATAGGTTTTCTAGGTATTTTAATTATTTTTAGATATTTTTTAAAAATAAAGTGCAAATAATAAAGATTTTTTGGAAAACAATTTTGTATAAAAATTGAAAAGAATATGAAAAAACATGGTTATAATATGCAAAAAATATGTAAAGAATTGAACAAAATTGCGTAATTTAACCCTAAAAGCAAATAAAAAATAGAATACCATATTTTTATTTTTTAATAAATATTTGTATAAGCACATATGTTTTTAATAAAAATTTATTTTTTAATAAATATTTAAATATTAAATTATTTGTTTGTCAAGATTTGTAACCCTTATTGTATAAATATGATAATTATTTTAAAATTATATTTGCTAACTATCTTAAAATTTTGATCTGTTGCTTCCTATATTTAATTAACTAATAATTTTATTTTCCTGTATATCCTCTACTTAATCATAAAAATAATCTTATTTATTTTTTTAAATTTATTTTACTTAAATCCCTAACCATTAATTTCTTTTCTATAAATTTCCACGTTTATTTAAGAGATCAAATTCTTTTAAAAATTTCTTATAAATAAAAATTTTCTTGGCCAAATAAAAGTAAAATATAGTTGAGCAAACGAAAATGATCTGGGTAAAAAAGAAAAAAAAGAAAAATATTTAAGAGACAAGGGGGGAAACACAAAATTATTTTTTTGTTTATTTAATGTAAACAAACAAGATTGGTTTTTAAGTTGGACAAGGAAATAAATCGGGATCGGGAAAGGAAGGGGGGGATGGAGGAGTAAAGTATTTTACTAAAGAATAGATCGGCGGCCATCGTTCGCGCTAATGTTGGCTGGGGGGTGTTAAGTAATATTTGTAGAATAAAATCTTTTTTAGAGGAAAGAGAAGTACAAGATATTTATTTGAGGTAAAAATAAGTACAGAAAATTCTTAAAAATTTAGAAATAAAATAAGGAGGGGGGGAGGGTGGGGGAATATTTGTAAAAATTAGTCCGTTATGATTTTGTGCGCGATATTTAAACGAAAAGCCAGCAGGAGGTTTGTGTCTGTAAATATGTAAAAGGTGTGAACAACAAATATAAAAATTTTGATTATAAGCAAATAAAAATAAAAATTATACATATTACAAGAAAGTATGTAAATAAATAAATAATATTTTAAATAAATTTTTAATATCAATTCTAACTTTATTTTGTTGGAATAATTTGGAAACAAAAATTGGTACTTATTTAATATCCACCACCCTTATTCGAATTTTTTCATAGAAAAAGAATTATAATTAGGGTTGTCGGTTTCATTAAATTCCTTGTTAACCAAAAAAACCGAACTGAAATTTTCGAATAACCTAATCGTAACAAAAATTTTCGAGGATTAAGGAAAATGGATTTGGCTTTTACCAAAGATACAAATAGGGGTCATTAAATAAGTACCCAAATACCTGTGTATTAAAATAAATTATTAATAATCGGATAGTATTTAAATAAAAATATAATTTCAAATCAACTAATTCCAGAAAAATTATATTTTTTTAATTAAAAAATAAATTTAAAAAATTAAGTTACTTAAAATAATCTTTTTTAAAGGGTTTTTTCAGTTTAAATATATTTAATGTCACCAAAACAAAAAGAGAAAAAAGACTTTTATTCATGGGGAGGATCGAATTGGTTGGAGAGAGAAGAGAGAAAATAGGCGTTGCAAATGGCAAAAATTAAAAAAAAAATTTTAAGAGGGAAAAGGCGGGGCTGTTTGGAGGTATAAGGAGGGGGGGGGGGTTTGCTTTGTTTTTTACAAGGTAATTGCGCGACGTAAATAATTTTCTGATAATAAAAAAATAAAATAATTTGACATTTTTATGAAAACATTTGACATTTATATTTAACAAAAAAACTTTAAAATAAAAATTACAGTAATTAATTAACTAAAAAATATTGTTTTTAAAATTAGTTTTTGTAGATTTATTTATTCTAAGAAGTTATTTTTTTAAAGAAAATTCTTTGGGTGTCTAAAACAGAAAAGATAACCTTATTTTATATTTTTTAAAATAATAATTAAATAAATAAAAATATTGTCGTAGAATTATTCTTTTATTTTTATTCCTAAAAAAAGCCCCAGCTGGCCAATTCAGAAAATAGATTAGGAAATAATATATAATTTAATAATTTTGGAGACATATATGTACATACATATATTTATATATTTAATTTAATATTTAATTTAAATAGAGATTCTTTTTTAAAAAATTAAATTTAAATATATCCTAGTCTTAAAACATTAAAATTAAAAAAAATTAAAGTAATTAAAGTTTGTGAATAAATATTTTTAAATGATAAAATAAAATATTTATTCATTTAAAATAATAATTAAATTGGTGTGTGTTTTAATTTACATAATAATTTTTTTTTAATTTAATAATTACATTTTTTACTGACCAAAACAAATACCAAAACAAATGTTGTTAAAATTTTTGGATTTAAAATAAATACCTCATTTTTGTTGTTTTTATTAATTTCCTTTTCCTTTTTTTAATATTAAAAATAATAATTTTTTCTTTCTTTTTTTCCTCATTTTTGATATTACAAAATTAATTTTTAATATTTTTGTAGTATTTATTTAAATTAAAAAATGTTGTTTTGTTGTTGATTTTAATGTTTTAATTTTTCTTGTCGTCATTCTCTTTTTAATTTTTTGCAAATTAAAATATTAAAAATTAAATTTATTTTTAAAAATAATTTTAGTTTTTAAATCGCGTGCCAATCTTTTTGCAACAAAATAAATAAACAAAAAACATCTAATAAAAATTAAAATCAAAAATTATAAAAATGTTATTAATTACGTAATAAATAAATTTAAATCTAATTTTGGAATTTCTTTTAAAATTATTTTAAATATTTATTAGTCATTTCCTATTAAATTAAATCTGTTCGGAAATTAAAACTATAAATTACTTTTTAACTTATCAAACTTAAAATTGTTTTTAATAATCTCTAATATTTAACAGAATATTTAAATATGAGGAATATTTTAATTTTTTTTTTTGATTATAAAATGGAAAAATCATTTTTAAAAATATATACTAAAGAATTAAAATTCACAAATTTTTCGTTTTCTTAATAAATGTTTGGGGCTAACTTTAAATTCGAGTACAACAAAAAGATTTGTGACCCGCCCTCCAAAAATACACAGCTTTTTTGCCCGATTGCCGCCACGCTGCAAAACATGGAAAATAAATAAAATAAATAAATTTAACAATATAAATAAATAAATAACCCTTCTTCTTCACCCTCCCTCAGTCCCTGGTCCGCCTTTTTCTTTATTTTTCTATTCAAAATTTTCTCAATTCATTTACAAATTCTTTATTTATTTTCAATTCTTTTCTGCGTGTTCTCAATGAAGGGAGAATGTTTTTATTGTTAAATGCTTTTGTGTTGATGCGCCCAATTGTGTTGTCATTTTGTCTTCTTTTGAGATGCTTCATCGACCTTTCTCCATTCATTCAATTCTTTTCCCGCATTTCTTTACACAATAGATTTTGTATTTATTTATTTTCCCCAACAATCCAAATCTTTCTCTTTTTTTCTTTTCAATTTTGTTTGATTCCCCGCCTTCTTAAACATTTTTAAAGGGGTTAAGCTTTAATCAACAACTATTTGTATATTTTTTTCATTAGATATTCTCCCCTTATTTTTTCTTATTTTTGTTTCCTTTTACAAAATCAACAGCTTTTTCCTTTCCCTTCTTGTAATTAGCATTCTCTTCTCATTTTTCCATCAAACAACATAATTTTCATATTTTCATATACTACATATTTCAGTTATTTTAAAACCTCCGTAATTAGTTAAATAATTAGTAAAGGGGGAAGGGAGGGGGAGGGGAGGAGGGGGGATTGTTTTGTTGTTTATTTTAAATTCTCTTTTCTTTTTTTATTTTTCCATCCTGAAAAACAAGGAAAACACAACCATGCTTGTATTCAACTTAAAAGAAAATTGCCGTCTCCTTGCTTACCTTTGCCCGAAAACAATTCTCTCTCTTTTTTTTCTAAAATTTTCCAACATTTCCTTCCATTCCCGACCTTCTTCCCTTTTTACCTGTCCAATTTCATTCCTCACAATTTACTCCTAAAATTCATTCGCTCAATTTGGTTTTTGGAAAGTCTGGAAGAATTATTTTGTTACTACATATTATTATTCCCCCCTCCCCCTCTCCCCTCTCTCTTTTTTCTTCTACTCTTTTCTCACTTGAGTGAAGAATTCTTTTCTTAAAATATAAAGTACTTCATTTTTAAGCGTGGCCGGCATATGGTTGGTTGTTATTTCGGTTGTTCTTCTCGATTGAGAAAAATTCTAAATACTCTTCTGGATGAAGTGAAAAATAAAAAGGAATGAATAATTGAATAGAAAAAAGGATGAAGGAAAAAAGGGGGGAGGGATAAGGATATTTACAAATTGCCCTTTTATTTCTTCTCTACACCTCTAAATACTTGAAAATATTTTATTTCTTTTTTTATATTTCTTAAGTGAGTGCGAGCGTGTGCTCTCCTCTCAAGTAGCTTCGAGAATATTTGAAATGATTTGTAGGAAATTTTATTTTAAAAATTGGACTAAATATTAAAAATTATTTAATTTAATTTCCTTTTAGTTAAATTAAAAGTTTTAAAACATTTAAGGAAATTAAGATTTGTCATCTCTGTACTTGCGGAATGCATATGAAAGCTGATACAATTATAATGGGAGATTTCCTACATTGTTTCTATTCTATCTCCCATTTTTAGGCTACATGGATATTACGAGAGTACAATTATTCCAAGCAGGGTTGGACATGACCGATCATTAACCGGTACCCCCGGTTTTCGATTTTTGATCGACCCCCGTTTTTTGGTTATAATTGTATCTATTCTTTAAAATTTTCAATATGTATTGTTAAATATAATTTAACAATTTTCATAAAATCCACTATGATTCATCTATTTCCTCAAATTTTGATTCATCTTCATCTATTTAAACACTAGGTGTTTCTCAGCCATTTTTGCTCCAAGTCTACAATAAAAGCCCAGCCATAGAGAACGTCCTTTCAATTGAAACAGAGGTTGCTGGCACGCTCACATTTAGAAAAAAATTCCAAAAATTCTATCCGTAGAGGTGTATTTTTTAAACCGAAATCAGTTAGTTTACGCCTCCGGTTTTCACCGGTTTTCGACCCCCGGTTTCCAGTTAATTCGCCAAAACAAGTTTTTATTTTAAATAATTTATTTAAAAAGTTCAGTATATTTCTAACTCAAAAAATAAAATCAGAGTAATCTAAAACCATTTAATTTTCATAAAAGAAGGTTTTCCAATTTTATTTTTTTTTGGAATTTTTCATGGACTCCCGCCGCGAGATTTTCTATTCAACTAAATACTAGAAGGGTCTTCTAGTATTTAGTCAAAGGGAATAAAAAAAAGAATTATTTATTAGAGGTGTGCTCCCCCCCCCCCCCCCCCCCCCACATTCCCTCCCCCCCCCTCTCCCCCATCAACAAATAAAAACATACAAATAACACAACACAATAGGCGGCTTAAATGGCCGGATTAAAAGGGGACAAACGCCAAATAAATAACTAAATAATAATAGCAAAAATGTCCCTCACAGAGTTAATTGCCTTGTACTTCTCTCTCTACAATTTTGACTTGTTCTCTCTTTAGAAATTTTTTTCTGTAAATTTTGTAAAAATTACAAAACCTGTCGAATTATTTGGATCGGTGATTTTTAGAGAGAGAGTAAATTTTAAAAAAGTTTAAAATTGATTTGTTGTTTGGAATTTTATTTAAAAATTTTGATAAAATTTATTTAGAATTTTTAAATATTTTAATGAATTTTTGTTTTTATTCAAATTAAAAGGAGGAGGAGGAAATTATTAAAATTCAAGTAATTAAAATTCAAGTAATTAATACATTTTAATAAAAATTTTAAAAATTAAAATCATTTTAGTAAACTCTTAAAAACAAAATTTTTATTTCAAAAAAATTATCGGTACTCTTAAAAAGCAAATACCGTCTCTCTCTCCTTTCCTTCCATCAATTCCTTTGAAAAATTCTTTCCGGTCAATTTAGCATCGTTTGTTTCGGTAATGGTAACCAATGATTGTGGGTGGTTAAATTAAAAATAAAAAAAGCTTTTAGGGAATGAATTTAGAAAGAAAAAAAGAAAAAAGAAAAAATATATTGGCAACTTTTTTTAAATTGAAAATAAATTTTGGAAATTTTTTATTAAATTGTTTATTTGATTTAAAATTATATTTATTTGTTAATTTTAAAGTTTAATTAAAATTTAAACACCAATTAGAGCTGTGACTCTTGGTCTTGATTAGTTTCTATATAATAAAAAAATATAGGTTTTTACATAATATAACTAGTCTAGGTAGGTTAAAATCAAGGAAAAATTCAATTCCTTCACAGAATTTTTGCCTCCTTCTTGTGGTCTAGTCTTTCGTCCCTTTTGATTCTTGGAAAATTTTCGGTCTCGGACAGCTCTACTAACAACAATAAAAATATAAAAAGGTCAAAGCCGCTTATAATGACAGGTCTGAGCAGACAATAGAAGAAGAAAAAGAAGAATGGGCTTAGTATATTTTTGACCCTTTAACTAATAATATATTGAATGGGGGATGGGGGAGATTAGCTTATATGGCGCTCGAATGAGAATTTACAAGAGAATTGGCTTGTTGCGATTATTTGAAGAATAAAAAAGAAAGAGGAATTTAGTAAAAGTGTTGAAGACAAGAAATGGATTTTTTGAATATTTTTGGGAGATTTTTGGATTTTCTGAATTAAAATAAAGATTTTAAACTAAAATTCATAAAATTTTAATTTATGTTCTACGTAATCAAAAAAATTTGAAAAATATATATTTATTTATTACCTACATAAATTAATTCAAAATATTTTTAGAAAACAAAAGTTGTTTGTATTTAAATTATCCGGCCATTGTCCGTTTCTGTTCACTGAAGTGGCATGATCGAAAATTATTTTGGCAGTGGAAAGACAATAGGAAGAAAGAAAATCTTTTTTTACTCATTCTTAACCCTTTTATTAATATAGTGAGTGACACTTACGCCTCACAGAATCAGCTAATTGTTGTTCTTCTTGTTTGGCTTTTTAAGGGATTATGGGGAAAATTGTTTGGCAAAAAAAGTGAAAAGAATATTTTCTTGTAAGAATTAAAAATATATTTATTTAAATATTTAAAATTAAATATTTTTATTTTCTTTTAAACAAAAAAAGCATTAAAAATATATTTATTTATTCTCTTGCGCAATAGCAATCAAGCACTACTTTATTTACAATTTTTATTCTTTAAATATTTTTTTCCACTTTTGTGTCATTTTATTTTTTAATTTAAAAAAAGTCATCAATCAATTTATATTTATTTTTTATATAATAATTCTTCCAAAGAAAGTAAAGCTCAACAAGTAAATTCATCAAAAAACAATCCTTGAAATGCTTGATTTTTCTTGTTTAAATTTTTGAAGAAATTTATAAAAGTACAAAAATATTTAAAGTTTTATTTCAAAAAAATTAAAACATTTCAAAAGAAGGCGGTAAATTTATAGAAAAAATAAAACTGCCAAAATATAAATATTTTTTATTAATATATGAGTGAAATTTTTATTAAAAAAAGATTGAGCTTTAAAACCAATTTAAAAAAGAAAAAGGCTGAGAAAGCGCCTTATTTTGTAAAAATATTATTTTCTTTTTAAGTACAAAATCAGCTAAACAAAAATAAATCAAATTAAATCAGCATCATCACCACTTTCTTTTATTTTCTTATAACCTTTCCCATAACCTAAAAATATTTTTAAAAAGTAAATTGAGGAAAGGTTTGAAAAGCGGTGAATTGAAATAAAAAAATAAATAAAATTCTCGTCTAAAAACTAATTATTTTGACCTGAATAAAAAAAGAATTCTATTATCAAAAAATAACCTAAAATATAAAAAGAGAGAGACCATAAAAAAATATTTTTAATAAAATTGTAAACAATTAATAAAAAGAGAAAATTAGGTAAATTAAATTTTTCAGTTCCAAGTAGGGTTGCCAGCTGGCTCGAACCGAAAGCCGAGGCTTTTGAGCGAGCCGAGGCGAACCGAATCGAAACAAACCAAGCTCGAAAAAATGCACCGAACGTCGGCTCGAATCGAAAACGGCAACACTAGTTCCAACAATTTAAATTTAATAATTGAAATATTTACTAAATAAACATATTAAAATTTATTTAACAAAAAATTTTCTTCCAGAAATTTTAACAAAAAAATATTTATATTTTATTTTTTTAGTCTCGTTTTGCAATTCTTTCTCTTCCCATTTTTGACTTGGAAAATTGCCGACATTTTTTTATTATTTAATATTACGCAGTTGGAAACAAAAAAAAACAAGACGGGAATGCCTAAGGAAAGGAAATGTTGCCATAAAAATTAAAAGAAATGTCGGCATTTAATTTAAAAAATAAAAATGTATTTTTTCCTGTCCCGGCATTTTTATAAATAAAAATACAAAGTGATGATGGTTGTTGATATATTTATTTTGTTTTTGTTAAAATGCTCGTTTTCTCGCTAATTAATTTTTTTGTTATTTTTATTAAAAGAAAAAGGAAATTCTTTTTTGATTTTTTATGGAAGTAAATACTGTATTTTAAAAGAACAAATATTTTTTTATTTTTAAAAATTAAATAAAAATTAATCTCAGAAATAATTTCCCCAAAATAAAAGCTTTTTAATGATTAATTTAAAAAAAGACAATTCCAAAATTAAGGCATATATTTATTAAAATATTTATTTATTTAGTTATTCTTTTTTAATTTCCTCCACAAATTTATTAAAAAGTACAATAAATTGTTTATGTCGACTAATTGCATATTGCATATAATTAAATTGAATTTGTGAAAGATTTGACTAAATAAAAATATTTATTTTTATTTATTTTCAAATTAATTTATTAACAGATTAAAATTACTTGATGAATAGCCCAAAGTGTCCAGAAAAAATGTGCGGCCTGAAAATTGTTTTAAAAAATTTAATGGAAATTTCTGATTATTAAAGAATAAATATTGGTAAAAATATAGTTTATGTGACACCTTTTTCTAATTTTTTCATCTCTCTAGAAAAAATTACGAATTGCTTTTCCGATATTCTTGAGGTGTGCCAATAGGTATAATTGCTAAATTCAATTTGTCTGGACGTTTTTTGTCCGAGATTCGCAATAAATACTTTTATTTTTCTAAAAATTTAAAAATAACCAACACTTTCAAAGATTAATAATTGTTTGACAAGATTTTTTAATTCGAAATCATCCAAAGATTTTCCTATAAAATTAAGAAAATAACATTTAAGGAAATATTCTCGTTCATTATTTGTAGGGCCGTTAATTTCATAATTTGGTATTTCATCAACACCTTTTTTTATTTAAATTATTTATTTAATTTTTATTAAGTAATTACCTGCATATTCACATAAATGATTGGCTATATCAAATAATTGGGGGTTTGGACCTGCATATTCGTAATCGATAAAATGAATTTTGTTATTTAATTTATCAAAAAGAACTTCAAAGAAATAAAAATATTTTTTAAAATATTAATTAATTAACTATTATAAATAAGCAAATCATTATGAGAGAAAACCATAGGTGAAGAAATATTTTTTATAAAAGCAATTAATTGTTCAAATTGATTAGTTAAATTAATCTCTTAAAATGAATTATAGTGCCGAATAAAAGATAGGACCAAGGCTGTTAAATTATTTCGATTATCTCTTTTTTATTAACTTTTAGAAAAGCTTCAACGAAAGATTCGTAAGCCTTTAGGTGATCATTAAAATGAGTATAAATATCAATATAATTTTTCGACAAAATTTTTACAAAAATAGTTAATAAAAACAAAAAAAATAAAAGTTAATGAAAAAGAGATAATCGAAAAAAAACTAATTTAACAGCCTTGGCCATGTCTTTTTTCCGGCAATTATAAATAATTATTTTTGAAAAAAAAAGAATTTTTAATTAAAAATCTTAAATAATATTATTTTAAAAAAATAAGTAATTAACTAATTTTTAGTTTTTTAAAGCTTTTTTTCTCATTTAATTTTTAGTTTTTTAAAGCTTTTTTTTCTCAACTAATTTTTATTTTTTCCTTTTATTAATTTATTAATATTTATCCCCCACAAACTTGCAAAATATTCATCAAATAAAAGTTGTCCCTCTTTTGAGGATATTTTATTTGGAAGAGTTTCAATCCAATTTTTTAATTTAATTTCAATTAATGGTTGCTGATTTTGTTCTTCTTTAGTAAGAGGAATTTTGTGAATTAAAGACAAGGAAATACTAATTTTTCTTTAAAAACAAATAATTTATTTTTTTATAATTTTCTCATTAACTTACTCAACTATACAGGGTTCTCGAACACTTTTAATCGAAACACATTCACCAGGTAAATAACCATAAACTAATCCATTCTCAAATCTTAAAATAATTTTAAATAAAAAATATTTTTTATACAAAAAACTTTGCATAAACTGGAGCAGCTAGACCATTTTTGGAAAGTCTTTCAAAATTTTCTAATTCAAATTCTCTATTTTAATTAATTAATTAAAAACAAATTTATTTTTATTTTTAATTTACCGATCAATTATTTTATCAGACCCAGCACCAAACACTCTAAAAATTAGTTTGTCCTCTTTTTCCTCTCGATTACAAACACAAAATATTTTATTAGTAATTCCATTAGTGAATACCTATTTTGTGGTTAGATTGAATAAAATTAAATTAAAATATTTTTAAATTTAATAAAATTAATTTATGGAGATGGGGGGAAATTTATGGAGGGGGGAAATCTAGAAATTTTTAAAATTAGGGATTGAGGATAACATTAAATCCTCTCGATTGGCATTCAAATTAAAGATACAGTGGTGGAAAAAAGTATGGAAGCAAGAGCTTAAAAAGTAAACTTCGTTAAATTCCTCGACGTACGAACCCTAAATCATTTTTTGTCTACTATAAATTTTAAAGTCCTATCGATTACCTCTAAAATGAGTATAAATAGAAACCACTTTTATCGAGTATTTATCTTTTTATAATTGGCTAAAGTAAACAATGTAAATTTTGCGCGGAAAAAAGTATGGAAGCAAAAAAATTTTACGTTCTAAAACAAGTCGAAAAAATTTTAAAAATTTTTTATAAACATTTCCATTGATATTGAATGGAATTATAGAAAAAAAGAAGTCTGTACTTGCTTTCTTCATCGAGATCTCAAATCTCAAAAATCACTGGGAAATCGGGGTACAGTACTTTAAAAATTATTTTAGCTCCCTGAGACTTGTATAAAAAATTTCTTTTAGACCTATCTGAAAGCCCTTAAAATCTGCTACAAAATATGGTTGGTTTCATATTTGTACAAAAATTTGTCTAGGAGATAAGGAGGGACGAAATACTTAAAACTTAAAATAAGCATTTTATAGGGTATTTTGAGTGATTTCGGCTCATAATGAAATGTTTCCCTCCTTATCTCCTAGACAAATTTTTGTACAAACATGAAACCAACCATATTTTGTAGCAGATTTTAAGGGCTTTCAGATAGGTCTAAAAGAAATTTTTTATACAAGTCTCAGGGAGCTAAAATAATTTTTAAAGTACTGTACCCCGATTTCCCAGTGATTTTTGAGATTTGAGATCTCGATGAAGAAAGCAAGTACAGACTTCTTTTTTTCTATAATTCCATTCAATATCAATGGAAATGTTTATAAAAAATTTTTAAAATTTTTTCGACTTGTTTTAGAACGTAAAATTTTTTTGCTTCCATACTTTTTTCCGCGCAAAATTTACATTGTTTACTTTAGCCAATTATAAAAAGATAAATACTCGATAAAAGTGGTTTCTATTTATACTCATTTTAGAGGTAATCGATAGGACTTTAAAATTTATAGTAGACAAAAAATGATTTAGGGTTCGTACGTCGAGGAATTTAACGAAGTTTACTTTTTAAGCTCTTGCTTCCATACTTTTTTCCACCACTGTAATTTTACTCTTTTAAATATTAATTTAATTTAAAAAACAACTTCAATCTCACAATAATCCAATTTCCAAGTTGGCCTTATTTGCCTAATAATCATCGAAATTCCACACGTGGAATTCCCATTTTCAATTTTTATTGGCTCTTCAAGAGGTATTTTTATTGGAATAAAAGGAAAATGTTTTTTTGATGATTTCATTTTTTAGAGAAAAATAAAATTGTTAGTAAATTAATAGTAACTAGTTGGCGCAAAATCATACGTTTTATATCAAAATTTTGGGGGACGTAAAACAAACAAGTCATTGAATGGGGGGAAACAAACACTCTTTATATGGAGGCCATACTTTTTCCCTTTATGGATTTAACTTTACATATGCAGTGTATGTAAAGTTAATGCAGAAATCAATGAAACATTATGGTTAAATTACAAAGTTGATATTTACAGTTAGTAGTACTATCTTGGGGAAGTTAAAAAAGAATTACCGAATATTAATTACCAAGTATTCAAAGCTCAAGAAAGCTTTAAGACCGTTACTTATACAAAAGCCCTCTAAATTCTCGCTAATTCAGCATTCAAATCTCAACATTAATAAAAACATTTTAAATATTGAATTGTTTACTGATGCAAAAATAATAAAGGCGATTATAGGCATAACCAAAGAATTGATAAAATCAGATAACACTCAACTAACATTTTCATAAAATTATCTGGTTATGCCTATCATATCCAAACATCAGGGCTAGGAAATTGTCGAAAAATTGTTATTTTTAGTTCTCCAGCCCTGATAATTAATGGTAGACCAACAAATTTAACTTTAAAATGATCGAAAATCCCAAATTGTTTGATCATATAAACTTAAAAAATTCGTTCCGTTCAGTATCTCTCATCATTTCTTCTTCTCATTGCTTCAGAAACTTCTTAAGAACGGCTGCGACTGCGACTATTATAGCGAACAGGACTTCGCGAACTTTTACGATTGTGACGACTGAAGAATTCAGATTTTTTCTCCTTACTAATTTAAAAAATTTTTGTAAAAATTCTTGCTAATTGTACATTTACAATTAGAAAATATAAATTTAAACTTACTAAGGTCCTCCTCCACGAGTGACAGAATAATCAACTCGGACTTTCATTCCATCAATAACTGTGTCCATTAAATGATCTTTTGCCTATAACAAAAATCTTCGTTTTTCTAAAATAATTAAAAAAACATACGCGTGTGGCATCCTTAGTGCTCGTAAAGTAAACAAATCCGAAACCACGTGAACGTCCAGAGAATCGATCGTAAACAATCTGAACGGACTCAATCTCACCGTATTCGCCAAAAAGTTTGCGCAAATCACGTTCACTTGTATGCTGAAATTGGAGAGAATATTTTTAAAAAATTTTAGCTAAAATTTTACAAACCAGACTCATCCCAAAAACACCAAGGCATGGACCAGGCTCGGGATTGTCTCGTCCATCAGCATAACGATGAGTTCGTCGGTAACCGCCACCACCACCACCATAACGGTCACGACCATAATCACGATCGTAGTCACGTCCATAATCTCGGCTATAACGATCACGAGAACGGCTGAAATAAATAAATTATTTAAAAAGGTTAATAAAAATACTCAAACATCATTAACTTTCGTTCAAAAAACTAAAGGGGTTAAAACATCTCTACCAAAAATAGAAAGGAAAGACAAATGCTCAAACAAAATCTATTCAAGGATCTTTAACTCTAAAAAAATAACCAGCATTACAAATTTACCAAGCAGCATTTGGATTTGATTTGAAAATTAATTTAGTGCCCTATATGTTTGCTTGAATAAAATTGACTGCAACAAGTTAAAATTGAAGTTTGTAGATAAATTTGTAAGGCAGCATTGAATAGTCTTGATTTGAACAATTAAATCAATTTGTTTGGAAAAATGAAAGGAAAGGAGAGAAAGACAATCCCTCGTTGAAAATTGAAATTAAAAATGTGGAGCAAAAGGATTTTGAAAAGGAATTGACCACCATTCTTGAATGCCCAATTCCCAATTGCAGCGAAGAATTTGTTTTGTTTAAATTTGATAAAAACATTGATATTGTATAAATGCTCTAAATGCATTAATAGATAATTTTTTGGAGCTAGGTAAAAAATACTGCAAATTTCCATTTTACAAACCTTCTACGACGATCGTCATCTCTTCGTCTCGATGAAACAACTTCACGTTTTGGCGATGGGCTTGCACTGAAAATTTAAATGTAAAAAACTTTCCTTTATATTCCGATTTCGTTCAATGGAGTCAAAATACACGATTTTAGTTGTATTGATTAGTGAAACGCATACCGTTATCTTATAAACTAAACAGATATCCAGATAATTTGGACAAGATAAGGTAACATTCTAAATCGGAAAAAGGAAAGCAACCCGAAGAAATAAAAATGAAATCCCCATAGATAAAAACCTGTAAGTATTCGAACGAGAACGCGAACGAGATGCACTTCTCCGACGTCTCTTTGAACCGTCTACTGGACTGTAGTCCTTAAATAAAAAACACAACTTAAAATATTTAATTATTAAAAATACCCTTTCGCGTTTAGATTCAGAACGTCCCATCTTTTAAAATTATTTTAAGAATTGAATGAGTCTTTGCTTCACTAAAAATAATTCTTTCAATGCTAAAAAATGATTGATTCACATAAGCGATTTCACAAGTTAATCAATATACTAGCGTGTAAAATCGGATGGAAAGTTAAATAGTAGGGGAGAGGGTAAAACAAATCGGAAACGTGTAATTTAAATCGATTATATTGGTTATTTCGAAAACCCTGGAAACTTGTGTCAGATTTAGTCCTCTGACTAAATCTGACACACTAAATCAGATTTAGTCCTCTGAAGGAATTAACGAACAAGAATAAAATTCGCTACCAATAAAAATAATCTGGGCTAAAGAAAATGAATCATTGAGATGAAACTTCTCAAAGATAAAACCCCAACCAACTAAATAAAACAATCTACTAAAGAATTGATCGCGAATTGGCAAACATTAAGTTGGAAACTAAGAGTCCTTCGATGCTAATCGTAAAACTGGTTCATTTTATTATGGGTAGGGTTGCAGTTTTCGAGTTGGGAAGACAGTCGAGGCATTCTTCCGGGCTTGCTTTTAATGGAACGAGTCTTTTACGGGTCGAATATCCTAGGCCAAACTTAACCTTTTGGTCCGAGTCATTATCTCTTGGCAACCAACTTGTGAAAACCCCAAACTTAAAAAGTTGTCGCACAATGTTTACAAATTATAAAAACAAAGTGGACTTCATTTTTAAAAAGCCACGTTGTAATTTATAAATAACAAAATAAAAAATAATTAAATATATTGCTAGATAGCAACTATTGCATAATAGAAAAGACAAAAAGGTCAACATTTTAAACACAAAAAACATAAATATAAAATTTAAATTTTATTGAGCCTTTCACTTAAAATCTGTTCTTCATCATTTTTATTTGTTCCATTCCTTTTAGTATCTTCTTCCTCATCATCAGAAGAATCACTACACGGCAATTGTTCATCATTAAATAGTTCCTTGTCAAAAACAATAACTTTAGAAGGTCCACTTTCATCTTTTTCATCATCCATTTCAATAATATGTCCAAAAGCATCTACTGCTTGAAAAGTATTATCACCAATTTCGAACGCTTTAATTTGATCAATCTATATTTAAAAAAGATTTTTTTAAACATTTTTCCAAAAATTAAACCTCTCCATCCTCGCTTGGTTCACGTTCATACTGAGCAACACTTCCATCATCTGCACTTTCCTCACGGCCCAAATTTTCTTCAATTTCAGCAATGAAATCTGGATTGAATGTAAACAAATCTTTGCCAGAAAGTCCAGTCTTAAAATTATTTTAAATTTTATTTTTTAAGGGTGTAAATACCTGTTTTCCACTTTTGAAACTCGCAAGTTTTTCACGTTCACTTTGCAATTGTTGTTGTCTCTTTTCTTTCATTTTCTTCTTTTTCCAAGTAATAAATGTGTCAAATGTAACTTTTGTCAATTCTTTATCGAGAAGTTTTGAACGCTAAAAATAATTTTATAAAAAAGATAAATGTAAAATAACCTCTTTCTCAATAAATTCCTCCAAGGAAATTTTTGAAAGTCTTGTCTGTTCTTCCATCTTTTTCCTATCTTTTTTGAGTACATAACCATTTGGAAGAGCATGTCTAAAATAAAAACTGATGTTGCTTATTTAATTTTTAAACCTGTAAATACATCCATCACCATTAGGACATTCCCAAAACCTAAAATCTTTGTATTAAATTCATTTAAGTTAAAAAACTAACCATCCATATTTAGAATTCTCCACAGCTTCCAAAAAATATTTACACACCTAAAAATTGGAATAAATACGGAGCTCTCTTGTAGATATATTAATTAATTAACTCTTTGTAACATACACGTATTCCAAATACACCTTCTTATGGGATACACTGTTTACTACCCAGGAAATCTACAAAAGGGGGTCCGATTAAATTAAAATCTCACAATATCTGTTTGGTTTGGCCTTTTTCTGTCCTTTTCCCCATGTTTCTTTTCAGCAACATCTTCTAAAGTTTTCTCATCCCAATTTTCATTGGTTTCTTGAAAAAAATAATTTTAGGTATAAAAAGACATTTAAAGTTTAAATTAACCCTCTTCATTCGGTAATGATCGACTGTCTACATACAAATTCTTTTTCGCAGTTTTCTGTTGAATTGACAAATCGTGACTGAATTTACATTTATTTCTAAAAAATATTTAATTTTATTTTAGTTAAAAAAAGCAAAAACCCTTTAGTGCACATTCCTTGCTTGAAGAAAACACAAAGAACTGATTTTGGATCAACATCTGAATTTACGAAAAAAATTTAGTTTCAATTTTAAACAAATTACCGGCGCTTACATTTTGTTGTGTTGAAGTTTTTGCGACTGGCTTGAAAATTTTGCTCATATCTTTTAAGTCATCATCTTCATTTTTCTTTTTTTGTTGATGTTGTGTTGAAGAACCACCAAGTATCTAAATAAATTGTAATAATATTCTTGTAATTAAAAACAAACATTCTTTTCAATTTGTGCCCTCAATTTTTTATTTTTTAATCCAAATGTACGATCTTTTAATGCTTCTTGTTTCTTTTTCTCATCCGCCTTTTTATTTTTTGGAGGCTGATTTTTTGGCGGCATTTATGTCTACATATAAATATCTGCTATGTTGGTTTAATTAATTGAAAGAAATTAAAAACAAAGAAAATTCTAATTACATATGCTTTGAGTCTTTAAAAAGAGGAGAATTAAAAGAAAAGAAAGTGGACTCAAAAGTTCAAAAATTGCCAAACTTTGAAGGGGCCGTACATAAACGGTGGTACACAATGATCCCACCGGATTTCTTCCAACCTTGTTTCCCGATTTTTTGTTTCCCGACTAGTCTTTAGATATGTAGTCGGTTGCATAATTTTGGTCGTGCTGTTTTGGCTTGCGTAGTTTTGGGGTGCCCCTTATCCCTGTATACTGAATCGGCGATACTCAATCGTCCTTTACCGTTCAAACTGTATCTGTACAGTATACAGTTTGAACGGGGTTAAATGAGAGATGGGAATGTAATTCTCCAAGGAATTCACAAATAAATTCAAAAATTATCTATGTGATTCTTAATTTATGGGATTTCTAACCAGAATATCAGTTCTGGTTCATCTTTATACACTAATTAAGAAGAACAAACGATTAAAAAAGCTAGAATTAAAAAATTTAAAAGACGTGGTGAGACTCAAATGTTCAAAAACCTAAAGGTTTAGGCTTCAAAAGGTTTAGACTAAAAGTAACCAGGTAACGAAAGAGTCTTAAAATATGGCAACAAAACGAAAGTTTTTGGGATATAACTTTTTTGTTTTTAAATCAATCCAAATAATTTTTGCTTTAATTAAAAGCTCTGGATGTGCTGGTTATTTTTTCCAAGAAATTGTTTTGTTTTACCGACTTTCAAAAAAGTTAGGAGCCGTTAACTGCGAATAATCGTGATTTAACATACTTAGGTGGGTGTAACTTTCTAAGAAATGATCGGATCCTTTCATAAAGTTAATAAAAAGAATAAAAACAAATATAGATTCTAATTGATAAAGAAAATTTCTGGAAATGATCGTAATAAAAAAAGTTATGGCATAGAAAAAGGCGTTTCGATGCTAAGTCGCCGAGACTCTATTGACAAGCAAGCCTAAAGGTTTAGGTTTGTGCTGAGACTGAAAATAAATGTAAAGACAAAAGAGTCTTGCTGACTTTTTGACATTTTTCAAGTCAATTAATTGTTTCCATCTGTTTCTTTATACATTATTTATGCCATTATAACATAGTTACACCATTTCATCATTTTACTAAATAAATCCGAAAAATTAAAGAAAATTTTAAAAATTTAAAATTTTTATTGACTTTAGGTTTAAAAATTTTTAAATGTCTTCTATTATCAAAAACGAGAATAAAGAAATATTTTCCTGTCAGTTTCGAGGCCTTGAATTCTGTTGTGTTGTGGTTAATATAAAATTTTAGTTTTAATTTCTTTTTTTAATTTTAGGGTGACATTCTCTCTTCAAACACTGACTGTATTGGTGCTATTTGTGATTCCAATTTTTCTCTAACATTTGGACTGACTAAAGCTATAAAGGATGCTGCTGGAGATGATTTTTCGGTAAATTTTTATTTTTAAATTTTTGTTGCTCTAAAATTTTGATCGAAAAAGTTTTGATCGAATAACATTAAATCAAGTAGAAATTCAAACCATTTTTTTCATATTTTAGTTAAACCTTCAACGAGAAAGACGTAAACAAAGTTCTTCAGCAATTTCTGTACGCCTATCACGTAATTGTGGTTTGCAGACTAATTTTGTAATTCTCTGCCCTGCTCGTCGTTCTAGCCGGGATTCTTTTGACGAAATTTATAACCATTTTCTTAGCAAAGCGAAAGAACTTCAAATTCAAAGCATGACACTTCCTTTGCTTGGGACTGGTATTTTAAGAGTTATTGCTAAATATATTTAACATTTAAGGACATTATGGCTTGTCCTTCGATCTAGCCACACAGTTTCTTAAAAAAGCGTTTACACAATTTGCTGATTTTGGGAATTTAAAGGTTTAATTTAATATTTTATTTTTTACTTTTATTTTTTATTTTAAGAAGGTTCAATTTATTGATCAGAGTGAAAATTCAATGGGCTTATTACGGGATTTCTTCAACACCCAAATGTGTTCCAAAACAAATGGTGTCAAAAGCACTTTTGATTCAACACATTCTAGTTTAGATGTTTAAATTAATTATTTATCCAATATATTTTACCTCATTTATTTTATAATAAAATTAATTTTGGTACTTATAGGGTTTGGGTCCGCTGGAAATTCTATTTTTCCTTAATATGTAATAATGGTCGGCTTTTTTCCTTCCTCAATTTCTCTCTACTTCCCTATGGCACATTCAAATTATAGACATTAATAAAGGAAAAATAATTTTTTCCAATATTATCAAACATTAGGATCAATATTTTAATTTTTGCCATTTCAGTCATTATATTGCAACACGATTGATAGTATTTTCTTTATTAATGTTTATCATTTGAATATGCCATAGGGAAAATAAATGAAATTGACAAAGAAGAAAGTTGACCATTTCATACAAATTAAGTAAAAGACAGAATTATTTTTTCCAGCGGACCCAAACCCTATAAGTACCTTAATTTTATGGCGTGAGGACTTTTTTAAATTTATGTTCATATTGGAATTCATTTGATTTCTCTGAATTCTTTTCCAACCTGATATTGTAAGGATGCGCTTTCTTGTACGAAAAAGAACGTATTTAAAGCAATAATTTTTCTGAATTTAGAATAAATTAATGCCTCACGCCAGTAAATAAAGAATTTAATTTTCTATTTTTAAGGTCCCGATATTAGCATTATTGTATTTTCTGGTTCCTCAAAACCCAATACTTGCGGGCAATCTTCTTCGAACAATCAAGGTTAATATTTTTGTCTTGCATTTTCCAAATGACCAATTCTTTTTTTCATTAGGGTCTAGTGGAACATCGTCTTCGAATTCTGATAATTCGCCTAATATTAACGTCAGTCTTATTACAGATGGTAAGTAATATTTTAAATTTTTTACTTAAATCAGCCATCTTAGAATCTAACATTTTATTGCGCACTAACGGAATCAACTCAAATGTAACCATCAATTTTATTATGAACGATGGTATTTTTTAAAAATATTTTCGTGAAATGTGTTCCAAAGGATTATTCGTTACCTTTATTCGTGACTATATACAGTGTTAAATATTTTGGTTTGAGTTGATTCATGTGTCTTAATCATTTATGAGGGGGATGCAAATATGGGTGGTACTTTCATAAAATGAATTATGCAATTAACTTTCTCATAAATTCTAAATATTTATTAAATTAACAATAATCCTTTAGACGATTCTGATATGGATAGTTTTTGGAATGAGAATGTAAGCTCAAATCATTCTGCTGTATCTATGAATGACTCACACTCATCAGTGTCAGACGTTAGTGTTTCTCTTGATACAGATCTTGATTCAGATCTTGAAGATAGTGATGAAGAAAATGATCTTTCTGACTTGGATGTAATTTTAATTATTTTTTATAAGTATTTATTTTTTAAATCAGGGGTTCTCTTCGGAATCAAGCGCAAATGATGATGAGGCTCCAAAGTCGCAGAAGGTTAAATTTAACGACGAATCTGTTTTTTGGACTGTTATTCCTCATCAACAACTTTTATCTTCTCAAAAACCAACAACATCGAATAATGCTAATCTTGATGATTCAACACTTCCTTGTTCTATTTGCCTTTGTGATATGCGCGATATATTTGAAAATGAAGGAAACTGTGTTGTGCAATTATCACTTTGTTCACACATGTTTCACATGGAATGCATTCGAGTATTTTTTGATATAATAACTTGAAATAAAATTAGCTTTTAGGCTGCCTTTAAAGTGAAAGAACAATGCCCATTATGTATGTGTTGGTACAAGGATCCGATAGGCTATCAACCTAAAGATGGTATTTAATATGTATTAAATAATAATTATTTACTAACATAAGCTATTTACCATATTCAATTAATTGCCCTATTGAATGTATATCACTATAAATTTTAAATTATTAAATCAATCCGTTTCTGGAAGGGATAATAAATATAGGTGAGGTAAGGCAGGGTAATTAGTTGAGTAATTTGATTTCGTACGATAATGCTTTTTAATCCTGAGTTAATTATTAAGTAGATTATGCAAAAAATAAATTTATATTTCAGCGAAGATGACCGTCCGTCAAATACAAGGCCAAGTGCAAGGACATAAGGATGCTAAAGGCTTTCATGAAATTACATATCATATTCCTTCTGGGATACAAATTGTAAGAAAGATTTTGATGTTTATAAAGAATTGATTTTAATTTAATTTTTTTAGAATGGACACATCCGACCTGGCCGTCCCTATCGCTCAATGACTCGCATAGCATATTTGCCTAATAACAAAGAAGGGACACAAGTATTGAAATTGTTGCAATTGGCATTCAAACGTCGACTCATTTTTACAGTCGGTGATTCATTAACAACTGGACGGAAGGATGTCCCTATTTGGAATGGAATTCATCACAAAACGAATAAGGAAGGAGGACCGCAATGGTATTAAAAAAGAGTGTTTGTATTTTAATAATATTTAAACTTTAGTTATGGCTATCCAGATCCTGGCTATCTTTCACGGGTTAAAGAGGAATTGGCCGCTGTTGGGGTTAGAAGTGAACAATTGAAAGATTAAAAATTTTAATGTTTTGAAAATTTTGACTTGATATATATTTAGTTGTCTTTAATTTATTGATAAAGTAAACAATTTATAAACTAATGATTTTTGTTGCAAAACACTTGGTCTGTTATTTGGTATTTCTGAAATTAAGGAAAAATATCATGGAAGGACCAAATGATGGAACTAAAGAATCACGGATTTGCCGAATTAAAGGGGTCCCCTTTTTTGCCGTACTCTGAACCTGCTACTCTGAAACGGCCTTCGTTTGGATGCACTGAATCGGCTACTCTGAAACGGGCTTTACCGTAATTTTCGGTTCACGTCAAGTTGCAAACAATCGATATTTCTAAAAGTCATGAATATAAATAAATTCACGTGTTTAGCATTTGCGAGTTCCGTGCAAATGAGCAGAATTGTTGACATTTTTTTATATTATGTATTATTTTTAGAGATCAGATTTAATATCTTCAAATGTTCTTTAGTGGAAATGCCTATGGGAACAACCGTGGCGGGCGTTCACAAAATGTTAATTAAGTACCATATAATACTAATGTAATATTACTATTTCAGCCTAACTATAATTGGCCAAATTCCTCTTCTGGGTCTGGTGCAGCTAATGGTTCTGGGTACAAGGGTGGATTCAGTTCTGGTAGTAGCGGCAATTATGGGGGCAGAGCTAACGCTTCAAAGACGGGCGGATTTAGTTCTTGGAATCCCTCTAATGAAAGTGACAGCAGCTCTTTGGTGCCTATTAGCAAAGACAATTATACTCCGGTTGCTTCTGTACAAGCTCGTGATCAGGCCGATGTGGATCGTTGGATGGTTGAGAATAATGTTTCGTTAAATGGCGAGGATGTGCCGTGCCCAGTTTTTGAATTTGAAGAATCAACCTTTCCAGGTCTGCTTAATATAAATTTCATGTCTAGGATCTTCTTTTAATTTTTTTAGGAATGATTGTTAATCTTCTGTTAACTCATTTTCAAAAACCGACACCAATTCAAAGCATTTCTTGGCCGGTCGCTTTGAGCGGGCATGACTTGGTTTTATTCTTTCTGTTTGCAATATTGTACCTTTCTTTCTAGATCTCAATTGCAAAAACTGGTTCTGGCAAGACAATTGGTTTCATTTTGCCTTCTATTGTGCATGTTCAGTCACAGCCAACACGAAATCTTCAGGATGGACCAGCTGTCATTATTCTACTTCCAACTCGAGAGCTTGCTCAGCAAGTAGAACAAGTGGCTCAGGAATACTGCAAAGTTATGCGAATTAATCTTGCTTGCTGTTATGGCGGTTCACCTAAGGGGCCACAGATGTCAACTATGAAGAGAGGTCTGTTTAGCACTTACAGTTTTGAACTTTACATATTTTAATCTTGATCATTTCTCAGGTGTTGATATTTGTGTAGCTACGCCTGGCCGGCTTACGGATTTTATTGACACGAATGTTGTGAAGTTAAAACGTTGTTCTTTGCTTATAATGGATGAGGCTGATAGGATGCTTGATATGGGTAAATTTACCCTATTTCTGTCTAAAATTTCATCTATTAGGTTTTGAGCCGCAGATTCGTAAAATTGCACAACAAATTCGAGTAAGTTCTTATTGCATGACTTATATTAATCTTTTTCCGCGGACTATTAATTATGAATTTAGAATGATCGCCAAACGTTGATGTTCTCAGCAACTTGGCCACAAGATGTGCGCAAACTTGCTTCAGATTTTCAGAAGAATCCAATTCATTTAACTGTTGGATCTTTGGAGCTTTCTGCCAACCACAATATTGAGCAAAATGTTGAAGTGATTGATGAGTATAACAAAACAAAACGACTTGAAGAGATACTTGAAGATATTTCGAAACAAGTTTTTTTTTATTTTAAATATTGTAGTAACTTTAGCATATTTTCAGGTTCAATCTAAGACGATCATTTTTGTCAAAACTAAGAGGAAGGCTGATGAACTTTCTCGTTTAGTTCGTCAATCTGGGTACTAGTTTAGTTTCATAATTTAAATACATTACTTTTCTAGTTATCCTGCATTATGTATTCATGGAGACAAAGACCAAAGTGAACGAAATTGGGTTTTAGAACGTAAATAAACAATTTTTCTTTCAAAAAAGTTAATTTAATTCTAGAATTCAAACAAGGAAAAGCTAGTATTCTTTTGGCTACGGATGTTGCAGCGAGGGGCATAGGTAAAGAAGAAAAAACTAGTCAATGCTTCCTTTCTTCTTCGCGGCCATATTCATGGTCTAGAAGGTGGAGAGCATAAAATTTGTTCATTTCTGCGCATCAATTGTTCGCTTATTAAAATAGCGACATTTGCGTGCAGCTGGAGTAAGGTTTGCAATTGCTTTATTTGCAAATGCAATAAATTCTGAGAATTCCAAAAAAATATTTTCTGAATTTAAATTAAAAGAAAAGGAACAATTTTATTGATTTTGACTGTTAAATTTTCATTTAATTAATTCTCATTATTTTTTCGTTTCTCAGATGTGCATGACATAAAATTCGTGATCAATTATGATTACCCAAACAGTTCAGAAGATTATATCCATCGAATTGGGCGCACTGGGCGTCGTGATCAGAAGGTTTTAAATTTTTAAACTCAAATTAAATACATTTAAAAATCAGAATATTCAAATCAATGAAAATTTCAGGGAACTGCTTATTCCTTTTTTACAAGTGGAGACAATGCAAAGGCAGCTGATCTAGTCAAGGTCTTACAAGAGGCTAATCAGAACATCCCAGAAGAATTAGAGATAATTGCGTTTATGCGTGATGGACGGGGCAGGGGTAATGGTCGAAAGCGCGATTGGAATTCTGGAAACGAAAATTCATATGGCGGGAGAGGCAGAGGGGGAGGTTGACATTGTTATTTTTTGATTTTTAATTTAATTCGAAATTTTAGGAAGCCGAGGCAGAGGCGATAGCGGGCGTGGGAAATTTGATGGATTTGGAGGAGGAGAGTCAAAGCGTATTCGATATGATGGTATGTTTACATCTTTTTTTTTGCTCTAATGTTTAAATTGTAGATGAAGGTGAAGCAAGTCCTTACAAATCAAACAATTCAAGAGGATCTCGTAACTTTCGAGGCGGACGAGGTGGCGGATACTCAGGCAATTCGGGGCGGTCTGATTCGCGCTGGTAGAGGAATATTTACTTTTAATGAAGAAAGATTTTTAGTAACTGTTCACTATTGTTATGAAATGAATTTTGAAATTTATTAAATGAAAAGTTTATTTCTGAGGATTTTTTTCAATGGTCTTGCAAGCAATAAACATGAGTAGGGCTAGGCAAAACGTGCAGGATTGGTAGTTTGAGTCCCTTTCCTTTTTCAGTCTTTAGTCAATTTGGTTGTTTAAAGACAACATGAAAAAGGTAAGGGACTCGAACTAGGTTTTCATAGCATTGAGACAAGAATAAAAATATGAAAAATGCTGTGAATTTGCAATTAGTCTTTAGAATTTAATTAAATCTAAATTGTCATTTCAACTGAAGAATAAATGTCTGTCCTTGACTATTAGCAGCCAGGACAATACTTGTATTACGTTTCCAACAAACCGCGGAAACAAAATCATTAGTTGAATGGTGTTGTGTAGGTGGGACAGGATCAGAAAACGAAGGGGATGGATTAGTAAATGAGGTAGCATTCCCAGTAGTCGTTTCTGGCGCGGTTGGTTGTATGTTGTCCACAGAGCGGGTTGTGCAGTCGAATGAAAGCAAGGGATCGAAGACTTTTTTGTAGTAGAGATATAGTCTATTGTTTTCGCTCCCTATAATCGTGAATGAATCATTTTATGTTAGTTTTCAATGACTAACCACAAACAACGTGATTTCCATCTGTTGCCATTCCAACAAAATTTTTCTCGTTTTGATGGCCACGCATTGTTTGAAGACATTTTCCAGTGCTAACGTCCCATAGGCGCAAATTGCTGTCTGTTGAACTAAAATATTTCCAAGTAACATCTGCACAAGTATAAATAACTCACGCAGAGATAACTTCGTCCTCGTTAGCATATTTTACATATGAGACGGCTTTCTTGTGACCACGAAAGACATTCAATGGTTTTCCTGGCTGTCGAATATCATAAAGATGTACACAATGGTCTATAATTACTTTGAAATATAAAAAAATAAAAATATGTAATACCTGAAGAGCCGAATACTAGCTTAAAATTATAGAAATTAGATTTGAAAGTTAAATTAAAAAAACCTGATTCCGATATTTTGGAGAAAAATAAACACAACAAACCTATAATTCCAAAAAATGTTTTAACAGAAATTGTTTAAGCAAAACAAACATTCACACGTGCATCAATTGTACAAACAGACTGTGAGGCATGTAATGCCCATAATTTTACTTTTCCATCATCACTTCCACTAGCCATTAAATGAGGGTCAATATTATTGAATTGAACTGTCCAACAACGTTTTTCGTGTTCCTTAAATGTACGAGTGCAAACGGCAGCTGCAGTGTCCCAAAGCTAAAAATTAATTTCGTAAATAAAAAAATATTCGGTTCAGCAATAGAATTATTGAAATCAAAAAAAATATCTATAAAATATAAATTAACCTGAACAGTCCCTTCATAATCACTGCTTGCCAACATGTTCTTATTGTATGGATTCCAAGAAATATTGCTAAAAATATTTATTTAATAAAAGAAAATATTCATGTATGGAGGACTGATTTTCAGACAAACAATCGAAAGTTCATGTATAAATGACCGAAAAGTAAAATATACATCTTATAGAATTAATTATAAAATAAACCTAATTTTTGAATTACAAATTAGCTGCTCCAATGGATAGTGTAATTCCCCTTCAAAGTTGACAATAGCCTCATAATTGTATAATTTAATTTTCTTGGCCACTCCAGCGATTACGAAAAATTCTCCATCTTTATCAAATTCAATACTAGAGACGATAGAAAGAGAGCTGTTAGATTCCAAATTATAGTTTAACGTTGCAAGTAATTTCATATCTCCGTATTGATAAAGTCGTTTGACCGTTTCAGAAAATTCGTCAAGTTCAGCATGTGAAACACTACCGAGGGAAGAACTAATGTCTATTAAAAAGAAAATTGAGATTTTCTTTGAAAAACAATTGAATTTTGGAAAAACAGAAAATTAATTTTTAGTTATAGGGAACTAACAAAAAAATTTATTTGAAATTTACCGCTATTCTTATTAACATTGAGAGAGGTTTTAGAACCAAAATAGGCAGATTCAAGCGATGCAACATGTCGACACATTCTTCGTCGATAATGATACAATTTTTCTGTAAGGTTAGCTTGAAATTGAAGAGCTTGAGGAGTCGAAGGCGAGTCTGATCGGAGATTGTTTTCTTCTGCTAAAGGCGCCAAGTGATCGTTGGAAGTATTAGATAATGATGGATCAACAGACAATAATTGCATAACTTGATTACTATCAGGAACTAATCGTTGTAAAGAGCTTGGACTGAGTTGGCTAGTTAACGTATTCTATAATAATATTTAATTATTTAAAAAATTTATTAAAAAACCAACAAAAATATGTTGTTTATCCCGTTTTAAAGTGTCCAATTCGGCTTGAATTATTTTTGCTGTGTTTTCTCTTTTAGCAATCATACGGTCAAATAAGTCATTGAGAAGCAAATTTTGAATCTGTTGATTATTCAATTCTAATTCCGTTTGTCGACGCTTTAGCAATTCAGAGATTCGTTGAACTGACTCCAATGACAGTTGTTGATTCTAGTAATAAGCGATAAAAAATCGTCGAGAAAACAATTTTTAGAGGTTATCAAAAATATAAAGGAATTTTAGAGGGGAATTTTTTCAGATAGAAGGGAAATCCCGTTTCAGAGTGTCAAAAAAATGAGAAATAAAAACTAAACTTCTAACAAAACTTTCAGAATAGCATGAAAAATTTACCTGTATCATTTGTAAGATCTGATCGCCATTATCTGGTTGGCCTGTAACCGTTTGAGACGAATGTCCTTTACAATGTTCCTTTTTTGTTTCAACGTCAACAAGAATTTTATCAATCATAGAAGAAACAGTAAAATTAGGGCACAAAGTTTTTAGCCGTTTAACATCTAAATTAGTATCACAGATAGGACATTGAGGAGAATGTTGAATACTAAAAATTAAAAATAATTAATATAAAAATAAGCAATACCTTCGAGTAATACAAGATCTACAAAAGGTATGTCCACAGATTGTGCTATAAGGCTCATTAAATATTTGGAGACAAATTTTGCTAAAATAAAAATAATATTTTAAAATTTTATTTATTAAAATAAAAAATAAACCAATGGAGAGGATTCTCATCTTCGTCTTTTCCATGTGAATTGAGCCTTTTTCTGTTGATATGAGAAACAAATTGTTGCATTTTTCTATTTAAAAACAAGAATTAAAAAATAAAATTAAGTTAAATGACTAGAATTCGTACTTTTCGATTTGGCGAAATGGCAAAATTTAGTGAAATATACAAAGTGGAATAATACAAAACGAAAAAATACTAAGTTAAAAAAGTCACAATATCAAAAGTTTAAAATGCCCATTTAATTTAATTAATGTTGATGTTTTAATTTTTTCTTAGTGTTAGTTTTTTAATAACTTTAAGTTTTTTAACTTGTAATGGATGCCTACAACAATGAAAAAGCCTTTCAATCACAAGCAACATTTAAAATGCTTCGACGACTTCATGGACATAATTTGGAGAGCCAAGGATTAAACAACCTTTCTGAAGCTTTCCAAAGCTTTGTAACTAGAGTAAAGTTTTTCAGTGTTGGCAGACTTCGGAGAACCTGGTCTTATTCTGCACTTGAATTTATGAAATACAGACGTTTATTACCTATGATTGTTGGAGATGAACAAGATCCTGGCAGTGTTTTTGACGGTTTTTGTAAATTTAAATTTATTAAATAATTTTTTAAAGAATTTATGGACATTGGAGTTGATGGCCTTCCTTTTACTGCTCGACAAGTAGAAGCAAGTTTAGAGGAGAAAGGAATTTGTGTCAGTAATGTTTCTTCAAAAGTAACAAGAAATCAATTGCAATCATTCTTTTGCAAATTTGGAAAGGCATTAATTTCTTACTTTTTTTTATTCCTCATATTTTTTAAGGTTCAATCTTGTCGCATACCTTCATCAAAAGCATCGAGTGTATATGCAACAATGCCAAAAAAGAAATTACACGGAACCTGTTTAATTACCTTCAAGTTTGTTATTTTGTATTATTTTTGATGAATCGAAGACAGACTCAATATTTATTTAATTTTACTTTAGAAATCCTCAATCCGCAGTGAAAGCTAAACGTGCACTTCCAGAGGAATTGTTATTTTATGGACAACAAATGGTTGTAATGCCGGTATACTATTATAATAATTTTAGTTTTAAATTTTTTTAGTATATTTCTTCATCTGCTTCATGGAGACGGACGGTTTCTTCTCCAAACGCAAAAATGCTAGATTCTGAATCTAATCAGGAATCCTTTTCAATTGGAAAACTTTCCCGAACATCATCTGGTAGTTCATTAGCCTCAACTACAACTTGTTCCTCTGCGGTATCTTTTATAGTATTATAGATTTTTAAAATTTAATTTTTATTTTTCTTCTAATTTTTTTTCCTTTAAACGTCTTTATTAATTAAACAAATATTAAAAATTACTTTAAAAATTTAGACTTTGGCTTCAACAGCCCCCTCTGCCTCAATTCCGATTGATGAACTCCCTGATCGAGCTTTAACGCGTATTCTCTTTTTTGTCGGACCATTAGATCGTATTCGATTGGAACGTGTCAGTAAACATTGGCTAGAACTTTCAACAAAAGCTTGGGCACAAAGTCGTTCTCTTCATTTTTCTGAAGAGCCAGAATTACTGCGACATTTTAACAAATCTTTTCCTATGTGTCATGCCCATTTAAAAGCAATTCTTCGTCGTTGTGGCCCACATATTCGTTCATTAAGTCTTGCTGATATAAATCAATTATTTGATGAGAATTCTGTACTTGAAATTGGAGCGCTCTGTCCGGAATTGACAAATGTTTGTTTGTTCATAAATTATTTTAAAAATAAATATTTTTCAGCTCAATCTTTCAAGTATTACAGCTTCACCTGAAACGTTAAGAGTTTTATCAGAATCATTTCCAAAGCTAACAAAAATTGCTTATTGTGGAATGACTCAAACAAATGAAAAGGCCTTTTTATTTTTACTTAAATCTATGGCCAGTAGACTTCGTTCTGTTGATTTTCGTGGGTGTACAAGGTTAAAAGGAAGCTTTTTTACTCTCTTTGGGACTGCTCTTGAGGAGGTATTTTTGGAAGATTTATATTTTTAAATTTTTCTTCGATTAAGAAAATAGATGATTTAGTTAATTAAAATAAGAGCAAATTAAAAAATTTTTTTAAATTTACAATCTCAAAATAATTTCTTTTAATTACAGGTTCTCTTGGACGGATGCATTTTTTTGGACAATCATGTAATTGAAGATTTAAGTGTTCGCTGCAATTGTATTCACACTTTTAAACTTGATGGATGCAGAAAATTAAACGATGAAAGTTTAAGGTTATTTTTAATTTTTTGTTTTTTATAATAAAATTTTCTAGTTTAATTTCACGCAATTTTAACGGACTTACAACTCTAACATTGTGTGGTGTATTTCCCCTTTTCACAAATAAAGGTCTCAAACAAATTTCAAGAATTAGTTCTCTTCAAACTTTGAGGTTATTTGATATACTTTTTAGAGATACAAATCTTTTAGTTTGGATTATAACCCTCTAGTTGATGATAATTTACTTTCTTCTATTTCTGATAATCTCCAAAATCTTCGAAAATTTACACTTTCATTTGCTGGCACAGATTGTCAAATAACAACTAATGGATTGTGTTCATTAGCAAAATTTAAAAAATTGGAAGAATTAGATTTGAGCGGTTTAGCATCTTTAAACGTTCAAGTATTAAAATCAATTTGCAATGATGGTTGTTTGGAATTACGAACAATTTTTTTGAGGAATTGTAGTTATTTGGGAGATGATGGTATTGCTGAACTTGGAAATTTAACAAAATTAGAGAATGTAGATTTAAGTGGATGTATTTTGGTATGTATATTAATTTAGATACAAGTGTATCACAGTTTTCGTTTTTGAGCTCATCAGCTTGTTTTATCAAATTAATTCTAATTAATCATAATTTTATTTGATTTTTATTTTATAAATTTAAGGTATCAAACGAGTCAATATTGAAGCTTTGTGGTCTGTTTAAAAATGAGGTATGTTCTTTTCTGTTTCAAAACCTTTTATCCATTTTTAGTCAAATCCTCATGCCAATCCAGTTAAAATTATTATCGGTGGAACAATTTGTGAGCCACACAAAATTCGGCGTCCAAACGGCTCTCGGGTTATTCTAGATCAAGCTGACAATAGTTCATTGAACCTCAATTATTTGTCCTCCTTTGTTGACGAGAATGAACTTTTTAATGGAGATGAAGATGACGAATTTAGAATTCTTTCAGCGCACAGTAAACTGATAATTTCTTAAATATTTTATTAAAAAATTAAAGGAGATTTTATTTCTAATGCATTACAAACTGAGGAAGATGATTCTCCATTGGGTGATGATCCGAAGAAAATTTTGGCATGGGTAGAAAGGGAGGCTACTGAACTTGGACTTTTTAATAAAGAATAGAGAACACTATGTAGTATATGTAATAATTCTTTTATTTTGTTTGTAGATATTTTTCTTCAAATTTATCTTAGTAATTTGACTATAATTAGTGATATATTTTCAATGGATTTAGATTTTTGCAAAGATTTTAATAAATAATTAACAATTTTGGTCTTGAATATTCTAATAATATGCTTCTCCCTTCAAGGCATATCAACTCAATCACGTTTCGGGAAAATGAAATTATTACATATAAGCTGCCGATTCAGGTTATCAGGAACCAAGAAAAGACCGGATAACCGAAAATTCTCGGTTCAGTTATCGGTTCCGGCTAGCCGAAGATTTCCCAGGAAACGCCAATCTTAATTACATATGTATATCAGCATTACAAAACTTTACATATGTTAAATTTTTATAATTTACTCTTCCAAAGTTAAAGGTAAACATTAAAACAAAAGCTGAAATTTACTTGCATTGTTAAGTTTGAAAAGTTTATTAAAATTTGTACGGTATTCAAAAAATTATTAACTCGTTTGTTAACCATCATCTGAAAGGTGATACATTTTGTTAAATTTATTGAAAATGTCATATTCTCTTATTTGCTCAATTTTTGCGATGTGAAAAGATTATTCACAATCATCTGCATGATTCTCGACATTTAAATTTTCTTTGGACAGTACATTCAACGATTTTTTAAATAGAATTTTTAAACATTGTTTATTAATTTTGTGTTTGTCATTAATAATCGAAATGTTAATAGTTTATAAATGTCATGATTGTATCTTGCATATTGAGAACATGAATAAGAACAACATTGACAAATAATTTCTTGGTTTTTTTAAATTTAAGGAAATGTCTCATCCACCCACCTGTTTAAAGGCATATAAATTCAGACATAATAAGATTATTTTATCTTCATTCACATTTGTCCCATAATAAAGAAAATGTTACCTAGAATGTTATTGTTTATATCTGTAATATTTTTCTTCCTTCGTTTTTCTTTATTTGTATCTGGAAACAGTTATGGCGCATATGATAAAGGTAAATATGGAACGGACTACAAAAAACCCAGTTACGACGATGGATATAAGCCTAGCTACGACAGCGGTTACAAGCCCAGTTATGATAGTGGTTACAAAAAGCCCAGCTACGACAGTTACAAGCCCAGCTATGACAATGGTTACAAAAAGCCCAGCTACGATAACTACAAGCCCAGCTACGATAATGGCTACAAGAAACCGAGCTACGACAGTGGTTACAAGCCCAGCTACGACAATTACAAGCCCAGTTACGACAGTGGTTATAAAAAGCCCAGCTACGACAGTTACAAGCCTAGCTACGACAATGGCTACAAAAAGCCCAGCTACGACAGTTACAAGCCCAGCTATGACAATGGTTACAAAAAGCCCAGCTACGATAATTACAAGCCCAGCTACGATAATGGCTACAAGAAACCGAGCTACGACAGTGGTTACAAGCCCAGCTACGACAATGGTTACAAGCCCAGTTACGACAGTGGTTACAAGCCCAGCTACGACAATGGGTACAAAAAGCCTAGCTACGATAGTGGTTACAAGCCCAGCTACGATGATGGTTACAAAAAGCCCAGCTACGACAGTTACAAGCCCAGCTACGACAATTACAAACCCAGCTACGACAGCTACAAGCCCAGCTACGACGATGGTTACAAAAAGCACAGTTACGGCGGAAAATACGGCGGCGGTTACAAAAAAAGCAAATACAACAAATACAACTCTTATAGCAGTAGCTCCAGCGAGGAAGAATATCCACCAAGACACCACTACAAAGGAGGCTACCATGGTGGTCATCGTTATGGTCACAAAAAGCATCACTATGCCGGAGGTTAGTCACAAAATATATTGGAATAAATTAGATTTAATTACCATAAAACTTGTATTATAATTAAATTCCACTCAATTTTTCAAGTCTTTGAACATTTTCATATTGTGAGACGCGCAAAAAACATGTTACTTACATTTAGTATCATTCTAATAGAGGTGTTATTGTAATACAGGTTTTATGGTATGTTTCGGTTAAAGGAAAATGAAGTTTTGATCAATAGGAATGAGTTCGGGATAGTTTTAACATCATTTTAGCCTTTATATCTTACATTATTATCTAATATTCTTAATAATTCAGGTTATCCAACGTTCATCTACCCATCACCATATCAACCGATGAGTCCCATTCAACCAATTCCACAAGTTCCAAGTTTTAATTGATTATTAAATCTATTTCTAAATTTTCTTTTTAGACCCTTGGCAACTAACTCCCTCTCAGCCAATTCCACCAATGCCAAGTTAATTATCTATAAGCCTCAATCAATTTTCTTTTGTATTTAAGATCCCTTGATACCAAATCCACAACAGCCTTGGGCATCACTTCTTCCAGCAAACCAAAGCAACGTCGTAATGCCCCCAGCTATGCCAATTCTTCCACCGCCATCAATTGTATGGCCTCCTGGTACCCCCTTTGGTGCTAAAAAAGTGAAACGTGATGGTAAAATTTTAAAAATATACATAATTAATTAGTATTTAACAGTCTAATTATTTTTATTAATTTCCAGCCCCATCCCAAATCAATGATGCAGAATCTGAGCTTGGACTACTCCCACCACAACGTTTTGAACGTGCCATCAAGGAGAAAACTAAAATTCCAAAACCAACAACTGAATTGCCAAAAACTACAAAAGAGCCAAAAATTTCAACAACAACTGAAGAAAGTTAGAAAAATAAAAAAAATATTTTGATAAAATATTTAATTATGAAAATATTTAAATTTTTATTTTTAGTATATGAAGGGGAAGAAGAACCAGAAGAAGAGGAAAACGAAGAAATTGAAGAAGAGAACGAGTATTTCCGTTCGGATGACAACAATCAACATGTTGGATATATTCAAGGCGAAATTAATAGTATTTGGGAAGAAAAGAAGAAAAAATAAATTTTAAAAAATATATTTTAAATTAAAAAATGTGAGAGAATAAAATTAATAATTAATTTTTTTGTAATATATTATCAAAGAATTTAAGTTAAAGTAAAAAAGTTTAAATAGAAATTTGAAGATTTTCTTCATCAAATAAGTTTCTTATTCAAATTATATACATAGTATGGGAAGGGATATCAAAAAAGCGAAAATTTTTTAGGCTAAAAAATGTTGATATGAAATAAAAGCGAAAATAAAAAAAAAACATATCGACACACAAAATATTTTAATCAGTAGTTGTGCAGCTTCTAATTAATTGATGCCCAGAACTAAAAGGAGAGCTAGAAGATGCAGCAATTGCCCGTAAATCTCTCCTACATATAGGTAAACGCCTTTCAGTTCCCGCCATTGAATTTCTGTCAATTGGAATTTCTATTCGCCGACAGAGATCTGCAATGTCGCGAAGAAGTTCATGCCGATTTGGATTATTTAAGAATATCTTAATGAAAAATTTTAAAAATTATTTTAAATTTAATTGCCCCCTTTACTTCCCCAAATATATTTAAGTAATGCTAGGGAATAAAGAAAAATTGTGAAGATTCAATGTTAAATACGAGAGAATCTTCTTTAAAAAATTCCACTAAACTCTCTCTATTACCTGTAATATATTATCATCAATTCCATCAGCATCCAAAAGTTCTTCTCCTTCAGATACCCTCCAAGCTAAACGAATTTTACTATTAGAATAAGCACGTAATTGAATAGATGATTGATGTAAAAGAACCCCTTCATTATTTGGAAAATTAATTAAAGCAAAATGTTTTTTATTTTTAGTATTATTATATCCATTTTCTTCTAAATAACAACCATTTTGATGTTCATTTAAATTATTATAACCATTTATTTTCTTAAAAATAAATATAGTAATTTTAAATAAAAGAATGGACAAAGAATAGAGAGAGATAACACAAAACTACTAATTTAAAAATAAATCTCGTCTTAATTTTTAAAAAATTAATTACATTTTCTTGCACTAAACAATTAATATTTTCCATTAAAGCATCCAAAATACATTGAATTGAAATAACTTCCCAATTTTTCCCTTCATTTGCCCAAGTAAAAAGATTTGTTAAAGACTTTTTACCAAGTTCATAAGAACCACTCAAAAATGTAATTGAATTATGTCCTCTATAAAATCCTTTAATAAATACAAGAGGAGGGAAAATATCTGACCGGACAAAAACCTTTAAAGAAATTATAATTTTAAATTAAAAATTAAATTTAACAGTTTTTAGTGTTTGCATTACAAAACTTTCAACTCCAGGTAAAACATCACGAGTCATTTCAGAATTTAAATATTCTATAGAATATGATTGTTGGGCAAGAACTGAACAAATTAAAGTTTTACGAGAATCTATTGAACAAAAAGTTCCTTTAAAAAAGAATTTAAAAAATATTTAAAAAAAATTTAAAGACCAATTAATCCAGTTCTTGACGAAGCTATTGAAATAAATTCAAAACCATCCATTAAACATTCTTCTACTAAATAATCTGTTTCTGAAGCAAAATTAGAAGAATGGGGGCGGGCCTAAAATAATTAATTTATTTAAAAATATTTTTTAAATTTATTTTTATTACTTTTTACTATTTTCTTTTTACTATTTTATTACTATTTTCTTCATCAAATAAGTTTCTTATTCAAATTATATACATAGTATGGGAAGGGATATCAAAAAAGCGAAAATTTTTTAGGCTAAAAAATGTTGATATGAAATAAAAGCGAAAATAAAAAAAAAACATATCGACACACAAAATATTTTAATCAGTAGTTGTGCAGCTTCTAATTAATTGATGCCCAGAACTAAAAGGAGAGCTAGAAGATGCAGCAATTGCCCGTAAATCTCTCCTACATATAGGTAAACGCCTTTCAGTTCCCGCCATTGAATTTCTGTCAATTGGAATTTCTATTCGCCGACAGAGATCTGCAATGTCGCGAAGAAGTTCATGCCGATTTGGATTATTTAAGAATATCTTAATGAAAAATTTTAAAAATTATTTTAAATTTAATTGCCCCCTTTACTTCCCCAAATATATTTAAGTAATGCTAGGGAATAAAGAAAAATTGTGAAGATTCAATGTTAAATACGAGAGAATCTTCTTTAAAAAATTCCACTAAACTCTCTCTATTACCTGTAATATATTATCATCAATTCCATCAGCATCCAAAAGTTCTTCTCCTTCAGATACCCTCCAAGCTAAACGAATTTTACTATTAGAATAAGCACGTAATTGAATAGATGATTGATGTAAAAGAACCCCTTCATTATTTGGAAAATTAATTAAAGCAAAATGTTTTTTATTTTTAGTATTATTATATCCATTTTCTTCTAAATAACAACCATTTTGATGTTCATTTAAATTATTATAACCATTTATTTTCTTAAAAATAAATATAGTAATTTTAAATAAAAGAATGGACAAAGAATAGAGAGAGATAACACAAAACTACTAATTTAAAAATAAATCTCGTCTTAATTTTTAAAAAATTAATTACATTTTCTTGCACTAAACAATTAATATTTTCCATTAAAGCATCCAAAATACATTGAATTGAAATAACTTCCCAATTTTTCCCTTCATTTGCCCAAGTAAAAAGATTTGTTAAAGACTTTTTACCAAGTTCATAAGAACCACTCAAAAATGTAATTGAATTATGTCCTCTATAAAATCCTTTAATAAATACAAGATGAGGGAAAATATCTGACCGGACAAAAACCTTTAAAGAAATTATAATTTTAAATTAAAAATTAAATTTAACAGTTTTTAGTGTTTGCATTACAAAACTTTCAACTCCAGGTAAAACATCACGAGTCATTTCAGAATTTAAATATTCTATAGAATATGATTGTTGGGCAAGAACTGAACAAATTAAAGTTTTACGAGAATCTATTGAACAAAAAGTTCCTTTAAAAAAGAATTTAAAAAATATTTAAAAAAAATTTAAAGACCAATTAATCCAGTTCTTGACGAAGCTATTGAAATAAATTCAAAACCATCCATTAAACATTCTTCTACTAAATAATCTGTTTCTGAAGCAAAATTAGAAGAATGGGGGCGGGCCTAAAATAATTAATTTATTTAAAAATATTTTTTAAATTTATTTTTATTACTTTAATCCAATCTTTCAATTCATTACTATTTCTTGCAATAGCTAAAGTATGTAAACAATTTTGTTCTACACAAACTGGCCGTAACAACATAGGGTAATTACAAACTTGGGTATTTGCATGAGAACTTTAAATTAAAAATTATTTTTAAAAAAATATAATGGAATTTCGCTAATATGGACATTTCCCCAATCTCTATGGGTATATTTAAGCCTGATTTAATTCCCGGTAACACGTTGCTTCACTCATACGAAGGCTCATTTCTATCACTAAAGCAACGAATTAGCGGGATTCGTAATAATTAATTTAATTTATTTTTATTTTTACTTACACCCATTCATCTAGTTTTCCTTGAACTGAACCAAAAGAACAAAATCTAATTAAATAAATATTTAAAAATAATTTAAAAATTAACTACTTTAAAGTTTGTAGCCCTCCTCTTTTACAAATAGCCCTAACACTTTGCCTGTGCATTAATTGATCAAATTGGTCAACAGTTAACCCCTCAATTCCCAATTCTTCCCTAATTTGGGCAATTTGTCTTTGTAAACATCTTTCGAAAGTACAAATTACTCTTTTAACATTTTCGAGAGCAGAACATTGTTCTCTAGTTTTTTGAAGTAAAGCAGCAAAATTGTGGTCTTTTGCAGTTATTGGGCCATCTACATTGTGAATTACATCGACTCTTAATGAGTATTTTTGTTTAAAAATTAATTTGGAATTGCTTTAAATTTTTGTTCAAATTTAATAAAAGTTTAGAATATTCCCCCCAAATTTTTTAAATTAAAAAATTTACTCTTGTTCATTAATAAGCAAATCTGAAGGTCCAATAATAATTAAACGAATTCCTTTGGGTTTTCTAATTCCATGAAGGGAAAGTCTGTGACGCCATAAAACAATAATAAATGCCGCAGAAAATGAATGAGAATTTGAAGTTGAAGAGGAGGAGGAGGAAGGGGATTTATTTTGGCCATTTAAATTTTGTGATGGAGCGGTCATTTTATATTTACAAATATTTAAATAAAAATAAAAATATTTAAAAAGAAGTAAAGATTTTAATATTGTTGAAGAATGAAAGGTTTATAAATTAAATTAGAAATGTTTAGGTATATTTAATTATAACCTTTTACTTGTTTATTATTTAATTTATCTAATAATTTTTATTTAAGAAATATATTAAAAAGAAAAGTACAACTTTAAAAGACTAACAATTTACTCGGAAATTTTTAAAAAATCTTTTTAAATTAAAAACATTTTTAGCCAAATTTTAAACAAAAAATAAAATAAATACAAAAAAAGACGGAAACAAAAAATAGATATATCGAAACTAGTTAAATAAAATAAAGCAATGGCGTGAGAAATTAGTGAACTATAAAACTAGTAAAAATGGATATATGTTTGAGGAGAGAGGATAGAATTATTAAGTCTTTTTTTATTAAAAAAAGATTTTTTTAAAAAGAATAAAAAAATATGTACAATTTTATATTAACAAAATTAAAAAATAAATTGTAAAAATTAATAATTAAATATTAAAAATATTCCTTAAAATTACTAATTAATTAGTAGATATTTTTTCTCTTAAATTATTTAAAAAATTATGGCAGCTGATATTTTAAAATAAATTTATTTCATTTAATTTATTACAGCAATCTTGTAAATACTCTCGCGCACAAATAAATTAAATATTGTCTAATAAATAAAGTAGCTTGCAATACATATGTTATTTAAATGGATGTGTGGAGGACTTAGAAGAGGAGGAAAATATTAAATAATAAAGATGATAAATTTAAAGAAAATTCTTTGAGCATTAAAAATCTTTAAATTATTTTAACAAAATAAAAGAAAATTCAAAAATTAATGTTAATAATTCTTATAAAAATTCCAAGGCTTCTTTTTAAATTTATAATACTTATGTACATTAATACTCTTTTTTAAAAAATAAATATAGTAATGTCAATTTATAATGTCAATATTCTTATTTTTTTCTAAATTTTTGTTCTATCTTCTTTCATTAGAAAATTCTCCATTTACATAATTAAGAGACAAATGTAGAAAATGACTGACTTGAGTCATTTTTTCCTTTTAATATTTTTTATTAAAAAAGTTTTCTTTTGACTTTTAAAGGGAAAATGAAATTAAATAAATTTAAAATAAAATGAGAGAATTAAATTAAAATATATATTTTATTTATTTTTTATTTTCACAGAAAATATTTAAATATAAAATATATAAATTTATTTAAAATTAATTATTATTATGTGCTTGTTCTCCTCGGCATTTCATCAAATTTTGTTGCAAAACGAGGTTTTAATGTTTGTTTTTCCCATCCATATTCTGTTGTTTTATAAATTGAAGAAATACACCAATTAGTGCCGGGAGTGTGTTTAACTTTAAATTTAATGAATTTAATTTATTTTTAAATTAAAAATAACCAGTAACAACATTTCCTTCATTATTTTTATTTAAAATTCCCCCTTGATTTGTTGTAATTGAAATACGCGAGGGAGAGGAAATTTTTTGTTGTTTAATTGGAATAAAAAAATTTATGAGGAAATAAATTTAAAACCTACCTTCTATTCCTCTTTATTTCAACAAATTTGTTAATTCTTTCATTTCTCTGAAAATCCAATTTATTAAATAATTCATTTTCAGCAAAATTATTTAATTTTGTTGAAATATTTGTAACAATACGTTCTCCTTTCTCAATTCTTTCTAACATATCACCACCCAAATATTCTAATTGTGTTATATTTATATGTTCAATAATAAGAAGATTACGATTCTTTAAATGAAAAAGAATATTTTTTTATTAATTATTTTTTATATATTTATCTACCAATTTTGAGCCAGATAAAGGTCTACGACGGCATCTACGCATCTGCATTTTGTGGTGAATTTGTTGAGTTTTATAATTATTAGAAAATAATATTCTCTTTTCCTCCTCATTTCCTCTATTTATTTTTTGAAAATTAGAATGTTCAGGCTCGGAATCCAAAGATGTTCTTTGAGGTTTTTTAGGGGGAGAATTTAAATGAACAATTGTTTTTAAATGGCCTTTCTCCTCAAATTGTTCCACAATTGACTAAAAAAATAAATATTTACTTATATCTTTACTTACTTTATTTTTAATATTAAATTCTGCTTTTTCTAATTTTGTTAAAGGCAAAATTAACACTTTCGAATTAGCCTGCCAACTATCTCCATTTAAATGAATATCGATATTTACCTTTAAATAATTTTAAAAATAATTAAATAAGTTAATTTCAATTCAACCTTTTCTTCTTCCTTATTTTCTTCAAAATTTTCTTCAACTTTTTTCTTTATTAATTTATTATTCCATTCAGAAACAATATCTAATGCTTCTGATTTTGTACTTTTTCTAGAAGAAATAATAGGTAATTGATCATTTAATGAATTAAATAAACTACTATCTTCTAAATAATAAGAATATAAATTATCTTTTATTTTTTTTAATATTTTACTTGATTCTTTAAATATATTATTATTGTCTAGATTATCATTTACTAAATATTCTTCATTAATTTCTTGTTCCTTCTTTTCCTCAATTAAAATATTTATTTGTTCAAGAGGTTTCCAATCAAGTACTTCATTTTTTGCTAAAAATTTAGGAAAAATTATTTTCAAAAAATGTCTCATTATTTTATGGCTAATTTAAAAAGAAAAAACTTTCTTATTTTTTTAAAAACAAACATTTAATATTCTCTCCCTCCTCTTCTTTCTGCTCTTTTTTAATAATAGGACAAAATTCTGCCCCTTCATTAATTAATGCCGCTATATCTGAGGGGTCCAAAATTATTTTTTTATTAATTTCTTCGTCCTCTTCTTTTTCATCTTCTTCCTCATCCCCAAAACGTTTATACCAATCTGTTGCACTTAATTTTCTTTTTTCATTAATTAAAGGTTTAAGCAATTCTTTATTCTCATTTTCTTCTTTTAAATTTTCTAAAGGTTTCCAACCAACAATTTCTTCTTCCACAGATTTAAACGGTAAATCTATTGTCATTATTGGTATATTATTGTTATTAATTAATTCTTTATTTAAATGTAAATTTATTGAAGAAATATTTTTTGAGGGTAAAATTGACTAAAAAATTTTGAAAGAAATTTAATTATTAGAAAATATACCTCAGATATTTCTTCTACTTTATTTAATTTATCAATTGGGACTAATAAAGGAAAGTCAATACTTAAAGTCCCCGGCTGTAATTCTACAAAAATTCCAGAATCGTCTAACATTTGATCATTCGGACCAATTAAACGCCTTCTACTATATTCGGGTGTTAATTCTTCAAAAGGAAGTTGAATTCCAACAGTCGAAGATTTTTCTTGTTTATTTGGGGGTGGGGGAGATAAAGAAGAAAAATCTGGGGGAGATTCAGCAGCAAGTCCAGAATCAGACCAATGCCTGTCGTGTTGAGGTATTGCATTGTTTGGATGTGATTCTGTTGAGGAAGAAGAAAAATCCTTTTTTTAAACAAATTAATTTTAATTCAAATTAAAATTAAAAATACTTTAATTTCAACGGCATCTCTAAATATTTGGTCAATAATTTCAATAATTCTTTTAGAATCACTACTATCATCCAAAATATTCTCTTCTTTTTCAAAAAAATTAATTTTAGGTCTATCAGGCACAGTAACACTCAAAGGAGAATATTCTAATGTTTTGTTTGGAGAAATTAAAAAAGTTTGTGGTGATTGCTTTAAAAAAATATTTAATTTTTTTTTTAATTTAAGAAAATTTAAAAATTAAATTACAATTATTTCTTCAAAATTTTCAACATCTTCTGTAAAAGCTTCTTCATAAAATTCTTCTTCTTCACAATATTTCCATTTACTACTAATTATTTTTTCTTCCTTCTCTTCTCTTTTACTACTTTTAATTAATTCTTCTATGAAACTTAAATCTGTTGAAGGAATTTGTTGGGAAATATTTAAATTTATTGAGTTTTCTTGAAAGTTTTGTTTTTCTTTTAATTTATCAACATCCACAATCTCAGTTTTTGTTAAATTATTTAATTGCTTAAAGAAAAAATAATAAAATAATCTTCTTAGAATATATCTTTAACAGGCTTGGTAATGGATACGGACATGGATACAGATAAGTTAAAATGCCTGCGGATATCCGTCTTTATCCGTCGTAAATATCCGGATCAGATACCAAAATTTATGTCCATTACCAAGTCTGATCTTTACAAACCTTTTCCCAATGTCTTTCTGGGAAAATTGAGAAAACTTTGCTAAGAACTTCGTCTTCTTCCTTTTCCTCTTCCCTTTCTTTATATCCTTCTTCGTTTTCATCTCCTTCACTTATATCCCAAATTCTTCTCCCAATTTCTTCTTCCTTCTCCTTCTCCCCTTCAATTTTCCCCCAAATTTCTTCTTTTAATTTTTCTTCTTCTTCAATTTCATTTTCAGGAAATAAATTAATACCTCCCCCATATTTACATCCCAATTCATTTATATCTACAATTTCTGTTTGATTATTTAAAGGCATTAATTTATTTTCAAGAATATTTTTTAATCGTTCAATAACTTTAAAATAAAAAAAATAAATTATTTATTTAAATTCCCCTTCAATTACCATTAGGTAAATATCTTAATCGAAACCATCCAGGCCTTTCCATTCCCAATTCTTCACCACAAATTAATTCAATTTTTCCAATTTGTTTAAATTCTTTATAAAGTTCTTTTTCAGAAACAAAAGAAATATTTCCATTAATTAACGGCAAAAACTTTTTTTTATTTAAAAAAAATTTTTTTTAAATTAATTAATTCAAAAATTAAATACTTTAAATAAGTCAATTAATATCCATTGGGTTATTGGCCTTTCTGTTTTTAATATTTGATTTGAATAAATATTTATATTTTTAAGTTCATTCAACATTTGTGAAGAAAGGGTTTCAAGTCTAAATTTTCTTTTTTCAAAAAGTTTTGATGTCCATTCTTTTTTTTAAAGAAAACTTTTATTTAAAAAATACAAAAATTTGTAAATACCAAAATCATCCAAAAGTTTAGAAGCAAAAAATTGTACTAAAGGGGAACATTGTTGGTAATGAGCAATTGAAGGATTTAAAAATATATCAGATTGGTGGGGGTAATAAATAACAGAAAATTCCAATCCGGGAAGTGAAAAATGCTTTTAAAAATTGTAATTTTGAATTTTTTAAAAATTACTTTAGATCCATTCCATATCCAAATAATATTTTTTCCAGATTGAAGAGAATTATGGTCTAAAGCCAAACAACTACTAAATTCCCATAAATCAAGAGATGCTAAACTTTCATCCAACAAAATAAACATTTCTTTTCTTTAATTTTTAATTAATTAATAGGTATTTTAAAATAAAAAATGTGACTGGGAGTGTTGTACGAGGATTGTAAGATATCTCGAGAAATCTTTATCTCAATAACCGAAATTATTGTTCGGGATCTCGGCCAGGTCTTAAAATATAAAATTAATTTACTCGCTAGTCCATTCCACCAATTTAGCAATTCTTCTATCTCCATCTTGGAGAGAACCGAGAATTGGATGTGGATTATGCAAAAGAAGAGCCCGTGCTCGTCTACCCTTTAAAATTAATTTTTTAATCTTGATTCAAAAAATTTTACTTTTTCCTCAATTTTTTGATATGTATTTATTAAATCATCCATTTCCAATTGTTTACCATTAGTTGTAAGGGGAATTGGCCAAAACTCTATTTGAGTTTGTGTTCTAATATTTTTTGACAGTTCTGGGTAGGCAAAAGGTGCTGGACAGAGAATTAAATCTAAAAATATATTTTTTAAATCTAAGAGAATTAAATATTTTAATTAAAGATTTATTTAATTATTCAAAAAATAGGTTAATTAGGTAATTAGGTCAAAAATACACCATTCACCTCCATTCAAACAAAAAGTATTTACGAACACCTCAAGAGCCGCCAATTCATTATTAACCAAAAAAAGTTCTTCCCAACGAAGAGAAACACCAAAGAGTCGACGTAGGTGGTGAGAGATTGATTCTCGAACGCTTAAAAAATTATTTTTGTTTTCTTCACAATTATCAAAAAAATATTCTTTAATTTTTACTCTAATTTAATTAAAAAATAATTTTAAAAAACTTACAGTTGACTGCCACCAGGTATAGAATAATTACCTAAAAAATGTTCTAGTCCAATCAAAAATGTTGGATCAGAGAACTTAAAAAATTAATTTTAATTAAAATTTTCCCCCTTTAAACACTTTATTTTTAAGCATTTCCAAATAAATATCAACATTATTCTCCTCATTTTTAAGGTTTAATAATTCCAAATTTCCACCATCATTACTAACAATTTCATTTGTTGTTGAATTAATCATTTTAAAAATAAAAAATATAAGGAAAATCAGAAGACGAGCACGGGACACTTTACCGCAATGCGGCAAAATTAAATAATTATTAATTAATTAAATTTTAACTATTTTAAATATTAAAAATATGTATAATTGAAATTTGAAAATTTAAAAGCAAGAACAAAAATAGAAATTTTGGTATTTTATGTTTTTTAAGGATATATTTTAATATTTTAATTTAATTGGAAATATTTAGATAATAAAAATTATTTTTTAAATTTAATTTTTTATCAATTTATTATTATCCAATATTTATAAAATATTTGTTAAAATTTTTGTAGATTTTTTAAAAATGTAATTTAAAATATTTTTACACCAAGAAAAGTTACAAAAATCAGAGAAATGTTGGTAAATCATCAGAAATATTGCTAAAAAATTAGATTTATTAAAAAGAGTTACTTATATTCTATTAAATAAAATTAATCGAGATAAAGATTTTTGTTTAGAAAACAGGTGTATTTATAAACTTTTGTATTAAAGTGTATATTTTAATTATTAAGAGACAAATAATTAAATTAAAATAAAAGTCATGGCCATTTAAGGGGTTTAATTAAAAAATATATATAAATATAAACAATCTCTACTAAATAATAAAACTTAGACAAACGGATCAATCAAAAATATTTTAAAGTGCGCAAGTTTATATTCTCTTTAAATTTTTTTGTTTAATTGATTGTTGGAAGGAAATGGAATGATTTTAAGTACTTATAATAAAAAAAGAAGAGGAGAAAAATAAATAAAAAAAAAGAAGATAATAAAAATTGTTATCAAGTTTTGTTTTAATAATTAAATACAAGCTCCTCAAAATATAAATATTCAACACTAGCTCTTAAAAGAACTTAAAAATAATTTTTAAAAGAAAATTACAGTAAATTCACAAATTAACACAAATATTTACTCAAAAAAACCTTAAAAATCATTCAAAAAATAATTCTAAAAAATATTATTTTGTTTATTAACAATTTTTATATTTTCTTTTTGGCCAAGTTTTAAAAACTTTTCATTTATTTGCGCGGAGGAACACTTCAAATTTTGATTGCAAAAAGGAAAATTGTTTAAGAGGAGGAAGTTGAGATGAAAGAAGAAGATTTTATTTTCCTAGAAAATAGTTGGAGAGAAAAAAACTTGGAATTTAAACAAAAATATTTTAGAATGAACGGAAGCAAAAAAAGCAAACAGATAAAAATTGATGGAGTTTAAAATAAAGTTTGGAAAAAATATGAAAAATGGGAAATAATAGTAAATAAGTATTTTAGAAGAAAAATTTAAATATATAATAACAAAACAAAATTTAATAATATTTAAATTATAAAAAAATCTATAATTTTAGAATATCTCAACAATAAAAAAACTTTTTGTAAAATTTCCCTATTTAAAATGAAGATTTAAACATTAATAATATTATTTAAAAAAATTTTTCCGAACAATTACATTTTAATAATTAAATAAATTAATAACAATTTTTATTTATTTAATTTTTTTCTTGTAAAGATTGGAGGGTTTGTTGTAATTAATTTTATGTCAAATACAATAAATGGGAATATATATTAATTAAAAAGAATAACTTTTTAATTTCCTTAGAAAATAACAAAAAAAGTTGTGAACAGTAAAATAATCAAATAAAAAAATACAAAAATTATTTTTGTCAAATAATTGAATGATATGCCTGTCTGTTTGTGTGCGCACAACGTTACACAGAGGTATTTACGTGTATTTTCTGGCAGTTTAACAAAAAATAGAAGAGAATATTTAAGTTGAGGATATTTATTTATTTATATATTAATTCTTCGCGCAGAATTCCCCGTTGTGAAAGATTAAAAATAAACAAAAATGAGAAAAGTTTATAAATAAATAATATCATCAATTTTACAAAAAATTTATCAAAACTTTTTAATCTAGGTAAGAATTATTTTTATAAAAAACATTAAATTTTTAATTTAATTTCCTTCTAAATGCTCTTTTTATTCGTAGCCTCTATTTGATGGGCAGAAACACTAGAATAAATACTTTGCATTAATCGACGAGCTAATTCCGGTGATTCTTGATGTAAATCACGAACTGCACTTTCAACAAAAATACCTTTAAAAATAAATATTAAATCTTTTTTACAATTTGGATGCCATTTAGGTGGAAGGAGCTAAACCTTCAAGTTAGTATACCCCTTTTCTCACTTTCGTATCCTCTTTTTTCAAGTCCCAAGGGAAGGAAATCCAAATAATAAATAAATCTAACCAAAATATTTAAATCTATCTTGTTGCTTATTTAAATTATTATTATTTTGTTCAATACAATTATCAGTATTATTTAAAATATTTTTTCTTTTTCTTTTATTTAAATATTTTTGTTCACTTTGTTGTTTAATATTATTATTAAATTCTTTATTTTCCACAATTGTTGTAGTTAAATTATATAAAATATTTGTTGTTGATAAATTATTTGAAGACCCCCCTTCCCCTCCTCCTTCTTCTTCCTCAGTATTTTTTAATTCTTCTTTTATTTTTAATAAATTATTATTATTTCCTTCATTGTCAATTGAATAGTCAAAAGTATAATCAGTAAATTCAATACTAAAAAATATTAACAGTTAATATAATTCTCCAAAATAATTTTTACCTATTATTATAGGCCAAACACCTTCTATGACGCCCTTTAAATTCCGGATCTACCCATTGTTGATTTGTCAATAAAAATTTAAGTTCGTCAAAATGTGCCCAACAAGGTTTAACTTTATTTGGTTGTTCTCCACTTTGTGCTCTTTTTAAACTAACTTCATATCTTTTATAAAAAATATCTTTTAAATTTCTCCATTGCTGCTTAACTTCATCAACTATTTTTTTAATTAAAAAATAATTTTTTAAAAATTATTTTCCATTCCTTACATGTAAAGCCATCACCCTCAAATTGATGATGAACTATTTCTAAAGCTTCACGCATAAGTTGCTGATGGTTACGATTGTTTTGAGAAGTTCTGGAAAAATTAAAATAAATTAAATAAAAAATATATTTTTACCTCCACAATATTTCATGGTTCTTAACGGCCGCAATAAGTCTTGAACGTTGTTCTCTAGACCAAGGCATGTCTCTAATTTTTGGTTACTTAAAAAATAAATATATAGTATTTATGTCAAAAAACTTTAAATCTTTAAAAATTTTTTTAAATTAATAAAATAATAATTTTATTTTCATAAAGCTTTCGTTGGAAACGACTAAATAATGTTAGATACTAGTAAGTAAAATAGTATATCGATTGCTGCGTTAAATGCGACCAAGCAGCAAATATATTATGGTCGTATAGAGAGAATTTGTGAAAAAAGAGCCGTGGTGGAACGCAAATAATATATAAAATTGTAGTTGGCGAGGAAGGGACGCAGTAAAAGCAGAAAAAAAAGAGAGAGAGACGCCGTAAAATTCAAGAGTACAAATAGTTTGTACATATGTATGTACATCAAGAAACATGCCGACATAAAAAATCGGGATTTCGAGTTTTCTCAAAAATTTCTGAAATTTCGTTAGTCGATGTTGGACATCGGGGTTAAGACTTTAAACACAGTCAAGGAAAAAAAGAGACTCAAGCATTTGTAAAATAAAAATTTAAAATCTCCTAAACAATTAAAGATAGTTAATGACAAAATCAAGAATAGACAAAACGTCCAAAACTCGGCTTTGAATATTGAATCAAGACTTCCGGGGATTTTTTTTAGTTTTGAGTTGAAGTATTGGAAAATTAGTTTAGAAAGAAGCAAGAAACAAAAGAATGGAGATTTATCTCTTTCACCACTAACCGATAAACTGAACTAAAACTTTCAATTAAACGAACTGATAGGCGGAAATTTTTGGAATTTTGGAAGGTCAAGAAGCTGAATATTTAATTACTTCTCAATTGATGAAATAAAACAAAGTTTTAAATCTTTAAGGATTTTAGGAATTAAACAATCTTTGGAAATAAATAATAAAGACTTACACAAACTCTTGTGTTGTACTTCTTTATCTACATATTATTGTCAATTTAAATTATAAAAATATATTTACCTATTAACATCTAGCGCCATGTTGGTTTTTAAAATATATTTCTGCCAATAACTTCCAATATTTACAAAACTAATAAATATTAGCTAATAAAATTTTAACTAAATTAGAAAATTATAGAAATTAATTAGTTAATTAATTTACAATCTTTGGAAATTTATATGTATTAGTTTATATGTATTAGTTAATTAATTTAAAATTTATTTATAAATTTTAATAAAACTTTTATAATTTTTATTTAAAAAGTTCATTTTTTGTTTGAAATTACATATGTATGATTAAATAACTATAAAGTTTATATCTTATAAAATATTTAAATGTTATACATATATGTTTTTTTTAATTTTAGCAAAATATTTTTCAGCAAATTAAGTATTTATTGGTGGTTAACATTTAAAAATATTAATGTTTAATTTTTAAAGTTCACAATTTATATGTATTTCTAAATAAAATTCTAAAATATGTGTTAAATTAAATGTCAAAAATTACTATAAAACGAGTAGAAAATTTAAATCAAATTATATATTTACATCGAAAAAAAATTCCCTTTAATAATAAATTAAAAATGAAATTTAGTTTATTCTCTATATTTTTGATTTTCTTTATAGTGGTGCTTAGTGAAGGAAAGAAGCCACCCCCAGTAATTAATTTAAATTATTTTTAATTTAAATAAAAATTAGAGGCAGATTAGTTTCAGTCCAATGTTTATTAAAAATTTAAATATTTCTTAATAATTATTTAAAAATTTAAAGCTATCCATCCAATAAAAATTTTTTATAATATTTATTCAGGTAACAACATCAAAACCAACAAATCCGCCAAGTACTTCAGCACCCTCAACAACTAAGAAATATAAGCCTTCGGCACGTGATGATGATGATTGGGGTCTCCGTAGAAAGCGAAATGCGCAACCGCCATACAATCCAGCACCTCCACCAACTTACGCACCACCTCCCCCTCCACCTCCTCCACCAGTATACGCTCCTCCAACTTATGCTCCACCACCACCACCATCACCACCTCCATATGTCCCACCAAAACAATATGGACCACCACCACCACCCCCTCCACCTCCTGTCTACGCACCTCCAACTTATGCTCCTCCACCACCACCACCAGTCTACGCTCCTCCAACTTATGCTCCTCCACCACCAACCTATGCTCCCCCACCTCCTCCACCACCACCAGTCTATGCCCCTCCAACTTACGCTCCTCCACCGCCACCAACACCACCAAAACCTTACTACCCACAATACCTTTAATGGTGAGAAGAAGGTGAAACAAAAAAAAGAAGATAAATAAAAGAATGTTAAATAATAATCCAAAACGAAAATAAAATATTATCAAAATTTAATTTTAAATAAATGAATAATAAACATTATTTTGGATATTTGCTTAAACTATTAGGAGATGCCCTTTATCCCAAACATCACTCCCGATATTCATTCTGACACTACTGAAGGCATCTAAAAGTAGATCTTGCAGCACTACAGGCGAAGATATTTTGAATTATCAACACCGAAAAGAAATGTTTTTATTTTTTGTGTTAAATTTTGGTTTAAAATTGTCTCGTTTCGGCAATAAATCAACGATGTCTCGTAACGGAACTAAAAAACAAAAATCTTACAAAACATCAAAACTAAACGTTTCGTGCATGTTTGTAGGGTGTAAAAAGAAGCAAGAGAGAAGAACATAATTTCAAAAAATAAAAATAAATTTTATTTTTCTACATTCATTTAAAATATTCAAATTAATATTAAAATTAAATTAAAATAATTAATTATTTAAAATTCAAAAAAACTAAAAAATCTTCCATAAACTTTTTTTAAAGATAAATCAATTAAAATAATTTTTGGAAAATTATATTAAATAAATTTAAAGTTTGTACAATTGATCTTAAGGAAAAAAAATTTTTTTCCATAAAAGGAAATTATATAATTTTTAAAAAGCTTCTCACAAATGCGTCAATAATTTAGACAGAAATTTAAAATAAATTAATTAAAAGATATAATTTTTAATTCCTTATTTAAATTTTATTTTAAATAATTTTTATTTGCAAAGCTTTTTTCTTTGGGATATTCATGTTGGCAATTTTTTTGAATTTAAATAAAAATTTAAAATTAAATTAATATATAAATACACAAGAATTATTTAAAATTAACCAAAAATAAAATTAAATAATTTAAATGGCTTCTCAAAAAATTAATTTTATAATTATTGCTTTATTTAGCATTTTTGCTATAATTGCCTCAGAAAATAAAGAGGTTTCTATTAGAAAATTTTTTAAATTTTTATTAAATAAAAGAAAAATTAAAATAAAAATTCCACAAATTTATTAAATAAAAATTAATTTAAATAAAAATAATTTTTTAAAGAATTGTCAAAAATGCGCAAAAAATGTTTGTGGCTTTCCCTGTAAAACAAGCAAAAGTGCCTGTGACAATTGTAAGACATTAGATTTGCCTAAAAGGTGTGGATGTTGCTTCCCAGCTGTTAATGAGGTAATTTAATTTATTAAATTAATTCTTAATTAATTATTGACTAATTATTAAAGAATTTTTGGGTTTTAATTAAATGTTTTTAAGGTGTTAGTTGTTTTTGGGTGAGAGTTCGGGTATATTCTAGGTCTTAAATTTCTGGGCATTTTTTCTTAAATTAATTTTTTAATTCGTAATTTAATCAAATTATCTCTGTTCCTTTTCCAATAAATATATTTTAAAATATTTTTATTTAAAGACTTGTGAACAATGCAAACACAGAATCTGTGATTATCCGTGTAGTGTAAGTGATTCTGCCTGTAAAAATTGTTACAGAATTGATGTTCCTAAATTATGCACAACTTGCCCAGCAGTTAAAGAAGTAATTAAATTTTAAATATATTTTTAAAATTTTATTGAAGTTATTTAAATATTAAATATATTAAAATAAAAATTAAATATAAATTAAAGTTTATTTAATTTTAAATATTTAAAGTCTTGTGAAGAATGTAAAAATCGTATTTGTGATTATCCATGCAAATCAAGTAAATCAGCTTGTAATAATTGCCAGAAAATTGATGTTCCTAAACAATGCGAATCTTGCCCATCTTACAACAGTGTAAATATATTTAAATATTAAATAAAATTAATAAATTAAAAAATAAAATTATTTTAGACTTGTTCTGACTGCAAAAAACGAGTATGTGGGCATCCATGTTCAATTAATAATGATCAAGCTTGTAATAATTGTATCGAAATTGATCTTCCCAAACTATGCGGAAATTGTTTCCCTGTTGGGTTTGAGGTAAAAATAATTAATTATTCTAACTATTTTTTCATCTAAATATTTTTATAGACATTCTTATATTGCATGACTCGTGTCTGTACACCTCCATGTCTGGCAAGCGATGATGCTTGTGATAATTGTATCCGAATTGACCTTCCAAAGCTTTGTAAATTTAGCCCGTAAGTTAATTAATTAATTAAAAAATGTGTAATTTAAAAAAAAACTTTAGTCTTGAAATATGAGGGATACAAGATTTTGGGATGAAAGAAGATGATGGATAATTGGAAAAAATAAAATTAAAAGAAAAGAAGAAAATAAATATTTAAATAAATATATTAAAATACAAAATTATATTTTTAAATAACTTTCTGGATAAATATAAAGCAAGATTTATTTAAATTGCAAATTATTTAAGATTTTGTAGAGAAAAATATTGGGGATTAATTAATATATAATTAGATATCAAATAATACATTGAATAATTATCATCCTTTCATCTACTATTTTCTCTGTAAATACCTATATCGAAAAAAATTTTATTTTGAAAAATAAATAAAAATATTTAAATTTAACGATGTTTTTGTTTTGTTAGGTTTTAGCCACGTACAAACTTTGTTCTAAAAAATAATTTTATTTTATGTAGTTTGTTGTTGATTTGTATTTTTAGGGTAAATAAAAAAATTAAATTTTTATTAAAATAATATTTTACGAAAATTTATAGTTGATTAATTAATTTAAATTTTTTTAAATTTCTCTAATCCAATTAATTAATAACATCCCTTTTATTTTTAATTAAAAATTATTTAAATAATATAAATTATTTAATTTTTATATAAAGTTCGTTCTAAAAAAATTTTGTGTCATGAGCTATTAGTATTTTCTTAACCAAAACATATAAAAATATTTTAATATAATAAAAAATCTAAAATAAAATAAAAAAATATTTTTATTTGTTAAGAAAGTTCGTTTTTAAGGTTTGTTTTGATTAAAAACCAATTTTTATTTAAATTATTCTTTAAACTTTTGCCTTTAAATACCCGGGTAAAATTATGTTTAAACAACACAAAATAAATTTAAAAATACTAATCTTCTTCTAAGAAAAAAAAAATAAAAATATGGCTTTACAAAAATTAATTTTTGTATTAATTGCTTCTTTAATTTTAATTAATTTGTCTGCTGATGCTCAAAATACTTTTAATTTAACGGTTTTAAATTTAAATTTTAAATAAATATTAAATATAAATTTAGATTTATGATTGTAAATGCGCACAAAATCTGTGCACAAAACCGTGCCAATCCGGCAAGCAAGCCTGTGAGAATTGTAAGACCATTGATGTTCCTAATCAGTGTACTAAGCAGTGTAAAATTAAGTAAGTTTATTTAATTAAATTAATTAATAATAATTATTTAATTAATATTTTTAAGTTGAGATAAATACTAGAAGAAAGAAGAAATGAGTATGAATTAATTAAAATAATTATTTTGATAAATGACAATAAATAAATAGGGCATTATTATTTAAAAAAACACAAAAAAAATTAATTATTGTCATCTTTTTTTAAAAATAAATAAATTAATTAAAATCTAAAGTATTTTTTATAATAAATTTAGTTAATTATTAAGATTCTTTTTAATAATAAAAAAACAAAAATTTTTTATTTGATTATCGGTATAGGTAATCTTTTTAGGGTTTTACACAAAAAATGTAAAAAAATTAAAAGTATAATTTAATAATATATTTTTATAAAATTATTTTTTTTTAACTTCTAAATAATTTTTATTTAAGAACATAATTAAATATATTTATTGTTTTTAAAAAAATCTAAGAAAAATTGTTTTTATTTACAATTTATATTTTTCTCCTTTAAATTCTCTTCTCAATTTTTTTATTTCTTTTTTAAATTCATTTTTATTTTTTCCGTCCAAATCCTCTAGCAGATTGGCTTGCTAACCGGGCAAGTAATGCAGCCCTTCTTAACCCCAATTCTGTCGGAGTATCGTTCCAATCATTCCACGCAGAAATTCTCGGTAATTGTTGGTTATTTGTAAATATATATTGCTAAATAATATTTAAATTTAAGAGAATCTACTCAGAAATACTACCTCAGATTTGTCATTTAAAGATGAAAGTCTTAATCCTCTAATTCTTTGATTTCCATTTCTTTGTTGTAAACAATTCGAATTTTGTACAAAAATAATAAATATTGTTAAAGAAATAAAAATTAAACGGAAAAAAGATAGTCCAAAAACTGTTGATTTTGTTGAAATTATGGAAGAGGAAGAAGAATAAATATTGGATAAATGGCTAGTAGAGTGTTGCATTTTAGTTAAATATTTATTTTAATTTTTAGATTCTCTTAAATATTTAAAATAATTTAAAGAAAAGGTTGAATGGAATAAATTGACTTAAATATTTATAATAAAAATTTGTTCAGCATTCCCCAATGGCATCATTTCCTTCAATTTTTGTATTTTATATGGTTAAAAGATTATTTAAAGCACTAATTAAAAGTTACTTTTTTGGAGATTCAATAATTAAAAAAATATTTTAATGTCTTTTTGTTAAACAAAAGACAAACGGATATCCATAATTTTATATTTATTGCCAACAAAAATGTATTTAAATAATTTTTTATTTTTAATTACCCAAGAGATTTTAAATTATTAAAATTAACATTTAAATATTTTAAAAATTTTAGCAAAAAATTATTAAAATAATATTGCCGAATGCAATTAGGTAATATTAATTTACTATTTGGATTTTATGGTGAAATCAAAAATTACTTTTAAATTTTTAACTTTGCTATATCCGTATAAACAGCGGATATACCCAAGAAATGTAAAAAATGTATCAGGGTATGGAAATTAAAATTTGTAGCTGTAAACATGCCTGTTTCTAACACTTATACAAAAAATTTAAATAAAAATTATTTCAACTAAATAAAATTATAAATACATAAGTCTTCAAATGCTAAAGGCAAAATTTATGTCCTTATTAAAATAATTAACATATCTTTAATTAAATAAATAAATAAAAATTAATTTAATTTACATTTTGCCTATAGCACAAACAAATTGCTAGTCTTATATTCAATTTTAGAATGACAAAAAATTATAAGAAAAAGAAAACCATCAGAAAAGCGTTTGATGCTAAATATTTTGTTTAATGTCATACTTTGGAGAAAATGGGGTAAAGAATTAATAGGTGGCAAAAATTAAATAAAAACAATAAAAGATGGAAAAAAACAAAAATTAATTTTGTTTTTTATTTGCTAAAAATAGAAAAATTATTTTGTTTTTACAATTTTTACTTTTGAAAATATATTGCTATGTACAAAAAATATGTAGTTAAAAATCAAACCACAAAATTTAAGCATTAATTATTTTAGGTTTTATTAAAAGAAACCGTTTTAAGCGAAATACGAATCTTATGGAAGAGGAAAAAATTCATTTCATACATTCCAAAATCACAATTCATTCTAGACATAATTTATTTAAATTTACAAATAAATAACGTCAAGCAAATAGCTTTAATTAGAAACTTATAACCGGAATAAAGAAATACAAAAATTAAAAATAAACTAAAGAAATATTAGTTTACGTATATTTCTTAAAATGACTAGAAATAACAAAAAAATTTCTTTTTATTAAATTAAAATAGAAAAATTACTCATAATTATTGGAATTTAATTATTTTAATTTTTATTTTTATATTTTTTATATATTTATTTTTAAGAATATATAACAAACAATACATGTTTTTTTATTTTTTAAAAGGAAATTAAATAAAAAAGATTTTTTTATTAAAAAATATTTTTTGATAATTAAGTAGTAGCTCTAAAATAAATAAATATATAAAAAGTATTTAAATAAGGAAATTCAAAGAAATATGTTTAAGCCAACATCTTTTAGTATTTTTAAAATTCATCATTTGAAAAACTAAAAATTTGTTTATAGTACTTAAATTAATTAAGGTAATAATTATTTTATTTATTCCTATATAATTTGATTTTTTGTAGTTTTTTGAATAAAAAAACTTTAAAGAAATTATTAGATATAAACAATATATTAGCCAAATTATATATAAACATTTACTTTTATTTTGTCTGTTTTTATTAGAAAACAAATTACGTAAGCGGAAGTTTAAGAAAAGAAAAGAAAAAAATATTTTTAAAAATCAGAATTTAATTAATTTTTGCAATTTAATATATATTTTGCCGCCAATTGTTTATTTTATGCAAATAAATTGGAGAAAAAAATAAAAGTACATTATTTACAAGAATTTATTTTAAAAGAAATTTAAAACAAATTAGTAGAAAAAATATTTTTAAATTATTAAATTTTAAATAAATATTTAATAATTAAGGAGGAAATTATTAAAAATATTAAAAAATTTAATAAAAATATTTATTTAATCATTTGAATGTACACTTTTAAAAGGTTTTATAAAATATTAAAAAAAATACATCATCATCACTTTAAGTATTCTGGATCGGAATATAAACGAAGACAAAATTTAACTAAAAATTATATTAACACCTTTCCACAAGGATAGAATTATGAAAAAATAACGTATTTATTACAATAGAATGGCTGCCATTCTATTTTTCAATACCCCCAAAAAGGGTCATTCTAATCGAGAGGCCATTCTATTAGAATAAATACGGTAATTTCCATAGAAAAAGTTTGAGTATCTACTAAAATATATGTGGGGTATTTAATTTCTTGACACAAATAAAAATAATTTTTTAAATAATAAAAAATATATTTTTGTTTCAAATAAAATTTTAATTTAAATACAAACAACAAAATTTAACATTTATTGTTTAGATAAAATAATTAATTAAAAACAAAAATAAAAGAAATATTAAAAAAAGCTAAATTTAAACAAAAGATTCTTAAAAACAAAAATCCAAAAATATATTTAAAAAATATTTTTAAAAAATATTTAAAAAATTTAGACTAAAAATATTTTTATTTTCAATTTTTAAAAAATAAATTGCAATTTAATTTTAACGTAAAATTATTTTAAATTTTTATTTCCATTTTTAGATTAAAAAAATAAAATTTTACAAAATTAAAACAAAAAAAATATTTAAATTTTTTAAAATTAATTTTTGTAAAAAACAATTAACTAAATAATTATACATTTCTAAATTTAAATAAAATAAAAAATAAATATTTTTTTTTAATTTAAATAATTTAATTTTTATTTTAAAAATTTATTTGAGAAAAAAATAAGGAAATAAATTTACATATTTAATTTATTTTAAATAATTTAAACAAAATTTACCGTATTTCCTATATTAGAGCCCCACCCTCTGTTAGAGCCCCACCCTCTAATACAGCCCCACTTTGGAGGATAGTTGAAAAATAGAGCCCCACCCTCAATTAGAGCCCCACCCCAAATACAGCCCCACCTAAAAAATATTGGAGGAAAAAATATCCCAATAACTTTTAAGATGTATTAAGAGAGTTAAGAAATTAAAGGGGGATATCTATGATGTCGTGATCATGTAAGAGGAGGGATCATAGGGATATAGGGATGAACGTCAAAATACTCTAATATCGTCGCTTATATTCCCCCAAAACCCTCCTATTATCTCCAAAATCTAATCCACTTGACGAAAATTCGCGAGATTATTAGAGATCTATTAGGGATCTCGCTTATAATCAGTGATGGAGAATTTCCAACATTTATCTGGAACCGGTCTCTGGAACCGGTTCCAGTTCTGGAACTGCTTTTTTAATTTCTTCAGTTCCAGTTATGGAACATGTTCCAAAGCTTCCTCAAACAAAATCACTTCATATGCCTTCTAATACCCCTAGTCCAGAATATCCCTCTTAATCCCGCTAAATCTCTCAATATAAACTTAAACCTCTGATATACCCCATAATCCCTTAAAATCCGCTTTTATACCTCTGATCCATCGATGTCAAATACTAGTCCCCTAATATTTCATTTAATCCGTCCAAATCTATCGATAGTTAATAATTAATCTTAGCCTCATTGAACTATTGGGACTATTTTGTTATTCATTGCTTAAAAAGCTTATTTTTCTTGAAAAATCGAAAAATATCGATTCTCTTTCGATATTTTGCAGGTTTATCGACCAAACATTCGGCTTATCTCTAGTTGCAATGGATAGTTAATAAATGGGATTTTGTCTCAAAAGAGGGTTGTAAAATAGAGCCCCACCCTCAATTAGAGCCCCACCCTCTAATACAGCCCCACCTTGGCGGATAGTTGAAAAATAAAGCCCCATGGGGCTCTAATATAGGAAATACGGTATTTTAAATTTTTTATGTTACTAAAATTAATAAATTAGCTAGACTGTGGCTAAAGATAACTTTACATCTGCTTAATTACCTAATTTGTATGATTCGAAAATAAATTTTGAAATTTTTTTATGATTTTATATATTTTTTAATAAATAATTAATTATTTTTATTAATTAATTTAAAATTCTAGAATACACAGCACATACCGTATTTACTCTAATAATTCCCCAGTCTCTATTAATTCCCCAGTCTCTATTAATTCCCCACCCTATGGATGGGTTGAAACAATAATCCCCCAGCCTCTATTAATCCCCCAGCCTCTATTAATTCCCCAGTCTCTATTAATTCCCCACCCTAGTGATGGGTTGGAACCAGAGACGGGCGAAAATAGAATTTTCGCCTCAACGAAACGAAAACGGAAAAAATAAATTCATAAATGTACGAAACGAAAACGAAACGAAAAAATAAATTTCATTTTTACGAAACGAAACGAAACGAAAAAATTAAAATTATAGAAATGCCTAATTTATCGCCTAATTCACCTCAATTCCTAATTTATTTCCAATAATAACAATTTTATTGAGGTGTAAGTCGTGGTGAGCAGGGTCACTCGGAAGTGACGAATGTGTCTGAACTCGGAACTGTCTGAAATCGGATTAAGAACCCTACTTTCAGGGATTAATGAGGGATGAAGGGATTTGAGGGATACATAGAATTTAGGGATATTGGGATTTCGTGGAATTAAGAGGACACATTTAGAGGCCAACAGGATTGATTTGATCAGATCATCATACAAAAAGTTACAGACAGATAAAGATCAAAATCACGATTGAGCGCATTTATCGAGATATAACTTTTTATAACATGATCTAATCAAATCAATCCTGTTGGCGAAAATAATCCTCACATCCAGGGCTTTCGATTGATATAATAATAATTTAAGTTGGTTAAAAATCAAAAAAGTTATGGCCCAAAATATGGCCAGGTACACAAACGGCCGGTACACAAGTGGGACGTTCCGGGGAAAAAGACGTTCAGAACGCCAAAATCTAATGGCGTATATTCAATCTTCAAAACAATTCCCCACTCTGGTGATGGGTTGAAACACTAATCCCCCAGCCTCTATTAATTCCCCAGCCTCTATTAATTCCCCACCCTAGCAATGGGTCGAAACAATAATCCCCCTGGGGGATTACTAGAGTAAATACGGTATTGACACTCTGTATTTGTTGAATAACAAAATAAAAATATTCTCGATATGAAACAAGCATATGTTCTAAATTAAAATTTTAAAATTTTATTCGTATTTGTTCAAAATCATCGGTAAAGATGTCTCGACTACGGGAAAAACAGTTGGTTCTACCCAGCTCTGCGTGTTACAACCAATGGCCAATATACAGAATTTACTCCAAATATTTTAGATTATTTTAATATGTAATTAATAAAAAATAAGGATTTTAAAAAATTAGATTAAAAAAATTTGATTTGTGATTTTAAATCATTATTTTTGCATATACCTAATTTTAATTAAAAATTTTATTTAAATTTAACTTTTGATTTAAATTTTGTGAAGGCGGAAATAAATATAATTTTTATGAAAAATAATTATATTTACATATAACAGAAATAAAACATAAAACTTTGTTTGAACCCTTTTTTTAAATTGTTTCTTTTAAATTTTTTAATGATAAATCAGATAATAATAGCTTACAAAAAATAGAATGAATAATTGTGATATTTTTGTTTTATTTTAATTTTTGAATCACCATTTTATTGTTAAAAATAACAAATAAAAAGCTTTTTAATTCTTTCAAATAAATTATTTTAAAAATAAAAATAATTTTAAATTGATGATATATTTATTTTAAAAATTGAAAAAGAATTTTTTTGAAAGATTACTTTATCTTCTTGCATTTTTAATATTTAATATTTATTAAATTTTTAATTAAAATATTTATTCCTGTCAAAGTCTTGCAAGAAATATAAATTTTTAAAACTGTGTCGAAACTTTTATTTTTTATAATATTTTAATAATTAGGAAATTCCGGGTTAGGATACGGTTGAAGAAAATTAATTTATTTTTAAATTTAAAGAAAGTAAAAATATGATTAATTCAAAATTCACATTATTTTTATTTTCAACATTTATTTCTATTTTATCTACAACAACAGCTAATGAGGATATATTTGATGATTACAAAACATTTGTTGATCAATTAATTGGAAGTGAAAGGTTTTTTTAAATAATTTTTATATCTAAATAATATTTATTAAAATTAAAAGAAGGAAACGAGAAAATAATAAATCTACAGGAGATTCTAGCTCTGAAGAAGAAAATGACAAAAATAATAAAGAAATTTTGTTTAAAATAAATGCAAAAATAATATTTTATAAGTAATTTTATTAATTAATATTTAAATTTAAAATTTAAAGAAATCAAACAAAAGTTATTCAAATAAAGGAAGGACCAAGTATTTATGTTTATCCAAATAAAGAAATATTATTAGATTATCATAATGGAACAATTATTAAAATGAATAAAAATGAATCTAATTTAGAAGAAAATAATTTAAAAAACAGGAAACGACGATTTTCTTCAATAAATGGATTGTATTTAAATAAATATTTAATTTTAATTTTAATTTAATAAAAAATAGATATATGGCTCATGGATTGTCATTTAATGAGAAAGATTCGGAACATTTTGGAGAAGATGATTTTAATGTAAAAAATATTTTTAAATTTATTTTTATTTTATAAGGTTAATTTTGGATCAGAAAATAATTTAAATAAAGAGGAGAAAGAAATTGGAACTAATCAAAATATGGAGGGAAATTTAGAATTAAAATTAGATAATAATTTTGAAGAAATTTTGAATGAAGATAATAAAGACGGGAATGAATTTAAAACGAGATTTGGAGGAAATCCTTATTTGGTTAAACCTCTCTATGATAGAGAAGGGAAAATGGAGGAACAAAATAAAAAAATATTTGATGTAATTTTTATTTTAATAAACAAAATAATTATTTTTATTTAGTTGCCAGATAAATCATCTAGGAAGGACAAAATAAATTATTTAATGATCCCCAATAAAGAAATACAACCCCCATCTCCTTCACCAAATTTTTGGCTTCAACAACGTTTAAATTCTGAAGAGCCACTTAATGAGGAAGAAGAAGAATTAATGAGTATTTTATTAAATAAATTTGGCAGAAATAATAAAAATAATTTAAATTATTTAAAAAATGAGGAGGAGGAGGGAAAGGAGGAATTAATTTTAACAACAACAAAAACTTTAAAAACAAATGTAAAAATTATTTAAAAATTAATTTTTATTTTATTTTAGGATATCAATTTATTTCCACAAAAAACCTTATCTTCTTCGAATAATATTTATAACACAAAAAATATTAAATACAAAATAATTTCATCGCCTACACAAACACAAAAACAACAACCACCTATTGGAAGTGTCCCCTTACCCACAAAATAATACAAAAATTATTTTTTTAGTTCTTTTTTATTTAAAAAATAAAGAAAAAATAATTATTTTTTGCACTTGCGTGAGAAAATTTATTTTTTAATTTTACTATGATTATTAAAATAATAAAAGAATTTATTTTTTAAATTAATTTTTGACAAATATAATTTACACTAAAATTTATATAATATTTCTAAATTTGTTTAATATTAAAAAAATATTTTTATTTTAATTGACAATATTATACATAATAGTCTACAGGGTGCGGCAAATTAACGGATAGTCTACATATAATTTAATTTATTAGTATTTTTTAATTTTAAAAATTAAAATATATTAAAATATAAATTCTATACTACTTTTATTTTATTTTTTATTTAAAGTTTTTATTTAGTGATTATTTGACGTATCTAAAATATTTTTGAAATTAACTAATTACTTTGTTATGCTTTGATGAATATATACTTTTTTAATATTAAAAATAAGTATTATTTATTTTTAAAATATTTACCTATTTTTTTCTTTTACAATAAATAAATTCTTTTAAATTATAAAATTTGAATTCGATTCTTTTAAGTCAAAAATTATTTTTTATTAAAATAACCCCTCAATTTTTCAAAACAATTATTTTATTTGAAAAACACTTAGTACACAGGTATATCTTTTTAGTACAAAATCGTGGGAGTAAAATAGAAAAAAATATTATTATTAATATTTTATTGTTATATCAATTATTCTTCAATTTTAACCTTAAAAATAATTACAGCTTGAAGAAAATTTTCAGTGTTTAACATAAAAGTTAATAAATTTAGAATAACGATTTTCATAAAATAAATGAAACTTTAAATAATTTGAAAGAATGGACTTTGATTTTTAGAAAAAATGTTTGGAAATAAAATTTTAAAAGAAATACATATTTTGAAAGTTATTCTTCAATATCAATTATTCTTCAATTTTTTAAAATAAAATTAGGTATATGAATTCTAAACTACAGTTTTTTAATTTAAAGGAGAATATATATTCTCTTTAAAAATATGCACCTGCACAAATCTTTAGTCGAATAAATAAAGAAAATTGCTAAAGCCAAAAAAGCCAAATATTTTATTACAATTGTTAATACCTAAATTCTAATATATTTAATCAATTAGGGAAAAAAATTAAAGTATTTTTAAATTTAAATCAATTTTACCTAACTTTTTTTAATAAAATTATATAAGTTTTAGTAAATTATTTTTATTTTAAATATCCTTGTTTTGTTTTTTTAATTTTTATTTTTAAAAGTGTTTTAAAGTAAGAATTATTTAAAGTTTTTATATATTAATTAATTATCTCATAATAATACAAAAATTATTTTATATTCATTAAATAATTTTTTTTAATTTTTAGTAAGTAAAATTTATTTAAAGTTAAAATAAATAAATAAATTAATTAATTAATTATGTATCGAGCATCTATTATTCACCAACAATTTTCTACTCCTTCATTAACATCTTCACAATCTTCAAAAATAATTAAAAATAATTCTTCTTCAATTTCATTATCAGAAATATCCAACAACAACACCCCTAATTATTCTTCCCCCTCTCCATCCTCTTTAAGTACATCTTCCCCTTCTTTTGAGATAAGTATTGGAAAAAGGCAACAATTTATTTTTTTATGTAAAATACAAGATTTTTGTAATAAGGGGTTTGTTGGAATTTAAAAATAAAAAGAAAAATTTTAAAAAAATTAAAGAATGATAGAAGTTGATATTGATGGTTATGATAATTCAACAAAACTTCTTTTAATTTATAAAGAATCTTTTGCTGGGAGTGAATTCTTTGCTTTACAATCTAAATGTCCAAATTGTAAAACACCATTAATTAATGGTATTTAATTTAAAAAATATTTTTTTGAATTTATTATAAAAAAATCTTCAGTAGTAGTAATTTACAAAAAATTATTCTTTAAAATATATTTTCGTAATTAAAAAGGTGTTTTGTGTAAATCACATATTCGTTGTTCTATTCATGGTTCTGCTTACAATATTAGAACTGGTGTTCTGGAAGATGGTGTTGGATTGGACTCTATTTGGACGTTTAAAGTCCTTGTCTATCTAAAATAAAAAAATAAAAATTTAAAATTTTTAAGATTCACGTTATCGGTTCTGCTCTATTTACAGAATCTATTTCTTTAGAAAAATTAACGTCAACACGAACAGTTTCCCCTTTAAATTATTGCCGAATTTCTTCACAAACAGCATCTAACCCAATTATTGTTGTTGGAGGTGGAATAGCTGGAATTACTTGTATTGAAACACTTAGACATTTGGGATATTCTGGACATATTTTAATGATTTCAAGAGAAAATGATTTACCTTATGATCGAAAATCACTTTCAAAAGTAAAAAAAGAAAAATGTTTAAAAAATTAACATTAAATATTTAGAGATTATTTAATGATGATAATTCACCTTCTTTTACCCTTCGTTCACGTGATTTTCTAGAGAAACGTTTGGGTGTCCATTTATTGCTTGGCCATAGTGTTCGAAATGTTAGACCAGAAGAAAAACGTATTTTTGTGGAATATAAACAAAAGAATGGCGGTGGAGGGGAACCAACACTAGTTAGGGCTTTGGAATATGAGAGTGAGGTTTACACGTATTGGGCCACCCAGTAAATTAAATGAGGCGAGGTATCGACACCGTGAGGGCTACTCTATCTTCAAATACAACGTTGTATGTGCTCCGTTAGAAGCAAAGCTTAGGCCCTAATTGTTGCGCATAAAATAATATTTATTTAAATGTAAAATTTAAAATCGCGATTGAATAAAGTAAAGTTAAAGCTAACAAAATTATTAATAATATAATTGATTATAGAGTCGACATTGAATAACAAAAGAGAACGTTCCCGGGAAAAGAAATTTAGCGCTTATTAATAAACAATTAGCTAGCGTCGCTGCTCTCCGACAAAGTGATCGCTTTTCTTCTCCCGTTGGGCCCAACTAGACTGATCCCTTTCAACTGTTTTCCCATGCATTAAATAATCCTATCCTTATCCTTATAGGGCGGGTGCTTAAGTGTTCTTCCTGCTTGTCAAGGACAAGCACGGCCTTACACCTCCAACCTGGGGGAAGACCGGACCCTCGGTCTTGAAGACCGCTCTTGATGCATTGAATGTGGGCTACGAGAAAGTGCACTTTATTGTGTCTTTTCTTTGAATATTTTTCCAAGTTTTTTTTGTTTTTTTTTTTTTTTTGGAATTTTTTCTTTTTTTTTCGTATTTATTCTAATAGACTTAACATTTTCGGCTGCCATTTTAGGTTATATTACACCTGTCCGAAGGGTTGGTAAACGAGTCAGCCCATTAGAATAAATCTACTATGTTTACATTGTTTTTTTTTCAAGATTTATCGATTAATGCTTTCTTCTTTTCTTGTTTTTCTGTTGATTGAGAAGGTTGTTTTTTTCATTTTTCTTTTGATGATTTTACTGGGCCTGTGTTGGTGCCTAGTTGTTTTTTTTTGGTTTCTCTGTTGTTTTTCAATTCTATCTGCCTTCAACCTTATCGAGGACCGTCCCTGGTCCGTTAAATGATGATTGCTTTTTACATGTTTTTTTTTTAACTTTCTGATGATTTCTTTTCCTTTTCCCTTTTTTTTTATAATGCGCTTTTATGTTTTTATTTATGGTTCGGAACTCGCCTTCGGCTTTTGTCCTCTTCCATTTTATTTTTAACTTTTTTCTTGCAGTTTTTGTTGAAAAGTTTGTCTTTTGATGATTTGTCTGAGAGAGTTGTTTCTCTTTGGTTAAATTGTATCTTTGCAGGCCCTGTTGTTTTTGGGTTTTTGTTGCATTAAGATCGTTGTCAGGTAAACAATTACAATGAAATTACAATCATGCGGGTCAGGGAACAAGATTTATAAAACCCTTGTACCCAATGCATCTTTTAAAGTGTCCCTTTATGGTAGGAGATGTTAGACCGTTAAATTACTCGGCTCCTTTTTTTAAAAGATTTGCTGCGCGTGCATCTATATAATGCGTCGCTTGTCTTTCGGGGTTTTTCACCTGTGTTTGCTATTCAATGTCTTTTCAAATTTGTCCCAATAAGTTTAAGTTAGTGACAAAAAATAAGTATTTAGAGGCTGTGAGTAAAGTTACAAATCTAGAGGCTAAGACAAAGTCTTCTAGAGGCTAATGATCAAGTGTACATTTGCTAGAGGCTGTTAAAGTGTGTGTTACAAGAGGCTATTATACTAGAGGCTAAAGTAAAGTTATAAAATATTTTTTTTTATAAATCCTCTTATCTTCTGTACATGCAATTTATTTTCGTGTGTCCCTGTTGTCCACACCAAGAGCACGGCGCATGAGGGCAATTGTCTCTTTGATGTCCCATTATGTAACAATATCCACATGGTCGTCGTGGGCACTGTCCTTTCAAATGAGGAGCTATTCCATGACAAACCATACAAGGAGAGTAGTCACAAATGTCTTCGTGCACATTCGGGACAATCGAATGACAGCCACTGCACTGTGTCACCTGTGGGACGTTAGAAGGCAAAGGGACCCCTATTATTTGTTTTTGATAAATTCCCCCTATTACTGGTCCACCTGACTGTTGAGGGTGTTGGAATTGATGTTGTGGCGGTTGTGGCATCTGCACTGGTTGTGTCCATTGAGGTTGGCTCCCTGGAGGTGCAGTTGAGGGTCCATAATATCCTTGATATCCACCTGAAGCCGGTGTTTGTGTTGAGGTTATCTGTACAGGCTGTATGGCCTGTCCGCTAGTAGATTGGGTGCTCTCGCACTCCATTGCTTGTTGGGTCTGTGGTGGCTTTCCAACTAAATTACTATCAATTTTCATTTTTTCGTAAAAGTCCCACGCGATTGGTATCTCACCTTTATAATCGGCAATTACCCCATTCACCCTTTGAATATTACCAGCCTTCATTAGCTCAATGAACGCCGGCGTCACTACCACTGTTTGTTTACATGCCTCAAGGACAAATTTCTCCCAAACTTCTCCTTTTTGGCATAGGAATGGTAAGTCCCCAATCACAATTAACCCGTAACGGGCCCTGGACAACGCCACATTAGTCCTACGCGGATCAGACCAAAACAAACCCTTTTCCTCCTCACTAGATTGCTTCTGTTGCACACTAGTTTTGGTGGTTGTGAGAATGACTAGATCCGCCTCTTGTGATTGTATTGCGTCACAAGTCGAGCAAGTGACATTTGACCAATTATACTCTTTAATAGCTCTCCTAATGTTAGATACCTGCGCAGTGTACAGACCAATTACGAGAATTTTCATTCTCCTAGAGGCTAGTGGCGGGACTAACTCATTTAATAAAGTTACCGTTGTGATTGTATGCCCACCGTTGGTCAATGAGAAGGACGTTGGGTCCATCTCCACTGCTGTATTTTGCTGAATCAAAATTATCGGAGTATTTTGAATCGGTAAATTCAATCCTATTTGATTAGTCAGCAGGTCCCTTTGGGATTCATTTAGTCCTGGCCTTAGTTGTTCTCCATTTGGCTCATAGACACTCAATGCCAAGCAGTTCACCAGTTTAGGGTGCGATCTGTAAGATGTTGTAAGTCTCACAAAACTTACCCCATTACAGTCCCTCAATCGGTCCAATACCGAATTCATACCCAATTTGTCCCTTATGACCAAGGGTTGAGAGGGTTGGTGTACCTGCAGCTGCAAGTAGTCTCCGGTCATCAGCAATTTCTTCAAATTAGGAAATTGTGACACACTGGAGATTACGCTGTTATGTTGGGCTTGGCCAACTTCGTCAATCACCATATGGGTGATCAGTGGTGAAATTACCTCCTTCTTCGGATCTGGACTATCAGGACTGGCGTCGAGAAAGAGTTGGAGTTCTTCTGCCAAAGAGTGTGTCATAAATATGACCTTAAACTTTTTGATTTGGGTTAACTCAAATGCCACTGTTCTCTCTTGGGCTATTTTAGGTGCAACCTTCACATCACGCTCATACCTTTCAACCTTTTTCCCAGCTCGGGCCATCAATGGATCCCTAATGTCCTCATCCTTTATTCTCCAAACCAATAAGTGACTACCTACCTGTTCAATTCTCTGTTGGTATTTAAACTTTCCACTACCAGAGAATAAAGCAAGCATTGGAACAACCTCACCTGCTACGGACATGGCCTTGGTTGTGTCCTCGGCCAACTCACACACTGCAACATTAATTGGGGCCACTGCCAGTACAACTGCATCAGGATGGCGTCTGATAGCTGCCGCTATAGCGACTCCTGAAACTAATGTTTTGCCCGCTCCGGGAGGCGCCTGCTGGTAAAGCAGGCGCGTCTCCCCATCCAGAAATAATTTTACCGTTTCAAGTTGTTGTGGATTTAGCCTTCTCATTGCCGGGTGATCATTTTCTAAAGGATTAAACGTGCATGGGAGTGGTGGGTCACCTTCAATACCTATTAAAGTACGTAAAATTGGGGCAACCATGTGACCTGAGTGGGCCAATGATAATGGGAACCCACTAGACAGAACGTCCTCCCTACGTTGGAGCCTTTTGAGATTGGCGATTGGTGTTATCTGCACTTCCCAACCTTCACCGATGATACCTTCCCAATGTTCGTAGCTACTTTCATAGTTATGGGCTTCCTCATGACGTGCCCTGAGTAGTACTTCAAACCAAAATCCTTCTGCATTGACACCCTTTGTGATTTCTTTTACTTCACCTTTCGCACAAGGTTTCAAGTCCGGATCATTTACTTTTATTAAACACGGAGTGTCCGCATCAAAAGCACTCGTGTACGCTTCCAAGTCTGCGAGGGTATTCGGTCTGTATGAGAACCATAACTCTAGAGTGTTTTCCAGAGTTTTTTCTCGCGCACGATCTTCAGCGGACCAGTTAAGCGTTGTTACTACTGCACATTTTCTAAGAGCTTGGTCCTCACGATTACGATGACACGCAGCAACTGCGGCTAATGCTGCCATAGTTTTTTCTTGTTGGTCTTTAGTGTGTGTTGGCATTATTGGGTATTTTTCTTGAACTCTTGAGGGCCTCAAACCAATTATAACATCGTTCTGATGTGCCCAATATTCATCTCCCCTTTTAAACGGAGTCTTTTCGGGTAATATATAGTTGTTCCCCATTCTCCACACCTGCGGGTTAATTACTTTGGCTAATTCTACTTCAATAATTCCTCCTTTTTTCAATTGATGGGGACGAATTTGTGTCATTTGTCTAGTGTTTATTAGCTGGCTTCTTAACATGTTTGGGGCCATTACCTCAGCCGATAAGAGTTTGCCCCTTTTCATTTTAATATTTTCTATTATGCCTGTTACCCAATTTCCAGGTCTTAGAAGTACCATTTCGGCTTTTGTTGCCGTCGCTTGGTGTTGTATTGAGCCAGAAGTCATCCAAGGCGTATACCTTCCAGAATAATCCTGCATATAGTCAACTGCTAACTTACCCAATTTTTCAAACCCTTCTCTGACTTCCCACTCCTCAACGAATACCAAATCACCCATTTGTAGCCTACGACTTGGGTTTGTAAAGACAGTGTCTGGAATTTCCATGAAAAACGGACCTACTCCAGAAATCCTCGCACCAATTACCCGATCTTCGACTGCCCTTGCGATTAAATATTTCGGTACCCCTTTATCCTTTAACGTGGGGTCACCTGTATCAGCGTCAGGACTAGCCGTAACCCTGCATTCATCTGGGAGATCATTTGGGTTGATTCCCGACTCTTCCTGGGTGTTCTTTTCCGTTTCTTTGTTAGGAGTATTTTCCCACCCCGAACTCGATGTGGCCCACTCATTAGATGTCCTTTCTTTTTGCTGGTCCATTACCGTATCTATTACAAACGTTGTATTGTCACCGTGCGATGACTGATTATTATTTACTCCACTTGGGTCTTCAGGAATTACCTCTTGACACTCTTGAGATTGAATGTTACCTTTTATAATTTCACGCACCTTTACTAGTATTTTTCCCATTTTATTCAATCCAAACTCCTTCGAGTTTGGCGACCAGTCTTTAAGACTCGGATCATTTTGATATTTCCCAACACCCCAAATTGGGTCATTCCCATTTGCTTCTACTATCCAATTATCTTTTGTACCAATTAATAACTCCCCTAAATGTTTATTTTGTGTGAATTTTTGGATTACTAATGCTTCGAGTATTTGTTCACTCTTTTCATTCCATTCCTCCCTTTGTTTTTTATTACCTTCTATTTCTTTTCCTAAAAATTTATACTCTCTTGGGTGAACACCTTTGAACGTTGTTTGCGCCCCGTTAGAGGCAATAATTTTTCTACTCTTATTTGTTAACTCACTCACCTCATCCATGTGAGTCATCCCTTTCACCTGATTCAGAATATCCCCACGATTGAAAAAGGCTGCCTTGGCTGCTACATATGCTTGTTCAGTGCAGCCCCACTCATAGTTGTCGTAGTTAAATTTAGCATACGCAAAGTTGGAGAAGGGGTGATCTTTCCCCAAGAACGGATAAATCACCCCTTTATTATTTAATTCAATGATGGGTAATTCATTACTAATTATATTAACGTTGTGTGAGCGCCATTGACGCATAGAATTTTTAATTTCCATTTTTTTTAATTAAAGATTTTTCTGAAAATTTAAAGTGTATATGCATATTATTTTTTAATTTTTTTCTCAAAGAAAAACCGCGAAATGAAAATAACAAATTAATTATCCGCGCCAAAATATTAATATAATTTGAGACAAAAACTATTAAGAAATTTGACTTATATGTATAAAAGTATGAGTAACAAGATTAAATAGAAGAAATCTTAAATGATTAAAGATTAATTAATATGAATATTAATTGAAAATGCTTAGAGTTTACTTAAAAATATTATATTCTCCATCATCTTTTTTTTTATTTATAACCAATTATTTATATTTTCCTGGTTTAGTTATCTTGTTACGGTCACGTAAATCATAACCATGTGAGTGTTTTACGACTTCTACTTCATGATTACCTGTTTCGGGATTAGGTTCATTAGGTCTCGAATTTTCTTGTTCCCTGGTATGTTCATAGATTTTATCCTCTATAATAAGGTTATCTTTTGGAATTTGTTCTTCACTTTCGTATGGAATTGTGCAAGGAGGACCGAGGTACTCAAAACATTTTTTGATTTGATTAATATGAACTGTTTTACTTGGTGAGTTTGGAGAGATGCAACTAGATATAGTCGCATATATACCATCTAGATTAATAACCCTATAGATACCCTTCCAATGTAGTTGGAATTTCTTAGCCGTCCCTATTTTTCCTGTATAATTTCTAAGTAGAACTCTGTCCCCTATTTTTATACTTGATTCCCTAAAAAACTTGTCATATTGATTTTTCATCTTTTCTTGCGCCTTTCTATTCGAGTCCGCTGCAATCTCCCAAGCACTCCTAAGAGACCGAATGAGCTTATATTTAAAGTCGGGTTCATCTATAACACTGGCGTGGTCATGAATTCTGGGGTCAAGGATTTGATCAACACAAAAAATAGGGTCTCGACCAAACATCATGAAAAAAGGTGTCTCATTTATTGATGCATGGACCGAGGTGTTATAACAAAAGTTCATAAAGTCTAGAAACTCATCAAAATCTGGTTGTTCTTTTGTTATATATTTTGCTAACATATTATTAAAAGTTCGGAATGTCCTTTCAGTAACCGCATTGCCCTGCGACCAGTACGGAATAGCATACGTTTTGTTTATATATAACATATTACAAAACGCTTTAAAAAAGTCTGAGGTGAAAGCCGTCGCGTTATCAGAAATTAATTCTACACACCCACCAAATTTAAGGTAGCAATTTGTTAAAAAGGCTTTGGCTATTGTGTTTGCTTTTGCGTCAGGGAGCGGTACAGATATCACATATTTGCAGAACCAACAGATTATGTTTAGTATGTATTTATTACCATTTTCAGTTATTGGAAATGGTCCTGCCAGGTCTAATCCTACTCTTGAGAATAAAGTGTCAGCAGGTACCATATTCATTTCAGCTCTATAAGCTGGTGTGGGAGAATGTCTCAGTTGGCACGTAATGCATTGTTTGGTCCAAGTTACTATATCGGAATGCATTTTTGGCCAATAATATTTTTGACATTTCTTTAATGTTTTCTTTACTGATAGATGTCCTCCTCCTAACTGAGAAGAGTGGAATGAGTCAAATACTAGAGATCTGAGGTTGGTGGGAACAAAGATTTTTGCTTGAGATCCTGGTGTTTTAAAAATTAATAGTTCATTTTCTATGTATAGGTTCTTTGCTTTTTCAGAAAAGTTTTCTTTTTCCGTTTCACTAAAACCCTCTGGTATCTCCCCATCTGATAAAAATTTGATAAATGCTTTTGCCTCTGGGTCATTTAACTGCTCTTCTTTTATGTCTATTGTGTATGGGTTCTCGTCTTTATTTCGCACCACTAATGTATTGATAAATGAGTCTGACGCGATTCTAGTTTTTTGCTGAATATTTAGACATACGGGGAATTCTGCTATATCCTTTAATTCTTCTATATTTTTAATTTCTGTTTGTGTTTCTTCTTGAATTCTTGATAATGCGTCAGCTAAAGAATTTTGTTTGCCCTCTATATGAACTATCTTTATTTGGTAAGATTGTAGCTCTATTAGCCAGCGGGCCAGGTTTGGGTGAGCTTCTGCCTTTTTCAAAAGATATGACAAGGGTTTATGGTCCGTGTGCAGTTCAATGTCAGACATAAATATATAAGGCTTAAATTCCCTTAATGCATAAATTATTGCTCCTAGTTCTATTTGGACTGGTGGCCATTTTCTTTCAGAGGACGATAGGGTTCGACTACAATAGGAGATAGCAGAGTATGTTTTATTTTCTTCATCCCTTTGCATCAGGACCCCAGCCTGTCCAACCATAGAGGCATCAGTAAATATATGGAATGGCTTACTGTAGTCAGGGAATTTTAGTATAGGGTAATTTGTTAATAATTCTTTTATTTTGTTAAATGCTTTTTGTTGTTCTTCCCCCCATTCAAATTTTACTTCCTTTTTTGTTAGTCGTGTTAATGGTTCGACCCAATGTGAGAATTTCGGTATATGTCTTCTGTAAAAAGATGCCATTCCTACTACTCTTTTAATTTCTTTTACATTTGTCGGATTCGGTAAATTTTTTATTATTTCTATTCTAGAAAGGTTTGGATGATACCCGTTAGAGTCAAGAGTGTATCCCAAAAAATTCATTTTTCGCGTTGCGAATGTGCATTTTTTAGGACTTAATTTGAGGTTGAATAAGCGAAAACGTTCAAAGACTTTTCTTAAAGTGAGTAAATGTTCATCAAAGTCAAGGGACTTAGTGTAAATTAAGATATCGTCTACATATGAAATTACGTGTTCTAATCCACTAAGCACATTAGCCATTGCTCTGGAAAAAGCTGCTGTGGCATTCTTTAAGCCAAATGGCATATGGGTCATTTGGTATACGTTATCCTCAGTTATAACCCCGCATTTCCTAGAAGCATTTTCTGTTAATTTTATTTGCAAGTACCCGCTTGCTAAGTCTAAAGAACTATAATAATTACAATTTCCTACTTTCTCCATGATTACCTCAAGTCTAGGAAGAGGGTAATGATCTGGTACTGTTATTTCATTCAATTTCCTAAAGTCAAGACACGGCCTTATTCCACCATCTTTCTTTTGTACTATAACAAATGGTGTTAACCACGGTGTGTCCGATTCAACCATAACACCTGCTTTGGTAAGCTGATCAATGTGTTTATGTAATTCTTCCCTATATTTAAATGGGGTTTTCCTTGGACCTACTGCTACTGGATCCTGAGTTGTGGTTATTATATCGAATTCTCCCGCTGTATACGAGCCGAGGTCGTATTGATTTTTACTAAAAATATCGCTAAACTCTTCACATAATGTTTTAAGTTTTCCTAAATCATTCTGATCTACTGAACATTTACTATAGTCAATTACAAATTTTGGGTCTATTTCATTTTCTTGTGATTCTAGTTTTTTGTCATTTTCCAACGTAAATATGCCTGTTTCAATTTCACCTTCTATTTTCCATGCTTTACCTAATGTCTGATTTTTATACAATTTAATCGGGCTTTGAGTGGGATTGAGAACTAATATTTTTAGCGCATTGTTATTATACTCAGATATAGTTGGGATTGTTCCTAAATGCATTTGACTTATTTTCTCATCAAGATTGTTTATAAAATATGCTTGCTTGCTTGCTGAGTGTTCGTCTAACCTTCCCTCAATAATTGTTTGTGAATTCGGTTTTATCAAAAGTGCTTCTTTTACTGATATTTTAAAACAACCTTCCTTAACTGGTTCATATTTTTCCTTTTCATCTTCCCCTATTTTAAATTTTCTATTTTTAAAATCAAAGGTTAGGGAGGGCCACAGTTCAAATACATCGCATCCTAGAATTAAGTCAAAGTTTTTATCCTCAAATATGTTATTGTCTATGAAGAATATTGAGGTGTTGCATTCAATATTACCTAATATTACTTTTACTTCCCCTTTATTAAGCGCACTAATTGCATGACCTGAAGCACTAACTGCTTCTGCTTTTGTAGGCACTAAGTTCCAATTATTTTTAATTGCCAGATTAATGGGTGCTACTGATATGCTTGCTCCCGTGTCCAAGAGACACCTTAATTTTACATTATTTATCATTACAGTAGTGGTAGGAAGAGACTGACTGTGTCCTTTTATTGCGAGAAGATTTAACCCCTTAGGCTCCTGCGGAAGGATCGGAGTGTATTTGATTTCTGGGTTTATTTCTTTTAATTCTATAGTTTGGGTTAATATTTGTTTTGGCCGGTCTACATTGCTTTTTGCTTCCTTTGGTTTGTGTTGGGTCCTGTATTTTTGTCCAATTAGTATATCCCTTATTATTCCATTACCTAAGTATCTTTGCATCATAATAACTAGCAACCTTAGGGTGAAATCAATCAGCGATATACAAGTTATTATAGTTATAAAGATTCTCCATTCATGGGTCCAGTCACCAAAGATGTGATTACTAAATTCACTTTTTGCTTTTTGCCATGTGTTCGAAAATTCTGCTATAATTTTGGTGTCTTTCTGTCTTATTTGGTAAGTTATTTCACTAATTTTAAATGCATTACTTAAATGGGCATGAGTGTTAATATCTGAGATATTTACTAATACCAATTGGTGAAAGGCTTGACTAGATAGAGGTTGTATTTTTTCAAAACGAGGATTAAACGTTTCATGGTTCCTTGGATTTATCTTTCGCATAGTCGCGGTTACCTGGTCTACTTCAAATGTATCATTCTCTAATTGGATTATTATTAAACGCGACATTGCACAGTCAGTCTTATGGGCATCGTGAACAATCTTCATTGTTTTAGGGTCTATAAACGCAAAATGCTGTTGCTTTTGTGAGATAAAGCTAATAGGTAAATGTTCAAAACATTCTGTTACAGAGCCAGTGGGGACGAACCGGAATTGTTCATGTGTGATAGGAATACAAGGCCATACTTTTATAAGATTGAATCCCATTCTTTCTGCATGTATGTCTGGGTTATTAAATATTGTTCGTGCTAGTATTGTAGGGTCAGTTAGTAGTGCTAGTTCAGCCCATCTCCAAGTATTTTCCATAAAATCACACAAAGTCTTCATTGTATGAGAGAAGGTAAACGATAGCGTGCTTGATAATTGCGTGTGTAAGTATGTCAATTCAGAGGCTAGTTGGCTTGCTGTCACTATCCCCTCTAGTGCCCTTTTATTCCGTTTATATATTGGCTTAACTTTTTCCTGAATTATGAGGTATGCTAGACCCTGCTCTGTTGGATTTACTTTTTGCCCACAGTTTGTGCCCGTATTCTTTGTTTTTATATCAGTAAGGGCAAGTGGGTGCTGGGACGCAATCCACAAATTGTCAATTACAAAACCATCATAATCCCCTATAGATAGATATTCACAGTTAGCTTCCGGGACTATCTCCCATATTAAATGTGTTCCATCAGTTAAAGAACAAGACCCCTTTTTATAAGTGCATTGAATGTTTTCCTCTAATGGGGTCTGAATGTTTTTCTCGCCAAACCTTGAAGTGATTGGAGTTTTAAAGAGGTAACAATTTTCAGTGTACACCCTTTCCCAATTAAATGATCCTAAAAGCCACGTCCTTGGTGTTAAGTCTAATTTAAAGTCGGTATGAAATAACTCCCCCTCCTGCTTCAGAATTCCCCATTCGCATTTTTTGTATTTAATCATATTTTTACATTCTTCATGTGTTACTATGATTGGGTCAATACTTAGAGGTTTCTCAATATGAACTCCTGTGAGTGAGGTATATTTCGCCATTGCTTTTCTAACTTTTCTGCATGCCCACGCCTTTGCGGTATGTTCCAGGTTATTAGGAGAATATATTCGCCTTCTTTGCGGTATAGGACTTTTTGACAAATTTGTATTTTGTTCAGGGCATCCAGGAAATTTAGGAAGGTTCCAGAGTATCCCGTGTTCTCTATTTTGGCATATAAGAGGATATTTGGGAAATGGTATATCTGCATTAGCTATTGGGAGCATAAACATCATCAACGTTAGTGTTATGTAAAATAGCTGTTTCATTTTAGGAGCTGTGGAGGTTTGTTCCCAATCAGATATACTTGATTCAACGTTGTATGGTTCCCGGTTGAGAATGGGTTCTGTTCTATTCGTTTGACCCTGACTTTTATATTCAACAGGTGCACTACACTTTGCGGACTCATATAAGTTCATATTTTGCATTTGACTTGATAATGTGGAGGTTTCTACACTCTGCGGATACACTTGAATTTCTTTCGGATAATTGTTCATTGGGTTACCTTGATAAAATACTTGCGGGGACGTGTGATAATACCCTTGGGAAAGAGTGTTTGAAGAGCCCGGGGAATAAGTTGGCTGGTTGTTCATACTCGTCATAAATGTGTGCGTGTCCGTATATTGTTTGTTTGAGGATTGAATCATGTTTATACCCTTGTTATCTCCTAGTCCCATATTTGCTCTATTTTTTGAGAAATTTCGCCCACCTCTAACCACTGCATTGCTGTTTGTTGGCATCTGTTTCCTTCTTCAACAATTGTATGCAATATGCCCAGTCACGCCACAATGCGTACACATAGGTCGCCCACTCCAGTTTCTTTCCCCATATCCTCGGCGGTTGTTTTGGTATCTTCCATTTCTTTGGTTTGCAGAGCCACCACGCCTGAAATTTCGATAATTATTGTTTGGTCTTTGATTAGTGCCAAAAGGTCTTTGAGGTTGGTTTTGGTACGATAGATTATTTGGAACTCTGTTATTATTATTTGAGATGGGAGTCCATGAGGTTATATTCTGATTAGTGGAGTGGTCAACTTGCGGTTGTATAGCATTTATGGCTCGTTTTAACGCTTCTTCTTGTGAATCATTTCCAGAGGCTAAAAGCGCTTCAATTTCCTGTGCCTTAATGTAGAGTTCATCCAGACTCGTAGCGGTTCCTACAAGTCTAATCAAAAAACTAATATTGGGTTTTAATCTTTCTAAAAATTCATCCCTTATTTTTGCCTGTTGTTGTTCTTCAGTTTCATTTTCGAAAGTTGCTTTTACTAATGGGGTTAGACGTTTCATAAACTCAGAAACCGTTTCAGATGGTCTTTGTCTACATAGAGTAAGCTCACGTTTGAATAATTCCCTTCTATGCGGGGCTGTCAATCTTTTCCTTATAGAAGCTAGGGCCTCTTTTACTGTTCTTTTTTCATTTTCCTCTAATTTATCGAAAATGATTCTAGTTGTTCCCTCAAGGTATAATTTTAGTCTATGTATTTTTGTTTTTTCGTCCCAAGTAGTGGGGGCACAATCCATTAGGTCAGTGAATTTCTGGGCCCAAGAGTCAAAAGACACTACAGACTCTTCCCTGTATGTGGTTGTGGCTCCCTCTTTGTCTAACAGGCTTAACATGTTTAATTCCAATTTTAATGGTTCGATTTCCTCAATTCCTGTGTTTTCCCCATTATTTTTATTTTCATTAAACTTATCGACTTTAGAAGAGATTAATGCCACTTTTGAGTTTACTGTTGATAAATGTGTGTTCACTTCCATTGCCATTTGATTTATAGCATTTGTATTGCTGTTTGCTCTCCTGTTGATTAATCTGATGTTTCTGTTTAATGAATCTTCAAGAGTGTGTGTAGCTTGTAGTAGTTTATCCAAATCAGCAATTTTTGCATATTCTTCGTTGCTTTTACCCCGGTAGAGGTTTTTATTGATGAATGGAGTTTCTGATTCTATTGGATCTGTCTCACTCATCCACCAGTTTGTTTATTGTGCTTGTAAAGTTTATTTTCTAAATTTCAAAAATTAAAAAACTCCAAAATTTATTTTCAAAACTATAGTTTATTTTCTAGATGCAGAAATTTATTTTTTTATTTTGTTAAAATTTCTCACAACCTAACATTTATCTTTAAACTTAACTATTTCAATAACAATTTAAATTGTGAATTTGTTTCCCTAATGCTTAATACTATATTAATAATTCTATTGTAATTTTAATAATGGTTTGTCAGGCTTTTCTTTTTTTTTTTATATAATGGTTGGACAAGCTCTTTTATTTGATAACAGTTAAAGATTAGAAGTGTTTACATTGCTTCTCATACATTTATCCTTTTTTCCCAGCCATTAAATTTTCAACTTGTAATAATTTTATCCCGTCTTCTTTACTTTTTTATTGTAATTTTGAAACCTTTACACCTCTGATTAGTCATTCTCGTTTTCACGTGGATAACCTTTGGATTTTTATATTTTACTTATTTCCACCTTACTTCAATATCTACTCTATACTAGAGAGTCGGATTTTTACCTACCCGTGAATGGACAATAAGAAATTGTAGCAGAATAAACACTGTCGGTACTCTGGAAAATGGACCAACAAACCAAGAAATAGGGCCAGGACCTGATCCCTTTACACCCTCTACTATGTACTTATGAATCTTTGATGAAGCGATTAAAACCAAATGATTTAACCTCCATCTATTCACTAAATTCCCTTTACATTATACTCAATTGTAAGTGCAAATACTCGATTAAACCTCCTCCTTGTATATTTATAATTGACATTAGCCTTTATGATTTAATTAAATAATTATGTAATTAAGGAGATACTTTTAGTATTATAAAACAAAAAAAAAATTCAATAAATAAAAAATTCGTGCTATTATGGTTTAAGTTCAAACCAATAACTAAAAATTATAAAAAAGGCATTTGTTAAAAAAATGAGGATTTAATTCTTTAAACTTATGTGGGAGTAAAAAACAAATATTTTAGTAAAAGCAAACAAATATTTTAATACATTTTTGACAGGTTCTTCTACACAAATAAATTGAATTTATGTTGGTTCTTATTATATTTGTACATACTATGTAAATTTGTCAATTATATTTTGTGTTCATTATTATGAGAAGTAAATTTTCTAAACGCAAAATAGATAACTTATCTTTAGATCCCAATATCTTTTAGGATAATTCTATATCCTTATTTCTAATGAGAATATATTTATAGGTCTTTCTGGAAAATACACTCTTTATTACATTCTTCCTCATGATACTAATTCATTTGTAACCCACCTTTTTAATAAATCATCAATTTTTCTATCTATTCAAAATTTTAAGTCATAAACACAATAGATAGGCCATTCTAATAATTTTTTCTTCTTCGATAATGTAATTTTCCTCATATTGAGTTATCTTCCAGAAATTCACTAATATTACATTCAAAAAATTAGCTAATAAATGAGAGAGAGGCACAAGTAAAATTGTATTAAGATTTTATTAAGCTTGCGAACGATAAAAAATACATGAAAGGATTTCCTAATAAATAAGAAAAAATTTGAAGTTTTAATTGAATCATTAATAAAAGAGAAATAAAGGCAATTTATCTAAAAACTCAAAGCTATTTAACACGAATGTAATAAGTAAAAGCCAATAAAAGTGTTCACTAACTTTACATGTATTTTAAAATTTTATATAGACGGTAACAGATTTTCTGTTTATGTTTGGTAAAAGGATTTTTATATAATGTAACAATGTTTGCAAACAATAATAATAAATTATGGATGTAACTAAAAAGGAAACAAATAAATTTTTCCAATAAAAATGTAATGACTAATATTAAAACTGTTAAACTGTTTTTATAAAGGGATTGCGGGAAAATAATATGGAATAAATTTAAAACATTTCTTACAATTTGTGCAAATGTTACCTAAAATAAATAGCTATTGTCCATCGGTCTATGAATGTTTCTTAAACCATTTTTCTTTTGAAATGTTTTTATTCTCAAAAAGGAGGAAAGATGTGTTTTGGTCCCATCCTTTTCTCATTTTGTATTTTAGAAAAAAGTCATATAAAATGGAAAAAACTAAAAAATTTTAGATGGATCCAAAAAAAACGCCAAATCGAAGATTACCAGTCTATATTTTCTTAATTCGCACTTTAAACTTTACTTTTTTTTTTGTTTTCCTATTTTCCTTCCCCTTTTTCTTTTCTTTTATTGTTTTTTTTTGAAATTTATTGCTCTTCTTGTAACGTGAGGAACACGTCCTCCATTTTATGTTTTACTTAATATATACCCGAAACAACCAAAAGAATATAAACAAACACCAAAAAAATAGAATTGAAATTATAAGTTCAAAACAATATTAATTTAAAATTTTGTAAATATTTCCTAAAGACCCCCGTATTTTCTATATACTCTCGTTAACTAATGGTGTAATATTCGAAATTATCAAAACACAAAAGGGAAGTCTAAAATTAAATTCTAACATAAAAATTAATATTCGACCATAAAGTTAAAACACCTTTAGAGTGAAAATAAATAAAGATAGAAAATAAAAGCTAAATAAGAATAAATAATAATGTCCCGATGAATAAAATGCTGTCAGTAATGATTCACCTTTTACCTGAAGAAAATTATGGCTGCAAAAAAAAATTTCATTATACAATAACAGAAAGTCATCACGAGAGATAACATAAAAAAATTGTAAAAAGTTCCGCCTGGAGTTTTTTTTTGTGACTGGCGTTTTAATTTCGATTTTTTCTGAGTTCCCTTGTTTTCCTTCCTCTTTTTTTTTTTGTTTTATTACTTTTCCCTCCTTATTTTTGAAAATTTATCACGTGAGGAGCAGACAAAAGAATAACCAATCTTTAAAAATGAAACATTTTCTGTCATATTTCGTAATATTGAGCAAAAAGATAATATGTCAAAATAAATACTTTATAGGGACTTCTAGCAGTTATCGAATAAATTCAAATTTTTCTTGAAAGTAATTTTGTTTTATCTTGAGACGTTTTTATGGATATAGACTGAATTTCAAATCTTTTTATCTTTCTCTGCTAAGTGATTCCCCTTGATTGTGTTGGTTTGAGTTGTGACGCACTTATAGATTAATTAAATCCTATTAAAAAAATACTTTTTTTTTGAAGTGGTTTTTCTTATTTGAAGTGGTTCTTCAAAAAAACCATCCGGTGCTACCAGTGAGGTTTACACGTATTGGGCCACCCAGTAAATTAAATGAGGCGAGGTATCGACACCGTGAGGGCTACTCTATCTTCAAATACAACGTTGTATGTGCTCCGTTAGAAGCAAAGCTTAGGCCCTAATTGTTGCGCATAAAATAATATTTATTTAAATGTAAAATTTAAAATCGCGATTGAATAAAGTAAAGTTAAAGCTAACAAAATTATTAATAATATAATTGATTATAGAGTCGACATTGAATAACAAAAGAGAACGTTCCCGGGAAAAGAAATTTAGCGCTTATTAATAAACAATTAGCTAGCGTCGCTGCTCTCCGACAAAGTGATCGCTTTTCTTCTCCCGTTGGGCCCAACTAGACTGATCCCTTTCAACTGTTTTCCCATGCATTAAATAATCCTATCCTTATCCTTATAGGGCGGGTGCTTAAGTGTTCTTCCTGCTTGTCAAGGACAAGCACGGCCTTACATGAGGAATTGGTTCTTGGTTTGGGTGCTACTTCAAAAAGATTACAGGGAGTTCAGGCAAGTTAATTATAATATTTTGGAGGAGATTATTGATGGACTTTCAATTAACAAAAGTTTTTTCGAAAACTTTTGTGGGAAGAAAATTTCTTTTTTAATTTTTAGGGAGCTGATTATCTTGAAGGAATTACACATTTACGAACATTAAATGATGCTCAACAATTGAGTATTGAACTTAATGAATCAGCAAGGAATGTTGCAATTATTGGCTCTGGATTTTTAGGATTTGAAATTTCTAGTTTGGTATTTAATACCTAAAATTAAACATAAAAATATTATTTGTTTTTACAGATTTATCCAATAGCAAGAAGTGTCTCAATTTATGGTAAAGCATCTACACCTCTAACATTATTAGGTTCAGAAGTCGGAAATGAAATAAGAAAAGTAATATATTAAAAAATAATTTTAAAAAAGTATATTTTTTTAGTTTATTCGAGAACAGGGAGTAATAATTCGTCAAGATTCAGTTCTACGTTCAATGGGAGGATTTGACCGTGTTGAAGATTTAAAATTTCGTGATGGAATGACAGCTATTGCTGATACAGTTATTGTTGCTATTGGTTATTTTAATTATTAGAAATATTTATTAAAAATATTTTTAAAAAGGTATAATGCCAAGTACTTCAATTCTTATGGGTTCAGGTATTAGAACAAATGCAGAAGGTTATATTCTTGTAGATGAAGCAATGAGAACAAATATACCTAATGTTTATGCGTGTGGAGATTGTGTTAATTTTCCTATTTCTTTTAATTCTGGACAATTTGGTGAACGTAGAATTAATTTGCCCCATTGGCAAGTTGCACAATATCAAGGTAGAGAAAGAAATTCGGAGGGGAGGGAGGGGGGGATATTTCTATAAAAAAATCTTTTTTTCAGGTAAAATAGCTGCATATACAATAATGGGTATTTCTGCACGTCCTCGTCTTGTTCCCTTTCTTTGGATTAGACTTTTCGATAGACATTTAACATTTTCAAGTCTTGACCCAACAATTCCTGTAGATGAACGTATTCTTCGTGGTTCTCTTGCTAATAATGATTTTGTTGCTTATTTTCTTAAATCTGATAGAGTTGTTGGGGTAGCTAATTGTGGGCCGGCAAATGTTGCTATACAATTTATGGAAATATTTAAACGTGATAAAATTGTTACAAAAGCTGAGATATTAGCTAATAAAACAAATGATTGGAAAAGAAAATTTGATGAATAAAATTATTTATAAATATGATTAAAAATAAATGTATCTACATGTAATTCAAAAGGATTCTAAAATTATTTTACTTTCATTCCTAAATTATAAACTTTAAATAATTATTAAATTTAATATAAATTTTAAATTAAATTTTATTTACTAATCTAATTTATTTGCCTTTCCATCTGTCCATTGAGTTACTTTAATTCCAGTACTTTTTTGAGCCTCTTTTTGATACTCCTTTAAGCATTGACGCAAAGCAGCAGCAGCTACTTGAGAGAAACGAGTGTATGGAATTCCAATATCTTTCCTTTAAGAATAATTTTTAAATTAAAAAATATTAATATTTAATTACCAGAGAGACATTTAAATTAATTTTTTTCGATGATTTTTATTTAAAATAATTTAAAAAAATATTTTTCTTTTTTAAAATTGTTTTCAAATAAAATGTGTATATTGATTTGTTAGCAGGCAACTGTTCTTGAATTTATATTTATTTACTCTTGGCCGCAAAAGATTTTTTTGTTTTCGTATTTTTTATACTTGAAGAAAAAAAAGTTTGTAGGGAGAATTTGAGCTAATTTTTCTATTGGAAATATTTATGTATGTACTTAATTCTCCTTAAAAAGATTTTTTAAAAATTTTCTAAAAATTAATCAAAAAAATAATTTTAATTTCTGAATGGAGCCAATCCTTTTTGCTAGCCCAAAACATTTTGTGAATGGGCATGTTGTTAAAGTTGGACTTAAACATAACCAATTATTTGTTGCTTATCGAGACAAAACATTGTTGGAAATTTGGTCTGTAAATTGTTATATTCCTTCTTCTTGGCAACAATTATTTAAACAAGAATATCATGATCTTTTTTATGCTAAATGTGCACTATCAATTGAACAAAATGCTATTTTTGTTTTAGTTGCTGCTTTTTTTGTTAGTTTATTTGGAAGTAAAAATACCTACAGAATCCTTATAATTTTAATAAAAAATCTCAGATTAATTAGTAATTAAAAATTATTTAAATTAATCCTAAAAAATAAATATACAAAGGAAATAATTATTTAATTATTTCTTTTTCAAATTTTTGGCCACACAGGGACGTGATGGAGGTGTTTGTATTCTTCGTTATAATCTAGATAATCACCTACTAGAAGAATTTTCGTTAGATTCCGAAGAAGCTTATAAATTTGAAGAAGTTACATTAGAAAGGGTTGGATTAGGTTGTGGACATAAAGAAAGGCAATTATTTCTTTATGATCGTACAATGGTTACTGGACAAATACCTTTTTGGAATATTTATTTAAATGAAGAAAAGGTTGATTAAATGAAATTAATTTTTTTTAATTAATATTTATATAGATGACTTTCTCTGTAAATTCACTTCCAATACTTGATCAAGAAAATATTTGTGAAAACTGTACACGTTTCCCAGTTGTTATTGATGGAGATAAAAGAAGGGCTTTGAGAATAAGTAATGACTATAAAGTAATTATTTAATAATTATTTTTTTGGAGAAGAAATATTTTTTAGGTTTTTATTTATAATTCTGATAGTGAATGTTGGGAATTATTTAGTGTTGATGATGGAAAGTCTGGACTGGATGTGTGAATTTAAAAATGTTTTTGTTTTATTAATTTTAATAAATAAATAATATTTTTCTTTCAAATTATTTTTTCAATTTTAAAGTTGTCCTATTTTGCTGTACGTGGACTTAATGAAACATTTGGGCGTAACTGGCATCGAATTACTGTAATTGAATCGAAATTATCAATTTTTGTTGATGGAGATTTTTGTTTTTTTAAAGTTCTCAGAAATGGAGAACATTTTTTCTTTAAATTTACAATTTCAATGAAAGAATGTACTTATAGGTATTTTAAAGAGAATATATTTTTAATTTTTAAATTTAAAGACTAGAGCATTGTGGATGTATATCTTTAGATAAAAGATTAGAAACTTTGTGCTTTTTGTCTTGTTCAAAATTAAAAATTGCTTTTGTCAACAAACATATTGTTGGATTTGTAGCAATTCAGCCACCAGAGTTAAGAGAAATATGCTTTTGGGCTATACAAAAAGAATATTTTGTTAAAAGAGCTTCTGATAATTTATGGGAAGGAGGGAAAACTGAAAAGGAATTAAGAAAAATACTTTCAATTAATTCAAATTTAAAACTCATTGATTAATTAATTGTTTAAAAATATTTTATTTTATTTTAAAATTTGGACTGCTTTTACTATAATTATTTCTAAAAAAAAATACAAAAATAACAAAATTAATTAAAATTATTTTGAATGATTTTGCATTGAAATTGGAGCAAATATTGCCCCTCCAACAATATTTACTGGACCTAAAGTTGTTGTGATAGTTGTTGTTGTTGTTAATGGAGTTTGTGTTGTAATAATTGTATTTGAAGATATTGTTGTTGTTGTTGTATTATTTAATATTTTATTATCTCCATTATTTGAAGGTAAAGAAGTTAAAATAATTACTAAAATAATAGCTAATATTCCAATACTTAATGTGGCAATTAATGCCCCTCTCAATAACCATTTTTTACGAAAATTTTTGTTATTCCCATTTCTAAAGAAATTAGTAGTAGAATTACTTCCGTTGCTAGTATTACTTGAAGGTGTAGCAGTGATTGTGTTTCTTGCTTCTATTTAAATTGTTAAAAGATTTTAAAAAAAATAAATTAACTTTTAGTCGGTTCATCAATTGCAGGTAACATATTAACATGCCCTTTTGGACTCATTGGAGGTGCCATAACTGTTTGTAAATAAGGACCAACAGCTGCGGAAGAAATTGACCGACGTCTAGGCCCGTCATTTATTCCACCATCTTCATTTACTGGTGGATAAAGTGGAGGCACTCTACTATTAAATGGAAGGGGTGATTGGATTCGGGGAGGAGGGGGTGGAGGTGTTTTAATTTGTGTTTGTGAAGCTATAGGAATTATTTGTTGTTGGGATGTTGAAGTCTAAAATTATTTTTATTTTTTAGAAATTAAAATAAACACAAACATTATTTTGTTCTAAAGTATTTTTTAAATTTAATTCGTCGTCATTTTGGGGTAGAGAAAGTGGGGAAGGTATTCTACACTAAATTTATATAAAATTATTTTCCTTTAATTTAAAAGAAAACTTTTAATGTTGGTTCAACAATTTTCATTTGTGGCATTTCTTCATCGGCAATTGTTGCCAATGGTTTTTCTAATTTATTATTACAATTTTTAATTTCTTTCTCCTCATCATTATCATTAGATTCTTTAGTTTCATTATTACATTCTTTAGGCATTTGAATTATTCTAGATTGTAATTGACCTCTGGAAGCTAAACCATTCTTTTTATTCCGAAAATTGTTCTAAATTATTTTAAATTAGTATATATTTTATATAAATGGATCTCAATTTTACATACACCCTTGGGGGTAAAAATTGTTTGTAAAATAAAGGAGTATCCATTATTTTTCGAAAAATTATGCGAAAAAGTCGGGATGTACGTAAAATGGAGGTCTAAATGTAATTAAATTATACTAATTCATTAGCTGCCAATAATTCCTCAGCTCTCTGTCTCATAAGCATTTGCGCCGCTGCTTCTGGCAATGGCACATATTCTCGTAAATGATCACTTAATGCTGCACTTGGTAATACATTGGCAGTAGTTCCATTAATTAAATTACTCTTCTGTGCTCCGCTTCCTATTATAAATATATAAAATTAATTTTATTGATAAAGAGATCATTTTTTTGTTTAAAGTTTACAAGTTAATTTTTCCTATAAACATCAATATTAATAAAATCACTAAATATGTAATTAATTAATTTACCTATTCTTCGTCCAGCAGCTGCCATAACTACCCCTTTTGGCAATCCATTAAGTAAAGAGGCTGGAGGAGCAGGTAATTTTATACCACTCGGTTGTAAACGTCGCTGCGTTCCAGGTGTACTCATTGGACTTGAAAGAAGCGAGGGTGAGGCAGTGTTTGGGAATGAACTAAATAAAGAATTAATTATTAATATATTAAATATAATCTTTGGACAAATTATTCTTATAATTTAAATGAGCCATAATTTAGGTTTAAAGATTTTTAGTTTAATAGGAAAATCGTACATATTAATTTTATTAAAATCAGACTTTGACTGTGTTAACACATTTTTGGTTCCAATCGTCGACTGTCTGCTCAATGATAATTTTTTGTTCAAAAGTTGAAGTTGTGTCTGATCATAACTTTGACTAAACTGCTTGACAGAATTTTCCCGTTCTCCGTGTCGCGTTGGCTCTCCTCTTTCCACGTTAAGAATTGGAGGAATAATTGGAGGTGGTGGTCTATCGGGAAGGGAAGATAAAGTTTTATTAAAAGATTTTTCAGAATTTGCTGTTGAAGGAACATATCCAAAATTATTTTCATACTTTCCAGTTTGTTGTCTTTGTCGTGTTAATGTTGTATTTGTAATTAAAGGTTTTGGTGGTAATGTCGTTGATGGTGATCCTAAATCTGTTGATAATGCTGCTACAGTTGCCATTTATAATAGAGGACAGATTAATATATAAATTTAGGTAATAATAAAAAACAGCTACTTGTACATATAATAATTTTACGAACAAAAAAAGAAAATTATTAAAAAAATTATTTTTTAATTAAATAATATGTATGTACATATTTCTAATTAAATAAAATTATAGGAAATTGAAAAATCACCTGCCCTTATATTAATGAATTTTAACTAAGAAAACAAAAAATTAATAAAATAATTAAATTTTAGAATAAAAATTTTATTTTTCAATTTAATTAACAAAATTAAGTAAAAAATTAAACAAAAACATTCCAAACACGAATTGGCATTTAAAAGACGCATGACATGTTCTGCCTGCCACAAATTAATAATTAAAATATCCTCGCAAAAAAAAAGTTAAAAATAAAAGTGCAAATTATGGCTAACAACGGAAAAGTTTTTTTTTATTTTCTTTACTTTGTTCTTTTTATATTTATTTATTAGTTTTTTTAAATAAAAAATACTTGAAACTGATGTTTTATTACAATAATTATAACCTAAATAGTAGACTCCTAACAGAATTTAAACGGAAATAAATTTAAAAAATAAAAAGTTTTAAGTTGAGGTAAAAATTAGACCGAGATTAGAACATTGGAAGCTCAATTTTATTAAAAAATATTCATACTACTTATACTATACATATTTATATAGGTATCGATATATAGGTATCAAATATTTATATAGGTTAACAAATATTTTATTAACAAAATTCGTATTAGTGCCTTGTAGGAAGTAACGTGTATGTATAAGGCCAAAAAATTTAGCATAAAGTGGTTTTTTGCCTATTTTCTCCCGATAAGACAATTTCAGAGCTAGAACCTTTAAAATTTTTTCCACGAATATATAAAAATCTAACAGCTTTTTTTTAATTTTCTGAACTACAAAACGTGTAAAACAAAATTTAAAAAAAATTAGGTAGGATTATTATTTAATTGCTAGAAAAATTTAAATGTAGAGTTCTCGTTTAAAGAACTTTTTTAAACGAAAAAACTCTAGAAAACTTTTGCTGTCTATTACTATGTATAAACACAGTAATTAATTGTAAAATTCTTTAAAATTAAAATAAATATATTTATTAAAAGACAAAGAAAAGTTTTTAAAATAAAATTTTAGAGAAAGTCGGCATGGAAACATGTATAGAAGAATTGAACACTCCCTTTAAACAATAAATATCAGAATTAAAAAGAAAATTTAATAAATAAACAGAATTAAGTTGGAAGAAAAAAAATAAAATTGTACAAACCTAATATTTTATTATATTTATAATGCCGCTATATATCCGTACGTATAATTTGTTATATAAATGCTATAATAATTATTTTGTTTTTTTAAATAGGTAATTGTACTTATATAACAATTATTTTATATTTATTTTTTGCTGAAAATTTTTTTAGATAAAAATATCAAATATAAAATTGTATACTACTGTTAACAATAACAAAAAACAAAAATAACTGCCAACAATAAAATAAAAATATTTAATTTTAAATTTAATTTTGTACTATAATTTATTATTTTCTTTCGACGCTTCTTTGTCTAAAATTTTATAAAAACAATAATTTTATATTTTTTAATTACATTTACATAATTTTGTGATTGAATTAATTCATTATTTCTTTCATTTTTATTTATTTTTAATTGTAAATCTGGTAATTGTATTAATAATTGATTTTGATAATTTCTGTTGCTAACCCGTTAGACCAAGCGGATTTCAAAAATTAGGCTCCAAAACCCCGAAAATTAAAATCCGAAAACCCGCTCGAAAACATTAGACTGAAAAAATGCTGATTATTTTACCTTTATTGCATAAATTTGTATTGCAAATCCACTGTTCACTTCCCAAAATATTTCTATATCCAACCTTTTTATTTTTTTTAATTATTTTAAATAATATATTTTTACTTTAAATCTTGAATAAGTTTCTGATTCATTCATACTTAAACAGCCCCTTCTCCAATGTTGGCCATAACCCTGCCAAATTTCTCGTTGAATAAAACAAAAATGTCCAAAACAATCAGAACTTGTACTAGTTGAACATTTAACCAAAAGATGGCTATCATTATTGATAGGATAGGGTATTTGATTATTACAATTATTCTATTTCAAAATATTTTTATTTATTATTTTAATTTTAATTCAATCAACTTCTTTGTTGCAAGTACATCCAGTAATTATTTGTTCCCCAATATCTATTCGATAACAAGCATTAGACCTTAATCCTGTTCCTGGCCAAACTTTGCCTAATAATAAATGAAAATTGAATTGAGCTTCAGAACCACAATTACGTGAAATTGTGCTTTCTAATAAAGATTTACGAGTAATCTAAAAATATTTTAAAAACTTTATAAAATTTATTTTTTACATTTAATTCTATAAAAAAACATAAATCAGAAATGCATGAATTCCGAAGAGGTTTAACAATTTGTTGGCGAATAAATGAAGCTGAGGTACGTGATTGACATTGAATATTGTTTGGGGAAGATAATTGAAATGAATTGTTTGCTGAATATTCCGTAATAATTTTATTGTTGTTTACATTGCAAAAATCAGTTGAACTTGAAAAGTTTATTTAATTTTAAATATTTAGTACAAAAATTAAGGATTTTACTTGCAAAGACAAAGAAAAGCATCAACTCTATTTTTTCTACAACCCATAGGTGGAGAGCTTTCTCCACGTAAATCAGGTCCAACTAAACATCCTTGTCTTATTTGGTCAGTAGACATTACTCTATAAAACCAGATAGCACAAATATCCCCTTTACATGGATCATTACATCTATTTAAATTTAATAAAAAAAATCAAATATTTTATTAAAAAATAATTTTTAAACACATATTAAATTAATATAATTTTACAAAATTTACAAAAGTTGTCCATTAGCTAATGTTCGACAATCCATACATTTTAAAGAATAAATTCTAGCATTTATTAATATAATTAATAATAAAAATAAAATAAACATTATTTTTGATTTAATTTTAATAATTTCCATTTAAAGGAAAATTTAATTTTTGAGATCATTTTATTTAATTTTATTGGATATACATATTTTAATATTTTAACAAAAAGCTAATAATTATTTCAATATTTTTAAATTAATTTTTCTGACAATGAGAGAAATTCTACATATGTTTTAAATCCCAAAAATGAATTTTAAAATATAAAACAAAAATTTGGTGTATTTTACAGGTAAATTGAGAAAAAACGGATATACACAGCCATAAAATAAAGAGAAAAATTAAAAGAAACATTTTGTTTATTATGTAAATATTAATTATTTATTGTCTATTGTTAATTAAATAAAAAACAATAATTCATAGTTAAAAAATTGTAAATGAGGAAAGAAAAATCTTTCATCTTTAAAAAATAAAGTTTGTAAAGGAAATAAAAACAGAAAAATATTTACATGGATAAAAACTACTAGTTAAAACAATACTCTCTCAAGGGAGAATTCATCATTTCATTCATTTTTTTTCACTAGATATTTAAAAAAGAAAAGATAAGGGGGATTATGACACAATTTTTATAATTCCATATGATCTGTATTTATAGCGATGAAATTTTTGATGAATCGTGGCAATTAGTTTTTGAAAAATGTAACAAATAATAATTGTCATTTCTTTTTTAGTTACCGCAAACAGTGGTGAATAATGCCTGAAATAATTCAATAAACGCAAAAATACCCCTAAAATACCCCCAAAATACGAAAAAGTAATAAATACACAGTACTGATCAAGTTTGAAACAGACAATAAGTCTTATAAGTAGAGCCCGGAATTTTGTATCGTACCGTATAATACTACCGTATAATACCGATACAGATAAATGCCGATGAATTTCAAAATTATAATTCCATATAATCTGTATTACCGATACGGAATACCGATAGATACCGGTTTCACAAAATCTATACAGTACTCACAACAATAAATTTTTTATTTCTGCGTTTTTATGTTTTGCCTTTGTTTAGATTTTTGGCCATGCGTTTTGCGTTTTTTTGAAATTATTCCTTACGCCCTTCCCTGTTCAGTTTGACCGGTTAGCCAATCTTTTTTGCTTTTCAAAAGCTTTTTGTATAATTATTGAACTTCGTTTTTACACTTAGTATAGTATTATGAAGCGTTATCGAAACTTCTTTACTTCTTTTCGTGGTCGATTTCTGCTGCCTTTAATTTTAATAAATATATTTATTTTTATCACTTTTTTCTATTCATTTTTCTCTTCACGCCCACAACAACTAGTTGAACGTCAAAATATTGGTTTATTTTTAATTTTTTTTAAATTTTATATTTATTTTTTTTAACTTAATTTCTTATTTAGAACTCTCCTCACAACCAGCTCGTCTAAAAGAACCAATTTCTAAACCATTAATTCTTATGTGGACTAATATCTTTCGTCTACAAACAATGCAACTGGACTCGGATTGCCCTCTAGCTTCACTTTGTGAATTAACTTATAATCGTTCCTTTCTTCCAAAGGTTTTTTTCTTAATTATTTTATTTTAAATATTTCTTTCCCATTTTCAGTCTTCAGCTGTCGTTTTCCATATTCCTGACATTAGTTGGAATTACTCACGGGGTATACCTACAGTGCCTGATCTGCCAAATCAATCCGCAAGCGAACAAAGAGTAAATGTTTTTCTATCCCACGAAAATCCAACAATACTCAGAACGATGTATATGTCTGGAGCTTTATCTAGACATGGTTTGTTTATATATTTTTTAATATTTGTGATAATAAAAGTTGTTTGACTTGGAGGTTTTGCGAGCCTTCTATTGTTATTGTTCAGTTAGTGACAACTTTTAAAAAATCATTCATATTTTTACTAACTCTATCTTCATCTAAAATTAGATTATTATTTCAGTTCACAATTTTTTCCATTGGGCCATGACCTATCTGCGCGCTTCTCATGTTTCAATGCCTTATGGTGGTTTTTGGCTTCCTCCGGCGGAGACTGCAAGACTGGGAATTAACCCAATACAATTACCATCTGATCAAAATACCATTCTACACAATAAAACACAACGTGGAATCCTCTGGTTGGTCTCTAATTGTAATTCAAACTCAAAAAGGGAAGTTGCCGTCGAAGCACTATCAAAGTAAATATATTTGGATATACTTTAGCCGGTGGCCGGTTCGAAACCGATTCGAAATATATACCATTCGATTCGTCTCGGCGAGCTGAGTCGAATGGTACCACTCCCAGGGTGCGGAAACGCCTGTGGACCGAGATATAGGTCCCCGAAAATCGAAAAACCATAGGGGGGAGTAAGCAAAATTTTGGGATGAAAAATTCGATTTTTTGAATGATAGCTCACTCGAAAGAGCTCCGCGAGCTGAGTCGAATGACACCAAAATCAACGAAATCCGACTTAATTGAACCGAGATATAGACCCCTAAAAACCAAAGATCCAAAGGGGTGATTTCTGGAATAAAAATTTTTTCATACAAATAATACCTCATTCGAAAGAGCTCATCGAGCTGAGTCGAATGACACCAAAATCACCGTGATTGGACAAGATTATACAAAGTTATGACACAAAAAACAAAATACCTAAACCTATGGGTCGTCGGCGAGGCGCTTGTGCAAAACCCCGCGCTTCGCGCGGGGTTTTGCGGCACGCGCCTCGCGGGGAGTCTACGGGCGCTGGGTCTGGGCTCGTAACATAAACCTATTCCTATCTCCCTTGCTCTGGACGTATTTGGGGCCTCCGTAGCAGCAAAAATGGTAATAGTGTCGTTTCCCAGCCCCCTTTTTTTCCTCCCAATTTTCTACCCTATGTTTGTACGGAATGGTCAAATTTTCCCCTTTCTTTCATCAAATTTGCCTTTCCATATTTTGCCTAAAAACAATCAAAAAAGATTAATTTTTTATTCATTTCTTTCACAAGGATAAAAAAGTGAGACATGATGCCAGAAATTATAAAAAACATTTTCAATATTGCCAAATCGTTTTCGCCACATAAATTCCGGGAGATAACTTTTATAGGTTTCAGTGTTGTTGCCAGCTTGATGTCTGAATTTTCGTTTATAAGTTGAATTTTTGTCTGAATTTTTATTTTTCATATAAATCAATAGGTTTGAAATTCTTTAGTTCTTCCATTTTTATTAATTGGGAAAATGATTCTTCTCATTACTCTAATACTTATTTAAATATCAAAAATTAATCTTTTTTGATTGTTTTTAGGCAAAATATGGAAAGGCAAATTTGATGAAAGAAAGGGGAAAATTTGACCATTCCGTACAAACATAGGGTAGGAAATTGGGAGGAAAAAAGGGGGCTGGGAAACGACACTATTACCGCAAAAATCTCCACAGATACCATAGGTAAGGAGCTAAAATAAAAGATCATAACTTTGTCCAATCAAGTCGGATTTCATTGATTTTGGTGTCATTCGACTCAGCTCGAGGAGCTCTTTCGAATGAGCTATTATTTGCATATTCGAATTTTTCACCCCAAAAATGTGCTTACTCCCCCCTTTGGTTTTTCGATTTTCGGGGACCTATATCTCGGTCCACAGGCGTTTCCGCACCCTGGGAGTGGTACCATTCGACTCAGCTCGCCGAGACGAATCGAATGGTATATATTTCGAATCGGTTTCGAACCGGCCACCGGCTAAAGTACAGCCATATATTTAATCAATATTCTTTTATTAACTTATTTTAGATATATTAGTATAAAAATTGGTGGAAAATGTGGAAAAACACCTGAGGATCGGAATTTTTGTCCTAGGAACAGAGATTGTAGTTATTTATATAAAAATTATTATTTCTACATTGCTATGGAAAATGATATTTGCAACAATTATGTTACTGAGAAATTCTGGGAAAGATACACTTTTCCTTCTGTGCCAATTGTTTTGAAAGCTTCGACCTATCAAGGGTAAAATTAATTCTGTTATCGGCCGCGTAGCCAGGAAAAATTTACAGAGATTCATTTTTGAAAATGTAGGCGCCAAAAAAACCTAGAGAATTATTTATAAGATTTTTCGTTTATTTTAGTTTTATTCCGGACAATTCTTTCATCGCATTGGATCAATTTAAAACCCCGAAGCAAATGGCTGAACATTTAAATTGGCTAATGGATAACCCTATTCAGTATCTGAAATATTTTGAATGGCGTTCCAAGGGTTGGTCAATTGCTTGGAATCATGAAGGATTTAGAATTGGTTTGGTTTTTTAATAATTTATTTAATTTAAAATAAGTTTAATATTATTTATTTTTTGAAGGGCCGTGTGCTCTCTGTGAACGGTTGCTACGACTTTCAAATGGAAGCGAACCTTTTCCAAGCCCAATTCCAAATGCTGTAAAATGGTTTGAAGAGAATTCTAATTGTGAAGGTGGAGATTTTGCGGTGCAATGGAGTCAACAAAAATAGATATTTATTTTGCTTTAACAAAAACATCCAAAAAGTTTATATTTTCCTTCCTTATTCTACTATTCATAAATCTCATAGATTTAAAATATATCTCGTTTTCGTTATCATTCTCCTCCCTGTGATTATTTTCTTGTTAGCAACATATGTTTAGATGCCCAACCCATTAATTTGCAGGACAGCAATGTTTGAATGCTAGCTCATTTGAATGAGACCAAAATTATCCTTATTCGGTTATTCTGAACAAATTATGTCAATTTGAGATCTGCTAGTCTTTGATACTTACAAAAACATGCGAATAATTGGGTTATGAATCTAAAGATATTTTTCATTTATAAAGTTATTTTACATTAAATACTAGTTAAACATTTTTTATCAAGTCTGTATCTTCAAAGCAGTTTATATTTATTTTAATTTCAATATTAATCTTTTTTGATTAAGAAAATTTTGTAGAAAAAATTAAAATGGGAATTACTGGTGTTAATGTTTTCCGCGGTGCTAAAGGATATTTTGGTCCAGGATATATAGAACAGTTTAAAAAGTTTTGGGAACGTTTTGCTTATACTTATGGTTGGTCAGGCCGTCAATATGGTTAGTTTTACATTAATGTTACTTTTAGTTGAATATTTAAATATATCAGAGATTTCTTAATAAATTAGAAGCAAAACTAAAATTTAATTATAATTTTTAAAATTGAAGGTCTTCATGTTCATGATGCGTTTTGGGAGTCAGAGCCGGAAGTTACTGAGGCAATCCGTCGTTATCGCCTAGCTGATCCTTATGGGGTAGTAATATTTATTTTGCTTAAACTTAATTATATAATTTTTTCATTGCCAGTATGATCTTCGTCAACAACGTATTTTGCGCGCAAGTTTTTTGATCATGAACCATGAACGTTTGCCTAAAAACGAGTGGACTACATACGACGGGGATAGCTGTTATTTGGCTTCAATCTTGGATGATATTGAAAAAGAGAAGTTGGAGCGTGTTCGAACTACTGGGATTAAACCAGGCTATCAGCTGAAACTTCAGCTTTGAGAAGTTGAAAAGATGACAATAAAGGAGAGAAGTTTAAACGTGTGTAAGGGTTATTTTTTATTTTTAGGATTTAAATAAACATTTTTCTGTTGAAATAGATAAAGAATAAATGAATTTATTTTTTATTATACAAGAAAATGCTTGTTGGAATCACTAAAATTGTCCCAATAATCACTAATGCCAATTCGGCATAGACAGCGATTTGTTCAGGAAACATCAAATATGCTTGGAAATACAGCAAGTAAACACACCCAATTATTGATGCCACACTTAGTAAAATTGAAAGAAGTAGAAATGCTTGTGTTTCTGTTAAATTGCCGCGGCGAGCTGAAAAATTTTTAAAAAATCCACCATTTATTTTGAATGTTTTTTTTGGATTTTATTTAGTAAATACCCCAATGGATCCGTATAAAATCAATTGGTCCAAGTAATAGAACAATAAAACTTTCACATATTCCAACATGTAAGGAGTAGGGCATTAAGCTAACTAAGAAAAATAATTTAAAGAACCAAATGAAAATATTTAAAATTGGTTACATTTATAAACAAAAACGCTTATAAGAAATATATAGAATATTGTTGAATATCTTGCATTAAAATATAACAAAATTTCCAAAGGCAATGAAGATCGCTAAATTTAATAATTAAACTTTGAAAACTTTGTCCCAACTAATAGAACAATTTTAATAAATAAACAAATAAAAACTCATCAGACTTACCATTCTAGATATTTCCATAAGTTCCCTAATCAAAGATTAAGTTTTATAAATTTATCATAAAGAAATAGTTATTTGGTTGTCAAGGTGATGCATAAATGTAAATATTATTTCATCATCTTAAACATTTCCCACATTCTCCAATCTTGAAATTGAGTGAGAAATCTGTTTATAATTTTCATTGGCTTTTGTTCCTTCTTTATAATCCAATTAAAAGTTATTATCCGCCCGATATTTAGAAATCTATTCGAGAATGTTATCCAAAATTTATCATTTGTAGTTAGAGATTTATTATTTTTATTTTTAAGTAGGAAAAGAAAAACATGCTGTATTGATAAGGGAAAATGACAAAAAGAAAAAAGCTGGACTTAAACCGAAACTTCACTACTAGAAAATTGAAATAGTAGGAACTTGGAATTTCTGCTTTTCGCCTCCTTTAAAATTTGTTGATGTCTGCTTAAAATTTGTCGATGCCTAAATACTAAATTCTAGCAAAAAAACTCATTTTATCTAATACTCTTTAAGGATTTTTAGTACTATTAAATACTTCAAATAATAACTAAAAATCTAAAATACTAATTTAATCAATATTTATTAATTATGCATAGAAATAAATTATTATCACAAATTAAATCGCACAAGATTTAAAAAGAAATTATTAGAAATATCAAACAATTTTAAAAAGAAAAGAATTTTAATGAAAGTCAAAAAGAAAGAAAAAAGAGAAAGCAAATGAGGTAAAAAAAACAAAAAAAAATATTTATTGCAAATTAATTAAGAGTATTTTTATTTTAATTTAAACTTCCAAAAATATTTCCTTCTTTTCATCATTTTTAGATAAATATTTTTTCAAATTAAATTTAAATTTTGTCAAAATATTTTCAAAAAAAGAATCAAATGATTGCTTATTTTTGTTATAAATATTTAAATAAATTGCTAATAAAACAATAAGGCCTGACCAAATATATTGTTGAGTAAATGGTTTTGAAAATAAATAAAAAGAAAAAATAATAGTTATTGCTTTACGCATTGTTGTTATCTGAAAATTTTGGAAAATTTAAAAATTAATTAAAAAACATTTACAGTAACAGCAACAAGAGCACCAGAAATTCTAACTAATGTAAGAACTAGATTAACGCCAAAATACCCAACCGTTCCCAAAATTAAAGTATAACCATAAGTTTCTGCAGGATGCTAAAAATATTTAAAAGAAAATAAAATTATGAATAAACAAAAATTTTAAAAATATTTTTGTTAATATTTATTTTTAAATTTATTAATCATTTGTTCATCATCTTCAAAAAATTATTATTCTTTTTTAAATCATTTTTTAAAAATTTCCCTCCTAATTTTTTAACTTTCCCTTCCTTCCAAAATATTTTTAAAAAATATTTCTAAATATTTAAAACAAACCTTAGCAAAAAAATAAAAAGAACTAGGCAATTGTCCAGTAAATAAAAGGCCAATAAAAATAAAGCAAGTTCCAATTGAGTAAGAATACAAAACCTTTTTTAAAAAATATTTTTTGATTTCTCAAAAACCCCCCAACTAACCACTTCCTCATTCGAAGCATTAAAAGTTTTCATTGCTTTTTCTTGAACATTTCCAATAATTGCATCAGCAACCAATGCTAATGAAATCATTAAATAACCTTTTGGATTAAAATTTGGAGATACTTTACTGTCAGCTAAAGTAAATAAAGCTAAGCCAAAACTCATTAAAATGGCTGCCAATAAATCAATAATTCCATATTTCTTTCCTTGAATTAAAATTCCCCCAATTAAAACAGGGACAAGTTTACAACATTTAAAAATAACTTGGGTAGGGTAATTCCTTTAAAAATTAAATTTTTTTTTATAAAAAAATTTAAAAAAAACTTACAAATAACCGACAGAAGCATTTGAAAGCCCCATAGTGGCAACTGTATAAAAAGAAATTTGAAAATAAACTTTCCAGGGAATTCTTTAAAAAATAATTTAATTAAAATTATTTTTAACAAAAGAAAACCTTCTACCAACATTTCCAACAATAAAATACATTTCAGAATATGAGAGGACACTATAAATAATAAATTGAATCAAAGTAAGGTACCAGCCGTAGGGTTGCATTCCGGGAAGTCGAAAAATTAATTCCTAAAAAAAAGAAAATATTTTAAAAATATTTTTAATTTAAAAATACCTGCATATATCCATAAATTAGGTAAAAGAAAAATACAGCCAAAGAAATAGCCAAAAATTGTGGGAGTTTCGGCCATGAACTAATATCAAAATTTAGGAGTTTAACTGGTGGAGGAAGGTGATCGTGATTGGATATGTAACCATTCTTTAGATCAGACCCCATTTTAAGAAACCTTCCCCTGCAAAAAATAAAGAAAAAAGGTTTAAATTTTGAAGAAAAGAATGTACAAACAAACAAAAAAATCAAAAAAATCCAACCGCAAAAAATTCGTCCACGTTTCTCTGTGTATAACCTAGCAAAAAACAGAGAAAGATAAAAAAAGGATTTTCTGTCTTTATTGAATAGAATGCCAAGAAAATGGCAAAAAATTTTTATTTAAAATTATTAAATTTAAAACACGATATCCAATTCTCTACACTAATCCTGAGCTCCCTTTCATAATTATTTTGGAAGTACACTACCTACAATCCGATCTTGTACTTATTTATAAGTATGTACTTATAAATTGACTTTTTGGTTAAAAAATTAAGCTTAACCTTAAAATTTTCACATGCGGTGTTAAAAAAGACTCGGGTAAGAAATATGAGAGATTTGACAAATGACTGAGAATAATTTTTTTAAATTATATTTTTGTAGGTGCTTATATGTTGAAAATTTATATACATAAATTAAACTTTTTGTATAATGTATGTGTGTATACATTTGCTTCTAGATCCTCCCTTAATGTGTGTTTATATTAAAGTGTGTTTCATATAGATACTTGGTTCTATTAGAACATTTACGGTATTTATAAAGTGCGTAAGTTTGCGTAAAGTTCACGTAAACTTTTTAAACTTAAGTTAGTTCACATTATAATCTAATGCAAATTTTGATTGATTTTCTATCCCACAAAATTTAAAAATGTTAAATTTTATTAAATACCTTTGTTCATTATTCTTTAATTTATTTTCTTAAATTTTACATCTTTTAAAAATTCTCATTATAATTTATTTCAAGTAATGCCAATTTTATTCTCCACGGCAACCAACAATAATTTGTTCGTTAAACAATATATTTCTTTATATCTTAAGTGTTCGTTTAAGGCGTTTTCCCATTCTCGGTGTCCATTCCTTTTTCATTTAGGTATATCACGTTTAAATCTTTATATCAAGTAAATGTTTCCCGATTACCGTTATTTTCATAAATTATTTTTTCTCCTAAATGTAGACCAAGAATTAGTGTATTTTTAAGTTTATTTTCTGACTAATTTTTAAAATTATTAAAATATAATTAACAATTAAAAGTTTTTTGTTTAAAGTTTAAAGGTTTCTCTTAAATTAAAATGAGAAAATCGGAAGAATGCGGCCGTGATTATACAGTTCCCGTTCCCCCACCTCCAATTGACGGCCATCTTTATCCAATTATTGAACATCATCCAAATGAGGTTGCTAGAGGTAATAATTTACCCTCAACTCCGTTACCACCTGTTTATTCGCAAACTAATGGAGTTTCAACTGGAAATATTGGAGGCAATTTAATAAATAATAAATATAAAGAATAAATTTTTAATTGTTTATAGGTCCACCACCATATAATGACCAACAACAACAACAATTTGGTTGTCAACCTATAGGTGTACGTTATTTTGTTCATGGGCAACAAGATGGTGGTAGATCTTCAGGAAACAATTCAGGGAGAGAATTTCATGCCATTCACACGACACTTCCTGCTAATGGGGGTAAAGAAATTTATTTTACATTTTCAATTATGCTTGTCAGTTTTTATTGACAAATTAAATTTTGTAATGATTAAAAAATATTTTCTAAAGATACAGTTTTTTACTACATTTCTTCCTCATCTTCACCATCTGGTCCTAATTGTAAAAGAAATGAGCCATTCCTTTTAATTCGCCGTCGCCGTTCGAGCATTGCTTCAATTGTTTTAGCCTCACTTCTAGCTTCTATTCTTTTAATTGTCTTTGTTCGAATGCATACAGAGTTTGCCAGAAAACATATACAACAACAAGAGGTATTTAATAATTAGATACTTTATTTATTTATTTTCTCAAAACAAATTTATAACAAATTTTGATAATATTATTATTTGCTTTGGATTATTATTTAACATTCTTTTGTTTATCTTTTCTTTTGTTTCACCTTCTTCTCACCATTAAAGGTATTTAGGATAGTAAGGTTTTGGTGGAGGTGTTGGAGGCGGTGGAGGAGCGTAAGTTGGAGGAGCATAGACTGGTGGTGGTGGAGGTGGTGGAGCATAGGTTGGTGGAGCGTAGACAGGAGGTGGAGGAGCATAGGTTGGTGGAGCATAGACAGGAGGTGGAGGAGCATAAGTTGGAGGTGCGTAGACTGGTGGAGGAGGTGGTGGAGCATAAGTTGGAGGTGCGTAGACTGGTGGTGGAGGAGGCGGTGGTGGTGGAGGAGGTGGTGCGTAAGTCGGTGGAGCGTAGACCGGTGGTGCATTTCGTTTGGGCTTGTACGGCTTTTTGGTTGTTTCGGGTTCTTTAGTACTTGTAACTGGTGGTGGTGACTGAAATTAATTTTTTAAAAATATATTTAATTAATTGAATTAACCGTGGGTTTAAATCCCTCGCTAAGAGCAACCACCAAAGCAATCAAGAGAAAAGAAAAGATAACAGAAGATTTCATTTTTTGTTGTAGTTCTTTATTGAATACTATTGTGAATTGATATGTTTAATTCTGATTTTTCAGTCATTTTATATTAAAATTTTTGACATTTAACATTTAATTTAACATTTAAATTAGCAAAAATTATTAAATAAAATGTTAATGTTAAAAACTTAAAATATCATTTTTTGACTAAAAATAATATTTAGATTATTAATAATTTAATTTTATTACTAATAATTCTCAACTTTTTAGAAGAATTATTTTTTTATCCACACAAAAATTAGTATTTGTAGAAACATTTAAAAATGTTATTTAGTCATTTCTAACAATTATCAAAAATTCTATTAGCACTTTTTTAATTTAAATTATTTTAGAAAAATATTTTTATACTACTCAACTTTTAGATAACTTAAAAATAAATATAGTAGTCAACCCTTTACTTTGAGCCCTTTAATTGAGCAAATTCATGGTGATTTTTAAAGTTTTCCTAAAAAGTCAAATATGGCCATCGAACGTGAATCTTATGGATTACTTATTTGATATTTGGGGGGGGGGGGTCTGCCCTTAATAACCCAAAAGTTTGGAGTAGCTTCGGCAATCAGTCGTTCGGGGATGAGAGAAAATCTCACCATGGAATGAGCGAACTTTTGTTAAAAATTTTTCCTCACGCCTTTAACTTTTTATCCAAGTAAAGAAGTTGATACTTCGAAAATTCTTTATCATATTTATTCCTTATTTACACTATCATTTAAGCCTTATTTGATTTTATTATCTTTTATTTAAATAAAGTTGTGGCATAAATAGTTTGTTATAAACTTTTTAAGTCACATTTATTATTAACACTAATTTTAACTGGATAATTTATTAAAAGGAAATATATTTAAATTTCAAAATAACTTTTAATTATTAAAAATTAAAAAAATTTTAAAAAATTTCAGGAAATCAAGAGAGAATATAACAATTATTATGGAGGGGGTAGCAACACAAATGATCATTCAGAATTTAAATATCACAGTCATCAACCTCCTTCACATTCTGGAATATTTAATAATTATTTTAGTAACAACACTACTAGTACATTATTAAATTCAACAGATTTATTAGACAATTCTACTTCTTTAATTTTAAATAATTTAATGGGAAATACTTCAAATTATTTAAATTTAACAACAACAACAATTCAACCTTTACTAATTACTGATAGTAATGATTATAATGACGGATTAAATAATATTCAATCAAAAAATGGAACTGATAAACTACAAACACAAAATGAACCACCGCAGGAACAACAAATTTAAAATTAATTTTTTTCAAAACATTTTATTAAATTTAAGGGATATATTACTTAGGTTGTAACATAAGTTTTGATACCCGACCATGTTTTTCGATGAATGCTTTTATGGATATGGATGTTCTATATACCATTCGAAAGCTTAATTCGTATCTCGTTTGACATGTTTCAGCGTTTTTTTAAAAAATTTAAAACTTCTTAGATATACACTGATAAATGGGATATAGTCGGATATGCCAAATCCGGATCTGGCTATATAAATTTTTTACAAAAGATGAATTAATTTATTACTATTCCGTGGATTTTTCTGAGTTAGGATAAAAAAACAAAATTTAAAAATTTTGTGTCTGAGCAGAGATACGATTTTTTGAAAATCACATATTTTTTAACATTTTTGTCAAAAGTGTGACAAAATGAGAAAAATTGCTCTTAGCGACCAAATAATTTTACAAAAAAGCGAAAAATTCCCTTTTTTTAAAAATTCATATCTTGAGCTAGGAAAAAGATTTGTCCCTGATTTTTTTTGATTCTGGCTTCTAAAATTATTGTGAATAATCATTTTATGTTAGATCTTTTGTAAAAAATTTATATAGCCAGATCCGGATTTGGCATATCCGACTATATCCCATTTATCAGTGTATATCTAAGAAGTTTTAAATTTTTTTAAAAAACGCTGAAACATGTCAAACGAGATACGAATTAAGCTTTCGAATGGTATATAGAACATCCATATCCATAAAAGCATTCATCGAAAAACATGGTCGGGTATCAAAACTTATGTTACAACCTAAGTAATTGAAATTATTTAAAATTAAATATTTAAATTTTTTGTAAATAAAATATTTAAAAAACATTTTATATATTACATATTTATAGACACAGAATCTGATCCTTGCTTTAATTATAATCTTCTATATTTTATTTTTAAATCAATTATTCTAAATATTATTGAGTTGATATTGATAAAGATGTTTTTATTGTTTAGTATAACTTTTTCTCTTTTAATTTCCAAAAAAAATTTTTTTACTTAATTTAATATTAAATTGGCAACAGGACCAATATTTTTTAATAAAATATCCCAAAATAATATAAACTTAACTGAGAGTCACAGAAATCACTCACATCTTTATTTTTTAAACGAAAAAATAAATGTGAAAACGTGTCAGTCTCGTGGGGTAATGAAAAAAAAGATGTAGGAAATAAAGAAATAAAATATATTAAGGTTTATTTAAGGTTATTTTATTTGTCTAGTTTTTTAATTGTTTATTTAAAAATATCTGACTATTTATTTTTTTCCCCAAAATAATTAATACATTAATTTGATAAAAATATGAAAGATAAGCTAAAAATAATTTAAGAGAATTATTGGTGGAAAATGGAGGACTTTTTTAAGTGAACTTTAATTTTTTAGTCCATAAATAAAAAGCCAAAACCTATAAATATGTAACCAATTAAAAAGTTAGCTTAACTCATTTTTAAAAATAAATGAAGGAAGTTTAGAATATTTAAAACATTTTTTAGTTTAAAAAACATATCTTTAATTAAAGTTTTTATTTTAATCATAAATTACTTTTAAAATATTTTTATTTATAATTTTTTTGTTAAAGAAATTAAATTTTATTGGCAAAAGTAAATTAATTTAATTAAAATTAGAGTACCTTCTTAATATTTTCTGATCCAAAGAGCATCATTCTTCTTAAATTAAAAAAATTATTTTTAATAAATTTATTTGATAACAATTTTTTTCAATAAATATTTTTTTTATTTATTTTTCCTCTCCACTTTCTGATATGGAAAAGTGGCTCTGCCATCTTTATTATAATTTTATATTTTCTCGAATATTTAATTCCCCCAAAAACTATTTTTTAACAACCCTTTTTAATTTCAAAATAGAATAAAATTATTTAAATATTTAAAATTCAAAATATATTCTTTACTTCCAAAAATAATTCCTTAATTTTTTTAATATAAAAATCGATTTATATATAAAAATAAACTCAAGAATCAGTTAACGTGTACTTTCTTTAACTATTTTAGTTAAAGCAAAGTCATTCAAGAAAAAGTTAAAAATAAAATAAAAATATTTTATTCATTCATTTACACTTTAATTCTTTTTTATTTCTCAATAAACATTTGTTTATATTTTTTTTATTTTTAGGAGATACATAAATAAATTATTATTAAAAAAAATATTTTTTTGAATCATTTTGTTATCCTAAAAAATAATTTTTATTAATTTTATATTTTCTAAGACTAAATAAATTTAAAAAACATTTAAATTTTATTAAAAATGACTCGTCTTTGGTTAGCCAATATTTTTTCTAAAATTGGTTTAAATATTGGGAAATACCCATTTACGAGTATTCTAATATTTATTTTAACAACTTTATTACCTTTAATTCTTGGAATATTTTTTGGAGTAAAACCAGAACTTTCTTTAAATGATGGATTTATATCTTTCGATTCTCCTTCAAAAAAAGAATTGGTGGCACAAAAATATTTTTTTGGAGAAACAGTAATTTAAGAAATGAATTTTAAAAAAAAGAATTTTTTAAAGGAAAAATCAAAAGAATGGTATATGGCATTGTTTGGTATTGCTAATAATGAAATAAATGGAGATAAAGGGGGGAATATGTTGGAAGAGTCTAATTATAAAGAATTTAATTCTTTTTATCAAAAAATTTTTAATAATTTGACAATTAAGGATTTTAAGTAATTTAATTTTTTAGAAGATTTTTAAAAATAATTTTTTAAAGAAATTTAACTTACTCACAAATTTGTAACCCTTTTTGTGATATTAATGATCAATTTCTTAAATTAATGGTTTTTTTATTTTATATTTTTTTCTAAATTTTCTTTTAAAAGGAATATTCTACTTCGTGGCTATCTTCCTTAGGACAAGTTAAATTTAGTTATCCAATTAGTAAAGTTCTTGGTTATGATGTTAATATCGGTAAAGTAAGTAGATTTATACATATACTTTAAATTATCCTCTGACTTTAAATTATTTTTCCAGCCCGGAGTTAAATTTAAAAAATTCTTTCGGAGAATTAAGGAAATAAAATATTAAACAAAAATTTAAAAAAAAAATTAAAATATTTTAAATAAATTTTAAAAATTAAAAGCATATATTTAATCGTTCAATTAATGAAAAAGGAGAAATAATTAATGCTACAATGATTGCCTTATATTTTAGTACATTTATTAACGATAATTCAACAAAATTGTTTTTAAATAAATTTGAAGAAAAAGTTGCTGAAGAAGCTGAAATATTTAATAATTTAAATAAAAATAATATAAAAATTTTGGTTCATGGTTCAGGTGTTGTACAAAAAGAAATTGAAAGGGGAATAATAAATGATGGAAAGGTTGCTGTTATTTGTTAGTTTGGATTTTTAAATTTAAATATTTACTATTTTTTTAGCATTTTTAATTTCAATATTCTTCTTTATTTTAATCCATTCAATATCTGGATATATTTATTCACAATTTACTTTAAATAGAACATTAATTTCTTTTTTGTGTATTCCCTCTATTATTTTAATTTTATTGGGTATTTTTGGAGGAATTTCTTTATTTGGATTTCCAATTAATTTATTACATTTTAGTACTCCTTTAATTGGATTTACTATTTTAAATAGTTTGGTTTTTAAATAAAATATAAATATAAATTTAATTTAATTATTTTAAGTTGCTCATGGTACTTTTCAATTGGGAGATATTTGGTGTAAATTATTAAATGAATCCAAAGAAAGGCAATATTCTTCAAATGAAAGATTGGCTAAAGTTTTTGAAAAAGTTTTTAAAAAGAATTATTTTTTAATTAAAATCTTTTATTTAGATTGGCCCTTCAATGTTTTATTCCTCTCTTTGGCCAATTTTAACATTTTCAATTCTTTCCCTAACATTAACAGCATTAAACTACAAATCCTTATTTTTGGCAATAACCCTTTTATTTATTTACTGTTTTTTATTTAAATTATTATTTTTTTCTCCTTTATTGGCTTATTATTGTCATCATTCCGTAATAAATTTTTTTAATTAAGAAAATTCCAAAAAAAATATTTTTTTAAGGTTGAACATTCTCTTTTGGAAAATAGTCCCTATTCTTTATTTAATTTAAATTCAAAAGAAATAAATACTAAAAATAATAATCTATTGCCGCCAACAATTCAACAATTACGTTCTAAAAAAGAAAATAAATTAAATAAAAATAAATTAAAATTATTTAAAAATTCAAAAAAAATATTCGCCAATGGAGAAAAAATATTTTCAAATTTTTTAATTAATTCATTTAATGGCCGCTGTTTTATTTTATTAATAACAATTTTATTTTTATTTTTGTCTTTTTGGAAAGGAATTCCTTCAATTCAAAATAATATGGATTATAGAGAAATATTACCTAAAGAATCTAAAGCAATTAAAGGTTTTGATATTATGGATTTAATTTGGAATGATTTTTTACAAATTTTGTTTATTATTCAAAAACCACCTAATTTTGAAGATTCTGAACAATTTGGAGAATTTAAAGTAAAAATTAATTTAAAAATTAAAAAAAGAATTTAAAAATTATCTCTCTGATAAACGAACTCTTTCTTTGGTCCATTCAAGTTCTCATCCCTTTATTATTCCTTTTCTCGATATTTTTTTTCAAATTTATTAATTAACTTTCAAAATTTTTCGACATAATTGTTATATCCGATTTTTTGACAAAATTTATTAAGAAAATTTAAAGAAAAGAATTTGTTTTTGAAGAGGAATTATATACCTAAATATTTTTAAAGGAATTCCTTCACGAAGCTACTTCATTAAATCAAACTCTACAGCCTTCCGCGCATATGTCCTGGCTTTTTGATTATTATAAAGACAAATTTAACGAAAATATTTTACAAAATATTAAAATAAATAATTCAAAATTTAATTTTATAAATATGTCTAAATTTGACTCATTTATTAATAATTTCCCGTATAATGCTTGGAAAAGTGGAGTTCGTTATAAAATATTTTTTGATGAAAATAAAAATAAAAGGTAATAATTAAATATAGTAAAAAATTATTTCTTTTTTAAAAAGTTCTGTATTAATTAATAAAATGTTAATTTTATTTGCTTATGGAAATACAAAAGGTTTATCGGGTAAAAGAAAATTAATTAATGAATGCCGTTCTGTTGCTAAACGATATCCACAATTTAAAATAAATATATTTGACACTGATTTAAAAACTACAGATTTAATGAATTTAATTGAAATAATTAGTTTTAGGTAATTTTAAATTAATAATTTAATAAATTTAAATTTAAAAAAAGGTTATTATTATTTTTATTTATTTCTTTAATTATTTGTATTATTTTAATTATGAATTGGAATTTTATTTTAACAATTATTTCTATTATTTCAACAACTTCTTTATTTTCAAGTAATTCCCCTTTTAAAATATTTAAATAAATTTATTTTTTTAGTGATTTTTGGATTTTCCAAAATTTTATTTAATTTCCAAATTGATTTTATAACAACGCCAACAATTATTTTAATAGCTATTTTTGGAGCTAATTTATCTACAGATCAATTTATTTTTTGTGATTTATTATTTTATTTGGACGATGAAAATAAAATAATTAAAGCATTAAAACAAACAATTAATTTATTAATTAAAGTAAAAAATTAAAAAAAAATTTTTTTTGGGGGGAGAGAAAGATATTAAAAAATATTTCTTTTCAGTTATTACCAATTTGGCTATCATTATCATTACCTTCCATTTTATTTTCACAAATTCCATTTTTCAAATTACAATCAAGTCTCCTTTTATTGACAATTTTGTTAACAACATTTAATAGCCTTATTTTATTACCTACAATTATTGGAATTTTACCTAAAAAGTGGCTTATTTAAAAAAAAGGAAAAAAAATTTTTTTAATTTTTAAAAAGTGCCATTATTCCTCTTTTTTATTTAAATATTAATTATTTAAATATTAATTATTAAATATTAACATTCCATTTATTTATTTTTAAAATATAAATTAGATAGTTAATTGTTTAATAAAATGTTTTATAATAAAAACAACATCATTAAATTACGTGTCGGGCTAACTCAAGGAACAGACCAATCAAGGAAAAGACAAGTCAAGGAATGAACAACTCATGGAATAAAAAATCGAAATTTCTTGAAAAATCTGAATTTTTCAGAATTTTTTTGAATTCTGTTTTTTGAAGTATTCTAATTGAAGTATTCTAATTGCCGTTCCTTGAGTTGGTATTCCTTGAGTTAGCCCCCACCCATTAAATTATATATACAACCTTAAATAGTTAAAATACTACAAATATTTTTGAGGAATAAATTTAAGAATAAATTTTAAAAAAATTCAGGTATATATTTTTAATGGAGGAATTCTCTCTTCTTTTCTTTATCCAAGCACACTAGTCTTTATTGGGGAATTTACAAGTCTTGGCATAAATCTTGATTGAAGAGATTTGTTCTGTTTATTTCCACTATCAAGCAAAGAATTAATTGTTTGGTTTTGTTTTGTTGAAGTTTTTGGTATTTTATTTGGATATTTATTTTGATTAATTAATCTATAAATAATATTAATAATTAATATTTATTTTAAATTAATTAATACTTACATATTTTCATTATTTTCATAAATATTTTTTAAATTACTATTTTTATTTAAAATATTATTATTTTTATCTTCGGTTTTTTCTTCTTTACTTTCCAAATAATCCATTGCATTTTGTATTTGTTTAGTTGCTTTATTTAACGTTTCTTGTGCTTCAAATAAATGTTTTTTAGCTAACTCCTTTTTAGAATTATCGTTATTATTACCCAATGAACGCCAATCAAAATGATTATTGTTATCTTTAGGCTAAATTTTAAAAAATAATTTAAAATTAAATTTTATTAAATTCTTTGGCGCTCCGACACGGGCACAGTGATCCATTTGCACAGTAAGACAATTGCACATTGGGCATCTGCACAGTGGACAATTGCACAGTAATTTGTGGTTAAGTGCATTTGTGTTAGACTTTCTGATAAGTTTTTTAATAATAAAATGGTTTTTCTTAAACAAAAACAATTTTCCCTGTTCTATAAGCAATTTTTCCCGTTGTTGGAAAAGTTGTTCGCGGGAGACGAAAACTCGCAGAGATATAGGCTCCCGAAAATCGAAAAACAATATAGTAAACCAAGCGGTTTTTTGGGGTAAAAAATTCGAAGATGCAAATTATAGCTCATTCGAAAGAGCTTTTTGAGTTGAGTCGGCTGACACCAAAATCATCTTGATTGGATGATTCTGAACGAAGTTATGACCTATAGGTGAATGAGCCTTGCATTTATTTGGAGTGTTTCGCGACTAAACAGGCGTTTTGCGAATAAATGGGTAGGTCGTTTTGCGAATAAACAAGACTTTACTGTGCAATTGTCCACTGTGTAATTGTCCTCTGTGCAAAAGTCTTACTGTGCAAATGGATCACTGTGCCCAAGTCGTGTCACCAATTCTTTACCTCAATATTTTTATTTAAATAATTATTTTGTTTATCAGAAGAAATATTATTAACATTTTCATTTTTCCTTTCATTTAAATTTTTATAAAAATTATTTTCATTAAGATGGTTATTTTTATTTTCAAAATTATTTGATTTCTGTTTTAAATGTGCAAGATATTTCTGATTATTATTATTTTTAATTTGTTCCTCTTTATTAGTAAAATTATTTTGTAAATTATTATTATTATTATGTTTATTTTCGTCAGACAATTCTGAATTTTTGTTTTTAATTTCTGATATTTCTCTTGTAATATTTTTAATTTTTTCTTCGTTCTGATATTTATGATTATTTAAATTATTATATTTTGGTAATAAATTATTTTTAAAATATTTATTTTTCTCCAAATGTTCATCTTTATCTCCTTCTCCATAATGATGTGAATGAGGCTGTTGATGGTTGTTATTTGGTTGGTGGTGATGATATTCTTTTGTCCGATTATTTAAATTTAATTTATTTTTATTTCCCAATCCCTCTCTTAAATTATTTAAAATATTTAAGAGTAATTAATTAAAGCCTATACCTTTTTTGAACTTTTTCTCTTTTCCTTTCATGAGAATAATAATTATTTTCTGACAAATTTTCGTATTCCTCAAAGGAAGGTTCGTTATCATGATAATAATTATTTTTATTTTCTTTTTCGTAAGGCCATTCAGAAGAAGACGAAGAATATTCATTTGATGACTGATCCGATTCTTCTTCACTGCTAAATTGTTCCCCTTCTTTTTGAGGATTTATTTGATTATAATTATCTATTTTAAAAATAAAAATTATTTTAATTAGTATTTTTAAATAAAAAAAAACTTTTTAATTTTCTATTCGGCCACAAAAATTGTTTCCTCAATTCTTCTTCAACTCCATCTAAATTATTTTCTTCTTCTTCCTCCATAGTCTCCTCTATTTCCTCTTCAAATTCTGAATAATCATTATCATCTACTTCCCCTTCAAACCAATTAGTGTGGTTTTTTAAACTTTCAATTCTTTTATCTTTAAAATATTAATTTATTTTTACAATCTTACTTTAAATTACCTTTTTTATTTTCTTTTTCATTATTTTCAAAATATTCTTCTGAATTATCTGTCAAAATCTCTTCTGATTTACTCAATTCTTTTGAAGAATTTCTTTTAAATAAAGATGTCCCCGTTCTTAAATTATTTCTTTTCTTTGTTGGCAACATAGAAAAATGTCGATTAATTTTATTTAAATTTTCTAAACTTTTTGGATTTTTAATATTTTTGTTATGTTGATTTTGTTTAATTTTATTATGTATAGATTTTGAATGAAATTTAGAGGGGTTTTTATTTAGTTTTTCTGATTTATCAAAATAATTATTTTTATTTTCTTCTTCCTCTTCTGAATTAAAATGTTTATTTTCAAATGAATTTTTTATATTTTTTGTTGTTTTTCTATCATCAAAATGATTGTTGTGTAAATGATCTTCTCCAAATCCATCTGAATAATCATCTCCAACCCTCTCTTCTTCCAAACTTTCTTCAAAATCATTATTATTTAAATGATCATCATCACTATCTTCATTTAAATCCTCATCTCCAAATTCACTTTCATTTATATCTTCTTTACTTCCAAAATAATCATCATTATAATCAGAAGAATCATTACTTTCACTATTATTATTACCATAATCTTTATTAAATGTTTTATTTCTTGTTTTAACTCTTTCTGTTTTAATTCTCCCTAAATTATTTTCATAATTTTCAGTCATTTGGCTATTTTCATTTGAATTTGAATTTAAATATTTATTATCATTTTCTAAATTTATTTTAAATTTATTTTTATTTATTTTTTGTATTTTAGGTATTTCTTTAAAGTTTTCATTTATTTCTTTACTTTCCTCTAAATTTTCCTCAACTTCCACAGAATTATCTTCTTCCTTTTCTTCTTCTTCTAATTCTTCTTCTTCCACTTCATCATCAAAATGTCCAAAATTTTTATTTTTTTCTTTTGATTTAATTTTTGTTTTTAATCTAACGGGAACACTTTTTGAATGTTTTATTTTTGGAGAAGGAAAGGAATAAAAGCGTTTTTGTTTATTTAAATTATTAAAATGTTCAGACGGGGGTTGTTTACTTGGACTTGTTAAATATTTATTTAATTTTGCTAAATCTTCATTAAATTCTTCATTGCTAACAACAACAACAGATTGATCTTTTTCACTGTCAACAATTAAAGGATTTTTTTGTTTATTTTTAAAATGTTTTTTATCTAAAAAGAATTTAATTAAAATATTTATATATTAATTGTTAACCTTTTTTAATTATTTTGTGTGGTTTTGAATTTTGTTTTTTAATTGGATTATTTAAAATATTTTTAGTTTTCTTTTCTTTTTTATTTAATATTTTTTTACTTTTCTCTTTCAAAATTTTTTTATTATATTTTTCTTTATTTTTCAAATTATTTTGAATATTTTTAATTTTTGAATTTTTATTTAATTTTACTTAAAAGAAATTATTTTTTCTTTTATATTATTTAAAATTCTAAAAATACCTTTATTTTTTGTATTTAATTTATTTTTTAAATGATTTCCAAAAGAATTTCCTGCTTTGCCAACAATTTTATAAGGATTCTTTTTAATTATTTTTCCTTTTAAAAATTATAAATACTTTATTTTCTCTAAAATAATGACCGATTATTATTTTTAAATTACTTTTAGAAAGTAAAAATTATTTTAGAGAAAATAAAGTTTACCGTATTTACTCTATTAATTCCCCTGGGGAATTATTCAATGGAGGGGAATTATTCGAGTTTTGAAATTTGAACGTGTAGTAGGGTATTTGGTGGAGGGGGATTTTTGTTTCAACTCATCCGTAGCAGGGGGAATTTTTCAAGAGAGGGGGAATTATTTGATGGAGGGGAATTAATCGAGTAAATATTATATTAATTAACTAATGTCCAAACTAATAATATTTTTAATTAATTTTTTACCTCCATTCAATTTACTTCTCAAAAAATTTCCAAAATCTTTGCCTGCTTTGCCAACTATTTTAAATGGATTTTTTGGAATTGATTGATTCTTTCCTATTTTTATTTTTAATTAAAAACAATTTATTTTTTAAAATAACCTTTACTATTTAATTTTTTATTTAAAGAATTTCCAACTTTTTTCCCCAAATTCCCAACTTTCTTAAAAATTCCACTTTTATGTGCAGCTACTCCCATACCCATTAAAACCATTCCAGAAATTATTTCTCGTTTATTTCTTTCCAAATTATTTGAAGAATTTAAATTAATTTTTAATTTATTTAAGGAAAATATTTGTTTAATTGGAAGAAATAAAAATAATATTAAAATAAAAATATAATTAAAATATTTTTTAAATTTCATAATAATTGAATTAATAAAGAAGATAAATAATTTGTTTTGAAGATAATTGTAATGAAAAATATTTGCATTTTATTTGGGATAATTTTAATTTAAATAAATAAATATTTATATACACTATGTACTTATTGTTTATTTAAAGAAAGTTAAATTTAAAGGTTTTGTAAATATATCTAAAATAAATAAATAAAATTTATACTCAAATTAAAATTAAAGATATTTCTAAAATTGCTAAAATGGTTTGGAACTAGTAAAAACTTTTTGTTATTGATATCTAGGCAATAATTAAGCTTTAAAATTTTATCTTTAAAATTAACTAATCCTTATTAAAAATATATTTCATATATCTTAATTCACTCTAGACATTTTTCTTGTAAAAAATTGTTTTTGAATGTTTTGTTTAATTAATTAATATTTTTTATATTATAGAATTATGAAATAAAAAAAATTATTTAATGAGGATAAAAAATTTAAAGGCTATATGCGCTTTTACCCTTTGAGAGCGCCGATTGATTTTGATTAATGTTAAAAGGGGGAAAATGTTTTTCTCTGTCTATAATTAATTATTACATAAAGTTATTTAATGATTTAATTAAAATATTTAGGTATTTACCGTCAATACCCTAATAAAAGCCCTGGGCTTATATTTTTCAACTTCAATGAATTTTCAACCAGAATACAGGATAGAAATAGGCCGCAATATTAGGTGAGATAGTGAGGATATAGTGAGATTAAGAAAATCTAGTGGTATCGAAGGACCTCATGATATCTCTTCAAATCCAGTTCCTCGACTCATTTATTTTGAGAAATTTTGATTAATTTTATTTTTTCCAGTAAAATCCTCCTTCCAATTAATTAGCATTCTCCTTTGGATTCCCAGAAAAATAATTATTTATTTATTTATTTATATTTCCTTTTAAATTGTCACCATAGTAATAAGAAGAGAATTTAAAGTTTCTCTTATTTCATTTTCTTTTATTTTAAAGAAAAAAATAAAAGAAAGTAACGGAGATTATTCCTCTTAAATGGAAAATAATAATAATAATTCTTCGAGAATTGTATTTAATATTGGAGGTAAATATTAATTAATTAATTCTATTATACTCTAATTTTACCTATATTTTTCTCTCAAAAAAGGCAAATGTTTTGAAACTAGTTCTCAGGTTATTTAAATTTGTATTTTGTCACAAATAATTTTTTAAATTAAATATTAGACAATAAAAAGAATTCCTAACACTCGGTAATTAATTTAAAAAAAAAATAATTTTAATTTATTTAAAAGATTGACACATTTGGTAGAGGAATTTGAATTGGGAAAAGGAAATTCTCCTATTGAAATTTTTATTGATAGAGACGGTTCTAGGTAAAAAAGAAAAGGAATAATTTTTTGTTTTAATTAAAAGATTTGAATATGTACTTAATTATTTACGTAATGGATATATTGCTAATGGAGATAATGAGGGAGATGAACTTTTTGAAATGTTAGAGAAAGAGGCACAAGTACATACTTCTTTTTAAAGAATTAATTTAATTAAAAAATTAAAGTATTTTGGTATAAGTGAAATGGCTAATTTATGTCGTTCTATGCAAGAGCCTTTAGCAGTAAAGGATTGTGTTCATTGGAGAAAAGATGCTATTCCTGTAAATAATTGTGATTTAAATAAACTAAAATTATTTTTAAAAGCATTATTGGAAGATTTTCCTTAAATCTGTAATTGACCGTTCCTTAGTCATTCCTTTTACATATGAGAGGAATAGGTGGTAATTAATTAAACAAAGAATATAATTATTTTTAAATTTAATATTTATTTAGTTTTTTCTGTGCAAAATGTATTGCTTGTGAAGCTGATTTTGATCCAAAATGTTCAAACATTTATTCTGTAAAATATTTAATTTTTCTTTAAATTTTAAAATTATTTTTAGTTTAACGTAGAGGATTGGAGTGCTTTGGGACATCATATGGGACAAATGTGTGGACGGGTGGAAAAAGTAGAAAATTCGGAAAAACCCCCTATTATCTAATATTTATTCAGTTATTAGGCCAAACTTGTGTTTTAGTTAAATGGGATAATGGAGTTACTATACATTTACCTAATTCTGCTTTGAAACGAGCAATTCCAATTGGTGGTGGTAGAATGGTTTTAGCAACACAAAAAACTATTGGAGGGGGAACGAGTATTGATAAATAAATTAATTATAATAATTATTTTGTTTGGAATTATTTTTAATAAATAAAAACTAGATTTTTATTATTATTTACTCTTTTATCTTGGAATAAAAAGGAAATAAATAAATATAAATGTCAAGTTGCAAGTCAAAAGCTAAGTAAATATTATTATACTTTTGTTGATAATTTTTTTACTTTTTTTCATTGTCTGGACTAGTATTTAGTATATAAAAAATAAATAAATGTTTGCCAATATCCTTTAATATTTGTTTTGTTTCTAAATTGTTTGGAATTTTGTGTATATAAATACTTGCAACTTTCTTCTATTTTGTATCATTCTTGAAGAGAAATCACTTATTTTTAAAAGATGGCTTTTATTAATAGAAATCTTAATCATTTAAGGTAATATTTAAATTTTAATTTAAAGACAAATTATTTTTTAGTATATATTTATTGTTCTGCACAATATTGGCATTCTCACTTATTGTGGAATTGACCACTTCTGTATTTAATCTTATTTAAAATTAATTAGATTATTTATTTTAGCAATTTACATCTCCAGGTGCCTATTATGTTTTTGCACCAGGATTCAATTTTAATCCTGTTAAGAGAGGCGTGCCAGAACCAGAACCGATTGTTCTTCCTCAAAATATAACAGATATTGTTGAAACTACAACAAAACAAATTTAATAAAAATTTAATAAAAATTGATATTTAACTAATTTGTATGTACTTACTATTAATTAAAAAATAAAATTTTGAAAAATTATACGTAGTATTTTGTTTGTTGATATTTTGGAAAATACTTTATCGTGTATAAAGACAGTTTTTTGTGTGTAGAGGCGAGCGGTTGGTTAGCTTTCCACTCTGCTTGCTGTTGAGCGGAAGGGCAGCCGCCCTAACCAACATTAAAAAATAGTATAGCAGAGAGAATTTACGCTAGCGGGGCGCAACTAATCGATGCGCTTAGGCGCTATATTTCCCAACCGTCCGTCTCCGCTCATATGGAAACTGTGACATCTAAACCGTGTTTTATTTAATTGAAGAGAAAATATTTTTTATTTTTATGCCAAATATTTATTTTACATTCAATATTTATGTATGCTTAATTAATTTAAAATTAAATTTATACGTTGATCTTTTATATATAAACTTGCGTAGAGCTCTTATAATATTATAAAGGTTTTGCGCGGCGATCAGATATTTTTGCCCTTCTTTTCTTCGTCTGCTTGATCTCCGCTCACCCGCCTTTGAACTTTTACTTGGATTGATTGCTTCACCTCAAACATTTTTTGCGGAATGCACAGAAACTTATTTAATTTTTATAAAACGCTCTAGCATGCATACTTCCTTCCAACTTCGAATATTAATACAATTTCTCCTATTTTTTTTTCAAATTTGTACATATTTCATGTATATTTTTTAACAAAAGTTTACACTTAATTTTTAATAAATTTTATTTAAAAACTTATGTATTAGGTATAATATTTTTAAAAATAAATTAATATTAAAATGAAGCGTCGTAGTTGTGGAAGATGGTTAAATAAAGAAGATGAAGTATTTGATGAAGAAATTGAAGAAACTGAAAAAATCCAAAAGAAGACAATGAAACAAGAAATTGTTGAAGGAGAAAGAGAAGGGAGTAATACTACAATTACTGCTACAATAATGGCTATTTCTCCAAATGACCAATTTTATGAATTTTCGGTGATTAATAAATTTAATAAAAAATATGTATTTTTAAATAATTAATTTTTTAAAGAATATTTCTGAAGAAAATCCAGTCCCTTCAAAATCAACACAAAAAAATAATATTTTAATGGCAGCTCAGTTAGGGATGAAAGGACCGCCTCCTAGTGGTGAACAACCAGTTGATAAAATGTTTAATTCACAATTAATAAAGGTGTTTAAATTTAGTGAAATTTTATCTAAAGTTAAGAGTAAATCAGTAATCTCTTTAATAGATTAATGACATTCTCTATTTTTCAATTACATGAAAAGGGTTATTGAGAAAATTAAAGAAAATATTTTTTATATTATTTATTTTGGTTAAGATTTGGAGGAGCGTTTCTTCTTTATAGTTAAACAATAATTCTTTGTATATTTTTAAAGGAAATAAGTCAACATCCAGCACTTTTTGATTTTACTTGTGATGAATATAAAAGTATTGAAGCACGGAATAGAAATTGGGATGAAGTTTCTTCTCATTCTTGTCAACCTCTTGAATTTGTTAGAACAAGATGGAAAACTTTACGTGACCGATTTAAAAAAGAAGTTCGTCGAATTAAACAACAACAATTACAACAACCAGAAAATGCTTTTATTGGGTGTTGGCATCATTTTGAAGAAATGCTTTTTTTGTTGCCTTTTGTTAGAGATAAAGCTGAGGAAGTTGTTTCTCATTCTAAAGATGGTAAAGAGTCTTCCCCAGCAGATGTAACAACATCAGCACAAGCATTAATACAAGCATATACACTAGCTAAACAACGTCAATTAAATAATAATTCTTCAATTAATATATTAAATTCAGAAAATCAACAACAACAATCACAACAACAACAAATGCAATCAAGTACTGCAGCAATTTTAGATTTAGCAATGAATGCAGTACATAAAAGTAATAAAGAAATTGGTGAAAATAATGAAAGAGGAGAATGTTTAATTGAAGAAGAAAATGATAATGATAATAATGAAGAAATTAATAGTGGGGGAGGAGGGGGAGGATATTCTAATGGAAATAATTTAAATATTTCTACAAAGTATTTTAAAAAAGAAATTTAAATTTAAAAATAAAATATGTATTTAGTAAATCCTCCTCAATTTATCGTCAACCATCAATTCGTTTCCAAAAACAATTTCAAAATAATCAACAAAAATTATTACAATTAAATGAAATAAATAACAGAATTAATAATAATTGGAAATTTCCCGAAGTTTTTGGAGAAAACGAAGATGATGAAGACAAACTGTGAGTTAAAAATGAAAATTTTTGTTTTTAAATTTAATTTTTAAAGTTTTTGTCGAATTGTTCTTAAAAAATTGGGTAAATTAGATGAAAGACTTAAAGATACTGCAAAAATAAAAATTATGGAACTTTTATTAAATTTACAATATGGGGAATGTAATAATAATAATACAGCGAGTAATAATAGTGGAAGATAATCTTTTGTTATTTATTTTGTATTTTAATTAATTTTTTTATATTTCTTTTATAAAACCGGAGAATAAAAAGTAATTTATAATTTATTGGAGATATGATAATTATAAAATATAGTAAATTCATTTAACCCTCTAGAGTATGCACAAAATTTTTGGGCTCATTTGAAGGCCCAAAAATTTACTAAAAAATATCGCAGGATTAAATTTTTCGATAAAGAATTCATGGATATTTAATATTTTCAGATCAAAATGTTGATATTTTATTAATTTAAAAAAAACATAAAATATTAAATGTTTAAATAAAACTTTTAAAACAAATGAGATGTAATGAAATACAAGATCAATTTATGTTTTAAGCATCGGTAAATAAATAAAGTATTAGCTAATATTGGAGAAATAACACGTAAGTAAGTCAAAAAAACAAGGCAAAAATTAAACGTGTCCGGACAAAATATCGAATCGTTAAAATATGGAATAGGCTAAAAAAGGGTTAAAATCTCGAATCGGGTAAAAAGGGGTTAAAATCGCGAATAGGCTAAAAAGGGGTTAAAATGTGGAATCGTTAAAATATGGAATGGTTAAAATATCGAATAGGCTAAAAAAGGGTTAAAATATGGAATCGTTAAAATATGGAATGGTAAAAATGTCGACACGGCCAAAATCGATCAAAATGTCGAATTTTTTAAAAATGGCGCCAAAACTAGAATCCGGGCGTTACCGTAATACCGACGGTATTTTTCGATATTCCGTGTCGGTTGTACGGTACGGAATCCGACCGATAAAATTTAAAAGCTGATCGGTATTTTTCGGTATTTCGTACCGTATACGGTAAGGTCAAACTTTAGGTCTTAACTAAAAACTAATGCACACCACTCTAATTTTTCCATATCAGGATCGCGTTATGTTTTCCGGATCCGTACGATCATGCCGGACCGGATCCGGTCGATTATGCTTGATTTATCCGGTCCGGTTTTACTCGGTAAAATACAATGAACTCTGGCAGAAAAGATTGCGCCGGACTACGACATAAGAGACTTATCAATCAACTTATCATTAATAAGTTGATAAGTTGATAAAATCATCTACAATCAACGTATGGCACTCATCTGACCCTTTTTTAAAAGAATTCGACATTTTGACAGATTTTGGCCGTGTCGACATTTTTACCATTCCATATTTTAACGATTCCATATTTTAACCCTTTTTTACCCGATTCGATATTTTAACGTTTCCATATTTTAACGATTCGGTATTTTAACCCCTTTTTAGCCTATTCGCGATTTTAACCATTCCATATTTTAACGATTCCATATTTTGTACCGGAGCCAAAATTAAAGTATTAAAAGTTAAAGAAGTGATCAAATAAAAATGTTTACACTTACAATTAGAATATATAACTTTAAGTAACGTACAAGGAACCCTCACCAGTCTAGTGTCATCAAAACTTTAATAACCTAATTTTTAACGATTTTCGATTGCGTTAATGTTCGTTTTCCAGCAAAATTATCTTTGGCAAGTAACGGCCTGCTTAAATACATCTACAAATATTTCTAATTTTAACAATTTTGAATTGTTTCCAGATAATTTGCAAGAAAAAAGAAAAGAATTTCATAACAAGAAATCGGGTCTGATGATAACAATAAAATTATATGTATTTTAAGTTTTTAGTTCATTGTTAATAGAAAAATATTGTGGATGCAACACAAATAAAGACAAAACAATAACTAAATTAAATAAAGCTAAAAGAGGAGAAAGCTATAACAAACAGAAAAAATTGTTAAAATATAAGACAATGAATAATTTTTAAGTTTCAATAGTTAATTTATTCCCGATAATTGTAAGTAATAGTTAAAAGTATTTTTGAATTATTACGTTAATGAAACCCATTCACCATAACATTTTGGACGAATAAAAACAAGCCTCCAACATCCTTCTTCTTCATCTACTCTTATATATTCAATTGTTGCCCATCTTGTTGTCCCCAAATCTTCATTCCGAATTATTCCCTGATCATCACGAATACGCCGAATAAAAGGTGTTCTTGTCATACAATTAGACATTTGTAAATCAGTTAACCAACGCTTCATTTTTGTACAAATTTCACCCCTTCGATCATCACGAATAACAATTTGACATTCCATCTGACAATGAGTGTGAATAAAAATTATTAAAAAAATTATCTAAAAAACTCACAAAAACTCCGCCAAGTGAAGGAATTGTTCGTAACATTTCTTTTTGAGGTTGATAAGTAGAAGGATTGACAACAGCAGGAAATAAATCTCTAAAATTTTAAATTAAATTTGAAATTTTTTAAAAAAGTTCCGGTACTTTCTTTCAAATTTTATCCACTGTCCCAAATCAAGTATTTCTTTTTTTTCGTCTGTATCCAAAAATAATTCAACAGCTGTAGTCTCTCCATTACAAAAAGGCCAAATTTTGTAACAAACAACTGCTTTAGAAGGATTGCGCATTTGTTCAACAATAACACCACATGACCATCCATTCCAGTCAAATACTTTATTTAAATTGGAGAGATCCTCAAATTTGAATGGATTATTATTATATTCTGGCAATAAATCATCGTGTTCTTCTTCCCATTTTGATCGATCTTTTTTGCTTCCAAAAATTTCAGAATATGTTGTTGCAGTTTCGGTTGAAGCTAATGAAGACATTGATGCGTAATGAAATGATCGATTAAAATTAACACGGCTACTAGAGGCTGCTATTGTGCTAAGACTGTCGTCATCAGTGACAGAACCATCATCGCCATAATCAGTTAAACCAATAGTTTCGTTATCGCTTTCTCCTCCTTTCATATCAAATTTGGCATTCAAGATATCTGAAAGAAATAATCGGTATACTTTTAAAAAATGATAAATATAGGTAACTTTAACATAAATTAACGCGATCTGTGTAGGAAAAATAAAACTAAATTAACAAAATCGACCAAATAAAATATCAGTAATTTTAATTTATAAATTAAAACTCTACCTTCATTATAGACAGCCGCCATTCGCACCGCCTCATCTTTCAGATTGGGAAAACAATTCAAGGTTTGTTCGTTTACTTGGTAATAATGTTGATGAATATTCATTTCTGCAAAGAAATTCTTTTTCTATTGTATTAAAAAATAAATAGAAAAAAAATAAAAAGTAAGAATATATACTTTCTTTTATAAATTATTCCAATTATTTTAAAATAAAAATTTATTTATGCACCATATTCTCAAAAATTAAGTATTTAAAAAATCCAATTAAATGACTTGAAATTTAATACATTTAGGTGAAAAAGTAGGGAAAATAAATTATTTTTTGATAATTGATTTTAATTTTTTACTATAATAAAAAATAAACGATATTTCCATATTTTTTTCACCTAATTCTATTAACATAAGTAGACAAACAAAAAATTAAGTATAATGCTTTTGTTTCAGAGATGTTATAAGGAATAAAATTAATTTTAAAAACATTTTTAAAGCTAAAAGGCAAGAGTTTATTGTACTAGAATCCAAAAAAAAAGAGAAAAGATGGGCAGAATAAATAATAATTTAAGTAATAAATGAAAGTTAACATTAGCACAAAAATCACAAAAAATGAATTAAAAAAAAAGAAAAAATGGCCGCGAAAGATTTGTATTTTTTCACAGGGCAACAAAAATATAATGCAGAAAAAGTAATTTATAATACTGAATTGTTTGTTGTTGAAATACTGGTCTATGACTTTTCTTTTTAAACGAGTTTAGAGAGAAAGATGGGGGGAAATGTTAAAAATTCTCACATATTTTTTAACTTTCTCTTACTAATCAATATTAAATTAAATTTAAAAATAATCTCTAAACTCTTAATTAGATAGAATATAAATTAATTTTTAAAATAAGTAATACGCCAAAGTTGACGTTCATCACCATTTCTGCAACGGAGAGCACGAAGGATTACATTTGGAGATTGGTAGTTATTTTCCGACTGTTGATTGATTAAAGTAAAACATCTGTTACCATTAATTTGAATTGGAAATAATGTAGAATTATTTAATGAAGAAGGCGATAATTTAGACAAAGAAGAAATGACTATTTTATTGTTAAACTGAAAATAATAATTAATTTTTAAATTTATTTTTTATTTAATTACTTGCTCATCAGAACAATGATTAAATATAAGTAGACTACTTTGATCATAAGCAACACAAAGCCCAGATAATGAATGCTTTAAACGCAAAGACTTTTCATCATACAACCATTCTTGATTTCCACCATCAACTAGAAAACATTTAAAATTAATTTTTTTTTAAATTCTATTTACGATGGCATCTAAAAAGTCCGACAGATTGTCCAACTTTTGATCTCCCCAATGAATCTAAACAAAAAAGTCCATTTGAAATTTGTACACTCCGTCCATTAAAGAGATCCAAAGGTTGTAATTCTGGATAAACATTATCCAAATACCATTTAAAATTTTTACAATGTAATTTTTCACGAATTGCTAGTCGATCAGAAATACTATCAAATATAAATTTTAAAGGGATTTCAGATTTAAATCTCAATTCTTACTTTCCAAAATCAACATGTCGAGCACTTGGAACAGTTTGAAGATATAATTCTTTAAATTCATCCAACCAAACTTCAGCAGCTCTTCGGGTATTTCTTTAAATATTTTAAAAGATATGTATTTTAATTTAAAAAAACCTTTGAAAAACTTTCCCACTTCCACCTGGAAATGTATAAGGATGTTGTTTGCGAAAAACATGCCCAACACGACTACAAGGAATTATTTCAAGTGTTCCTCCACATTGCCAAACACGAAATGATAATTCTAAAAAAATAGAATTATTAAATAAAAGATATTTTAATAATCCCTTCAAATAATAAAATTTTATTAAAAATTAAAAATCACCCAAATTTTCACCACCCCAAACATCCATTTCCATATCATAAGTCCCCAACGTTTCAAACCAATTTTTTGAAATTGAAAATAATCCACCCGCCATAACTGGAGACCTAAAAATGAGAAAAAATAAAACGATGACTATAATGGAAAAAATTATGTGTCAGTTTTAATTACTATTTTTGGGAGGCGCTATAATTTTTTCTATCAATTTAAAGAATTTAATGTACAAAATTAAGCCGTAATTTACATCTGATTTTTTTGTCGTAACAAAGAATTAATGTAAAATTAAATATATTTTAAAATACTAAAAAAATAAAAATATTTTTTACTTAATCGGACTTGTTGGATCCTTTCTTCGTTGCCAAGCAGCTTTAATACCAAGTCTGTCCCATTTGAATACAAGATTCCAGCCAAAGCCTCCCTTTAGATTAGAACTGGCTGCTATATAATTAAAATTGTCCATTGAAATTACATCAATCTGTTAAATTAATTTTAAAAAATAACTTTTAATAAAAAATACCACTGGAGCAACAACTGCTTTATTATCCTTAAAAACAATTTTAAATATTTTAATTTTTAAACAATTTTAATATTTTTAATAAAACCTCTCCAATTCTATGCAATAAGGGCTGAAGCCATCCAACATTACATTCACAATGGCTATCTTTAAAAAATAAAAAATTCAAACGTTTGGACATAAAAATTAATTGAAAAAAATTAAAATTTACCAAGAAATGTTAAAATTGGAGCATTAGCTAATTGAGCCCCTTTGACACGAGAACGAATAAGTCCTATAATTAAATAAAAAAATTTTTTTAATTTCCAAACCTTCTCGTTTGAGATTCCGAATAACTCTAACTTTTTGAATATTTACAAGTCCTTTTCCAATATTTTCTAAAATTAAATAATTTCAAGCTTTAATTTTCTAAATTAACCATCTAAAGAAAAATCATCAACCAAAATTATTTCACTTAAAAGTTTCGGAGGGGAACGTTCAAAAATACTCCAAATAGTTCGTAAAAGTGTAGAACGTGCTTCGTTATGGAAAGTAATAATAATTGAAGTTTTTTGAAGTTTTAATGAATTATAAATAAATTGTTTTTGTTTACAACTTTAAAAAATAAAAATAAAAAGAAATTAATTTCAGAAAAAAACCTTTCATCTCTAGTATCAGATATTTCTCTATTTGGTTCAATACTGTCAGATATTGCTTGATTAAATTTATTTGAAGCATATGGATCAGCACCAGTTTCAAGTTTTCCACCAGATAAATAACTTTTATAATCAAAATCAGACCAAACAATTAAATTATTAGGAGTATAAATTATTGCATTTTCTAATGATTTTAATGGTAAAGAAAAAGGAGAAAAAGTGGAAAGTTCTTCTTGTAAATCTTTAGAGAACTAAAAAAATTATTTTAAAAATAGTTACAGAAAAATAAACCTTTTCAAGTTCTAATTGTCTCTCTTCACTCCCTTCATACCTTGGAAGAACAAAAATAAAAAAATAAAGGCCAATATGCCAAAAAATAAGGACTAGAAGTAGAAAAATCCTAAGCCGGGAAATTGAGATCGATAGGAAGACCATAACATTGAAAAAAAACAAAAACCCCTAGAAAATTTATTAAAAATTATTTTAGCCTGAAAAATTTCAATAAATTTTTTTTCTATGAATTTTTTATCAGAGAAAAAAAAGCAAAGAAAAATAACATAACGCCAGAAGCATTAATTTTTAAAAATTTTTTAAATTATTTTTCAACAGAAAATTTATCAATTTAAAATCAGTTAACCCTTTCTTCGATAGATTTCCGCTCAGGACTAATGTAAATTTGGGCCACGGTTCGTGAGTACGGAGTTGTTTCACTGTGCAATTGGTATTAGTTATGCAATTCTTGTGGCACTAACATTATGTAATTCTTTGAATAAATCGAGTTGATAATCTTCTAGTTTCGTCTCTTGAGCATAATGCGTCCCATCTACTGTAATAATTTAATTCAATTAAAAATTTTTTTCATAATATTTTAATCCACTTTTTAATTATCAATTTTATAATACCAATCAAGAATATACATTTACTAGTTTTTGCTCATTCTTTTAAGTGAGAATTTAATAAATTTAGATTAGGTACTCTCAATTTTCACTTCCTCTTTCTATTTATTTATGTATTTAAAAGTGCATTTATTTTATGATGAAAGTACAACAATAAATAAGATTTATTTAAAAACTTCTTTTTTACTTCAAAGTACATTATTCATCGTTAAATAAAAATAATGTAGTAGAAAAAAAATATTAGAAAATAAATAGTTAACACATTGTTTAATTGTAATCTTTTTTAAGTACTTTTTTTATCAAATTATATTTTAAAAAAGGGTCCAGACATTTAAGTTTTTTTTATTTTCTGAATTTTTAAAAGTAACTTTTTTTAATTCAAATTTCTAAATTTCATTTTTTTTATTTTTTTAATGTATTTATGACTTTTATAACTTTTATTATTTTTACAAAGCAAAAATCATTTTTTGTTGTTTGTGTATATTTGAACAAACACAAATCAAATACCTTTTCTTTTTCGTTTTAATGTCCAATTTGATTAACCTCAAAAAAATATTTTTTTTTATTTATGAAAGATCAAGATTTTATTTCCATTTACGTTAACAAATATAAAACATTCTCTCTTTTACTTTAATTATCTAAATATGTACCTATTTTTCTTATCTATTGACGAAAATTACAAATAAATCTAGTTTGTTATTTGACTAGATAAGAAATTTTTGAATATTTGCAGGTTAGGTCATTTAGAATAGTAAATTTATTCTAATTTTTAGTTTATTTACATAATGTACATATTTTGTATCCAATAAAAATTTTATTTATTTTTTGTTATTTGCTGTTATGTATTCTAATGTATTTTCAAACTATTTTTTTCTTAATTAAAGTCCTTGTACCAATTTTTAAATGTGTAACATAAATTCCTTAATTTTTCGATAATTATTTATAATTTTATTCATTTTAAGTTCAATTTTTAAAGTTTTTTAGATTAAAAAATAAGAGCAAGAAGCACCTCAAGACATAAAATAAAATCAATTTTTTGCTTCATTCTCGCTAAATAAATAATTAATTTTCTTCTTTTATTTTTTTAAAGTCTACTAACATTGCCTGATTGATTCTTTCAACGCAAAATGGTAAGTAAAGTAAAAGTAAAAAATACTCAAAACAATTTAATATTTTTAAATTCCATTTATTTTTTCCCAAAATTAAAATAAAAATACTTGCGCACATTCATCATTTTTAAGTAAAAGGGACAAGAATATTATTACACCCAAACACACACTCACTTTTTTTCTATTTTTCTACCAATTTTTATTTTCAATTTATTTATTCATGTCAGTCTTCACACCAACGCTTTATCGCCTTTCTCATTTTCCTATTTAGATTTAGGGAAATGTTTATTTTAAATAAACATTGAAAATATAAAATATATACAAATATTTTTCCTTAGATATTTTTTAATTATTTATTATTTTTTAAGTAATTTTTCATTAAAGTTATTTTTTTAATTCTATACATTTTTAAAAAATTAAAAAAAATTTTTTCTTTTAGATGAATCTTCGTGAACAATTTTCTACAAATAAATATGCTGCCGGTCGTTTTATGCAATTACCTACTCACAATAAAATTCAAGTTGAATATGTTTGGATAGATGGAAGTATTCAAAATGTTCGATCAAAGACTAAAACTGTTGATTTTATTCCCAAAAAAGTTGACGGTAAATTTTATTTTTAATTAAAAAATTATTTAAATTTTTAGAATTGCCAATTTGGAATTTTGACGGTTCTTCGACAGACCAAGCTTCTGTAGGGTTTTTTTCTAATTTTTAAAATTAATTTTTATTTTTAGGGAGCTGATTCTGATGTTTTTATTAAAGTAAGGAGGGTTTTAATTTTTAAATTTAAAATTATTTTTTTTAAATTTTAAGCCTGTTGCTATGTTCAATGACCCTTTCCGACTTGGAAATCATAAAAGTAATTTTTTAAAAATAAATTTATTTAAATTTATTTTTCCAAAAAGTTGTAATGTGTGAGGCTTTTGACAATAAAATGCAGCCTCATATAACTAATAATCGAAATCATTGCCGTCAAACAATGGAAACTGCAAAAAATGAGGCAATTGAAAAAATTTTTAATTTAATTTTTTAAGGGAAAAAAGAAATGATAAAATAAATTTTGGAGAGAATAATTTCTAAATATTTTTTTAAAATAAATTTTAATTATTTTTAGCATGCCTGGTTTGGAATGGAACAAGAATATACACTTTTGGATGTCGATCACCATCCATTCGGCTGGCCAAAGGCTCCTTTTGGATTTCCTGGCCCACAAGGACCTTATTATTGCGGTGTTGGGGCTAATAAAGTAATTTTGTGATTTTTTTAAATAAATTTTTAAAAAATTTATTTTAGGCTTATGGACGGGATATTGTTGAATCACATTATCGGTGGGGGGAATATTTTTTAAATTTAAATAAAATATTTTTAGTGCCTGTTTATATGCTGGGATTACAATTTCTGGAATTAACGGAGAGGTAATGCCTGGACAATGGGAATTTCAGGTTTTGTTTTTAATTTAAAAATAAATTTAAAAAATTAATTTTATTTTTTTAGGTTGGTCCTTGTGAAGGTTTGTTTTTATTTTTTTTAATCAAATTGTTTTAAAAATAATTTTATTTTTTAGGTATTGATATGGGTGACCATCTTTGGTTTGTTTTTTTAAAAAAATTTTTAAAAAATATTTTTGTTTTAAAGGGTTGCTCGTTATCTTCTACATCGTGTAGCTGAAGAATTTGGTGTTATTGTTTCATTTGACCCAAAACCAATTTCTGGTTAATTTTAAATAAAAATTAATTTTTAATTTAATTTTTAGGTGATTGGAATGGTGCTGGTTGTCACACAAATTTTTCGACTGAAAAAATGAGAAAGCCTGGTGGTTATGCTGAAATATTAAATGCTATTGAGGCTTTATCAAAATCACATCATGAACATGTTGGAATATTTTTTTAAATTAATTTTTATTTTATTTTAAGATCGCTTATTATGACCCTTCTGGTGGAAAAGATAATGAACGACGTTTGACTGGTTTGCATGAGACAGCAACAATTGATAAATTTAGTTATGGGGTAAGGAGAAAAAGGGTTGCCCCCACCCCTATTTGAGTCTCATTGTCAGATTAATTTTCCGTCCATTCTCTTCAAAATGTTGATTCTATCTAGGGTTGGGGTTTTCGAGTCGAGCCGACGTTCGAGTCATTTTTTCGGGCTTCATTTTTTAGGACCAGCCCGACCGAGTTTTTTTACGGGCCAAAATTCAATGCCCGACTCGATCTTTCGGACTGGGCCGGATCGGGCCCCCAACCCTTATTCTATCATTAGTTAAATTTCTGCCGTTGCCGTCCATTCTTCCTTATTCTTTTTCACTTAATTTTTACTTTAATTGATTGACAATAAAAGAAAATTTAATCTGAGATTCAAATAGGGGTGGGGGTGGGATATTAAATAAGTACCGAGAAAAAAAAAGTAAATATTTTTAATCTATTTAGGTAGCTAGTCGATGTTCTAGTGTACGTATTCCTCGTCAAACTGAAGTTGATGGATATGTAAGTGGAAATTATTTAAAATTGAGAGTATTTTAAAATATTTTTAGGGATATTTTGAAGATAGACGTCCTTCTTCTAATTGTGATCCGTATTTGGGTAAATTAATTACTCTTTTATAAAATTTAATTTTTAAAAATTATAGTAACTGATGCTTTGGTGAGAACTTGCTGTTTGGGTGTTAAAAAGGTCAAATTATTAAGTAGTTTTTTTTGTAAAAAAATATTTTTTTAGTTGAGTCGTTCATATATTCCTCAAGATGCAGAGGGTATTCGAAAAATGATAAATGAATTACGTAGCGGAAAGATACAGGAATAAATTAATTAAGAATAATTTGGAAAATAATTTGTGTATATTTTTAATTAATTAATTTAGGTTATTAATTAATTGCTAAATAATTTGACTATTTTCTTAAATAATTTTTAGCTATTTTTAGTATTTTTAAAAATTTAAATGGTAGATTCTGATATATGATAAACAATAAATTTTAGTTTATAATTTTGTAAAAAAAATGGAAAATAATTTTATGGACTCTACCACAAAATTTCTCAATTTTTAATTAATTCACTTAAATAATTACACCTCTGACATTGTATTTTTAATTTAGATAGTTTACCTAGTAAAATTAAATTTATATAATTAAACAATTTTTTATTAAAAAAAGAAATTAAAGAATTTGATTTTGACATGAATTACCGCTATAGCCAATATTGCAAAAACAAAAGTGTTGATTTACAGAGCCTATACAAGATCCTCTTCCACTACAATGTAAATTATTGTCACAGGCCGCTATAAATTTAAATAAAATTTATAAACATTTCTAAAAACAACACTTAACTATCTTCACATTTAAACCCTAAATAACCAGAATTGCAACTACAAAAAGGAGCACTTCGAAACCCTAAACAACTTCCATGTCCATTACAATCATTTGATGTGCAAACTTCGAATATTTGTGTTGGGAGTAAATTAGGAGGGGAATTATTTATTATTGAAGGGCTAGCTGATTGTTGCCCTCCAATATTTGGAGATAATAATGGAGATAATTGTGGTGATTGTTGAGGATTATTCTTAAAAATTGTTTTTAAAATTTAAAATAAATTTTTGTACCATTTCTTGATAGGAAAGTCTGACAGGCAATTTTTCTGGCACATCTGACAAAATATTGTGATAAAATTAAATTTTAATAATTAAACCTGCTACAGCTTCATTTGACACATTTATTTTCTCATTATTTGTAAAAAGCATTGTAGGATGTAATAAATCTACATTTTCCGTTATATTTAAAGTATTATTATTAAACTATTTAAATTTTAAATATTTTTCTTAAAAATTATTTTAATTTTTACATTATCGTTATTGTTTCCATTTTCTAATTGTTGGTTATTTAATGTTTGATTTAAATCTATTTTTGTTTCATTATTCAAAATATTTATTTCATTTTTATTTTCATCTTTTAAAGTTTCATTAACAAAATCTTCAATAATCGTTAAATTATTGTTTGTATCATTAATTATTGGAAGAGAAATAGGTTCATTTAATGTTGTTGAATCTATTAACTGATTAGTAATTGTTGTTGTTTCGTTAAATAAATTGCTATTTTCTGATACAGGAACGACGTCAACCTTATATTTATTTTAAATTTAATAATAATTTTACATTTTTAATTTAGAGATGTGCGGAAATAAAAACCCTGGGAATTGTAAAACTAATTTTTTATTCGCTAAATTTGATCTAAAAATATATTTAAAAAATTAAATAAAACTAGGGTTGTTACTATTGTAGAGAAAATTTCTTTACTACTACATATAATTATTTTAATAAATTAGAAATACTTTAATTGTCGAATTATCTTCCAAGCAATTAACAGAAAATACAAATGTGCCAATAAGGAAAGTTACCCTTAAAGTAATATTTTTCTTTTGAATAATAAACATTTTTTATTTATTTTAAATGAATAAAAATGTAAATAAATTTATTTATTTAATATTTATATATTATCATAAAATTTTGCCAAATCTCGATGAGAATTAGTGATTTTTCTATTAAATATATTCGGATAATCCACCCTTACCTCTAAAATAATTCTTTTATTATTTGACTTTTAAATAAAAATTAAATATAATTATTAATTTAATTACTATATTTATTTATCATATGAATATGTAATAAATTTTTATGTCAATACTGTGCAAGTAAAATAACTAAAAAGATAAATATGTCTATAATTCTACTAGAGATAATAAATTTTGAATTTAAAAATATTAAAAAAATAAATATAAATAAACAAACTAATTAATTTATAATTAAAAGTTAATTAATTAAATATTTATAAATTTGTTTTCTTATATTTTCTTATAAAATTGTTTTATTATTTCCGGTTGTATTTAACTTATAGACAAGGAAATAAAAAGGGTGTTTATGACGCGATTGAAATTTGTGAAATTAAATGATAAACATTTAATGATTTTAATTTCGCACTCTTTAAGTGTAAATTAAATTTTAAAAAGTTTAATTTAATAAGAATCAAAAAAGGAATTCGGAGTATAAAGAGAATTTAGGTATATTTATTATTTAAATCTCAAAAGTTCAAATATTTACATTAATTTTCTCATTTTCAACTAAAAACTTTTTTTCTTTTTAACATTTATTTGAAAGCCCATAAAAATTTGTTATTTATTTTTTAACCCCAAAAATTATTGACAAACGTTAGACACGAACGGATAACATGACGTTCTTTTGATTTTGTTGTCTACATTAACATTTGTTTTTATTTTTTACTTAAAATTTTACCTATTTTATTTAAGGCGGTTTTAAAGTAAAATTTAATACTTTTTTCCATATTATTTTAGAAATTAATTAAAGTAATTTTAATTTTTAAATTTTAATTTTTGTCATTTAAAATCTGCTCGTTTTTACCTATTTTTTCCTGCGCCATAACCGTCGCGCCATAGTATCCATGTCCCAATTCTAGAGACAGTGAAAAAAATACACTAAACATATTTCGTCATTCATGTTATACATACATACATAAATATGTATTTACTTTTTGTCTGAACAAATGTTTTTATTCTGACTAATTAATTTTGCCATAATTAACTTTAAATTTTTTTAAACCAAAATTTAATTTTATTTTAGAAATTAATTAAAATGAATTCAAATTTTTGGCGGACATTATTTTTCTTTATCCTAATATTTACTGCAGAAATTGTTGGCAAAAGAGGCGGTGGTGGTGGAGGTTTTGGCAGAGGAGGTTTTGGTGGTAGCAGGTAGAAAAATTGGCTAAAGTACACTTTACCGGGGGATTTTAGATTTTTATGATTTATATGTCAATCGAAAGAGCTCATCAAGCTGAGTCGAATGACACCAAAATTAGTCCGCGGACTCAACTATGAGCCGAGTTACAGGTCTCTGAAAATTGAAAAACCAAAGGGGGGAGTAAGGTCGATTTTGGGGTCAAAAATTCGAATATACAAATTATACCTCATTTGAAAGAGCTCGTCGAGCGGAGTCGAATGATACCAAAATCAACGAAATCTAACTTGATTTGACAAAGTTATGAGCATTTGTTTTAGCTCCTTACCTTTGGTCTATGTGCAGGTTTTTCTTACTGGGGAGGAAGCCAGACATGCCGACCGCAGCTAAAATAGGCATAAGTTTATGTTACGAGCCCAGACCCAGCGCCCGTAGACTCCCCGCGAGGCGCGTGCCGCAAAACCCCGCGCGAAGCGCGGGGTTTTGCACAAGCGCCTCGCCGACGCCCCATAGGTTTATGTTGCTTGTATTTTGTGTTGTAACTTTGTCTAAATTTGTTCAATCACTGTGATCTTGGTGTCATTCGACTCAGCTCGTCGAGCTCTTTCGAAAGAGCTATAATATGGTTAAAAAATTTTTAATTCCAATAATCGCCCCCTTGGATCTTCGGTTTTTAGGGGTCTATATCTCGGTCCAATCAAGTCGGATTTCGTTGATTTTGGTCTCATTCGACTCAGCTTGACGAGCTCTTTCGAATGAGGTATAATTCGCATATTCGAATTTTTCACCCCCAAAATGTGCTTGGTCCCCCCTATGGTTTTTCGATTTTTGGGGACCTATATCTTGGCCCACAGTTGAGTCCGCGGGCTAATTTTGGTGTCGTTCGACTCAGCTCGCCGAGCTCTTTCGAATGACATATAAATTGTTCAAATCTAAAATCCCCCGGTAAAGTGTACTTAGGCCGAAAAATTAATTATTTTGTTATAAAATTAAAATATTTTTAGAGGTTCATCGGCGGCTCGTGGCAGTTCTGCTAAAAGTGGAGGAGGAGGAGGTGGTTGGTTTGGTGGAGGAAGTAAATCAAGTTCTGGAAGTGGGCATTATTCTGGAAAATCTGGTGGATATCATGGGGGGAGTGGTGGTGGATTTTATCGATCAAAGTAATTAAAAGAACTTTTTTCTAAAATAATTTATTTTTATTTTTAGTTACCGTGAAAAAGGACTTGGCTCCCGTTCTCGTTCGGATATGTTTAAGAATATGATTATTGGGGCTGCAGCGGGTTATTTGACTTATCAAGCAGGAAAAGCAATTATTCGATCAATGTCTGCTCCAATGACGTAATTTTCTTTAACATTATTTTGATTAAAATTTTTTTAAAAAAAGATGGAATAATCGGGATTATTATTGGGGAAGTCAATATTATCCTGGCGGGACGCATCATTCAGACCGTACAATGTGTAGAATGCCACTTGAACCAGATGATCCCAAATTTGGAAAAGTTTACAATCCTGACGGTTCTCAACCAAAAGAAATTGTTTGGAGTTGTCCTTATAATGAGGTTTTTTAAATAAAATTAAAAGATCTATTTCTGACAAAATTTAGGAATGTTGTGGTTATGAATGTTGCCCTGGACGTGGAAGCGGCGGCGGATCTGGGTACGGAAGTCGTTATTGGAATTCGGGCCCCGGACTTGGTTTTGGGTATGCAACAGTATTTTCAGCTACAGCATTTTTGATTCTTCACTTTCTCCCTCCTTTCTTTTGAAGATTTTATATGAGAAAATTTTATATTTAAAATACTTACATTTTTTGCATTTATCAACTCGATTGCCATAAAATTTTATTTAATAAATTCCTTTCCCTTTTTTAAAAATATTCTCTAAGGGGGGTATATTCTCGGCACTTTTTTTTTGTTTTTTAAATTTTATTTAATTTAAAATTGTTTCAGAACAATTATCCTGATACTTCTATTACTTTGTTGCCTTGCTTGTATTATCAAGGCAGTTTATGACAAACGCAAAAATAACATGGGAAATGCAAATTTACAAAATAATAAAGGGGAATATCAGAGGGCAAATGGTAAATTTTGTGAATATTTCGTAATATCTTAAACATTTTTCAGTCAATTATAACGAAAATGCACAGCCTCCAGGAGCCCCTCCTCCCTATCCAGCTGCACCTGAATATCCAGTACATATTGGTTTTAAATATCCACCTGCATAATTTTAAATATTTTATTTTCTTTCCTCTACTTAATTGCCATTTTTTATTTACTTTTTTTAAAAAGCTTATTATGACCCTTAATTATTCAAATAAAATTTTAAAAAACTTCTAAATTTTTTTTATTTTGGAAGTTTTTGTAAATACAGTCGAACTTCGAATTTACATATGGCCTTTAATTTAGAATTAAAAAAGAGATATATCTACTAAAATTGGAGGTATCACTTTAGCTTCCCCATCCTTTCACTCAATTTCCAGTATTTAATTTTGGAGGTATATAAATTCGAGATTCGGCTGGGTAAAGTATTAACCCTCCATAATTTACTCTTTCCTGTCTTACAACTTGATCTTTTAAAGCATTTAGAAAAATTTTATTCGTTTAATTTGTAAAACAAAGTTTTAAAGAATTATTTTTAAAATAAAAGATATCTAAACACATTTAAAACAATAAATAAAAGAAAACTTATTTTGATATTCATTATATTATTCATTGGCTATTAAAAACATTTTATATATTACTAATACTTTTACTTTATCTTGTTCTAATCAATATAAAATATTTTCAAAATAAATTTATAAAATACTTGAAATATTTACAAATTTCTAATTTGTGTAATTAAATCAACTTCAAGCAATTAAGTATTAACAATCAACCCACGACAGGTTAATACATTCAAATAATTTTTATTAGCTTAATTACTAGTTAATTATTAATTAGTCAACAAATTAATTTATTTTATGCTTTGATAGAATTGTTCAAATTCACAACAAAAATTAAAATATAAAGAATGTCATTATTACCCAATATAACAAATAATAGTCATCAAAAAGAACTAAATTTTGTTGGTAAAGTAAAAAGAAAATTTTTTGGAAGAGAAGATTTGGAAATGTTAAGAAAAGCTCAACAAACGAGTCCAAATAAAGAGAAAATTAATAGGTAGGGGTTTTTTAATTTTTAAATAAGAGTTGAAAATTGAGAGTGTTTATTATTGTTTTTTATTAGAATTAAATAAACATTTCCTATATTGCTTTCAATTAAATATTTTTTTAGATATTCTTCAAATTCTGACAATTCTTCTAATCAACAACAAATATTAATTCCGATAGAAAAAATTTCTTTATGTAAAGAAATTGGAAATGGTGAATTTGGAGAAGTCTATCAAGGTTATTATTTTTAAAATTTTTTACTTAAAAATTCTAATATTTTTTAAAGCTATTTGGCACAGAGAAGAGGAGGAGTCTATCCAAGTATTTTTTAAGAAAAATTAAATATTTTTTAATTTTAAGGTTGCTGTGAAGCAAATTCAACCAGAAAAACTTATTTCTCACCATTCTTCTTTTCTTCAAGAAGCAGCAATTATGACAAAAATGAGACATGAAGTAATAAGAATTGAGTTTTAATAATATTTTTTAATCAATTAGAATGTTATTCAAATGTTTGGTGTTGTACTTGATATAAAGGCTATAATGATTGTGTCAGAATTGGCATCTTGTGGTTCTTTGTTGGAATGTCTTAAATCTAAAGCTTGGCATCCCTCACTTTCTGTTGATGTTTTGTGTGATTTTGCTCTTCAAATTTCAAATGGAATGAAATATTTAAGTTCGCAACGTTTAATTCATAGAGATTTGGCTGCAAGAAATATTCTTGTTCATTCACCTTCTAAGGTTAAAATATTTACAGATAAGGAGAAAATTTCGCTTAACTATAACTTAATTGGAGATTTCTATTTTTTAATTTGGTATACAGTCGAACCCCGATTTTAACTTTATCTAACTTTATCTAAAAATGACTCGTGTATAGCTTAAATTGGAGGTATTTATTAAGGCATGACATGAGAAGTATATATCTGATTTTGGGAGGTATCTAAAAGCAAGCCCGACTTAATTTCCTTTATTTTTTTCTTAAATGAATTATTTTTTAAGGTAAAAATTTCTGATTTTGGTTTAAGCCGTTCTTTGGGTTATGGTGAAGAGTATTACCGTTCTGAATTTAATCTTTCAATGAAATTACCAATTGCTTGGTGTGCACCTGAATGTATTAATTTCCTTTGTTTTACTTCAGCTTCAGATGTCTGGGCGTATGGAGTTTTTCTTTGGGAAGTTTTTACTTATGGGCAAACACCTTGGGAAGGAATAAGTGGATCACAGGTTTTTTTTCAAATTAATTTTTTTATTTTTTTTTTTAATTTTCTAGATACTTTATGCAGTAGATACTCAGCGATTAAAATTAGAAAAGCCAAAATTCTGTCCTTCAGGAATTTACAATTTAATGTTGAAATGTTGGGAATGGGCTGCTGAGAAAAGGCCAACATTCGAGAATATTTGTAATGAATTACCAACTTTAATGCCTCCATTATTGGTCACTGTGATAGATTGTAGACATAAATCTTTGAAGGAAAATATCAATTATTTAAATTATGAAAAGGGAGAAACAATTATTTTATTGGATAAAAGGTTGGAAAATAATGTATTTTTGGAAATAAATGATTTAATAATTATTTGAAAAATTCTAGATTTTGGGGTTAGAACATAGAGTAGGTCAAATTCTGGGTCAAAAATACAATAAAAACTCATATCACCCTAAAAAGAAAAGTTTCATTAAAATATTCAACTATTTTTTCAGCACTTCACTTCCAGGCTTTTGGCTTGGAGTTTCAAAAGCAGGCAATGTTGGTATTTTCCTTCCCGAACATACAATTGCATTTTTGGGTGCACAAAATCCAAATAGTAATTATTCAGATAATATTATTACATCTCCAGAATTTGAAAGAAAAAGTTTACATTCTGTAATTGAAATAGAAGAAAATAAAAAAGATAAAAATAAAAAAGAGAAGAAAAAGAAAAATGAAAAAGAAAATTTTAAAATGATGATTAGTGAACCAAAAGGAGATTTGAGACATACTTGCCATGTTGGGGCAGATGGAAGGAATTTTGGACTTTTAAATGTGTTTGGAAATATTTTTTAATAAATTTCTTTTTTAGATAAACAAGACAGATTTGGCAATATCTTCAACAATTTCTCCAAGTCTTCGTTCAATTTCACCAATAAGTACTTCAAGTACTTTCTCTTTAGCTCCTCCAAGACCTCCAAAAAATCCAAATATTCATTCAGAAATGTCAAAAAGTATTTTAAGTAATGAAGAACAACAACCACCAGAATTACCTCCAAAACCGCCAAGATTTAGAGAAAAATTTTGTAAGGAAAATAATAATTCAAAAGAATATTTAATGCCAAAAATTGTTTCTGATAATACTCCAACATTAAATTATAAAAATAATTTAGCTTCTAATAATTTTCCTTTAAATGAAAATGAAAAACAACAAGAATACTTAATTGTTTCTAATAATAAAAATGAAGAAGAAGAGGATGAATTTGAAGAATATTTACGTCCACCAAGTATTTGTATTGAACAAATTAATAAAAATAATAATTTACAAAAAATAATAAAAGAAGTAAAATCTAATGAAAATATTGATCTAGAAGATGTTGATAATTGTTCTAATTCAACAACGTTGTGGGATTGCTCAGAAACTAAAGAATTATTAAGTGAAGAGAAAAATAATAATAGGTACTTTTCGGGTTTGAAACCTCCACATAAATTTTGCTACATAAGTATATCAGAGGATGGACGGGTTACCCGAAACCCGAACTGTCCATGAAATTTAAAAAAAAAGGAGGAAGTCCGGCTTCTTAGCCTTCCAAAATACTAAATATTATAATTTATATAATATTTCCATTTTCTAGGTTTAGTTTGCTAAAAAAATTTCTTAATCAATATACTTACTAGTGTTATTCAAACGCGTTTTTTCGGTATCGGTATCGGTATTTTCGGTAAAATACCGATACCGAAAAAATACCGATTTTTTAAAAATTGTTCGGTACCGTATTCGGTATCGGTATTTCGGTAAAAATACCGCCGTAATACCGAAAAATACCGCCGTAATACCGATTTCGGTAAAATACCGATACCGAAAAAATACCGATTTTTTAAAAATCGTTCGGTACCGTATTCGGTATCGGTATTTCGGTAAAAATACGGCGGTATTACCGAAAAATACCGCCGTAATACGGTACCGTGAATAACACTAATACTTACCAGGGATCCTTCTGACAAAAAAACACATTAAAGTGATAAATGAGATATCATACTAAAAGAGATTCTATTAAAGTTAATCCAGATATGGACTAAGTTAAGGTAGAAATTATGGAAAACCCTAAAATAGGACTATGTCATGAGAAACAAAACTACACTTTAACTTTTCTCCATTAAAAAAATATTTTTAAGATCACCGTCCAAATTTGATGTAATTAATACTAAGGAATGTCTTTTATCTCCCCAAAAATCTTTTGTTACAACAATGGAACCAGCTGAATTTGAAAAAAGAGCATTAAATGAACGTAGACGAACATTTAAACAATTAGAAAAAATAGAAATTGCAGAGACTTCTGCTTTAAGACAAAGTTTAAGAAAAATTGAGAAGAACGAAGATAAAAAGTATTTATTTGGTGATTTAACAAAATCTAAAAAAGAGCCTTTGCCTAATTTTTCTGTTGAAGCTCGACAAGCATATAAGGCAATTTTTTAATTTTTTTGGTATTTAAAAGTGATTATTTTTTAGTTACTAGTTGAATGTGGTCGTAATCTTAAGTGTCACTCTCAACCTGACAGGATAATTTTAGAGAAAGAAGTTGAACAACAAAAAGATGATAATTGTAAAATTTAAATAATTAAATATTAAATTAATTATTTTTTTTCAGTCCCCTTAACAATTTTAAATCCACTTAAAACAATTGATAGAGAATTAATTAAAGAAGAATCACGAGAACTACAACTTCTTGAATATATTAATTCTAATCTTTTACAAAATGTTGAAAATAATAAGTAAATAAATTAAATTAAAAATAATAATTAAATTCAATTTTTTTTAAAGGAAATTTGTTGAAAATAATAATTCTTTAAATGAGGATGAAGCTGTGGCAATTTCTCGTCATATTCTTTCTAAGCTTGTGTTGCCCCCCAAACCTGTCCCTCCACCCGTGCCTCCAAAACCAAAATTAAAATAGAATTAATGAAAATAATTAGATATTTTTTAGATAAATATATTTATAATATAATTTATTCTTATGATTTTAAATTTTATTCTTAATATTTCCTTTAATTTGTAATATTTTCTTACATTTGTATTGTAAATTGCATGTATAAATTGCTTTTAACGTCGAATATTGACTACTTGATAGTAGGGAGGAAATGTAATTATTAATAAATAAATTAACTACAAATCTTATTTTTTAAATTATTTATTAGACATTTACTTTGTAGAGTGATTACAATTTTACTGCCCGTAAAAATAATTAAAATATTTTCAGTCAATGTCAAAATATTTTTATTTCCGTCAAAATATTTAATTCTTGGATCTACATATTTCCTTTTGCACCATTAAAATAAATTGAAAATCAAATTTTTTATTAAATCTTTTTTAAAATCTTTTTTCATTCCCGTTACTAAGCATTTTTTCTTTCGACATGCCTGGCACCAATTTCGGCGTCTTTTATCCAAAAAACAATTATTTTAACCAGCTAAATTATTTTTTTAAATTTATTTTTCAAATACATTTATATGTAAATATTTTTTAAATTTCAATTAAAAACCCCCTTTTGAAAAAGCAACTGCAAACATCACATATCCAACTCCCATATGTAATGCTTTCCAGATGTTTTCTCAACACAAACTTGGCATGGAATTATTATTTTATTTTTCTATTAAAATTTTAGTAAATTTTATTTTTATATTTATCTTCAAGTATTTTTTAAATAAACAAAAATTCTTTTTAATATATAGGTAATTTATTTTTCTTTTTAGAACATTTTAATTTTCTTTATTTAATTTTTTTCTAAATAAATTAAAGTTTTATTTGAAAGTTTTATTTTAAATTTATTTTTTTATGTGTTCGTTGTCATGGCACAATACATATTTATATTAAATAATTATTTTGAAAGAATGCTTTTTTATTTAACTTTTTGGTTTCTTTCTTTTCTAAAGTTTTTTTGTTCTTTTTCTGTTAGCCATATCTCAACGATTCAGCTGCTATGATACCATTTTGGGATAACTTATATAGAAATACATATATTAAGGGAATATAGACCATTTCCCGTTGATTTTTGAGATTTGAGATCTAGATGAAGAATGACACTACAGACTTCGGTCTTTTTACTTCTCTAGTCAATGTCAATGGAAATGCCCGTGAAAATTTTTGTAGAATATATATGTATGATCGACCACCTCCGTCAAATAATTACCGCGCCTCTATTATTTACCTCCTTCCATCGTAAGGTGGGAACAATAATTACCCAGGGTAATTATTCAAGGAAATATGGTATACCGTTATTTTCTTTCGCAATTTTTAAAACACGGAAGACAATAAAATAAAATAAAAATTTCAGACAAATGCCAATTATGATGTATAAAATTTTAAACTAAAGAAAAATTATTTTAAATTAATAAATTAGTAGGTCATTATTACATTTTTGCATTTTTCCTAATTAATAATTATCGTGATATAATTAATAAATTATCGCGCATTATATTGATTATTAAATATAATTATTAATTTCTTTAACATTTTTAAATATCTTTCCCTTTTAGCGAAGGCTAGAAATTATTCTCGTAAATTAATTTACGTGTGTCTACTAAATATTTTGTTTGTATAGGTATTTTATTCACATTTTGAATATATAATAATGAATACCGTAAAAACTGTATTATAAATACATAGAACTCTCTCTCTAAGGTGTTTACACTAATTATTTTTTAGAAATATTTTTATTAAAAATATCTTTTATTATGAGTTCCTCAACAACATCTTCCCCAAATTCTTCTGCAGCCCCAACATCTTCATCCTCTTTTGTTATTAATGGTTCCTCAACTTCACTTCATAATCTTCATTTAAATAATATTGGACAACAACAATTAATAGATCCAAATCGCTATAATAGTTTAGATTATTTTGAATTATCCGGTAAATTAGGTAAAGGGCAATTTTCGGAAGTTTTGAAAGCAAAAAATAAAATGACTGGAAGAATGGTTGCAATTAAGAAAATTGAGGTATTTAAATAAATATATTGAAGATAATAATTAATTTTTAGCTTGATTTAATGAAAAATAAAAAAGCTAGAGAAGATTGCCGGAAAGAAATTGATTTACTTAAACAATTATTTATTTATTTATTCAAAAATTAAAAATATACAACGAAAGGGAATCCACTAACATCGTTGTCGGATAAATTTAAATAAAGTTTAAGTCAAAAAAAAAAAGTCATAAATGGGAGGTCAAAGGATATGCATAAAAACAAAACATAAATTGTAAATAATAAAAAATAAATAAAAAAACATATTGTGATAGGTCTTTCCAACTGTAAAATAATAGAAAAAAATTGGTATGTGTTTAATAGTAAAAAATAATAATAATTTGTAAAAGTAATAATTTTTTTCTAATTATTTGACAGTTAGAATTTAGTATATAAAAAATTAACTATATTGAGTATTGGGGAAGCCACACATGTATAGATAGTGTAGTAAGCATAAAATTTAATTTAAGTTATTAGATTTTTATGTAGAAATTTTTTATGTAAATGTTTTTTTTTTTTGGGGAAATTACCATATTTTTTATTTTTATAGTCTATTTTTTTATATTTCGTTTATAAATAGCTGAGTAATTCTGTGTTTAAAGGACAATATTGAGTGGGAGTTTAATGTAACTTTATCTAGAGTATTCCATAGTGAAGAGCTTCTATTAACAAAGGAATGAGCGTTTTTTGAGGATCTGCATTTAAACATAAGTCTATTAAATTGTTTATGAGATGGATGAGTAGAAAATCGGTATAGGTGAGTAGGATCTAAATGGGTAAAACCTTTAATAATTTTAAATGCAGTTACGAGGTCATAAATTTTTCTGCGGGTATTAAGAGATTGCAATCCAAAAAGTTGAAGTCTTTCAGGATAAGGAATTTTAGGTAACATACATTTTTTGAGAGCAATAGATGTAAAAAATTTTTGGCATTTTTCAATTTGTATTATATCTTTTTTGAAATGAGGGTTCCAAATTTCAGGTGCATATTCAAGTATGGGTCTGATATAAGATTTATACACTAATGTCCAAGTTCTAATGCTCCTAGATCTGATAGTTTTAAATAGAATTTTCATACGATAATAAGCATTTCGAACAATAGTGTCAAAATGTTTTTGAAAGGATAATTTATTATCAATTATAATTCCTAAATCTCTTATAGAATCTAAACCCATAATAATATTATCTCCAATTTTATATTTGTGCATTTGGTTATTTTTACCAAGATAGAGAACATAAGATTTATCTGAGGAAATGTTAATACCCCATTGATTGCACCAAAGTTCAATATTAGTGATCGTTTCAGTTAGTATATTACATTGGTTTAATGAATCATGAATTAAATATATCTTAATATCATCAGCAAATAATTTAACAGATATGCCTTTTGGAATAATATCTGGAAGATCGTTTATATAAATGATAAATAATAAGGGTCCAAGGACAGAGCCTTGTGGTACACCCAAAGGTGCACTGTAATAAGATGAAAAACTATCATTAATTTTTACACGGTGTAACGGGCCGACGATCGTCGGCCCGAAAATAGTAAATATTAGAGACGTCCGAGACCGAAATTTTTCCAAGACTCAAGACCCAAGACAAAATTTTTTCCAAGATCAAGACCAAGAGTCTCGGACAGCTCTAGTAAATATATATGGGAAATTAATTAAAAATACAAAAAAAACACAAAAAACACAGAAAATACAAAAAATATAGAGAAGAAGAAGAGGGAAATAAAAATAATAAAAAATTTTAACAGTTGTCAATAAAAGTGCAAAATAATAAAATTAGGGAAAATTAGGGTAATAAATTTAAAAGAAAAGATTTTTAGTAAAATAAGGAATTTAAGTGTAAATAAAGCAATTAATTAGCCCACGCAAAACCATTTCCACCCAATTTCAGACACATTGCTCAAACAATAATGAAAAGACTTTTTCGTGTCTATTCCTATGTTTATCATCAACATTTTAATTTAATTGAACAATTGGCTGAAAATAAAGAAGGAAAAAGAAAATTTTAATGGGAGTATAAAAATTAAAAAAGAAAAGATATAATTTTGCCTTTGTTCACTCATTTCCTCCAGAAAAATAAAAATTTTTTAAAAAAAAGAGAAAATATTTTTGTTTGGATAAAATTAAGGAAAAAATTTGAGATTTAAATTTTGAAAACTTCTACATAATTTGGTGCCCCCTGAGAGGAAAACCTGTAACTCCTTATATTCCAACACCTTCTACTAAATATCCACAACAATCATCAGTTAATCGACGTTTTCCTTCTGCTTCTCCAAATTTTAATTCTTCAAATAGTAGACCTACAAAGCAATTTCTTGTTCGGATTCTTGCCATGCTTCCAATTGAAAATTCCGGTAATTAAGATAAAAGGGGTTAAAAAAGGGAAAATAAATAAATAAAAATATTAAAGAAAAACTCAGTTACTGACCTTCGAGTCAGAAGTGAGTTTGATTAGGCCTCTGAGCCAAATTTAAAAAGGAAGAGTGCTCCAACCCGGCTCTATTTGGTTTACCTTTATATTGGTAAAAAATTAAATATTAAGGATCAGAAGTACCCGAGGTGAAAATACCGTTGAAGTGTGAGAGCCCAATAATCGAAGGAGGAAAACTACCATCTCGTGACCGACTTGAGGAAATCGACGCTAATATTAGTGCCCAATTGCGGGAGCTTAAAGAAATAAGAGAGGCCACTGAAAAATTGGAAGAAGAGTGGTTGAAGAAAAACGACCATTGTGATCGTATGCAGAGAGAGTGGCTCGATTGTTTTAAGAATAGATACCGATAGTTATCGTCGTGTATTTAATAGTAATTTTTCAATAAAAATAGGAATTGTTTGAGTTTGTTTTTTGTTTTTATTGTGGATAAGTAGTTATCCGACCGGATACCTTTCGAATTCAAATTTCAAAATATGTCAAACCCCATTAAGAGTAGTATTCTCACAGCCTTCAAAGGTTGGAACGCACTTCGTGCGATTGAAGAGTTTAAGGATGACACTTTAGAGGGGGACACAGCGCAAGTAAAATTAATTAAATACGAAAGTCTGAGCAGGGAGCTGGCTGCCGAAATCAGAACGCAAGAGCTCATCGTTAATGAAGTGAAGCTCGCTCTGACTTCTTGGACCGACTTGCTCAGGAAACTTCCCTCGGATGAAAGAGAGATGGGGAATCAGGATTACGCGGTCTTTAACGATAAACACCACATCGAGCATACTATTGAGCATTTTGAAGTTCAAACGAGGGAAATGCGCAAGTTAGCCCGAAAGGTCAATCTCCAACTTCAATTGGTGACGGTGGAGGCCGAGAAAGAGAGGAGAGAGGAAGAGCTCGAGCACCGTCGTGAGTTAGCTGCCGCCGGAGGCCAGGGCCCGACTGATCCGAATACAATCCCAAGGTTAGGTTCCAACCTATACCAGCTCCCCACTTTAAAAATTAAGAGGTTCTCTGGTGAGCGGAGAGAGTGGCCTGAATTTATTGAGTCCTTTAACTGTGCAGTGGAAAGAGCAGTAGGCACGAATGTAGAGAAGTTTACACTCCTCCGCTCCCTCTTGGAAGGAGAAGCGAAGGAGCTCGTGTCCGGTTTTAAATTAGACACTGCCAGTTATTTGGAGGCTCTGAGATTATTAAAGGATTATTATGGGGATAAACAAATGCGAGTGCGGGAGCTCCATATGAAATTAGCCAATTTAAAAAATTGTTCCTCTTTGAAGGAGACAAAGGTTTTTGCATTCGAATTAGAAAGGCTAATTCGAGAGTTGAGAGCAGAAGGGGAAAATACAGAAGGGCCGGTTGTATATCTTGCCTTAGAAAAAAAATTGAATAAAAATTTTTTGAGGGAAATATTGAATAAAAAATCGGAGGAAGGAGCTGCTTGGTCCACTACGAGATTTCGAGAAGTTTTGCACGAGACACTTCAGCGCGAGATGTCTATTCAAGAAGTGATAAATGAGTACGATCACGAGAGAGCTCCTAACCGGAATGTGCCTCGCCCTCCGCCTAGACGTTCTTTACTTACCCCCCGCAACCCAGATTATACATATTTAGTAGTACAAGACAAGAATTTACCAAAGTTTAATCAAAATAGGGCTTTTGTTCCCAGAAGTCCCCCCGCCTGTGTTTTTTGTAATCAATCGCATTGGAGTGACGAATGTCGAGTCGTCACGGATCCCCGCAGTCGAATAAAAATAGCAGAGGCTAAGGGTCTTTGTACTCGATGCCTTGGAAAAAATCATAGTCCCAAAAATTGTTGGAGGCCTTCCACTTGTTTTTACTGTAAACGCGCTCACCCTGGAGCATTTTGTTTTTTGAAAAATATTTCTAATCGCAATAGCCCAAGGCAAAATGTAGAGGTTTCTAGAAAATTTTTTACAGGAGGAAATGCGCAACTTTTAAGAATGCAACCCCCTCAGAGGGGTGGGAATTTCAATAATCGCCAGACCCAACCCCCACAGAGGGGTGGGAATTTTAATAATCGCCAGGCCCAATGGCCACAAACGCAAACTCAGTTTAGGGGTAATAATATATCGGCCGTGTGGCCCAATCAATCGCAGGAGGAAGCTTCAAGGCGTATGCTCTCAATAGAGGCGCCAAATCAAAGGGGACAAGTAATAAGGACCCCAGAAATAAAACATGCTCAAAATGGGCAAACAAATGTTGCGCTAGAGGGCGAGGGGAAAGCCCTACTTATGACCGTTGAAGTAATGGTCTCAAACCCCAGAAAACAAGAAAATAAAATCCCGGCTCTCGTGTTTCTCGACCCGGGTAGTCAGAGGAGCTTTGTCTCAAAAAGAATTGCCGAAAAACTTGAATTGGCCCCAATGGGAAAAGAGGATTATTATCTTTCGAGCTTCGGAAGTGAGAAGCCTAAAAAATATGAAAGTGAGTTAGTAAGAATAGATTTGCTTGGTAAAAACGAAGAAAGACTTTCCATGGTTTTAAATAAAATGGACTTCATTGTAAATCCTTTGCCATGCTATGACTTGGCTAAAATGGAACCTCAAGCATTACATGACTGGAGGCTGTGTAAGGCGGACTGGCGTCCACCAGATGTCCTTTTGGGGATGGATATCTGGCACGAACTTAACGTCCAGCCTTTGGAAAAATTACCAAGTGGGTTTACTATCAGTACCTCTAGAATTGGTAATATTTTGAGTGGAGCGGGACTCCAGGAAAATGGTTCTACTCCAAAAAAGGGGGTTTATTTTGCAAATGTGGCCCAAGTCTATACCATACTTGAGGAAGATGGAGAAGAGGATTTCAAGACAGACGTGGAGCATTCGGAGCAATTATCTCATTTTTTCGGATTACATGGCGTGGGACTGGAGGATGTTTCGGCGCCAACCACAGACGAAGAAGTTATGGAAAATTTTCGGAAAAACTTGGTTTTCGTAGATGGAAGGTATCAGGTCGCGCTCCCATTCAATAAAAATATTCAGTTTTTGCCCACTAATTATCGACACGCTAAAATGAGGCTCGCTTCCACTTTGAGGAAATTGAGGAAATTAAATCTCGTAGATGAATACGAAAAAATATTGAAGGAGCAATACGATAAGGGAATGATTGAAAAAGTAGAAAACCCCTCCGAGGCAGATGGACCAGTTCACTACCTCCCTCATAGGGCGGTAGTGAGAATGGACAAAACATTTACAAAAGTAAGAATTGTTATGGACGCGAGTGCTAGACCCCCGAGTCAACCTAACGCTCCTTCCTTGAATAATTGCCTTCACACAGGACCGCTCCTTTTGAAACAATTAGTGGGAATTCTTTTGCGATTCAGGTTCATGGATCGTGTCCTCCTCGCAGATATAGAGAAGGCATTTTTACAATTGGGTGTGCGCGAGACAGACAGAGATTGTACCAGATTTCTTTGGCTGGAGAAGCCAAAGGAGGCCAACCTGGACGAAATTCAATTCACGCATTGTATTATTTTTCGTTTCACAAGGGTGAGCTTTGGTCTTACGGTTTCACCTTTCCTCCTCAATGCAACTCTACAGGAGCACTTGGGATTGTTTGAGTCTCCTGTGGCCCGGTCAATAGAAGAAAATCTCTATGTAGATAATATTATGATCGAAATGAGGAAGGAGGACCGGGTCGAAGAGGTTTGCCGCGAGGCAACAGAAATATTGGAGGCCGCGGGAATGAGTATCAGAGAATTTTTCGGCGTATCAAAAGAAGAATTTGGAGAGGTTCCCGAAGGGAAGCTAGCTCCAGATTTAGAAAAAACGAAGATTTTGGGTTTGTATTGGTACTTAAACAAGGAAAAGTTGACAATCCCTTTTCCAAAGTTTGAAGGATCGGTGACCAAGAGACAAGTTCTTTCAACAATAGCAAAAATTTACGACCCGTTAGGCCTAATCTCACCTTGTTTAATTCCCGCTAAAAAGGTTTTACAAAAAATATTTGAAGCCAATTATAAATGGGACGTTTCAGTCTCGAGGGAGCTGGTCGAGGAATGGCAAAGAGTTTTATTGACCTGGAATAATTCTGGGACGGAATCCTTCGAGATTTCCTTTCCTCGGAGAATACCTATAGGATCAGCCTCTGAGCGGGAACTTCATTGTTTTGTCGATGCTAGTGGTCAAGGTTTCGGCGCCGCAGTTTATCTAAGAACGGAAGTTGAAGATGGGATAAAAACAAATTTAATTTTTGCCAAAAGTTTGATCAAGCCATTGAATATGTCCCAGAACGAGGCGACTATCCCACGTCTTGAGCTCCAGGCTATTATGGTCGGAGTTAAGTCTCTCAAGTTTTTATTGGAGGAGTTAAAATTAAATAAGGAGGTGGCGACTATTTGGACCGATAGTTTGTGTAATGTGGAGAGATTAAATAATTTTGAAAAATACGACCGGTTCATCGCCAATCGCATTGTGAAAATTCGAGGTCAATTCAAAGTCGCGCACGTTATATCGAAGGATAACCCCGCGGATCTGTGCTCCAGAGGAGTTGTCCCGGAGGTATTAATTAATAATAAGTTCTGGTGGTCGGGCCCGGAGTGGTTAGAGGAGATAAAATCTAAATGGCCACCGTCTCAAGCAGAATACTCACCAGAGAAAGAGGAATGGAGGAAAGCCGAGGAAGAGAAAATGGAAGTGATTTTAGAGGAGGTTTTAGAGGAGAAGTGTATAATAGACGCAACTCGATTTTCCAAGTATCAAAAATTGTTAGGGGCCACTGTGTATGCCTTTAGGTTTTTACAAAAAATACTCTCAAACTTTGATTTGAAAGGGCCTAAAAAATATTTTTGCGACTTGAAGAATTTTTTAATTTCGAAAGCTATTCCAGGGACGGTATTTGATAAAAACCTACCCTCTTTGAAAGAATTACAGAGCGCTGAATGGTATTTACTCCAGTGTGCGCAAGAAGAGTATCCACCTTCCGAAAATGTTAAAGTTGATCTAAATTTGTATTTAGCTAAGGGCCTTTGGAGATGTCAAGGTAGAATAGACGAGTCCGAATTGCCAGAGGAAGCTATTAAACCAATCTGGCTCCCGAATGATGCTTGGATTACCAGATTAATAGTTTTGAAATACCATATTGAAAGAAAGCATTGCGGAACCCAGACTTTGTTAGGAGAATTGAGGCAACGATTTTGGTTGACTAGAGGTCGTAAAACTGTTGAAAGAATAATTTTCTCCAGCAGAGGATGTCTCATTTGTCGTAAATTTAAATGTCAACCTTATCGCGCCAATATATTTGATACACTCCCGAAGGAAAGAGTAAGAGAAGCTCGACCATTCGCAAATAGTGGGATCGACTTCTTTGGGCCTCTGTCAATTAAAGAGGAGGGAAAAATTGGTAAAGCTTATGGGGCCTTATTTACTTGTTTGGTTGTTCGTGCGATTCATCTCGAGTTTGTGGAGGATTTGTCAGCCGTCTCTTTCCTCCAGGCATATCGACGTTTTATTTCTCGCCGCGGAATTCCAAAAATAATTCTCTCCGATAATGCCACTAACTTTCAAATGGGTGCCAAAATAGTTAAAAAATTAAATGATAAAACATGGTTCTCCCAAGAAGTTCAAGAGTTTACGAAGTATCAAGGTACCCTATGGCGATTTAATACTCCAAGAAACCCCCAGGAGGGAGGAGCCTGGGAGCGTCTTATAGGTATCACTAAAAAGGGGTTGAAAAGATGTGTGGGTAAGAGTCTTTTGAATAGGACTGAATTGACTACTCTTTTTTGTGAGTTAGAGTCAGTAGTCAATTCACGTCCTTTGACGTTTCAGTCTGATCGTGAGCCAATACAGTCAATTAGGCCAATAGATTTTCTTATCCCGTACCCTCAGACTGAAGTAAATTTTCCAGACTTAGAAGAAGAATCTGACTATGAAGAGGAGGTAGCGGGTAGGACTCAGATAACACAACAAATAAGGAAAACTAATAAGAGGTTAAATAAATTTTGGGAAGTTTGGCGTAACGATTATTTGCTCTCTTTAAGAGAAAGAACCTTAGGGGGAACAAAGGTAAAGAATCGGATGGAGCCGGTGGTTGGAGACATAGTCTTGGTCGAAGAGGCCCTTCCTAGAAGTTTATGGAAGCTTGGTAAAATAATTGAACTTCAAAAAGGAAGGGACCAATTAATAAGGACGGCTAAAATAAAAATAAATAATAAAATATTCAAAAGAGCCATTGGCCAACTTTATAATTTAGAAGTTTTAGATTCTTCGTCTGAGAATGAGGATGAAATAGTGGAGGGAGTCAATGTTATTATTGAACAAGCAGAAGCCACAGTGGAGTCTAGTCGTCCACCGCAACCATACACTCGTCTTGAAACCAGATTATTGGCGCTGAATAACCTTATTAATGAAGCCAAGAATGCCCGAAATCCTGGAATTGCTTCGCCACAGCAGCAAGTACCGAAAATTACAAATCCGAGGCTTCCTGCAAACTATCGTATTCCAAAGAAAATACCTGAAAAACCTCCCCAAAAGAAGAAAATTGTGAAAAGGAAGGCAAAGTTGAGAGAGCACCCACTCCAAAAGGTGATTAAGAAGACGACCACGATTGAAGAAAAGGAAAGAAATATAAAACGTTTTGTAAATCTTTGGAGAATTGAAGAAGAACTTGATCAACATTGGAATATTCAGGCGCCGATAGCAATTATGGATAATAGAGAGGTGGATTATGGTCTTTTTAGCCCTTGCATTGGTGACATGCATAGTGAATGTAAGGCCCCGACAGTCTTCAACCGCAACGCCTATCGACGGGACCCGGCTTTTAGACAATATGTCCTGGATATTCTGCTCACACTCATGCATTGTTTAGCAGCAGATTGGTTTTCTCGACAACGCTTTCCAAGGCGTGAAATCAAGGAGGCAGTACAGGGACAACTCCTGCGTGAGGGAAATACGCCAATGATTACAGCACTGACCCTTTGGCAATATATCAAAGAAGCGCCGCTTCGAGCCTTCCCCAATGAGACATTAAAAGAAGTGCTTCGTGTGCGCCAAAATACTTGTAAGGTTTTTCGGAGCCTCATCTTCCGTCAACCCTTTGGGCCTTTACGACTACAATTGCCACCTCAGACACCTGACGGAGAATTAAATAATTGGCTCAATTCGTTGAAAGGGGCTTTGGATAATATATTAACGCGTCAACGATTTAAATATGGAAAATCAGAAGTGTCAACTTATTTAATCAATGCTCCCATAATTTTGGTAGCAGACTCTTCATTACCTTCTTTAGACGCTTGGGGTACAAATCCGGATACAACGAGACTATTCGTACTAAAAGAGGAAAAGCCTATTCACCAAATGATTTTCTTTGGCCCTCTAGTGGAGCAATTAATAATTATAATCTGGCCTAATGAGGAAAAATTAAAGTCTATAGAGGATAGTTTACTCTATTGGAAAAAGAAAGAAGTTTCTATTCGAGTTACATTGGTATTAAATGAGCCGGAATTGCCATCAGAGAGAAAAGAGGCAATACAACAGTGTAGGAATCTCGTTGACTCATTTGACATTGGCTTTTATAGCTACGATGGAAAGTTAGATAAATTAAAAGAAGTTCAGGAGAGAATGGCTTTGACCGATTGTCTACCTGAAATTGAAGATAATGAAGAAGAAGAGAGTGAAGAAGAAGACATGCCTTTAGTGGGGTATGTAAAGGCTAAAAAGAAGAAAGAGGAAAAATTATTGAAGGTAAAAGAATTGAAAGTTCGCCGGGAGCGACAGCAGCAGCGGGCGTCGCTCCGTGAGTTACGCCAACGACAACAGCCAAGAACTTCTCGACGACTGAGTATGAGTTCGTCAAGCAGTATTTTATTACTTTTGGTTTGTCTACTCTTTTTTGTAACAACAATTTTGGCAAGCTGGGAATGCACTGATTGCGAGCCGTTTTATCCAGCTACCGCTGAAAAGAGAGGTGCTATGGCCAGGCCTATCGGAGGTTTGCGTTTAAGTAATACTGAAGAAAGTTTTGAAAGATTGGATGATTTAATAAGGTCTGGGAATATCAATGAAGGTCGAAAGCCCGTTTTATGGTGTGGCAACAGACCCAATACTTTATGGACTTTTCCAAATAGGCAGAACTCACCTTTCTGCCAGGATTTGAGTATTAGAAAATGGAAAAATAAGTTAGTGACTTTGTTCACTCATACCACTAAACCCAAGCCCTTAGAGGCTAACCATTGCTCGGCGAAGATTACGACTGAGAGATTCTATACTAATTTGTTAGGGGATAAATTTTATCGTTTGGAAAAAGAAATAATTCCTGTATCTAAAGAGGACTGTAAAAAGATGGAAGCCAATAAAGTTTGCCCTTTCAATTCGAAACCTTTGGTAAAAAAGGAGGAGGGGTACACTACTGAAGAAATTTTGAAAATTGATTTTCCGGGTAGATTTGCCAGTCTTTTTTCTGGAGAGAAGGTGGAAAAAATTGTTAATTGCTACTTGCAACCAACAAACTTGTTCTATTCCGCGCAGACTTTGCGTTTAATATCTCCCATACATTCGGTTGAAGGATGTCACTACCTCACTGAATTTTGTCGTCTCCCGGACAACTCGAGTTTAATTTGGAATAATATTTGTCCGCAGCATAATTGCCAGACGTGTAACCACGATTATTTTCAGAAAATGGAGGGGGAATTTAGTCGAACAAATGGGAAGCTTATTTGGATTTCGAAGAGCAAGGAACAGGCTTTGTCTTTCTCTGCGCAACCCCCAAAGGAAATGGCATGTAATGGACGGCCTATCAGAGTCTCTGAGCAAGGTTTCGGAGTTGATGAAAAAGAATATGCGCAGATGATTTCGATCAGGACCGCCCGAGAAGTAGATGAGGAGCAAGTTGCCGCAGGTCTCACTGCAGCTGAACTTGCCCTCAGGAAGCTACAGGATGCCGTGCTGAAGGAAAGATGCCAGGAGGAGACCTTTAGGCATTTTAATCCCACCATACAAGCTAGAAAAGCCTTCAATAAATCGAATTTGGTTGCTCGATGGATTAATGAGGATACAATGGAAATCTATGCCTGTAGCGAGCTAGGAGTACAAGAGATGAGATTTCGTCCTTCAACTAAGTGTTACAAGTATATCCCCGTTCAATTGGAAATCCAGAGGAAAATCTTTGAAGTGTTTCTCGATCCTGAGTTGAGAATCCTTAGTGCGACGTCTCCTATTGCGGATTGCGGAAGATTCCGGAAGACATATTTTGAGCTAGAGCCTGATCGATGGATCATCATTGATACTCGAACTGGAATCTCGGAACCTGTGAAGAGAGAAAATATCCATGTTTTCAAAGACAATACTTCGATATTGGACTTGGACATGGGACCCCTTATTTTTCGTGAGTGGATAGCCAAAAATGATTCTACAGAAGTACCCTTCCGTCATATAAACGAGCTCACTCAGTTTGAGCAATGGAAGGAAAATGAAAAAACAGAGGAGCACTCCAGGGCTTTGACCCTAGGAGCGATTCCTGGCGGACTTCCGGGGTTAGCTAAGCAATGGCTTTTAGAGAGGCTAAAGATGTTACTGGACTGGTGGGTTATTGCTTCATGTGCTTATGCAACTTTTCTTTTCTTGAGAGATGTAGTCCTTCCGTTAGCTCTTGTACAGTTTCTTTTGCCTGTTTGGGGATCATTCAGAGCGATGTTGGGACGAGGAACCCCAAGAGCAAGAAACCCAAAGAATGAGATGGATGTTCTCTTGGAACGAATCCGAGAAATAGAGCGTCAAGCTCCGAGAGAACGAACCTCCAGTGTGGCCTCGAGAGCATCTGCGACACCTTCTCGAGCCTCAAGTGTACCACCCTCAACGAAGAGCCCTTCTACAACCCCACCGAGACGAGGACCCCAGCCGGTTAATGGTGCCTTATTCCGGAAAAAGGATCAATCGGTAAAAATTTTTATCCCCCCGAATGTAGAAGAGAGGGGCAGATCTTCTTCAATTGGTACGAATCGTTCGCGCTCGGTGGGGGCGAGCCGAGCAGCGTCGGTGGAAACCGACAGGTCCTTTACAGTTTCCCCCGTATTAACAAGGGCTTCGACCTCGCGGGGGGAGGCTGTAACGGGCCGACGATCGTCGGCCCGAAAATAGTAAATATTAGAGACGTCCGAGACCGAAATTTTTCCAAGACTCAAGACCCAAGACAAAATTTTTTCCAAGATCAAGACCAAGAGTCTCGGACAGCTCTAGTAAATATATATGGGAAATTAATTAAAAATACAAAAAAAACACAAAAAACACAGAAAATACAAAAAATATAGAGAAGAAGAAGAGGGAAATAAAAATAATAAAAAATTTTAACAGTTGTCAATAAAAGTGCAAAATAATAAAATTAGGGAAAATTAGGGTAATAAATTTAAAAGAAAAGATTTTTAGTAAAATAAGGAATTTAAGTGTAAATAAAGCAATTAATTAGCCCACGCAAAACCATTTCCACCCAATTTCAGACACATTGCTCAAACAATAATGAAAAGACTTTTTCGTGTCTATTCCTATGTTTATCATCAACATTTTAATTTAATTGAACAATTGGCTGAAAATAAAGAAGGAAAAAGAAAATTTTAATGGGAGTATAAAAATTAAAAAAGAAAAGATATAATTTTGCCTTTGTTCACTCATTTCCTCCAGAAAAATAAAAATTTTTTAAAAAAAGAGAAAATATTTTTGTTTGGATAAAATTAAGGAAAAAATTTGAGATTTAAATTTTGAAAACTTCTACAACGGTATTTTCTATTTGTTAAAAATTCTTTAATCCAATTGTATATTTTACCCCTAACACCAATTTTATAGAGTTTATATAAAAGTAAGTCATGTGGGATAGAATCAAAAGCTTTTCTAAGGTCTAAATAGATGCAATCTATGTTTTTATTAGAAAATATTCCATCGAACCAATCTTCTAAGGTAGTGATCAGTTGTGTAGTAGTGGATCTCCTTGGGAGAAATCCAAATTGATGAGGAGATATAATATTATTTTCTAAAAGAAATTCTAGGATTCCATTAAAGATAAATCTTTCCATTACTCTGCATAATGAGCAAGTAATAGAAATTGGACGATAGTTAGAAACTAGTTCCTTATTTCCTTTTTTAAAAAGTGGAATTATTATAGATTCCTTCCAGATATTTGGAAGTATAGCAGAGTCAAGGGAAATTCTGAAAAGTTCAGATATATAAGAAACTAAAGAGACAGAACAATTCTTTAAAAACCTATAGGATATAAAATCAGGTGATAGACCTTCCTTGTTAGGGAGTGAATTTAACAATTTTAATAATTTACTGGAATCAATTTCAATATCATCGATGAATTTTGGATTAATATTAATTAGTTCGGGAATAATAAAGTTAGTATCAGAATCTAGAAAAAACGATCCAGCAAATATTTCACATTTGTGTTTGTCATCATAAACATAATCACCATCTACTAATAAGGATGGAATGGTATTGTTGCTTTTAGAATGTCTATTAATATATTTAAAGATATTGAGTGGATCTTTTTCAATATAATTTTTTTCAAGTTTTGCATAAAATTTTCTTATTTGGATTTTAACATGAAGATTTAGACTATTGTAACGTGGTATTAAATCAGATTTACCTTTAGAGATAATTTTCCAGAGACGTGCTTTTTCTTTTATAGAAGCTTTAAGCGAGGCTGGATATCTAGGAGTGAATTTAGAAATATATGTGCCTGGTAAAAATTGATCTCTAGCAGTTAGAATGTTGGAAATAAAAGAATTATATTTGTCCTCTATAGTATAATTGCTAGTAGAAGTAGATGGTAATATAGAGGACAAATAGATATTTAATAGCCTTGTATTTGGTTTGTCATATTTTCTACAAAAGATCATAGGTTGTTTAGTCTTAGGTTTATTAATACAAAGATCGAAACAAATAGCAGCATGGTCAGACGAGAGAATGGAATCAGAAGTTTGCCAATTAGTAATACTGTCTTTACAATTAGACATTACAAGATCAAGCCATGAATGGCCGCGAGTGGGTGAAGTAGTGTGTAATTTAAGACAGTTTTTATTGAAAAACGAGACAAAAAGTTCCCCAGTTGCGGATTTAGGTAAAGGGATAGAATTTGTCCATATAACGTCCTTATTGGAAAAATTAAAATCACCACAAATAATGGAAGTTTTATCTGTTTTACTAGTTAGAGTTTTGAAGAGCAGCTTAGTATGAGATATTCCAATATTAGGTGGGCGATAGATACAGAAGATATTAAAGGAGGAGATTTTAACAATTAATATTTCACAACCACCAATAGAATCAGAAAAAACAAGCCTAGGTTTTAACTCATTACAGATTAACATAGCAGTGCCCCCACCAATTCTATTTTTTCTATTACAAGTAAAGGAAGTAAACCTGGAATTTATTACTGGGTCAAAGGAAATTTGTTCATCGTCTCGAAGCCAGGTTTCGGCTATAAGTAAAATATCAAGAGAAGAGTTCAAAAGCAGAGTAGATAGCTCATCACGTTTATTACAAATTGAACGAGAGTTAATAAAATAGGCTGTAACAGATTTATTGGAATCTAGAAAAGTTTTATGATTTAGGTTATTAACTGGAGGGTGAAAAAAGACATTTTTAAAAAGACTAAAAACATTCTTATAAAAATCTAATAACATCCTATAGCTTTTGTCAATTAAATACGGTGTGGCTCCCCCGGCAACAGACTAGGAACTTTGTTGTCTAATTGCAGGAATGGTGTCCCGAAGGACAACCATCCCCGCATAGACAACAAAGTCCTTGCCTGTTGCCTTGCGCTGCTCATTGCACGAAGCAATGAGCTTATGTCGCGCATCAAGTTGAGACCGTGAAAATGATTCACGGATATTAACATTTTTAAAAATTGGGATAGATTTAATCTTATGTTTATTCTTCAAAAAAAATCTAGTGGCATACTTCGTCGGAAATTCAACTTTTAATAACCTGCTCCCAACGTCCTTCTTTTTTCCCATTCTGAAAACATTGGTCGGCAATTCACTATCCAGTCCAATTGTATCCAGCATTGAATGAACAGTCTTGATGTCATTTTCTGCACGTTTTGTTGGAGTGTTGTCAATCGATTCTGGAAGGCCTGTGATGACAATAGTGTGTTGTCGACGTTCCTCTTCATAGTAATCTTTTGCTGATGGTTGTTCATTGAGTAGTTGCACTGCTGTCTGAAGAAGTCCACCAAGTTGTTTGATTAAGATTTTTGCGTAGTCAGGAATTGAAGAATCGGAATCGATTGCTGCTGTGTTGTTAAAATCACATGCAGTTATTTGATCGATTAATTTCTGACGTTTGTCGTTAATAGAATAAGAATTTGAAAGTGGAGACATATTGGCTTGGCTTTGATTGCGTTTTTGAATCCTTTTTTCAATATAAAATTCCATATTTAAAATTCTACTTCCATATTTAAATTTCCATATTTAAAATTCTCCATTAAAAAAATATTTTTAAGATCACCGTCCAAATTTGATGTAATTAATACTAAGGAATGTCTTTTATCTCCCCAAAAATCTTTTGTTACAACAATGGAACCAGCTGAATTTGAAAAAAGAGCATTAAATGAACGTAGACGAACATTTAAACAATTAGAAAAAATAGAAATTGCAGAGACTTCTGCTTTAAGACAAAGTTTAAGAAAAATTGAGAAGAACGAAGATAAAAAGTATTTATTTGGTGATTTAACAAAATCTAAAAAAGAGCCTTTGCCTAATTTTTCTGTTGAAGCTCAACAAGCATATAAGGCAATTTTTTAATTTTTTTGGTATTTAAAAGTGATTATTTTTTAGTTACTAGTTGAATGTGGTCGTAATCTTAAGTGTCACTCTCAACCTGACAGGATAATTTTAGAGAAAGAAGTTGAACAACAAAAAGATGATAATTGTAAAATTTAAATAATTAAATATTAAATTAATTATTTTTTTTCAGTCCCCTTAACAATTTTAAATCCACTTAAAACAATTGATAGAGAATTAATTAAAGAAGAATCACGAGAACTACAACTTCTTGAATATATTAATTCTAATCTTTTACAAAATGTTGAAAATAATAAGTAAATAAATTAAATTAAAAATAATAATTAAATTCAATTTTTTTTAAAGGAAATTTGTTGAAAATAATAATTCTTTAAATGAGGATGAAAGTGTGGCAATCTCTCGTCATATTCTTTCCAAGCTTGTATTGCCTCCTAAACCTGTCCCTCCACCCGTGCCTCCAAAACCAAAATTAAAATAGAATTAATGAAAATAATATTTAGATATTTATTTTTTTAGATAAATATATAATTAATTTATAATTTATTCTAATAATTTTTCCTTTCATAATTAAATTTAAAGATTTTAAATTTTATTCTTAATATTTCCTTTAATTTTTAATATTTTCTTAAATTTATATTTTAAATTGCGTGTATAAATTGCTGTTAATGTCGAATATTGACTTGATATTTAGTAGGGAGGAAATGTAATTATTAATAAATAAATTAATTAAAAATCTTGTTTTTAATTTATTTATTGAACACTAAATTTGTAGGATGGAGTGATTACAATTTTGAATGTCCTGTAAATAATTAAAATATGTATATGCAGTCAATATCAAAATTTTTCATCAAAATATTTAATTCATGGATCTACATATTTCCTTCTACGCCATTAAAATAAATTAAAAATCAAATTTTTTATTAAATCTTTTTTACAATCTTTTTTCATTCCCGTTACTAAGCATTTTTCTTTCGACATGCCTGGCACCGATTTCGGCGTCCTTTATCCAAAAAACAATTATTTTGACTAGCTAAATTATTTTTTTAAATTTATTTCACAAATACGTTTTTATGTTAATATTTTTTAAATTTCAATACAAAACCCCCTTTTGAAAAAGCAACTGCAAACATCACATATCCAACTCCCATAATGCTTTCCAGATGTTTTCTCAACACAAACTTGGCATGGAATTCTTGTTTTAATTTTATAAAAATTTTAATAAATTTTATCTATTTAATCTTCAAGTATTTTTTAAATAAACAAAAAACAAAAATTCATTACTATTTCACTTTTCTTTGTTTAATTTTTTATTTCTAAGTAAATTAAAGTTTTATTTTAAATTTATTTTTTATGTGTTCGTTGTCATGGCACAATACATATTTATATTAAATAATTATTTTGAAAGAATGCTTTTTTATTTAACTTTTTGGTTTCTTTCTTTTCTAAAGTTTTTTTGTTCTTTTTCTGTACCCATATCTCAACGATTCAGCTGCTATGATACCATTTTGTGATACCTTATATTAAAATATATTAAGGGAATATAGACCATTTCCCGCTGATTTTTGAGATTTGAGATCTCGATGAAGAATGACATTACAGACTTCGGTCTTTTTACTTTTCTAGTCAATATCAATGGAAATGACCGTGAAAATTTTTGTAGAATATATATGATAGACCACCTCGCTCAAATAATTACCCCGCCTCTATTATTTACACCCTTCCAGCGGGAGGTGGAAACAATAATTACGCAGGGTAATTATTCAAGACAATATGGTATATCGTTATTTTCTTTCGCAATTTTCAAACACAGAAGACAATAAAATACAAAAAAAAAATTAAAATTCCAGACATATGCCAATATGATTTATTTTAAACGAAAAAAGAAAAAATTCATTTTAAATTAATAAATTAGTAGGTCATTATTACATTTTTGCATTTTTCCTAATTAATAATTATCGTGATATAATTAATAAATTATCGCGCATTATATTGATTATTAAATATAAGTATTAATTTCTTTAACATTTTTAAATATCTTTTCCTTTTAGCGAAGGCTAGAAATTAGTTTCGTAAATTAATTTACGTGTGTCTACTTATTAGTTTGTATATTTTATTCTCATTTTGAATATGTATGTAATAATGAATACCGTAAAAACTTTATTATAATAGAACTCTCTCTCTCTCTCTCATCTCTCCAGATTCCCTTTTAAAGTTGTTCACTAATTATTTTTTAGAAATATTTTAATTTAAAAATTATTATGAGTTCCTCAACAACATCTTCCCCAAATTCCTCGGCAGCCCCAACATCTTCATCCTCTTTTGTTATTAACGGTTCTTCAACTTCACTTCATAATCTTCATTTAAATAATATTGGACAACAAAAATTAATAGATCCAAATCGTTATAATAGTTTAGAGTATTTTGAATTATCCGGAAAATTAGGTAAAGGACAATTTTCGGAAGTTTTGAAAGCAAAAAATAAAATGACTGGAAGAATGGTTGCAATAAAGAAAATTGAGGTAATTAAATAAATATATTGAAAATAATAATTAATTAAAATATTAGCTTGATTTAATGAAGAATAAAAAAGCAAGAGAAGATTGCCGGAAAGAAATTGATTTACTTAAACAATTACAACATGAAAATATAATTAGATATTTTTGTTCATTTATTGGTTGCTTAATTTTAATTAATTAAAAAATTAATTTAAAATTTTTTAGTTGCTGACCAATCAAAAGAATATTTAATGATTGTTTTGGAATTAGCTGAAGCTGGAGATTTAAGTCGTCTTTTACGTGTAAATAAATAAATATTTACATATATTTTTTATAAATAATTTATTTATTTTTTTAGACTTTTAAAAAGAATTTTCGTTTACTTCCAGAACGTAGTATTTGGAAGGTTTTTCTTTTAAATTTAAATATTTTTTTAATAAAAAATATTAAAGTATTTTGTACAAATAAGTAGAGCAATTGCTTATATGCATAGCCGTTCAATAATGCATAGAGATATTAAACCAGCAAATGTTTTTATTAGTTCTGGTGGAATTGTAAAACTTGGTGATCTAGGTCTTGGAAGATTTTTGTCAATGGAAACAATGAATTTAAGTACATTTAAAAAAGGAATGGTTTTCTCTATTGTTGGAACTCCTTATTATATGTAAAATAAAAGAAATAGAAAAAAAAATATTTAAAATATTTATTAGGTCTCCAGAAAGAATGAATGAAAGTGGTTATAGTTTTAAATCAGATATTTGGTCTGTTGGTTGTGTTTTATATGAGGTTATATAAATAGTCTTTTTAAATAAATTATATATTTTAATTTTTAAAGATGGCAGCTTTGCAATCACCTTTTTTTGGTGAAAAACAGAATTTATTGGCATTAGTTCGTAAAATAAGTAAATGTGAATATCCTCCAATACCCTCAAGTATTTATTCCCAACATCTTAAATTAACTGTATCTAACTGTATCTGTGCAAATCCAGCACGTAGATTTGATGCTAGAGACGTTCTTACTGTTGCTGGTTATTACAAAAAAAATTTTTCTTTAAAATTATTTTTTGTAGAACATATGCATAGCCACTTCTCTTCAATTTCTAAATCACAACAAAAAATTCATTCAGCCCCACAATTAATTACAAACACAACAACTATTCGCCAACCACAACCTGTTAGACGAATTCAAGTTTCAAGTAATCGAAGTCCTACAACATTGCCACAATTGGGAGGAAGACAAAATACACAACTTTAAAATATTTTTAAAAAAAGAGCTAATTATTTAATAATTTTCTATAATTTTGTCAATTATTATTATTTGGATTTGGGATAAATATTATTTTAAAGAAAAAATCATAAAATTTATTTTGAGAAAATATTTATTGGAAAAATATAAGTGAATTAGATTAATTAACAATTTTAGTTAATTATAAATGTATATCACTAAAATATAAATTAATATTAAATATCATTTTAATGGCACTTATCATTAGTAAATATTTAAAATTAAAAAAAAGTCACAAATTCTTTCCCTTCCCATACAATAACACTTCTCCCTCCCATCACCATTTCAAATATTATTTTCCTTCTTCAAACCCCAAATATTTTAGTAATTCTGTCCAAATCACGGCAATTAATTGCTTCAAAAATTTCATTATCCAATTGGATATTTTCCATACGAATTATGGCAGAACGAAGTCTAGACCATATAAGTGATTGTTCTGGTGAATGTTGAATTTTAAGAGCTGCCAAAAAATGAATAGCCGCTTCTCTTTAAAATAAAAAAAATTTTTTTAATTTTTTTAATTTTATTTTTTACCGAAAACTTTGCAAATTCATACAAGAAACTCCAAGATTATATCGAACACGAACATACGAGGGAGAAATTTGTAGAGCTCTTTTATATGCATTTATAGCTTCTGCTGAACGATCAGCATTAGCTAAAGTTGCACCCAAACGGTTCCAAAGAATTGGGTCCTTTAAAAAATAATGAGAGAAAAAATGTCTTTTAATTAAAAATTTTTTACTTCTGGTTTAAAGTTTAAAGCAGAATTTAGACATTCAATTGCTTTATTGTAATCATTACTTAAATTATAGAGTATACTCCTAAAAAATAAAATTTAAAATAAATTTTAATTAAATAAAATATGTAAAAATTACATAGCATTTTGTAATTCAACTAATTCACATTCTGGTTGAACAAATTTAATTACTTCAAGAAATTTAGCTTCAACCTAAAATAATAAAAAAATAAAAATTATTTTTTAATCTCTCTTAAAGCTACGCTTAAATAAAAAATGCAAGCGGAAAATACGGCTTATATAAGCACGCAATTTCCCTTTGTTTTCTGCCTCAAAACGTGCGCGATTTTTATAAGTAATTATTTAAAATTTACTTTTAAAAATTCATTTTTGTCCAATTTTTTGTATTGAAATCCAAAAGAAGTATTTCCTTCTTCCTTAGGCATTTCTTCTTCAGAACAATTTTTATAAATACAAATAAATTTATCCAATTCATGTAAAGCCAAACATTCAAACCCTTCATTAGCCAAAGAAACAGACAAAGCCAAAATTGCTTTTAAATATTTTGGATTTAATTTTAAAGCATTTCTTAATGCACAAATTGCTTTTGGATCTAACAAAAATTAATTTAAATTTTATTTAAAAACCTTGTTCATTTTCTGCCAAAGCAATTCCCAACGAATACCTTTAATTAAAATTTAATTTTTATTTAAATTTATTTAATTACCAAATTTCAACATTTTCTGGATCTTTTTGAATTGCCGCTTCATAAAATAAAATAGAATTAGCAATTCTTCCATTAAAAAGATTTTCTTTTGCTTTTTCAATTAAATTTTCTTCGTTAATAAATGGATTATTCTTTAAATTAATTTTTTTAAATTTAAATTTTTAAAATTTCTTTTACTTTATTAAATTCAAATCTTTCTTTTGAATTATAATTTTCCCAAGCACTTTCATAATCAAAAAATTCAATTTTTTCTTTTTCTCCCACAAAATCATTCAAAAATTCATTTTCCCAATTATTTAATTGTTTTCCATTTAAATCATAATTTTCTAAAAAATCTTTAGCCCAAACAGATCCTTCACTAAAAATTAAAAAATTTTTTTTACAAAATATTTTAAAATAAATTTACTTTATTTTCCCCCATTCATTTTCCATTTTTGAATTTTTTTGTTCCAAAATAAATTCTTCCATCCATTTATTATTTAATTCATTTCCTTCATTAAATTGTCTAGTCCAGTCATTAGCCAAATTTATTGAATTACTTTTTTTAATTTTAAAAATTAATTTAAATATTTATTTTTACCTAATATTCAAAGAATTATTCCAAAAATGTTCCAAATTCTCAAAATTTAAATTATTTTCCGGTAATTGCTCCAAAAGTTGTCTCATATCAAAAGTATTTGGGGGCATTGTTTTACTCGATATATTAGCCAAATATTCTTGAACAGACTAAAAAATTAAAAATTATCTTTTCTAAAATTAATTTTACCAAATCATTATTATTTTTATTTTCTCCAATAAATCCATTAATTGAACGTTCAACACCAGAAGGAAGAATTGATTGGGTATTTCCATAATTTTTAGATAATGTAATTAATTCATTTTGAGTTCCCTTTTTTTCTGAGATATCAAATAATTGTTTGAACATTTTTATTTAGAAAATCTAAAAATATTGTAAATTTTTAAAAAATTAAAAATTTGTAAGAAAATATAAACAAAAATATAAATATTCAATTAAAAGAAATATTGATTATAAAAATATTTTCTTCAAATAAATAATTGATAACGAGAAATAAAAAAGAATGAGGTGACCATGTAAAGAGCAAATAGTATGTATATTACTATAATTATTTGTACAAAAATTGTGCTTGATGGTTAAACCAAATAAAAATATATTTGATAAGAATAAAATTTTAGGGATTAAATAAAATATTGTTTGGTATTCTTTAAAATATTATATTTTAATTAATATAATTTTTAATAAATTAATTCTTCTTTTTTTATTCATTTTCATTTAAAATGATTGATTTAATTGAAAACAAATTTTGACAAATTTTTTCTGATGGGAAATTTAACGCTCTCCCCAACTGTTCTAATTTAATTATTAATTCTTCACAAAACGAAAGGAAAGAATTTTGGAATGTCTCAAAATTATATTGTAATTCAAAGTCATCTTCTGATTTCTCCAAAATAGAATACTAGAAAATGAAAAAAATAATTTTTAAATAAACAAGATTTATTCCAATAAATCTACCCGGGACAAAGAAAACCGAAATAGTTTTTAATAATTAAAATGCAAACTTTTGGTTGAGTAGAAATAATAATTTGTTTAGAAATTAATTTTTCCCCATGCAATTCTTCAATATCAAACTTGAAATTAGTTAAATTGTTATTTAAATAAGAGGAGGGAGATTCTTGAATACGATGAAGTAAAAGATTTGATGACTGTTGTAAATAGTGATCTTTCAATCTAAAAATATATATTTAGGTATATTTTGGCATTAATAAAAAAATTTCCCTCCAATTTTCTATTTTTTCTCGGCTTATCCAGCGTCGATAGAAAATAGAGAACGTTAAAAATTCGGTTTATCCGGAAAAGATTAAGAGTTAATTGAAGAAACGTATGTACCAGAAGCAGCCTCATAGCCAAAAAAATAGCCAGGGACCTATTTTCGGCGTCGAAAATGATTCCACACCCGTTTTTCCTGGTTACGGACTTATATAGAAGTATGCAATGGAGGCATGATGTACAATCTTTTCACAAGGGAACATATGTTACTGTGAGTACGAATTTGATAAATTTTTTGGTACCATGCGAAAGAGGACCCTCGATTTACTCTTGTAGTTTGCGGGTTTTCTTGCAAAATTAGTTTGGGCCGAGTTATGGCCGTTCAAAGTTTCAGTCCTTGGGATTGATTGAGTATAAGCAAGAGGGAAAATAAGCGCGCTATAACTTTTTTTTCACTTCTCTGCGTTCTTCACATTATTTTATAAAGAGGAAAAAAGAATGCAAGAGTAGCGAGGAAAAAAGAAGGGAGAAAATGTCAGACACAATAATCAAAGAGAAGGGGCGTGGCTTGTTCTTTGAGGATGAAAAATAAGAGAGAAGAGAGAAAATGAGCGAACTATGTCCTTTTTTCACTCTCTCTGCTTTCTTTATATTGATTTACAACAATGAGAGAGAACGCAAGAGACGCGAAGGAAAAAAAAGGGAGGAAAAATGTTAGACACTAAATAAAGAGAAGATGGGTGTGTCCGTTTTTTGAGTATGAAAAATAAGAGAGAAATTGTTTTCTTACCCTATAACTCCTGACTCTAGCGGTCTAACTTTGAACGGCCATAACTCGGCCCAAACTAATTTTGCAAGAAAACCCGCACAAAACAATAGTAAATCGAGGGTCCTCTATCGAATGGTACCAGAAAATTTATTAAATTTGTACTCACAGTAACATATGTTCCCTTGTCAGTAATATTCGTATATATTTCAAATAAATTTTAGAACCTTTGAAAGGTAATTTCAAATTGTTGAAAATTAAATTTTGAAAAATATTGAGTAAATGATTTCAATAAAAGAAAACAAAGTTCAGGTTCAGAATATGCCCAGTCAATAATAACCTAAAATATTTTAAATATAATTTTCAATTATTTCTAACCAAAGAATCAAAATTAATTTTCTTCAATAAAACAATAAAAATCAATTCTGGATCTAACATTTTTGGAAGTAATATTTTGTTTTGTTCTGATGAATGTAACTTTAAAAAATCAATAATTTTAAATTTATTTGAATATTTACCTTCATTATTGCTATAAATGTAAGTAAACAACGTTCATCGTTTTCCATCAAAAAATAAACAAAAATATTGGGTGATGACGAAAATAATAACTCCAATCGGTTAAAGAATATATTAATTTGTTCTTTAGAAATATTAGCTTAAATTTATAGAAAATTCGGAAAATTTTTAAGAAAAATTCAAACAAAAAATAATTTCTTCTTCTGCCAATCCAATTAAAATAATTCCAATAGAAAAATAAATAATTGAATTTGACCGAGTATTTTCAACAGATTTTGGACTATCAAATGATGAATGAATTGATAAATTTGGAGCAAGATTAAATATTTGAACATTTGAAGAACCGGCAAACCAAACTTTTTCTAAAATAATAAAAAAAAGAAATCAGAATTAAGAAAAATATTTTTGTATTGTTTTAACTAAATAAAAAGTTGATTTTTAAATAAACCATTTGTAAATTGAATTTCTCCAGCAAAATTGAAAATTTCTGAGGAAATTCTGCAAATTAATGGATGTTTTAACCAAGTAAATTTATTTTGATGCCACTCCAATTGAATAAAATTCTCAAAAATAGCAAACAATCTTCGACGTTTTGGCGATTCATGCAATAAAAAAGAACTAATTTTTTCATTTTTTCCGTCAAAAAATTCAGTCAATTTTTCAATACAGTTGTTGAAGGGAATCATTTGAAATTTATTTGAAATATCCAGCTAAATTCTAAAAACGTTTGACTGATAGAATAAGAAAAGGTATGGAACATTAATCAAAAACATATTTCAAAAAACGAAACAAACCGACCTTTAAGCAAAACCTAACCTCCTCCCCTGCTTGCGATTCTTCAAGATTACTATCCACTAAATCTCCAACTAAATTTCCACTATCTTGGCATTCTATCTATTTTTGTTGGTTTACGAAATTTAATCCCAATGTTTTTTAAAAACTCTAAAGATCAATAAATTTTCAATTTTAGATTGTCTGAAACTGGTTCGTTTTTAAGACTTCCTACTTGCGATTCTTCAACATTTCTGTACATATCAGATCGTACTTTTATTCATTGTAATTTTACTTTTTGTTTTTACATTTTTACTTTTTTTTTTATTTTAGATATTTTAATAAATTTTAATGGCTCGTTCTCGATCACGTTCCCCAACTTCTCGTAATCAACATGGTCGTTCATCTGTGAGACGTCGATCAAGATCTAGATCTTATGATAAAAGGCGAAGAGAAATGTCTTATAGAAGGGATGAGGGTTTTAGCAGAGAGCGACTAAGACGGGATCGAATACAAGAAGCTATCATCAACAGCAGCAAAAGATCAAAAGATGCTTTGGAAAGATCTTCAGATTTGATGAGGGATAGAAGATCAACACGCGAAAAAAATGATGATAGACTTCGTTCGGAATTAGAAAATTTAAAGAATGTTGATGATGAATATGATAAAAGTTATAAGAAGCACAAAGAAAAGAAGGAGAAGAAAAAGAAGAAACATAAACGAGAAAAGTCTTTTTATCTTTTAAAAATTTTTAATTATTTTATTTTAAGAAATGGCAAAGAACCTAAAGCAAAGAAATCAAAAAGAAAAGATGCCGCAGACGAAACTGATTTAGATTCAGATGACGAGAAGCAGTTAATTGAGCAAAGAAGAAAACAGCGTTCTGAGCTTTTGGAAAAGATTAGAAGCGAGAAAGGAATGATTGAAGGTGAACCCATGCACAGGTAATTTAAAATTTTGTCTTTTGAATATAATTATAAGGATTATCACGGGCGTGATTTTACGGGATCCCTTGCCGGAATCACGGGTTTTAAGCGGAGAATGGGATTTAGGGGTTAATCCCGCGGGATTAATCCCGTCTTTTGAAACTCAGCCTCGTTACGGGATCCCGGAAATTCTTTTCTCAATTTACGGGATTTTCAATTACTCTGAAAATTGACTGTAACATTAAAAAAAGACTAAATTTAGCTTTGTGGCTTTTATATTTCTCGAAATCTTGCTTCATTCTAGTAAAAATCCTAATTATTTATTAAAGTTTAATGGCTTAGTTTTTTTAACATTAACAGCACAAATTTTGTTTATGGTTTATATTCTATGATTTTATTTTAGTGAAACCCCAAATCCTCCTGAGGTTGTTGTGGAGGAAAACAACTCGCAAAATAAAGATATTGAGAGCGGTTCGAGTTCTGACGGTGACGATAGTCAAGAAATTGCAAGAGAAGAAGCTGAACTTGAGAATGAACAAAAGGAATCCAAAGTCGATAGACTTTTACGCGAAGCTATTGATGTTCTTAAAGAAAGTGGAACAAAAATAACAGATGTGGAAGCTTCTCCAATTTCTTCACCTCAACTTTCTCAAGCATCGGATGATTTGGTAGATTTCTTTGGAGAGCAATGTGCAAAGATATCACACATTCGTAATAGAGATGAGGTTTGATCGTTTCAAATTTCTAATTCTAAATTTATTAAATTTAAGGCTGAACGTATACGTAAACAAACAGAACAATCGATTCAAGAAGAAAAGTCTAAAATGGATAAAATTTTAGGGGAAAAGATTCTAGATGAAGATATCGAACGTTTAGAATCTGAACGGGAAAAGACAACAAAACCAGATAATACAAAGATTGAATCACTTCACTTTGACATGTTTGCTGATGAGGCACCAGTTGAGGTTTTTAAAACATGATTGCTTAAATTTATTAAAATTTTTTCAGCTTCTCTCTAAAGCTGCTACAATCGAAACGAATGATTTAACAACAGCTGCATTAAAAGACAATTGGGACGATACTGAAGGATATTACCGTTTGTTTATTTTTTGTCTTATAATTTGAGTAGTTATATTTAAATCATATTTCTTTGGTCGCAAAGTTTTATGTACTTTTAGGAGTCAGAATCGGAGAACAATTAGATGGTCGCTATCGTGTTTATGGTTACACAGGATCTGGAGTATTTGGAAATGTTGTTCGTGCGACAGATATGAATAGAACTGCTTCCAAAGTGGCTATCAAAATTATTAGAAACAATGACCTAATGTAAATTTTGTAATTTTAATTTTTGTTAGCTTTTTTAATCTTTAGGAGGAAGACAGGTGTTCGTGAATTGGAAGTATTGAAAAAACTTAACGAGGCAGATCGTCTCGATAAATATCACATTTTGCAACTTTTTAGGCAATTTTATCATCGAAATCATCTCTGTCTGGTTTTTGAAAATTTAAGGTTGTTTTAATCTTATGTTAGAACTTTTTTAAACTTTTCATTTTTAGTATGAATTTACGAGAATTATTAAAGAAATATGGAAATAATGTTGGTCTTCATATGAAAGCTGTTCGCTCTTATGCTCAACAATTGCTTTTGGCTCTAAAGTTGTTAAAACGTTGCAACATTCTTCACGCAGACATTAAACCAGATAATATTTTGGTAAGCAATATCTTAGGGAAATTTATAGTTGTTTTGTTAAGGATGCCAAGAAATTTATAGCAGTAATTTGTGTCAATATTTCGAAAATAACATATAAATAGAGTTATGAGTGTTTTACTTTGGCATCTTTAAACATGAGATATTGGAGAGTATTCGAAAATTATAATCAATGATTTTTTGAATTTTACCTGCGGCAATTGTCACATGCGCATTTGATCAATTATGTCTTCGAATACTCTTCAATAAGCTTCTTTCCCTTTCTATAAATCATTCATAAATAATTTCCTTTTCCACTCATATACTATTGGCCAATTGCACTAATTCACAATTCACATCATTCAATTAGATGTTTAATCTGGTTTGGGTCTCATTGACAACCTTTTCTCAATCGACTTTTTCTTTGAATGATTGATCAAGCTGCAAAAGCCAATCATCTTTGAGAGTTGATCGTACGACCCTATGCATGAATTTGTATGCTATGAAATTAATTTATTTGTTTAGGTTGACGAAACAAAAATGCATCTTAAATTATGCGATTTTGGTTCGGCTTGTCATGTTGGTGACGTTGAGCCTGCTCCCTACTTAGTTTCACGTTTTTATCGGGCACCGGAGATTAGTAAGTTTTTAATTAAAAATATTTTTTGTTAAAATCTAATTTTTAGTGCTTGGACTGCAATATGATTTTGGAATTGATCTATGGTCGCTTGCAGTTACTCTTTATGAGGTTTATACGGGAAAGATTATGTTCCCAGGAAAGTCAAACAACCAAATGCTTAAATTTATGATGGACCTTCGTGGAAAATACCCTAACAAGGTGATACGGAAGGCATTGTTTAAGGACCAACATTTTGATAACAACTGCAACTTTATTTATCACGAGACAGATAAAGTTACTGGAAAGGTACTGTTTAATTTTTCTGGGGTGGAACAATTTAAAAATTTATGTTGTAAGTAAATTTGATTATTTATTTAAGTAAATTCGAATTTTAGATGCTTGACAATATCCTTCGGATAGTCGTTGCATAGGTTTTTCTTTTGTAATTTTATCTGAACTGGCTTGTTGTTAATTTTTATTATTTATATAAGGGGACAATGTATATTTATTTTATATTTGTTAATATTTCATTCTTTTTTTCCACCCTTGACTTTCCACATCTTCAAATAAATTTTCTTTTCTTTTAAAGGATAAAGTCACTGTTCTCGCAAATATTAAAATGCAAAGAAATTTATTTGCAGAATTGGCTGGTGACCAAGAATTGGATAAAGATGGATATACTCGTGTAGAACACTTCCGTTCTTTACTTGAGCAAATGACAACATTGGACCCAGGAAAGCGAATTACGTGCTCAGATGCTTTGAAGCATCCTTTTATAATAGAAAGGTGATTCTTTGAATGAAAAAGTCAGGTGATAAAAACACTTGTTTTCTTTTCTTTTGTATTTCATATTTTTTCCTATGTGAGTAAAATCTTTTTTAAAAGTTTTACTATAATCTGAAAAATATTTATAATTATTTCATTACATCAAATAAGAATAATAATTATAGGTTATATAAGCAAGAAGATAATTTTGAATTTTTTACTTCCTTTTCTTTCCTTATAGGGCTAATTATTAATGTTAGACTTTCTTCTCCAGTTTGGAATTTTTTAATGTGCCACACAATTAGCCTTATTCTGCATATTTTTATCGAAGTCATGAGCCAAAAAGGAGGATACGAAATTCAAAATTTTTATTGTGTGAGATCAAAACTTTAGATGAGTATTTGTCTTTATAGAAAAGTATCATGAGCAGTACTTGAGGCATTACTTAACCCGGCTATAGATGTTTGCCTTGGTGATCCGCTCATATATCTGTAGCAGCTAGAACTGCTTTTTCGGTGACAGGCAAGAAGACCGGTATGGATAGTTGGCGATGGTGAAGAAAATCTTTCTGAGACAAAATTTTTATTGATTTCACCTCCGCCCCCCGTGTCATTGTTGGCATTAATAGCATAATAACTAAAATATTATAATTTCTACTAAATATTTGTCAAATTTACCTTCCAACGGATGTTTCCTGTTTTCTTTGCATAATACTGCCAGCAGCTTCTTTACGTACATTTTTGTGTTTTTCAAAAAGTATAATGTATATTTTTGGTGAAAATATACAAACGAGAGCAACATTTGCGCTCATACTGATTGATATACAAAATGCAGTTGTTTGAATCTAACAACATGGATATAAATTTTGGATATATAAATTACCTGAAAGTCGCTACTTGTTCCAATAAAAAATAATATAAGGCAACACCAAAGCACACAAGTTGTGTACCTGTTTAATATATTTTTTTAATTGGAAAAAAGATGCGAGTTTGATAAAAATAATAATTCAAATCTGTTATATTTTAATTATTTTTAATTTTGGATTTACATTGAAAATCCAATATATCTTGTCTCGTTAAAATTCTCTGGCACTTTGCGCGTTTTTATTGCATATACAGTACATAAAATAAGTAATATAGCTTCATAGGCTAACGAATAAAGAAAGTGATGATCAGGCACATTACAAGCCAAAACAACTTCTGCACGTGTTGGATATATATGTTGAGTACCTAAAATTTATTTTTGATATGAGGAATATATCTTCATTCAAATACCGGGTGGTTGAATAAGAAGCCAAACTAGTGTAAAAATTTGTTTAGAACCTACAAAAGCAGCAGTTAATGCTAATTGAGAGATTGGGGAAATCATTGGGGGTGGTCGTCTACTTCGAGTTGCCTTAACAAAAAATGGCTTTTTATAATTTAAAAGAATAATTTAATAACTTGTGAAAATATTCTATAAATTCTATTAGTTTTAACAAGAAGTGCTGAATAAAGGCAAGAAAATGCAAGGCCAATACCGATTCTTCTAATTGTACAAACAAGAGTATCTGGTTTTGAAAGCAAAACAAATGTTATAATATAACAAACAAGACATGAACAAAGCAAAACATGGCTAAGTTCTCTTCCAGATGCTTTAACTACTGGAGTATCAGCATAACTAGAGAAAATATTTTTTAAATTTTAATTACTCCCAATTTTAAACACCCCTCCGTCAGAACCAAGGAGGGGTATTTAAAATCGAAGTTTGATTGTAAGTATTAAATACAAACATTGTGTATATAAGCAAGACTAAAAGAGTTGATAAAATTCCAATTACAGCTAATGCTGTTGGAACAATTGAATACCTACAAAATAAAAATATATTTTTTTTTAATTTTTATTTACCAAGTATTCCAACGCATATGTTTTAAATGTTTATCAACCAAAGAAAAACAGCTAGTTCTGTCTTTATTTGGCCAATTTCCTTGTCCACAATCTGCACAAGCAGTCTCATTAATTAAATATTCGTAATCTTCACATTTACCACAAGCCCAACAACAAAGTTCATCCTTTTAAAAAAATAAAAACTTTTAAATAATTTTCAAATAATTTTACTTCTTTAATTAATTGTTTTTTATAACCCAAAGGGCAAGGAAGTGAACAAACAGAAAGAGGCGGTAATTTTATTGTTTTTATTTTATTATTAAAATTTTGTTGATTTCCTTCTTCTTCTCCATTATTTAAATTCCAAAAGAGAAGACTTTCATCTATTTCTAATGCCTCTTCTGACCAACGACCTACAACAACATAATCTGATCGGTCAGAAGTATCAGAATTTGTTGATTGTAATAAACGTCTTCTAGAGGGTTGATAATTTAAAATTGTGTAGTGGGCGGGGCCGTCACCCTAAAAATATTTTAAAAATGATTAATTTAAAAATAAATTGCCTGAGGGCTAAAATGAACTCTTTTTCCAACCAAATCTAGTAAAATAATTTGTAAATATTATAAATATTTAAATACATATGTAGTTAGTATGTACCTTCAAATTTAACATTCAATAAATGTTTATAAAAATTTTCTCCGTCAATATGCCTCATTGCTGGACAGACCTACATATTTATATTTTATTTAAAAATAATTTATTAAAGACTTGTGGAAGTCTAGCATAACGTGAAATCCAGCTACTTTCAATTGAATCATCCGGACATACTTTTTCTTTCATTGATTGTAATGCATGGGCAATTGCATCTTTAATTAAAAAATATAATTATTTTTCTTAAAAAACTACTTACAAACAGCCTCTATTACAAATTGAACTTTGTCGTCAGCACTAAAATTGTCTGCTGATTGACGTTGTGCTTCACATCTTTAATTTAATTTTAAAGAAATAATAAAATAATTAAATTGCCTATTTAATTTAGATTCTTGAGGCAAATCAAATTCACAATTAAATTTATGTCTCCATAATTCTCTAAAAATATTTCTTTTCAAAATTATAATTTCCTTGCTTCCACAATACCTTAACCATTTATTTCTTTCAAAATTTTCATTTCCTGGATGTAGTGAAAGATAATACTAAATTAGTAATTTAAAATTATTTTTTAATTTAAATTAATTTAAACTTCTTCAAATGTCGGCACTCTTTGTGATTCAAGCATTAAAACAATAGCCCCTTCAGCTGCCAATTTTCTACTTCCTAATGTGTACTTTAATTTAAAAAAAATTAAATAATTATCTTATTTTAATTTTCTTTTACATGTTCATTATTTCTATCCCAACCTTCACTTGCTAACCAAATAATTCTTTTTCTTTTATAATCTCCACCTAATCTTTCACTTGCCTTTAAATAATATATTTAAATTAAAAGATAAACAAAAAACTTTTTGTAACAAATCAGGAACATATTCAGTTCCAACAAACAAAGCGACAACTCTAGCCCCAACTTGTTTATCTTGTTGAAGTCTTTTTAAAAAATTTAATTTATTTTTTTTAAATTATTTATTTTTACTTTTTAGCTAAATTATCAATAGAATCTCTTAAAGATTCTGGTTTCATAGAAACTCTTTCTTCTATAGCAATACAAATTTTGGCACGTCTAGCTTCTTTTTTAAAAGCATCTGCACCCAATTCACCATATTCATCAGCAGAATATACCTTTATTTGAATAGATTTTTAAGAAAAAAATAATTAGAAACCAAAGAAACATAAGTCCAATTAAAATGAACGGCAATATCAATCATTGCGCGGGCTTGGTAATTATCGCTAGGGACTGTTCTAAAACAAAATTGTTTTAAAAATATTAAAAGTCAGTATAAAATTTGTTTTTTTAAATTGGATATCAGAAATTAGATACCGACAAAGTAAATTAAAGCTTAATTTAAGAATATAACTCAAAAACAAAAATTACCGGGCAAAATATTCAAAACGATTTTTATCGCTCAAATCGGCATTTGTGCTTGCTACAAAATATTTAAATTATTTTAACTAATTTTTAAAAAATAATAACTTGCCAGGACTAACTTGAACAATTCGAAAAAGTCTAAGTAAATTAGCTATCTAAATATATAAAAATATTTTTATTTATTCCCCTTTTATTTATACTTGAACAGTTACAGAAGAATAACTAGCACCAACTACAGCAACAACACTCTTTTTAGGGCTTGAATTTCGTAATAATTTTGGTTGTCTACCATCACTACAAGTATATTCTGACATTCCAGAATTACCTCCAATCATTTCTCTCACAAAATCTCTAAAAAAATAATTTTATTTAAAAAATTATTCTTTTTTATTTACAGAGACTGATTTAAAGCATAAGCTGGATTAGAACAAGAATCTAAAATTAAAGCTCCCTAAAAAAATAAATAATTAATTATTTCAACAGATATTTTTTAAACCAATTTATATCCTCTCAGAAATTCTGTTTGAGCATTTATCATATCCAAAGCATAAAGAAATGCTTCTACTCGATGAACACCTCTCGTTTCAAAAATCTCTCCACAAGGGGATATTCCACCGCTTCCTTTAGCGTGAACGGGGAAAACGCCCCCAATAATTAAATCCCCAGGAATTCGAAGTTGACGAACATTTTCAATTGGTTGTCCACTAAAAACACCTGAGGAGTCTTCAACTGCTAGAGCTAACATATGAATATGTGTTAATGTACGTAATGTCATTGAAAGAAGAGAAAACATTTTTTTTTAAAAATTTAGTTGAAAATAAATATTAATATTTTTGTATAAAAAAGAAAGAAAAATAATTTTTTTAAATAAAAATTCTGACTGTCAATAAATAAATACATATTATTATTATATTTTTATTTTATTCTCAAAGGTATTAATTATTTTTTTTAAATTATTTTAAATAATTCAACAAATATAGCATTTATATATAATATTTAATTATATAAAGCTTGAAAGACAAAATTTGCGTGCGTAAGTAAATAAATATATACATTTTCTTTTAAATTTAATGTCAAAATTACTAGAAGTATTTTTAAAAGTCTTGCTAAAAAATATTGGATTTAAATAAAATTAATTTTTATTTTATTTTATATAATCTATGTATAATTATCATTTAAGAGATAAAATTGGATAAAAATAAAAATATTATTTTTTAAATATCTGTTAAAATACTTATACATAATAAACCTTTTTTATTGAATTTTTGGACAAAAAAGGGAAAGAATATAAAAGGATTTATTTTTGTTAAGAATTTTAGAAATTGATTTAAAAAAATAAAAGCCGATTCTACGGCAGATTTTGCGACGCGGCATTTGGTAAATAAATGGAATTTCCGATGACCGCCGACATTCTCAAAGAGATGTTTGGGTGACGACTGTCTTCATTTTATCAAGCACTTGAAAGCATATTTACACACAAACACTTTATTTAAAAGAGAAATTATTTATTAAAGTATTTCTCTTTTTTAAGTTGTTAGCGTTCTTTAAATAAAAAATAATAAATAAACGTTTAATAAAATACTTAAAATATTTTTTAATAATTTTGTAGAGGTTGGGGGAAGGGGGGGAAGGGGTGGGGGGTTATTTAATTAAAATTTTAAATTATTTATCTAAAAACATTGCTTTGTTAAAAATTTATTTATGTGTGTGTGGTATATTTTTATATAAATATGAGAAAATGAATAAGACAAATTAGTATTTGTTTATGAGAAAATAGAGAAAAACACATTTTTAATTTGTAAATTTTAAAGAAAAAAAAATAAAGAAAATAAATTTCAAAAAATTATTAGAATATTCCAACATCCTTTTTGAATTATTTAAATTCAAAAAATATTATTTAAATAATAAATAGAAATTTTTATAAATGTTTAATGTCTTTAAATTTTAAATTTAAATTTAAATAAAATACTTTAAATTATTTTTCTAAAAATATTAATAAATTTAGTGCAAAATAAAATTTATTCGAAACATTAAAATCAAAAAAATTTTTTAAAATATGTAATTTAAAAAATATAATCGATTCTTCAAGACTACAAAAATGTAAAAAAGCATAAATACTCCCGAGAGATTTGTAGTTTTGAAACAAAAAAAAATAAAAAAAATATTTTTTTAAAAGTATCCGATTTTTAAATAAAAAAAGCATTTATTTTATAATTTTTAATAAAAAATTGCAAAAAATATTTTTCATTTAGTTAATGAAAATATCAAAAAGAATGAGAAAGAAACCTACCCAACAACTAAATAAATAAAAGAATATATATTCACACAAAAGGAAATCCCTCAGGATGTTTTATTTAATAATGAAGAATTGAAGGGAAGGTGTTTGTTGTTGAGTCTAAAATTTTTGAATTAATTTGAACATTAAAATTTTTTTTAGATATTTTTTATTTAAATTAATCTAATTAATTAATTTAATTTAATTAATTATTTTTTTAAAAAATAATTTGGTAAATTCTACGCAATATTTATTACTAATTAATTATTTTGTATTTTCTTAAAAAAACTTACTAATATATTATATTAAAATTAAGTATTTAAACAATTTTATATTTTACAAGTTAATTAAAAATTAAATTTTCTTTTCTTCCTCCAAAAAATGTCAACAACAAAATTACTACTTCCAATTATTTTAATTATTTTATTAATATTTCCAGAAGGAGAAAGTGATTGTGTACAAATGTGTAAAAATTCAGCTTGTAGCCAAATTTGTAGTAGAAAAAAGAGAGAAGGAGATGAAGGTGTTAAACGATTAATTAAAAGGGATTTTAATGGATGCCAATTTACACAAATGGGGGGATTGGCACGTGAAGATTGTTCTAAGGATGGAGGGGTTGTTGTTGTTAGGAAGGTTAGATAAGTAAAGATTATTTTTTGTTAATTATTAAATTTACAGGAAGGACGTAGAAAGAGATTGGCAAATTTGGAGAAAATGAGAGAAGGAGGAGACTTTCCTTGAAAAAAATAATTTAAATGAGAATAAATTAAATTAACTATTTTTTATAGTACGAGCAAATTTCAAAATTCCAAACACTTTTATATAAATTTATTTTTTCTTCAAAAATTAATAGAAAAAAAACATCTACTACTTAAATATGATAAATTTAATTTCTAAATAAATACAAGTTTTCTGGTGATTCATTCTTTGCTCAAGTTCTTTTACCAATTTTGTGAAAAATAAATATAAAATTGAGAAAGAGTATAAGTATTTAGTAATTAGTTTTGTGTATTTATTTAGGTATTTAAAAATTCTTTGCTGGGAAATTTGTTGAAGAATAATATTTTTATAAAAATAAAGTACCTATTACCGAATTTATTCGACTCGGAATCCTACCAAAATTCGTATTTGTCGTACACGTACCTGTTTACAAAGTACGAGCAAATTTCAAAATTCCAAACACTTTTTGGGAGAAAAAAGCAAAACTAAAATTCCTAAAAATTATTTTGTAGCATCCACTTTTATTTGGCGCATCCCTTATTTAAATCTATATTATTTTAAATTTATTAACAAAAAAATATTTAAATATTTTTTTAATTTTAAAATGATTAAAATATTAATTAATTTATTTTTTGTATTATTATTAATATTTTTATTTGGTAATTGGTATGGAAATGGAGAATGTGTTATTACTGTATTTTTAAAAATTTATATACAAAATTAAAATTAAATTTAGACAAACGGAGTAACGACATATTCAGAAGAAGAAGATTGTATACAAATTGTTCAAGGCTACAAATATTTTCAGATTTTTCCGGTTAATGGAATAAAATCTGTTTATATGGTAATTACTTTTTATTTAAATTTTACTTTTAAAAATTATTTTTTAGATAAATCCAATTTTGTTAATTATTGCTATTTTAATTATTTATGTGTAGAGAGAGAGGAATCTATTAAATTGAAAAACAAAAAAAAATAATTTAAATATTTAAAAAATACTTTTAAATGTAATGTTAATTTTAAGTTCAAAACTCTAAATAAATTTTTATAATAATAATATGTATTTCTTCATGTTTTTTTAAAATTAATATTTGTGAAGTAGTTTAGGGAAAGATTCTGTCATATTTTAAAAAGCGGCAGATTGAGGGTGGAAGGAAAGAATCTCTGATATTTAAGTATTAATTTTTAGATTTTTTTATTCAAAAAAAATATTTAAAAGTGAAAATTTTATAAAAATATTTTATGAATTACTCCTTTTCTAATTCTTTCTCTTTTAAAATACATACATCCATTCAATAAAAATTGGTAGAGGCATAAATACACAAACACACACACAAATATTATACACATCTTTTGACCACATTGCTGACCAATATAAAACAAAATATTAACAATTTACTTTACAAACATTTATTTATTTAAATCAATATATATTTTAAATATTTTTATTTAATTAATTTTCGCAATTATTATTAATTAAATAAAAATATCTATTTTTATCTTCAATAAATTTATTAAAAAAATCGGAGATTGTAATTATTTTTATTCTTTGATTATTTTAGTAGGTTACCATTTATAGAAAAAAAAAGAAATGATAAATTAATCAAATTTATATTGCTAGACAAATTTAACCAAAAAAAAGAATTTTTAATTTAAATAACTTTATATCATTTTTATAAAAAAAAGGAATATGTATATAAACCTGTTTTTAGCTTTTATTTTTTACTTTTTAAATAAGCTAAAAATAACGTGTAACTAAAAAGTTAATAATAAAAGTGAATATTTTAATAATTAAAAATATTTATTTTTAATTAATTTATTTAATCATTTCCTGCTATAAAAAATACACAATAATAGTACCTTTCTGATATCTCCCCTTTTTTTAATTTTTCTTTACTTGATCGGTTATAACTTTTTTATACTTAATCCAATCCGAATAAATCTTATATCATTCGAGAGCTTTTTTTCTCCTTTTTGAGAACCCATCCCCTCTTTTGGGGATTTGGAAAGGGCCACCCTGTTAAGCATTTAAAAATTTATATAAGATCAAATTAAGAAAAGAGGGAAGATGACAGTAAAGTATCCTAAATTATTAAATGATTAGGCCGTCGTAAAGAGTACCTTGTCCAAAAATAATCCCTTCTTATTTTTAACTTTTTTGAAGAAATTACCTATTTTTATTTCAAATAAAATGTTTCATTTACCTTCTGAAACTTGGTTGGATATATTTAAATTTATTGACTACAATGGATTATGTAATTTATGCTTAACAGAACGCTTCTTTTCTAAATTAATTGATCGACATAAAAATGAATTGGCACTTAAAGAATTTTATAGTTTTGAACTTGTTTGTGTTTTGAATATATTTTGTTTTGATTAATTAATTAATTATTTTTAAAGGACCGTGTTGGACATGATTATAGAAATTTGTGGGAAAAAGCGAAGGATATAGATAAAGATATGGAATCTAAATTAGGACGTGGGTTTTTTTGGGGATTTGAACCTGACGAGAAATTAACTAAAAAGGTAAACTTATTTTGACAGTAATTTTAACTTTCTTTCCCCCTCCCTTTTTATTCTTTACTCAAAAGCCTATAATGGTCAGCTTACCGAGCTGAGTTAAATGGGCTGAATGGATTTTGAAAATTTATAACCGATTAACTAGGCAACTTTAACCGACTTTTCTAAAACTAACATTATTTGATTCAGTTCGATGAAATTTTTGAAGGAAAATAGGGGAACTACTAAGTTGAATATTACCTTCTAAATTTATTGAATGTCAAAATAAAAATAAATTGAAGAAAAAAGGGTGGGAAAATACAAAATTTAAAAATTACAAATGATTTTTAGTAAAATTTTTAATTAGGGACGAGTTTTTTTATAAAACAATTTAGTTATAAATCGAATAAAGGTGTAGCCAATTAATTAAAATTATATTTCCGTAAATATTTTGAGAGGAATTATTAAAAAAAAATTTTTAATTATAATTTTTAGTGGAATACAGCATTATCTGAAAATATTCCAATGTTTTTACCAGATATATTTACACGATCAATAAAAGCAGAATATGTTATTGTTATTACTAAAAAGGGTAAGCATACATATAAAATTTCTTAATATTTTTCTAAAAAAATTAAAATTTTCAGAAAGAGATCCATATAATCAACGACTTCGTTTAACTCTTCCACATTTTCCTCACAAAATATTTGAATTAGTATTTATTCGTTATTGGCTAAAACAATTATCATTTTGTTCATTTAAATCTTCATTTAATTATTGTGACTGTTATTTTGCTATTTTTAATCCAAAAATGTTAAAATTAATTTTTGAAGAAAATAATTCTTCTTTAAATTTTTATACAAAAATTGCTGGCCTACATATTGCCAAAAATGATTTTGAATTTAATAAACAAGCTATTGAATTTATATCAAAACATTTAATTGTAACAAAATGTTTATATTTATGTATTGGAAATAATTTTAAAGAAGATATTATTAAATTTATTTTAAATTTTGGAAAGAAAATAAATAAAATATCTTTTTGTAATGATTATATTAATAATGCACATTCGGCTTTAATTGATATAATTATTGAGGTAATAATTAGTAATTAAAAATTGTTTTTTAATAAGTAATAATGATAGTAATAAGATAAATAATGAGCCCTTTGCGCAATTTTAGGAATTAAAAATTTGTTCAGGAAGTGGCAAGAAGTGATAAATAATAATGGACATTATATTGTTTCTTGATTTCATTTCATTATCTAGTTATAGTAAATTGTTTGATTTATGCACAAAGGACTCATTATTTATCTGACAACTCATTGATTTGGAGGTTTTGGTGGGAAATGGATGCCAAAAGGGATGCCCTCTATTTTATGATAAATACCAGGGACCTGGCCAATAAAAAATAAGCTCTCAATTTTGGGAATAGGTAATTCTCTAATTTTTTAGAATTACACATTGGGTCGGTTAGATCACTGATGCATAAAATAATTTACCTAAAATTCCCTATTTTATGTATCAATAAAGGATACTTGTTGTCTGTCTCCCTCGAAATTGAAGAAAACTTACTAACTAAATATATTTTATTTTAATTTTTTTTTCAGATAATTTTAAATTCAACAAATTGCTTGGAGATTGTTAAGGATATTGAAATTACAAGAATTAATAATTTAATTGTACCTAATTTATTAAATAAAGTAATTAAATCAGAAGAAGGTTTTAACGAGGAAGAACATTTTTTCAAAAAATATTTAATTCGTAATAATCAAAATAATTATTTTTATATTTATTTTTCACATCCAACTGAAACTGGAAAATTTGATTATTTCCGTATTTATCAGACATTTACAAATTGATAAAACTAATTTTTTTAATATTATTAAATTAAAATTTATATTTTCAAGCTGATTTGTAATTTTTTAAGAAACTAAATTAATAGGAGGTTTACTAAAATGAGGCTATTAAGTCGACGATTTTTGGTAGATTAAGCAAATTAAAATTTATTTTAGATAAAAAATTTCCAAATTTATCAAGTTTATAAAAAATATATATGTACATAATTCGTTATAATAAATATTTTGTCAAATATGGAATAATTTTTAGGAGAAGGGAGTATAATCAACTTTGAGAAAAAATTATATAATAAGATTTTTAATAAAACTTCTTACTAGATTGGAATATTTGTATGTACATAACTGAATGTTTAATAGGCAAATATGTGATAAATTTTAGGAGAGGGGTCTCCTGTGACAAATCAAATTTAAAAATATATCGAATTAAAAGGGGTGAAAAAATGGGGTTGAAAAAATCGTAAATAAGGTTATACAACGAGGTCCAACTGAATCTGATATTTACATATTTTTTGTACAATTGCCACTCCCACCCTTTGATGAAATTATCAAAGGTATTTCAAACATATTCTTTTTAATTCTTAATTTGATCACTTTCCATTTCAAACTTGTCTTCTGCATCTTTATTCTCCAGCTCTTTTATTTTTTCCCAATTAAAAAACATAAATTTAATTGCAGATTCTCTATCATTAAACCAATGTTCGAGAAATTCTGTGAAAAAATCTTTTTAAATAAATTAATAAAAACAAACTATTTTGTTCAATTTCAATATCTTCTTTTTCTTCATCTAATATATCATCATCCGACTTAAAATCTTTAACAATTTCATTATATTCTTCAGTACTCATTTTATATTTATTTAAATACTCTTTAAAATACTCCTTCATTTTTTCTAATTTTTTTTCTTTTAAATAAAAATACTTCCATTTTAAATCCAAAAATAATTTAATTCGATTAAAAGATTCTTCTTTTGATATATTTTTTGTATTACTTTTATATAAACGTTCAATTTTTTTAAAATTTAAAGCTATTTTATAATCTATTTCTTTAAATTCACTTGCTTCATTTGGCTATAAATTTAAATTAAAAATTTTAAATAATTAGATATATTTACTTCTTCGTTTTTAACTTCCTCGGTAATTCCCTCAAAAATTGATTGATCAACTGATTTTTCATAAGGCAAAATAGAAACTTTAATTAAACTTGCCAGTGGAGAAATTGGAAATTTAAAACGACGAAGAATAACCTAAAAAAATATTTTAAAGTGTATTTCTCGATTAACGGGATTAACAACGAAACAAGGTATTAAAGAGATTACACATGTAAATATATTTAAAAATCCTTAACTGTCGAGTTTCAGACAATTCAATACTTAATTCCAAATCCGACCATTTTGCCCATATTTTAGAAACTTTATCAAATGAATAAATTAATTTATTCGGTCCTCCATTAAATTGTTCTATTTTTAAATTTTCATCTGAATATTTACACTCTTTTAAATCTGCTAAAATCGGACAAAGTTTTAAATTTTTGAAACGTTCCTCTTTTTTAATTTTTTTAAGAAAATTAAATTCTGAATATTTTTCAGCTTCAAAATCATTAGAAATTTCAACAGAAAGTGTAAATTCAATTGAAGAATGATATACAAAATGATTAATTCCATAATTAATTGCATCTTTTGTTAAATTATTTGTTTCATTTAGACAATTAAATTTTTTGACCAAACAAATAAAACAAAATAATAATAAAAATATTTTAAATATTCCTCGAAATGAGGAAAAATAATTTCGTAAAAACATTTAAATTTAAATATTTTTATTTTTTAAATAGGTAAATTTAAATTTATTTAAATTAAATTTTAATGAAGAGTAATATATAGAATTATATAAAATTCTTTTAATGAATTAAAAAAGGGGGAGGGAGGCAATAATTGAGAGGGAGGGAGGGGGAGGCAATAATTTAGAGGGGAGGGAGGGGGGGGGAGACAATAATTGAAAGGAGGGGGAGGCATTAATTGAGAGACTTAAACAATTAAAAAAATCCACGAGTTTTTATTAATTTAAAATTGATTTTTTATATAAAAATCGATAATTAAAAGAATTTTTAATTAAAATAAAATTAAAAATTAAATAAATAATTTTATTTATTTAAATATTTAAAGGTTAATGGATTTGTTGAATGGCATTTCTAAAAGAATATATTTATGGAGAGATGGTAAATAAATAAATACGCGCGCAATTAAAAATTCCTTGTAAAGAAAAAACAGAAAAAAATATTTGTTAGGAAATTAATTAATTCAAGAAGAAGCTTTCCGGTAATGACATATAAACTTAAATATGCTAATAATATATTAATAATTATTATTTTTTTAATACTATTTTTTCTTCGGGCAAAAACTATATTAATTATGTTTAATAGAATTGGCTCGTGACAAATAGTAATTAATTTAAATAAAGTTGCTTATTAAAATTTTTTAATACCTATTTTTTAAACTGTTTTGTGTTTTTATTTTCAGGTTCAAACAAATAAATCTAATTTAATTGAATCAAATTGTAGATAAATAATTATTTTTGTTTAATTTTAATTATTTATAATAAAAACTTTCGATAAATAATTTAATACTTTTTTTACCTAATTTATGTGTGTTCAATTCAGACAATGTTTTGTATAATTAAATCTCTCGTAATAAACTTGTTGTCAATAACACATTGCGTACATAATATATTTAGCAGAGTTCGGCTAGGGCAGGATCCTTACCAGGGGTTTAAGGATCCTGACTAGGGATGGCCGAAATAATACTCGTTTCGGACGAAATGAATTAAAGTAATGAACGTAATGAATTAAAAATTTAAAAATATTTATTCTATGTCAATCTAAAAAATGTTTTAATCGGTGGTAAAATGATAAATATGCATCACATAGATCTAGATTTAAACCGAAGATTTAATATCAGGGCCACGAGAAACCATAAGAATTGACCAGTAGACAAGAAATGTCATTGAGAAGAAAATCATCGATTATAGATCTTCATATCTCCAGAGATCTCTCCAAATCCTCTGATATCCCTCTATATTACTGAAGAATAATGCACAACCAACCTCTCTTAATCCCCCAAGATCCACCAATGTCTTGTTAATACCTTAAATCCTTTCTTAATTACTATTAATCCTTCTATACTCCTCCATTAGATGTAGGGAGCGATTAAGTGCCAGGATGTCGCAGGTTAGACATCCTGGCTTTTGACAAAGTAATTAACTCTTACCTTGTCAAAAAATTGGCTAAGCAAAATTTTATTTTTTATTTTATGCAAAAATCTATTATAAACTTGGGCATGGTCAAGGATTTCAGTAACTTCATCAAGATATACCTGCAGGTATTTTTGTACTCATTTATGTCCTAACAACTTTCAAGTCATTACACAACCCGCATATCCCTCTAAAAAATCTGGTCGGGCCCTGGTCTAAAAATCAGTTACCATCTAAAAATGCAAAAACTTTTTTAGATTCTTAATTTTTTGGAGTAAGCTATCACATAGATATACACATTATTTATCCCTTTAATTTTTTTGTCAAATTTTAACATTTTATTAGGGGTGATGTATGTATAGGAAGAGGCGTTTCCCCAACATTTCTCCTCAAAAGAAAGAAGTTGAAGGAATTAACCAATGCAAAAATAGGGCGGGAATGTAAATAAAAAAGAGAAAATAGTATTACACATAGTAATAATATACATATTTTATATTTTTATAAACCTTTAGGGGCTGTAATCATCTAAAACAGCCACCGTTTGTTAATCTTTTTTATCTTGTTTGTAATACATAAACACAAAATAATATTTATATCTGTTAAAAAGTTGAAGCTTGCTTTTGCAATAATTATGTGTTAACTTAAATAAATATTATAAAATTTCTAGTTTTAAAAGAAAAAAAATAACTCTAAATTTTTAAAATTTTTAAAAACATTTTGATTTTATTTTCAATTTAATTTAAATAACTAAATTTTATGTTTAATTCTTCATTTTTCCAAAATTATTACCATTCCTTCATAAATAATTATTTAAAAAAATATTATTTTCTTTTCTCTACAGTTAATCCTGTCGTGTTAATCTTTACCTTTTTTAAGCTTTAAAATAATCCCTTCAAGACTTTTACAGTTTCATATTTCTCTCCCTCCCTTTTACTGTTGATTTCCATACAACCAAATATTAATTTTTTAACTAAAAATGTTTTTTAAATCTCTCACCTTTTTTAACAAATTAATTCTTAAAACATTTTTTAATTTCAAAAAAATTTCAATTTAAAGAAAGAAATGACAAAAAAATGTCAAATAGTCCTTTAAATAATAATAATTTAAATAATTTATTAAATAAAACAACAAATAATAATAATTGTTCTCCAAAACAATCTTTAAACAATCCAAATTGTAATTTACATACAATTATTTAATGGGTTTTTAAATTTTAATTTAATTTAAAAATATTTTTAAGCAAAAAATCCTTTTAATTTTCTTTTCTCTTTTTTAACTACCTCGAAAAGCCAAAAATGGATAATTAGCCAAAACACATCAAAAATATTTTTAGAAGAAGCTTAAAAGACAGGAAAAACAAAATTAGTTTTTCTTTCTTTTCTCTTCTATTTTTTAGTTTAATTATTTCTTTTAATTTTACAAAAAAAACTAAAAACAATCCCAATTTCTTCCATTAAAATATAAAAAATAGTAAATAGATCCCCGAGGAAATTTGCGCTCCAAAAGTATTTTTTGAAGTAAATATTTTAATTAAAAATTTAACTAGCTTCTCAACCCTTTGACAAACTAGAAGATTTAAATTATGATCAACAAAATAATCTGTTATTTGGAGAAGAAATAAATAATAATAATATGTCGGCAATACTTGATCAACAGCAACAACAACAACAATTAAACCTTCCAATTTGTGTTCATTGTAGACAACGTAAAAAACAAATATTTTTTATCAGATAAAATAATTATTCTTTTAGCAATTTTGGATCCTTTTATTCTTCGTCTCCATCCAGATTTGGAATTTCATATTGGATGTATAAAAGTAAATTTAAATTTTAGCTTTTATTCAAAATATTTTAGTGCTCAGAATGTTGTATTCCTCTCGATGAAAGGTCTGGTTCTGCATTTTTACGTGATGGAAAAATTTTTTGTCGTGAAGATTATAATCGGTATTTCTATTTTAAAAATTAATTTAAATAAAATTAATTTACAAAATCCAGAAAAAATTTATCCGTTTAATTTCATTGTCCATCAAAAATCGCCTGAGGCTATTTTTTATTTATCCAATAAAATTTTTATGTTTTGGCTTTTAGCCCCTCATATTTTCTTCTTTTGTTTAAAAAATTTGTTTATTTATTTACTTCCGTTTAAATAAAAACATTAATTTTCATTCATTCATCATCTCCCTTTCACCTTTACCCCTCCTATTATTCTTCCCGCAATTTTCCCCATTAGAGAAAACAATTCCTTGTTTTCCGGGCCCGTTTCGATTTTCTTCATTTTTTTCATTGTTTTCTTTTATTTTCGTCTACATTTCTTTTCAATTTTTATTTTAATGTTTGTTAATATTTATTTATTTGTTTAACTTAAAATTTGTTTTTATTGTCCCTAAAAAGTGTTGGTTGCTTGGCCCTCTCCCCCTTCTCCCTCCTTCCCTACCAAAAAACTTTCTTCTTTTCATCCCAAATACGACTTGATTTGGATTGACAGAATTTACTCTTTTTACAAATAAATACATTAACAAAGTGTCGCCGTGGGCGAAGGGAAAGGAAGAAATTTTGTTTTGAGGTAAATTTTCTGGGAAGTGAATCCGTCACATAATGTTAATTTTATTTAATGAATAAAAGAATTTTATATAAAATTAAATATTGGGGAGGCTGAACTAATTTTTAAGGTTAATATTTCCAAACATATTTTAGTAATAAATAAATATTTTGCTTGTAAAAGTACAATTGAAACTCTATTTTAATTATATACCTTGGGCTCGATTAAAAATTATATATAAATATATTTTTGTCCTAAAAACAATAAAAAATAAACTAATTTTAATTTAAAACAAAACCCGAAAATCAAAGGATTGTGAAAATTGCCTGACTATATAGGTATAGGTAATAACAAGCAGAGAATTAGTCCCAAAAAATGTCTTCAACCCTTTGAGGGAAAATTATTTTGGAAGAGAAAACTGACCCTCAAATAAACTCAAAATAGTTTTGCAGATTGCAGGCTATTTTCTCATCATTGGGAAAACCTTAAAAATTGAGGCTGCCAAAAATTATTTTTATTTATTTTAACCGACAAAAAGGAGAGTATTAAAACAAATAAAAACATTGAAAAATAAAAACAAAAGAAAAAATTATTTGTTTATAGAAGCAGAAAAAAAATGAAAAACTTTCCGCGCAATTTATTCACCCCCTCCCCTCTTCCAATGCCGAAAAATTAGAAAGGAGGGTTTGGATTGGTTAATCTTTTATTAAGAGAGGGAGAGAGAGATGACTTTTATATAAATATCAATTGTTTATTGTTGAATATATATAACTAACAATTTTTTCAAAATTTATCTGAATAGGTCAAAAAATAATTATTCTTAATTAATAATAGATAAAAAAATAATTAAATAAAAAAATCATTAAAATAAAATTCTCTCTCTCCACATTTAAGTAATACCGTAATTATTAATTGTAATCTATATTCATTTTGTTTTTTATCATATTCTCAAATCTATTCTTAAAATAAAAACCTTTTTTATATCCACGCGTCATCTATTAAACTTAGCGCCAAACACACCCCCCCTCCCCTACAATTTTATTAATCCCCTTTTTTCTTCCATCAAAATACAGTAATTCTTTTACAAAGTTTTATTTTGTTGTTTTCAACAACTTTAAATAACAACTTTAATATATTTATGTTTATATTTAAATAATATTTTTAAAATTAAAAAAAATTCCTTTACTTAATTAAATTTCACGTCTCTAATATTTTCTCTATTTTCCCACTTCTTCCTTTTTATCCTTTTCCATGCGCATTTTTAGGGCCTAAAAATGAAAGCGGATTAGATTTCATGTGAGTATTTAGATGAAAAAAGGGAGAGGGGGGATAGAAAATTTTTGGATGGATATTGGAATTGATGGATATAAACAAAAAATGTTTTTAATAAAAAAATAATATTTTTGTTGGCACACACGCAAAAATATATTTATTTTTATTTATTTTAGTTAAAAGGCGATCATCCTTCTCTTTTTAAAGAAAGGGAAAAAATAAATTTTTTGTTTGCTAAACCCATTAACTCGTTTGGCAATAAAAAAATGAAAGGAAATAAAACAAGCATATACTTCTTCAGAAACCTAATATGGCTTTAAAATAAAATGGAAATTTTGGATAAAATTTTAAAAAAAAAATAAAAAAAATTGAAAGAGAAATTTAAAATAAATAAATTAAAAATAAATAAAATTCAAAAATAATTTAATTTAAAAAAGGCTTTTCATTCAACATTGCCAAAGATGTGGAATTCCTTGTCAACGTAATGATATGGTGATGAGGGCTCGTCAATTAATTTTTCATATAAATTGTTTTACTTGTATTGTTTGTCAAAAACCAGTTAAAAATTTTATTTTTAATTTTTGTTTTCAAAAATAATTTTAATTAAAGTTAAATACTGGGGAAACATTTCTTCTTAGACAAAATGAAATTTTTTGTAGACCAGAATGTTTTATACAAAAAGAGGGAGAGGTTTTATTAATTAAAATTAAAAATAAATTTAAATTTAAATTAAAAAAAGTTATTTCAACAATTCCCTCCTCCCCAGCAATTTATTAATTCAATTCCAATACCTCCACAACAACAACAATTAACAAATAATATATTTAATAATAATGATAATAAATTATTTGGGAATTTTGAAAATAAAGGAATTAAACAAAATGTATATTTAAATATTTTAGAGGGGGGAGAAGGAGGGGGAGGGATTTTAAAATTAAAAAATTATTTTCTTCAATTAAGTTAACAACAACAATAACTTCATTTATTCGCCCCCAATCCCCAACTTCTTCCTGTAATTCCCCAATTTCCTATTCAAATCCAGAAGAGTCAATAACCCCTTCATCAACAAATGCCTCTACTCCAATGGCAAATAACGGACATTTTTTGAATGGTCAACAGCAACCACCACAAACTTCTTTTCTTCATTTAAATAATTTTGATCAAACAGGAATTTCAAATTCTGGTTATTTTTTAAATTAAAATTAAAAACAAAATTTTTTTTAAGGATCATCAGCAATAGCTGCAGCAGCTGCTGTTTTTGGTGTAAATAGCAGTAGAGGAACAATTTCTAATTGTTCAAGTAGTTCTGGCTCTTTAACTGTTAGACAAAAACATTCAATTAAAAGAGGAAAAAAAGAAAAACCTGTTAAGAAATTAAATTTTAAATTAATTTTTTTATTTTTTAGACACAAAGAATTCGAACAGTTTTAAATGAATCACAATTAAAATTACTAAAACAATCTTATAATACAAATCAAAGACCAGATACTTCAATTAAAGAACAATTAGTTGAACAAACGGGGTTAAATGCTCGAGTTATTCGAGTTTGGTTTCAAAATAAAAGATGTAAAGACAAAAAGTAATTAACTTAGAATTATTATATACATATTTAATTTATTTAGAAGACAAATTGAACATCGAGAAAAACAACAAAATATGGAGAAGGTTGGTCTGTTTTTAATAGATAAATAAAAATATTTGAGAAACAAAAATATTTTATTTAAACTGAGTTAAATTGTAATTAAATTCACTTAAATTTATTTTCAAAATTATTATGCGTTTACAAAGATCATCTTAATAAAGAATTGAATGGGCTACAAAAATCCCCCTTTACTATTTAGAGTAGAATTGAAAATTAAAAAAAAAATTAATTTAAAATTTTAAAAGATTATTTTCTTCCATTCCTTTCCAAAATTTTAGTTTTTTTTTTCAATTTTTTAGCTACATATTATTTTTTCTCTGATTTAATTCACCATTTGGTGACCGGCCATTTTTAAATAAAATAACAAGAGAAACGCAGGGCTATGCCATTTTTGTGAAGAAAATGCGCGCAAGCGCGATAATTTGATTATTAATGGGCGGTGGGGGAAATAGAGAAAGGGAAGGGAAGGTTCTTCTTCTTCCTCTTCTTCATTATAATCATTTTCTTCTTCTTCTCCTTCCAACACCTACATAAACACACAAAAACCTCTTAATTAGTCGCTATTTCTTTCTACTATTTTGCGCTTAAAAATTAGGCGGCAATGACTTTTTTGTTTTCCATATCCGGACATGGGCAGGAAAGGAAAGAAATAATTTTTAGAAAAAAAAATAAATATTAAGAGAGAGAGAAAGGGTAAATCATTGAAGCATATAAGGCATATGGAGAGAAAAATACAGTAAAAAGGGGAAAATTAGGAAGAATTAACTTTTGAATATTTTTATTGATAAAAAGTTTTAAATTGAGACATTCAAAAAAATCGGGAATTGAATTAAGTAAATAAATTTATTTAATTTTGACTATTTTTTCACATCCACAAAAATTATTTCTTTAAATCAAAGACCACACAAACAAAAATATTTTTTTTGATTATGCAAATTTCCTCTTCCTTTTTTTAAATTTTATTCAAAATATTTTTTTTATTTTTTTAACATCAAAAAGACACCCCCCCCCCAATTGGGCAAAATAGGTACTCTCGTGCATTTTATTTAACAAAAAAAAATCTTTTTTTTGGATGTTTTTCTTTCAAGTCAATGTTGAAAAAAATAATGATTACATAAAACTTTTCTTTTTTTGAGTGGGAATTTAAAAAAACAAGATTTTTTTAAATTTAATTTTATTTTTCAAACAAAATTTCAAAATTGAAGGATTTATTATATATATTTTCCCTTTGGACACAGTGTATTTCTTTCCTTATTTCATTTTTACATTCCTCTTTCTGTGTCCATTACTAATTCATTAATTTAAGTGCTTTGAAGGATAATTTCCTTTAAAAATTGTGAAAATCCTTCTTTCCCTTTAATATATATTTTATGTACATATATTTTTGTCATTACAAGTTTATTTTAAAATTAACTATTTTCTCACATTTTTCATGATATTCCTAACTTAGCAGAGTAAAAAATTGAAATTTAAGATGAAAATTATTTAAATTGGAAGATTAAAATAAATTAATTTGGATATTTAATAATCCAATAAAAACAAAATAATTAAAACTCTAAATAAAATATATAAAAATATTTTAAAAATTAAATTTACTTAAAAAACGAAAAACATGCAAGAGTGATTTTCTTTGCCTCACTGAACTTGTCTTTAATTTGAGGTTTTGTGTACGGTAAATAAATGTACTTACAATTTTGTTGAATTAAGGAAGGGAAAAGCAAAATAAAATGAAAAAACGAGGGATTGGAAATATAAAATATTTATTTAAATTTTTCTTTAAAAAATTAATTGAAAATGAGAAAATATTTTGGTAAAATAATGAGAAAACAATAATTTTATTGTTTTATTTCAAGTTCCATGACTCTAAACACTCAATTCTTTTTGTTATTTTAATAAATAACAATAGATTGGAAACTTGAAAACATTCTTCTAAATATTTCTCGAGAGAGAATGTTACTTTTAATTGTTTTAAAAGTATATTCTTTTATTTTTTTAAATGTGTTGTTTTAAATTTTTATTTTTTAAATATTTTTTATTTTCAAGTTGACCTTGGTTATTTTAATAAGTTGTTGTTAACACTAAATAAGTAATTATATTATAAGCTAATTTTCTTCCCACGTCCTTGCCAATTAGTGAAAAAAGTGAATAAATAAATAATAGATAGAGTAAATAATCAACAAACGACCCGAAAATAATTTTTTATTTTACTTTTTTCTCTTCTAGTTGAATTCTTTAGGTACATATAAAAAATATTAAAAATCCATTAAATGTCTATTTCTGATTAAATTTTATAATTTAATGGGCTAAAAGGGCATTCAGGCGTTGGAAAGTTTGCGTGTGAAAATTATTATTGCGGGAATTATTTTTGACATTTATTATTGAAGACTTTAGATATATTTTTCAAATATTTATTGGGAATACATATAAGTGTTACAAGTATTTATATTTCAAATTTGGGATTTTAAGAAAACATTTAAAAGGTATTGAACATGAATAAAACAAAAAGAATATTAATTTACCGTATTATCTCTATTAGAATGCCCCTCTCCATTTGAATGCCCCCCTCTAATAGAATGCCCCTCTAGCGGAAGATCGAAAAATACAATGCCCCCCTCCATTTGAATGCCCCCCCTTTTTTTGCTGAAATTTTTCTAAATAAAAAAGATATTACAATTTATATTTAAAACGTTTACTACATATTCACTTTTAATCGTAGTAGGAATTTTCCGAGTTCGAGTAGGAATTTTCCGAGTTCGAGTAATCCGAGTATTATTATCCCGAGTTCCGAGTCGAGTAATTACGCAAAAAAACCGAGCGGTCGAGTCGAGTAACTCGAACTCGCTCGAACTCGACTTACTCTATTTTATATTATAGATAAAAATTTTTGATAAAAATTTTTTCAAACTTTAAAATTTAGTCATCGAAAAATACAATGCCCCCCTCCATTTGAATGCCCCCCTCTAATAGAATGCCCCTTTGGAAGGTGATTGAAAAATAGAATGCCCGGGCATTCTATTAGAGATAATACGGTAAATGTTTATTTTTTAAAAGTTTTTCATAGTTTTATTTTATTTTTTGGAGGATTTATGGGCACCTAAATATTACCTAGGTATATATTTTCTATTTCATGCTTTTTATTTACATTTTTTGCCAAACATTTAGTTTGATCTCGCTGCTCTCTGCGGGATATTTTAATGAAAGTTAAAAAACGGATGTTTGCTTTTAATAAATAAACTGTCCTGTTAATCCCCCTTAGAAAAAACATAATATAAGGTAGATTAACCAAAAATGTTTGTTTTTCTTTTTCGAGTTGAAGTATGTTCGGTAAATTTTTGTAAAAAAATATTCAAGCCATGAAAATTTCTTTTAAATTTTAATAAAGAAAAATACTTTCCAATTATTTTAAATATATTTTCTATAGGAGCAAGCTTTACGAGGTGTTCGACTTAACGGTGTTGGCCCACTAACTGTATGCTCTCCAGGCCCAATAAATTTAATAGAACATCAACAACAAATTTGTGAGCAATTCCATAATGCAGTAGAAATACATCAAATTCAACAAAATCCGAATATTTGGGAGGGAGTAATTGGGGTTGATGAACAACATCAAAAACAACAACATTTGATAGAAGCATCTTTCTCTAATCAATTGGCAATTGTGAGAGAATTTAAAGAATTATATTATGTATTGACTTAAACAAGAATTAATTTATATTTATATTTAACATCTTTTATCACAAAGTCTCCATCCCGAATAAATATTTTAAATTTATTTCAGATGCCTTCTAATCATTCTAATATATTGAATGTTCCTGTGTCAATGGCAACAATGTTTCTACAGCAAGCTATCTCCGAATGATCGAAAATTAAAGAAATATTATCCAACCTGCATATTCATATTAATATTTTCAATAAAATTTTTATTTTGTAATTTTTATTAGAATTTATAAATGTGTAAATCATATTAGAGTTTTTTAGTTCTAATCTATCCAAAAATATTTAATTTGAATTTTTATGTTGAATTTTTAAAAAAATTTTAAGCAGCAGGTAAGATTAACCATGATTTATCATTGAGGGAAAGTTTGTCATCTTACCAAGCATTTAGAATAACACCCGTGTATTTTTTAATTTAGAGAATGTATATACTAACACTCACTCGTACCAATATAGAGGAATTGGCAACCGATTTAGAAGAAAACCCGTCTTACTTGGCAGGTTTTGTCAATGTTGACAATTTTCTACCGCAAACTATAGAAACATTTAGAATATGTATCACCCGTTAAATTTAAGGATGGGAATGAAATTCTCCAAGGAATTCACAAATAAATTCAAAAATTATCTAGTGATTCTTAATTTATGGGATTTCTATTACCAGAATATCAGTTCTGGTTCATCTTTATACACTAATTAAGAAGAACAAACGATTAAAAAAGCTAGAATTAAAAAAAATTTTTGAAGACGTGGTGAGACTCAAATGTTCAAAAACCTAAAGGTTTAAATGTTCAAAAACCTAAAGGTTTTTAACCAGGTAACGAAAGAGTCTTAAAATATGGCATCAAAACGAAAGTTTTTGGGATGTAACTTTTTTGTTTTTGAATCAATCCAAATAATTTTTGCTTTAATTAAAAGCTCTGGATGTGCTGGTTATTTTTTCCAAGAAATTGTTTAGTTTTACCGACTTTCGAAAAAGTTATGAGCCGTTAACTGCGAATAATCGTGATTTAACATACTTAGGCGGGTGTAACTTTCTAAGAAATGATCGGATCCTTTCATAAAGTTAATAAAAAGAATAAAAACAAATATAGATTCTAATTGATAAAGAAAATTTCTGGAAATGATCGAAATAAAAAAAGTTATGGCATAGAAAAAGGCGTTTCGATGCTAAGTCGCCGAGACTCTATTGACAAGCAAGCCTAAAGGTTTAGGTTTGTGCTGAGACTGAAAATAAATGTAAAGACAAAAGAGTCCTGCTGACTTTTTGACATAATTCAAGTCAATTAATTGTTTTCATGTTTCTTTACAGATTATTTATGCCATTATAACATACCAACACCATTTCATCATTTTACTAAACAAAACCGAAAAATTAAAGAAAATTTTAAAAATTTTAAATTTTTATTAAAAATTATTTTGTGGCATTGAATAATTACCTTTGGTTGTGCAAATTGTTGTTTATCTCTCTAAAACATTAAAAGGAAACAAAAAAGAATAAAAAGTAAAATAATAAATCAGTTGCATTCCAAAAATCTCGATTTTTAGGATATTTTATTTTACGTACCATGAATCGTCCCTTTTTCCCCGTACTCTGAATCGGCTACTCTGAGTCGTCCCCTCCCATATATTTATTATTGCGTATCATTCTTTGTAATTGGCTGATTATAATCGTTAAAGTCCTTACGTGACCAATAATTAAGGACTGATAAATTTATATGAAATAAAGTTTTATGTATTTTAACTTTCTTAAAAAAATAAATTTTTTTGTCTCCTTGGTTACTATAAAGAATTTTTAATTTTATTGATTTATAGATTAAAGTAAATTTCTTATCTTTTATTTAACCAAAAAGAGGCTATTATGGTTTTCTTATTTACAAAACTTTTTCGTAATATTGTTCTTCTTGTTGTGGCTTTTAATTTGGTTAGCTCTACTTATCTTTTATTTTAAAATTTCTTTTGAAATTAAAGATTGGTTACTACCTTCGCTGGAAAAATTACAACATTCTAGCCAAGGACTTTAAGACAATTGCAGCGGCCGCAGCAAGTTTGTTTTTATTAGGAATATTTAATAAATTAATTTATTTTTTAGGTAATAATGCTCTATCAGCAATCTCAAAATTCCAATCTGATCTCAAACGTACATACAAAGGACATACGCTGATCGGAGATTCGAGCTGGGTTTGTTTATCGCTTTCCGATAGAAAGTCGCGGATTCTCTATTGAATAGTACTAATATGAAATTTTCGGTCAACTAGACGATATTCCCTTATTAGAATAAAATGTATTTATCAAAATTTTATGTATCGTTTAGTGTCTTTAAGGCATCTTGTCTTGGTATTTATTTGTTTTAATATTCCTTTATCATTAACTGATTAAAATTTTAAACTTATATAATTTCTTTTTATTTTTTAGAATCCTCTTTCTATGGGCGGACTTCAGCTTCGTTTGCAAATTATTTATGCTACTCCATTTGAAGCGTAATTCAAACTTTTTTTACGTATAAACTTTTTTTTGTTAGGTTAACCTTTATGGCTGCTGCATCCCCAACTGTTGGCCGTTCTGGACTTCATTGGGCCAATTCTACTTGTACTGTTTTGACAGGAGAGTGTATTCGTCATTCGGATTCGTTTAGCAATTTGGTGAAGGAAACATTCACTTCTGGTTTGTTTAAATTTTTTAAGGGAAAGAGCCTAAATTTCTTCAAAAATTTAGGTCAAAACTTTCGGCAAGGACAGTTTGAGAGTTATGTCTATGAATTGAAGGAAGGCACTCATTTGGTATGCTACTCACGTGGATTTATTCCTGCTAGTGCCGTGCCTGCCCTTTCCGGTTCTTTGGCAGCTGGTGATCCTCTTGGAGCTGCTAAACTGATTTATACATATACGAAGGTTTTTTTTAATTTTTTAATTAAAAATAAATAAAATTAGGTTTCATTCGAGAATATGGCTGCAACTTTTCTTGAATTGTTCCATCATTATAAGACTAAAGTGACGAAATTTGAGCTTTAAAAGAAGATATTGAGGACATAAAAAGCGAAAAAGTGCTTCTTTCATTTGACCTATTTTTATTTGGTTTATTTATTTAAAGTAATCTATTTATTTTTGGGGTCTTTGACTGCCGTCCCTTATTAAATTGTTTTATTATTTAATCTTCTTTTCTGAGACATTAAATTATTTGTTAACGAGTTATTATTTAATTTGATTCTGAATTTCTAAAACAATTCTGTATTTGTTAATTGGTTTTTCTGTCTTTTTAAAAATCCTTGAAATTTTTGATATTTCTCTTAAAAAATTTCAGAATCTCTTTCAATGATATTATTTTTTTAGTAAAAAACATTTTTCTATATTTATTTGGGTTTTGTTTTTCTCAGACCACATTTAAATTGAAATTTTTCGGATACCTTTATTGGATATAATTATTTGGTTTCTCCTATTCTTTCTCTAAAAATTAAATTTATTTTTTCTATAAAAGCAGCCCAAAAATTCATTTTTAATTGTATTTATTTTCATGGAAATATTTTGACGAGTAAAAAAGATTGAGAAATTTAAAAATATTGGTAATATTGAAGAGTACAGACCCCATTTTTTCCTCTATATTTTTACAAAATGGTCAGACTTTTTCCTTCCTTCCATCCAATTTGCCTTTCTAATTTTTGCCTGAATCAAAGAAAAAGGATTATTTTTTGGTATTTAACAAGTATGAGCTTTGAGAAGACTCATTTTCTCTATTAAATGGGAAATAAAATATCAAAAATAATCGTTTTTCTTTGATTCAGGCAAAAATTAGAAAGGCAAACTGGATGGAAGGAAGGAAAAAGTCTGACCATTTTGTAAAAATATAGGGGGGAAAATAGGAAGGAAAAAATGGGGTCTGTACTCTTCAATATTACCAAAATATTTTTTAAAATATTTACAAAAAAATATTTTGCTAATTCACTCAACAGAATTATCCCTTTATTTTCACCTCGTTCCATTCTCAATTAATGGCTTTGAAACATTAAGTGCAAACTGTCCACTACGATTAGAATTTCCAGCTGGCCTGTAAAATGCAACAACAATTACCGATTTATTTCTCTTTATAATTTCAGAATTATCTTCTTTATTTGTATTTTGTTGATTTTCAACAAATGATAATTGAAGTTTGACACGGCTTACTCCTATCTTTAATTTAGTGATTTTCCAATAAACGTATTTAAAAATTACTTCTCTCGTTGATTTCCAAACAATTTGAGTAAAATAATTGGCACCTAATTAAGTGAAATTTAATTCTTTTCCAATTAACTTTTATCCCAACCTGCTTGCCATCCAGGTGTTTCATATTCGTATTTTCTATTTTCATCATACCAATAATCAACAATTTCTTTTGCACTAATATCTTCAGGAAAGACTGTTATATTCTCGCCAACACCTTTTTTTAATTTTAATTTTACCCAATTATTTTAATTATTTTTTACCACTTATTTCTGCAAAAGCAACATGTCCTTTTTCTGACAATTTGTTAGCCCATTTACAGGCCATTGTAATAAGTTCGGAGCTGAGAACTAGTTCTGGAGCACCATGCTAAATTAAAAACAAAATATGTAATGATTTAAAAGGATTGAAGGAATTCGATGAAAAAATTGTGAAAATTTGGCTTAAAATGTCTGGATTTAAAAATCTAGACATGGTCTAAAAGAGGGAAAGCAGGAAATGAATGTCAACTCATTTCAAACCGAAATAAAGACGTTTTTTAAAGGTAGAAAATTTTCCTGACCAATTTTCTAAGTTCATTATGCCTATTCAGAAAATGTTCAGCAAAAATAGTATCTTCACTAATATTGTTGACTGAATCAATTGTCAATGGCAAATTATTGTCAATATCTATCATATTTTAAAAAGCAACTAAAATATTATAAATGACGAGAAAGAATGACTAAAAGAAGGGACTAAAAGACATGTCAAAATACAAGCACATCATTTAAAAAGTAGCTTTTTCTTATAGAAATGTGAATTTAAATGGGGATGGCAATGATTTGTCAAAAAGTGGTTGCAACAAAAATATCTATATGTACACGTTTTGTTTTTGAACTATCTTCATCCCCAAAGGTAATAAATATAAAAAATAATAAAATTAAAGTAATAATCGATGGATTTCCAAATATTATAAATTTTTAAGTCAAAAAAAAATAAGCTAGCAATTGCCAAATAAGAAGGACCGCAACCCTTCCCTTTTAGCATTTGTGTGCTTAACTACTCTACACTCCTTTTAAAATAAATTCAATTTTAGGGCCACTCTCTTCGTTTTTTTCCTTTTATACAATTATCAGGCATATAAAATTTGCCTGTATTTTTTTACTTTTTTTTTAAAAGAAAAGTTTATAAAAATATACTCAATTAATTAGAAAAAAAAAGATTAAAGAATTTTTTAAATTATCTCATAATCAATGGAAAGATCTGCCAAATGAGGGTGAATGTTGATGCTCTGCCCGTCGACGTTGTTCTTCAAAACGTCTCTCAATTTCATCTAATAATTTTGGTGTAAAACGTATTGCAAGCTTTACTGAGCCTTTTGAATTTTTTAATAAATGAACGGCCGTTTCGTGATTTTCTCGTTCAACATTATAAAAATTTTAAAAATTATTTTAATTTTTTTAATTAAAAATAGTACCACTCCATTTATAGAAATTAATTGATCACCACGTCTTAATCCTCCATGCAAATCAGCCACACCACCTAAAAACATTTATTAAAATTTTTCTTCAATATTTTTGTACCTGGTATTACATGAGATACATAAATGGGAGAATTCTGTTCTTTTCCTCTAAAATATAAAAAATAATTATTTAAAAGATTTTAATTACCCCATAACATTAAATCCTAATCCTTGATCTGTTTTTGGCAATTCAATTATACGTGGATGTGCAGCACCCTCGGCAGCAGAAAATACAGCAATTGTTGATTTCGCTGCAGCACTCGCCAAAATCTTTAAAATTTTTCTTTTTAGTTTCATTTTAATTTTTCTACCTCTGGTGATGCTACTTCCTCATCAAAATTTGTATTATTTTGTTGATAGATATATTCATAAACATTTCTAATTGAATTAAAAAAAGGTGACTGCAAATTTCTTTGAAGTTGTAAAAGATTAGGGAAATCACCAGTTTTAGTTAAATTGTCAATTAATTCATTAATTCGCCGAATATCTAAAAGAAATAATTTAATATAAATATTCCTCTTCATTTCCTCCCTCCAATTAAAGTTTTAAAAACTACAAATTAAAAAAATACCTCGATCCAAACTCAAATCTTCCATTAAAAAAGGTAGAAAATATAATTGTTCTATCTATAAATAATTACAAATTTTAAGTACTAATAAATAACAAATATTAAAAATAAATTTTGAATTTACTTTTAAAAAATATATTGACATTCTTTATATAAAATTTATATTTAAAATTTTCTTAAAAAATATACACAAAAAATTCATTTATGTATAATAAAGAATAAATTTTTAGTTTAGAAGGGAATGTAATAGATCAACCAACGGGGAAAATGCAAATGCACATATTTACCACAGAAATGGGATTTTTTTAGAATAAGAATTGGACTTTAAGATTTAAGACAATCCTCACAAATATTCCTTCAAAAAATTAAATAAATTATTCAAAAAATAATTTTGTCCAATTCCTTTAAGAAAAATATAGAAAATTCAGATTCGGCGAAACATATCGACATACCACGCCGACAAAATGCTAAAAACATTTTTAGAATATATATACATATACACATTTTGACTAAAAGTAAATTTTTTAAATTCTTTTCTTCATTCCATTTTTATTCCTCTATAAATTTGGAAGGCACAATTCTTCGTTATATTCTTTTCGAAATTCTTCAATTGCCCAAATACTTGATGAATATCTACCAAAACTTTGAAAGAGAGCAACAACATCATTTCTATAAATAAATTTAAAAAAACTTTTATTAATTTAAAGAAAAACCTAGTTAATTTGAATGGAATTGAAGTATTATCCATTTTTGAATTTTCAATATTTTTTGTTGTCGAAGCACCATTACGAGGTAAATCGGCAAAAAGAATTTTTAAAGCAATACCCATTCCGTGTGTTTGTACTTTTCCCCACAATCTACATTTATCACAATCAACACAATCCATAATTCGTGAAATATTCCAAAAATGTTGTCGAAATTCTTCTCGAAGTAAACGAGCATTTGATTCGTGTAAATTCTAATTTTTATAAAAATTTTTATCAAAATAATAAACAAACTGAGAAAAGTTGGGTTTCATCAAATTGGTCAGGAAATTCTTTCAAAACTCCAAATAAATCTTCTAATGCTTGACGGGTTTCGATATCCTCCTAAAAATTTAAAACAAAATTACGATGATTACTCTATAAAATTTACATTTTTATTTCCTGTATAAAAAAATTTGCTTTGTTGAATATAAGGGGCAGCTTTGACTAAAGCACGCAGTTCAAGCATAAAAGTAAAATAAATATTTTTTAAACGTTCGGGGCCTTCTTTACTCCATTTTGTGCCAAATCTGTCAGTAAACATCTTTAAAAATTAAATAATATTTTATTAAAATTAAAAAAAAACTTTTGTATTGCGAAACCAAGTTCCTTCTCCAAAACCAACAGGAGCTGAAAATAAAAAAGGTAAATTTTAAATAGAAAAGGTGTTATAAACTAAAAAAATAAAAATCATGTTGAATTCAACAATTGACCTTATCTAAAAAGAAAGGTCGATTCAAATATCAAAGATTGTAAAAATGGAAGACGGGACTAATTGTGAGATGAATGTTAACACCAACAAATATGAAGGACTTAAGACAATAAAAACAAACGTAACCCAATGGGTGTCGACGAGACGCTTGTGCAACTTCGTTTCAGATAGGGTCCAGATTACCCCCAAATGTAAAGGTAAAATTATTGGTAAGAATTTATCGTTGCAGTTTCTACATAATATATTTAAATTTAAAAATAACCTGGTTTATAGTTGTTTGCAGCAATAGAGACAGTAATTGCAGAATGAAGACCAGAAATCAATCTGTAAAAAACACGCTTCTCCAGACACATCCCTAAAAACAAAAAATAAATTTAATAGACTATTTTTGTAGTACCTATAGGAGTTGGCTGCAAAAGAAAATTTTTATCAAATTTAGGGTCAGGCCTAAAAAATTAAAATTATTTTAATTTAAAAATATTTCTTTTACTTAAAACAATTTTCACTGTAAATACTTTTCCAAACTTTTAATGCAGAATTGCCTTTGTAGCCAGTATAACGTTCAGGATTTTTAGCCAAATTAACATAATGTAATTCATCAAAATTTTCATCTATTTTTTAATTAAAAAATAAAATTAAAAATTCAAAAAAAACCTTCAGCAGCACAAAATTTGTTGTTATTTGTCTCAAATATATCCAAATCCCTCAATTGTGCCTTATCTACATCAGTTAAAGATGAATCCAAGGGATCAAATTTATTGCTCTTTTTCCCATCAGAAAAACAGTCAGGCTCGGTTAAAGCCTCGTTAGACTAAAAAAATAAAAATTATTTTGTTGATTTACGAGAATACCAACACTTGCATTGCTAGGACGGCGTGGCAAATCACGAAGAGCTTCTGGAACTTCATTATCACAATAGCCAATAGTACATTCTTTAGATGCACACTGTCCAGAATCGTCAGACCAAAAAGGACAGGGTTTCTCCATATTGACCTAAAAAATTTTTAAAAAAATTTTATCTAAAAATTTGAAAGAAAACCTTGTAAAATTTAAAAGGTTCTCTTTGCAAAAGTCCCTGTAGAGAAGGATAAACCTTCACATTGTTTATAGCATCAATAGTTTTCGCATCACAGGGGCAACTTTCTATAGCATCCCCAACTTTACAAAAACACGGCTGATGCAAATCAAATTGACAAATAATTAAAGGTAGAAAAGGCACAATTAAAGAAATAATTAAAAATAAAAACAAAATTTTAGAGTATAAACTTGTAATTTTAAATTTAATCATTTCTAAAAATAATTTAAGGATGAATAAACAAACAAAAAGTAAGGAGAATATGTAGTTTAAAATAAAATACATAATTATAGGTAATTCAAATTTAAATTAAAAATTTTGAGTTTTTATTTTTAAAATAATATCTAAATTTTTATTTAAATTTTATTTAATAAATATTTCTTTCTTTAAAATTCATAAAAGATTTATTAATAAATGTTTTTTTATTACATAATTGACTGAAGGAATGAACAATTGGAGGACTTAAATCCACGTGTATATATTTCTTTAATGCAGAGATACAGAATAAGCAGACATACAGAGTAGAAAAATTGTTATAATTTTTATTTTAGGAAGTAGATTTGTTTAGTTTTATGGAGTTTTATTAAAAGATTATATTAAAAATGAATTAATGAAAAAATAAAAATATTTTTTTAATATTATGTTCATATATGATTAATCGTTCCAGAAATAAATTGATATAGTATAAAAAATAATATTAATTCCACTAAAATAATCGAGCGGATAAGATTAGTATATTTTTAATAAGCATGTGTACTGAATTAATAAAAAATCAATTTTCCAAATCCCTCAATTATGCCTTAAATATCAATAAAAACTCCATAAATGTTTCTCAAAAATTTACATTTCTCAATTGTCAAAAAATAATTATTTTATTAAAATATGTAGGTAAAATTCAAATCCACACTTGCCTAATATTTTTGCAAATTTTTCTCTCTCACAAATACTTTATTCCTACAAAAATTAACATACATATTTACAAATATTTAAATAAAGTTTTCAAAAATTATTTTTCTTTTTGTTTCTTTATTAAATAATCATCTGAAGACATTGAATTTCTTGATAAGGAACGTGAACATGGGGACACTAATGTTCGGCAATCCAATAATCTAGAATCAATTTCAGCTATCAATCTTTTCATTTCTGTTGTTTCATTCTTTAATAAAAATATTTTTTTGAAAAAATTTATTTAAATAAATTTGTAACTTTTTTTGCTTTCTTTTTTGTATACATATAAGGAACACCCAACCCTCTTGGTTCACCACGTGATGTCCTTCCTGATTCAAAAAATGTCCAACGTCTATGTCCAATTTCTTCTAAATAATTCTTTTGTTGTTGCCCACTAACTGAATGCCTTTCCATTGCACCAACAGATAAATTAGCTGAAACAGCTGCACCCGAATATGTGGAACAGCCTGGCTAAATTTATATATACCTAATTAATATTGAATATTTTTTTTTAATTTTAAGAATTAAAAAGTTTTTTTCTCTTTTCTTTTCATTGAATAATGTAAAATTCATTTCCTTATTTTTTTAGATTTAAAAAAGTTTGTACATTCTTTTGTCACACCTCTTCTAATAAGTTATTTTTATTGTTATTTCACCCTTAACAATAAGTCGAAAATAATAGAGGAGTGACATAAGGAGACCAAAAGTTTAGAAAACTTTTTGAAATATTTTTATTTAATAAACTTGTTCATTTAAAGGCGCTGAATGAACTGAACCACGAGTTTGAAAAGATGAGGAGAGAGAACTTGTTTGTCGACGTTGTGAGTTACTAGGTAAATATCTGCCAAAAAAGTTTAAAATGGAAATTTTAATAAAATATTATTTTTTATTGGAGAATAATTTTAAAAAGATAATTAATTATGTAGAGTAAATATTTTTTCCGGGTATTTTTTTAATTTTAAAATTAATTAAAATTTTACCTTCTAATGTAAGCTGTTGAAGAACTACTTGAAGTACTTGTAAGTGCAATTGGCGATGAAGATAATGAAGAAGAAATAGTATTATTAGCCCCTCCACTAACAACAACTCTCAAAGTATTATTACTCTAAAAATTAATTAAAAAATATTCTTTTTCTCATATTTTTTCCCAAACTTTAGACGAATTAATTGAAGGGGAATTTGCTAAAATAACTTTTTTTGGTTGATTTCTTTCTTCATTTGACTGATTAAAGTCAAGTTGTTGTTCATGAAAATTAACCCCTTCATTAATAACTGTTGACATTTCTGAGGAAGAATTGTTGGTTAAAGTACCCTGAAATTGAAAATAATTTTAGTTTAAATTTATTTTCAACTTCTTCATCCAATTCTTGTGTTGCATAACTAAATAAATTTATATCTGGTTGATATCTAGCAAAACTTCCATGTCCATGTTGTAAACAACAAAAATCTGTTTGTGTCGATTTATGATGCTTAATTAAATTTAAATTTTTGAAAGAAAATTTATTTTTCCTTACTTTATTAAATCGCATCTGTAACCTCCTCAAAATTGCCTCTCTTCTCATTTTTCCAAACGGAAATAATTTAACTAGTCGATGAAAATTACTTTCTGATATTAAATTATTATTTGAAAATTGTTTAGATTGTCTAGGTAATAATAAATAATCTGTTGGTTGTAATTCTATTGAAATTTGTTTTTTATTTTGTAATGAAGGTAAAATTATTTTTTGTTGTTCATCTTCTTTAAAATTAAAAATATTTTTTTAAAATACTTTATTTATTCATTTAATTTACCCGAATGTATTTGTGTACTTCTTCTTTGTCTTCTTCTTTTCCAAACTTTCCACAAATCCATTAAAGACATATGTGGTTCTATTGCCGCTGTTATTTCCTCAACAGTTTGTCCAGTATCTCCATACTCTTCCATCATTGTTAAAAGTAATTCTTCAAATAATGCTTCTAATTTTAATTGAATAACATTAATACACATTGATACCTTTAATTTTAGATTTTAAAATTTAAACCCTTAATTTTAGATTTTAAAGTTTAAAAAACCTTTAATTTTAAAAAAACCTTTAATTTTTAAACCTTTAATTTTAGATTTTAAAGTTTAATTACCCAAGTTTAAGATTAATTATATACATATTTATTTTTTCAAAAATAAAATTTATTTAATTGCAATAATTTATTTTCGGCAAAAGATCAGAAGCAGACCTGGGCGAAACTCAAAATTTTTTTCTGACGAAACGAAACGAAACAAAATTTTTTAAAAATCGTTTCGTTAACGAAACGAAACGAAACAACCAAAATCTTACGAAACGAAACGAAACAAAACGAAACATTTTAATATTCAAAGCGCCGCAGGCGAAAGCGCCGCAGGCGAAAATTTTGACAATTTGGGAAGGCCAATAAGCCGAAATTCTTTTTTTTTCAGCGCCGCAGGCGAAAATTTTTCAAATTTTCAATAAAAAATGTTAAAATTTATAGATTTTGGCCTTAGTTTAGGCTTAAAAAATTGTTTCGTTTCGTTGAAAAATCACAGGTGTTTCGTAACGAAACGAAACGAAACAAATTAAAAAGTGTTTCGTGACGAAACGAAACGATACTCAAAAAAACCCACGAAACATACGAAACAACGAAACGAAACGAAACGTTTCGCCCACGTCTGATCAGAAGTAAAACATCAATTAGTTTCTAATACGTAAATACTTATTTTTTAAATATATAAAAATAGTCCTCCACCTGACCTTGTTATGAAAAATTTCTTCTTCTAATTTATTAAATTCTTCTAATTTATTAAATTCTTCTAATTTATTAAAAATTCGACAATGTCCAAATCGACAAAGAAAAGACAAAAATCATTAGAAAGTTCTGAGGATGAAGGCAATATAATAGAACAAAGAATAGATCGATTGGAAAAATTAGTAGAGCAATTAACAACAAAGATTTCTAATATTGTTTCCCCCTTGACAACATCAAATAAAAAAAATAATACTAATGAAATTGTATTGACACGTATTGAAAAAATTGAAGAAAAAATATTGAAAATTGAAGAAATTTTAACACGTATTGACAATAATAACAACAACACAACTTCCCAACCATCATGGGGTTCGCCTATTTCTGCCCTTAGTCCTCCACCTGACCTTGTTATGAAACTAATATCTTCAGCAGCATCTAATGGGGACCTTCTCAAGCAAAAATCATGTAGAGCTGTTCTTGAAAAACTACCCGAATCTATGGATGAGAAGGAAGTGGTAGGAAAAATTATTGATTCTATTGGACTTAGTAATGAATATTTACCAGAACATACACACCGTCACCCACAAAACAAAAATACACTGCGGTGCAAAAGTTTATCTACACTGCCTGAAAATTTCTTTAAAACAACATATCTCGAGAAAAATTCGTTTAGATAAAATGGATTATTTTTATTATTATCAAGTGAAAATAACTCTTTCTAATAAGCTATAGTTTTAAAAATAACCCCCAGTACTTATTAAAATATAACCCAGTTTCCCAAACTGCTTCAATTTTATTCGGTGCAAAAGTTTATCTACACTTTACAAAAATTGAATTTTTAGAAAAACAAGTGACAGAAAAAATACAAAAAAATTCTGTAGACATTTCCATTGATATTGAGTTAAAAATAAAAAAGAACGAAGTCCGTAACTGTTTTCATCATCGAGATCTCAGGTCACAAAAATCAACGGGAAAACGGGGTACAGTACTTTAAAAATTATTTTAACCCCCCAGGGCTTATATAAAAATTTTCTTTTGAGCTCATTAGAAAGCCCGTAAAATTTGCTACAAAATACCATTGGTCTCGTATTTGTAAAAAAATCTGTATAGTATTTACGTGTGGGTTACTTACTGTGAAATTAAAAATGAGTAAAAATGTGGGGTATTTTGGGAGGTTTTGACTAAAAATGATAAGTTATTAAATTCCTCGACCCTTATCTTCATGAATTTTTTATCGGAAAAATTGAGCCTGGGCTATCTTATAGTAAATTTTATGGGCTTTCTAATGAGCTCAAAAGAAAATTTTTATATAAGTCCTGGGAGGTTAAAATAATTTTTAAAGTACTGTACCCCGTTTTCCCGTTGATTTTTGTGATTTGAGATCTCAATGATGAAAACAGTTACGGACTTCTTTGTTTTTTATTTTTAACTCAATATCAATGGAAATGACCACAGAATTTTTTTGTATTTTTTCTGCCATTTGTTTTTCTAAAAATCCAATTTTTGCAAAGTGTAGATAAACTTTTGCACCGGCAAAAGACGAATTAGTTTGGGAAAAAGGAGCATATCATAAAAAGTTCTGGTCCTTATTTTTAACACAAGAGCTTATTAGAAAGAGCACTTTTCGCTTAATAATAGTGAAAAAAATCATTCCATGAAAACAAATTTTCCCCGAGATATATCGTTCTAAAAATTTTTTTGGTAGGTGTAGATAAACTTTTGCACCGCAGTGTATGTCTAGCGAAATAAACAAAAAACCAAAATTAATTAAAATTTCTTTTAAAAACACTATTTCGCGTGACAAATTTTTGTATTCTTTTCGAAACACTTTGCGTAAAATACATTCCCTTCCCCAAAATCTTACTGTTCGAAGGGATATGATCCCGGCCGAATTAGCAATATTATATTCACAACGGTCTAAAGCATATTCACTTAATGCTTCATGCAAACTTTTTAAATATTATGTAGTTGACCTACAAATAAGGGAGTTACGCGAACCTAAACCTCTCAATACTAAATAGGATAAATTGAGTAAACCCTCAAAAAATTCTAACATTGATATAGATATAAAAAATTTAACATGCCTTTGCTTTAACAGCAGATCACTAAATAATAAAGTGCCTGATTTGCAACATTTTCTTGAAATACATAACCCTAGCATTTGTATGATTACCGAAAGCTGGCTTACTCAATCTAATTGTATAAAAACAGATTTTTCAATGGGTGATAAATATCAGTGTTACTTTGCAAATCGTCCAAATAAAAGGGGAGGTGGCTGTTGTCTTTTAATTTTATCAACTATACCTGTCAAACTTTTATTCTGTGGGACAAAATTTGGTTGCGAAATTATTATTATTGAGATTCTGATTACCAAACCTACTATTGTTATTACTTTATATAGACCCCCATCACTTAATCAATCTAGTACTAATAAAATACTTAAATATATTGCTGACTTAAACCATAAAAACTTAATAATAGCTGGTGATTTTAATATTAACACAATAAACTGGTTAACAAACTCTTGTTCAAACGATAATACTACACAAATATTTATTGAATTTGTTAATCGCACCCAACTTAAACAACATGTTACATCACCTACTCGCGGCGATAATATCTTAGATCTTGTATTTTCGAGACCCCATGACTTAGTTAGAAATTTAGAGATCACTGAAAATTTTTCAACATCTGATCACAAATCCTTAAAGTTCAATCTTTCCTTATGCACTATGCGTATTCCAAAAAAGAAGATATACATAAGAAAAGTAACGGAAAAAGGTTTCTCCAAGTTAAACATAGAGCTAACACAACTTGATTTTATAAAATATATGTCTAACAAATATGCAATCAATGAAAAATATAATTCCTTTACTGAAATACTATATTTTTATTATGATAAATTCATACCACTTAGGACTATAAATACCATAATTAAAAACGAATATCCACAAAAAATCCGATCTCTGAATCAAGAAAAACTAAAATTACACAAAACTTTAAAGGAATCTCCTAATTCTAATCTAGCAACAAAATATAAAATTATCTCACGACAACTTAAAATTCAATTACAAAAATTTCATTATAATAAGGAGAACACCATTATATCAAAAGGTGCAAATGCAATTCACAAATTTATTAAAAAGAAACTTAAAACAAACGCATGTATTGACGCATTAATAGATAAAAAAGGAAATATATTTACAAAAGATCAGGAAAAATGTGAGTTACTCGCAGAAAGTTTTCAAAGTAACTTCACTGATAAAGAAACTCAAAGTCAAGAACTTATTGACGTCTACTCTCAAAATCCTAACTCTAATTCACAAAATCTTATCAAAGATATAAACTTTGATATTCTGCAAATTCTAGATTTACTTAAAAGACTTCCAAATAGAAATTCAACATCACCAGATCAGATACCCTATATATTATTAAAAAGATCGTGTGATCAAATTGCACAATATATTACAGAAATCTTTAGACTAATATTAGATAGTAAAAATATACCCGACATTTGGAAAACATCAATTATAGTACCTATACATAAAAAAGGAATAACAACAGATCCAGAAAATTATAGACCAATTTCCCTAACTTGTACATTATGTAGAGTTTTTGAAAGAATCATAGCCAATAATATTATAGAATTTTTACATAATAAGGATTTTTTTGATAAAAATCAATTTGGTTTCCTCAAATCAAGATCGACTACTACACAACTTTTAACAATGTTAGAAGATTTTTACAATGCAGTAGGTAACAATCAGAATATAGATGTAATTTATATCGACTTAAAAAAAGCTTTTGACACAGTTCCAATAAATTTATTACTTACAAAAGTTAAAAATGCTGGTATATCTGGAAAAATTTTTGAATTCATAAAGCATTTTGTAACAGGACGATCCTACCGTGTAAAAATAAATGACTCGTTTTCAAGATCTTTTCGTACATATTCAGGTGTTCCCCAGGGCAGTGTTTTGGGACCTATTTTATTCACAATCTTTATTAATGATTTCCCTTTCAACCTTCCAAAAGAAATAGGCTATAAAATATATGCAGATGATATAAAGCTTTATATTTCACATAATAATGATTCTAATATTAATTATCTTAATGAAGCAATAACAGTATTACAAAATTGGGTTATATCAAACTTTTTAGAAATATCAATTAAGAAATGTGTAATACTTTATATAGGAAAAGGAAACCTTAAACAGGAATATAAAATATTCAATCAAACATTAAACACATCAGATTGCGTACGAGACTTAGGTATCCTAATTGATAACAGCTTTAAATTTAACAAACATATTGATAAAATAGTTAAAAATTCGTACTTTATAACTTATCAAATACTAAGAATATTAAAAACTAGAGAATTTAAGACTTTAATAAATGTATATAAATCTTATATTCGTCCTCAACTTGAATATGCCACTGAAATTTGGAACCCAAACAGAATTCTTCAAATTAATAAAATAGAGCGAGTACAAAAATATTTTACAAGAAGAGCATTAAAAATCGCAGGAATAACGTCACTACCTTATGAACAGAGACTTAACAAATTCAAACTAAAACAACTAAGCCATCGAAGAAAAGTAGCCGATCTTGTAATGGCGCACAAAATTATAACAAAACAGACGCATCTAGACCCACAAAAATACTTTGATTTTGCAGTTAAAGCTAAAAGGAAAATATTTTGTTTAAGGAACAAAAAGTTTAACGGTAAAACTAGAAATAATTTTTTTAATAGAATCATAAATAACTGGAATAGCTTACCTAATGAAATTTTACAAACATATAATTCGCAAAAATTTAGAGTACTTGTTAATAACTTTATAAAATAGAGGTTTTAGTTCGCAACTCCCTTATCCTCCTAGATTGACATTTTTTTATAAATTTATTATGACATTTTCTTATAGTATTTTGAAAATTTATTTTTTATTTTACCACTATAATTGTACTTTTTTATGTACTTTGTGGTTTACTCAATAAAATAAAATAAAATAAAAAAATAAAAAAAAAGAAATCAACAAACAAGTGAAAGGCCAACAATTATAAATCCAAACATTATAAACATATCCTCAGAATTTGTTGGGGTAACATCACCTAGTAAAATTTAAATTAAGAAAAAAATTATTTTCTCTTACCGTATCCAATAGTTGTGAGTGAACAAAAAAAGAAATAAAAACTTTTAAAATAATCCCAATCTTGCTCAAATTGAAGAAAAATAGCAGCACATAAAAACATCCAAGAAAAGGCAACCTATGTGGAATAATTTTATTTTTTTTCTTCAAAAAATATTAAACTCCAATAGCTAAAAGTACAGGCATACCACCAGAACCTTGCACTTTTCCTTTTAATTTTTCAGCATCTTTAACACAACTAATAAATTCCATTAACCTTTTTAATTCAAAAATTAATTAATTAAATAATTTAATTTAAAAAACCAAATAAGTTTATGCCAAAAACATTCTAAACAAAGAAGAAAGAAACGGCCAAGTTTGTGTAAAATCCTTTAAAAAAATATTTTTTCTAATTTTTTTTTCTAAAAAATTATTTAAACATAAAAGTCATTGGAATTCCTATAACTGCATAAATCATTGCAAAAAATTTTCCGAGTCGAGTTTTTGGCACAATATTTCCATAACCAATTGTTGAATAAGTTGTTACTTTAAAGGAATTAATTGAAAAAAAAAATATTTTTTAAAAAACCAGCTAAAAACATTGAATTCCAAAATGTCCAGGAAGGTGTAAGTGTATGTTGTAAACCAACAAATTTATTAAATTCATCAATACTAACACGTAAAGCTTTATTTAAATATTCTGCTTTATGTGCTCCATAACCAAGTTCCCAACAACGTTCGGCTAACTAGAAATAAATATTTTCTGTCTGAAATTTTTTTTCAAATTCCCCTACTTGTTGTGTATAATTTCGAAGAGCCAAAATACGGCCAATACCAAGTTCACCAGAACCTGATTGGAAATGTGTTTTCCATAAACGTTCAGGGCTGCTTGGATTTAAAAGAGATGACTAAAAAGAATTAAAAACTTTATTTTAAATTTAAAAATACTTTATATGTCTCTTGATCATTAAGGTAATAACTTTGAAGTACATACCAATAAATAACCTTTTTAAATTTAAAAAATTAAACAAAGAATATTTATCGGTACTTTATGTATTCTATTCATTGCCAAACGCCGATATTTAAATATTTCTTTATTTAAAGTAGTTATACTTGCAAATGTCTCTAATATTTCACTTTTATTTTGTGTACTTAAATTGTAATTATTTCTCATTTCTTTTAATTTTCTATCAATTGCCAAAACTTCTGAGATTATATGTTTTTCTTTTAAAAATAAATATTTTTAAATTAATATTTATTTTTGATTACCTTCCCTTTCTACATACTCTTTTTTCTTAATCAAAACATTTTGTTCAGCCGGACTCTATATTAATTAAAAAAATATTTTTTTAATTTTAAATTTATTTAAACTTCAATTGTGTAAAATATAGCGCCTCCAAGAAATGAATAAATAACTAAAACAAGTATTGGCAATAAATAATGAATACGCGATTTCTCATAAAAACTCTTTAAAAAAATTTAAATTTTATTTATTTTTATTAAATAATTAATCAAAAAAATATTTTTCTAAAATTAAATTTCCAACCAACAATCTGTCCGTAATTTTATGTAATTTTGTTTTTGGAATGTCATCAATATTTTTATTTCTAATTGAAAATAATTCTGAAGATTTGTGAGTTGTTGGATCTGATAAAGTATAACGAAATCCGTTATGAAATGGGACTAAATTAATTCCGTGAAAACTTAAACCTTTAAAAATAAAAACAGAATAAATTATTTAATTTTCTCTCACAAACCATCAGGACCAAGACAAAAATGTGACTGAAAAAATATTTTTTAGAAAAATACATATTTACTCTAAATACAGGGTGCCTCAAAAGTCTTTGCCCGCATATTTTTTTGCATAACTTTATTAAAACTTAATCAAATAATATCAAAATGTAATCAAATAATAGAGAATTTAATGGAGAACAAAATAAATCAGGATTTTTCGAAATACCTCCCTTTGACTTTAAGATAGAGGCGCAAACGCAAACAAAAATTTTTGCAAAATTGCCGCAACTCCTTGGTTCACCTTTTCAGATGCGAAAATTTTTATGAAAGAGACATGTGCGAATCGCAAAAATGACTGATATTGGGCCTCAAAATCTCCTCTTTCTTATCCAGTTGTTAAAGATTTCCAAAACCCTTCCCTCGAAATGATATGGACTGTTATTTGCAAAACGATCAAAATTCGTTGATTTTTATGAATCCTTGGGTCAAAATAAATAAATACTTTGATCTACTCGAAATCCTTCAGTATGTTTTAGAGCACTGGGTCTGGGAAAACTTTTGGTATAGGGATTGGATCTATAAGTAGAATTCATCCCCTGATTATATGGCTAAGATGATGCAAGGTTGTCTTGTTGCCAATTTTCTCGGTTTTAGTGTGCCTCAAAAATGGCTACCGTACACACCGGGTTTGAATCCGTGGATTTATCTTTTTGGTTTATTTTGGAGGCAACGTTCTTTGCTTAATAACCCCAAAGTTTGGAGTCACTCCGACAATCACTCGTTCAGAAATGGGAAAAAATTACACCATAATAGGTGCGGCAATTTTGCAAAAATTTTTGCTTGCGTCTGCGCCTCTATCTTAAAGTCAAAGGGAGGTATTTCGAAAAATCCTGATATATTTTGTTCTCCATTTAATTCTCTATTATTTGATTGTATTTTGATATTATTTGATTAAGTTTTAATAAAGTTATGCTAAAAAATGTGCGGGCAAAGACTTTTGAGGCACCCTGTACTACAAACTTTTTCAAAAGAATTTGTAGAAACTCTCGAACTTCTTCTTAATTCATTTGTCATCAACAATGCAGCAGTTGATTTTCTACGAAGATGTTGTCCAAGTATAGACCCAGCAGAAGCCTTCATAACTTTGTTTTGAAATAAAGAATTTTTTCGTAAATGTGATTGGGAAAAGGATGAACAAAAATCGGCAGATGGCATATTCATTAAGAAAAGTTCTAATTAGAAAATTAGAAAATTTGAAAAATAATTTTTATTCTTTACCTATTGGATATTTAAATAAATTAAAACTTGATTTTAGAAAAAACAATATTTAAAAATAATAATGTTTTTATAAAATAAAAAGAAAATTGAGGACATAAATAAAAGAGAGTATAATGAATAAAAACATGTACCTAAAATAAAGATAATTTTCTCTCAAAGCTTCTAGTGAAAATTGCAGGCCAACGACCCAAAGAATTGACAAATTTATTGTTTGGAATAGAATAAAATGTGTTAATTAAATCAAAATAATATAAGCAAACAATTTTACTGGTTATTATATTTTTCATAATATGTAGAGAAAGCTTTAAATTTCAATAATAAAGATAAATTATTAAAAAATTTAAATGGATTTTCAAATTATCTGAAATTTATTACATTTTCTTTTACCCACAATTTATACTATTTAAACATCAAAATGACAACACTAGCCAAAACAACTATCACTCATTCACCATTAATTGGTGGTCTTCACTGGGTTTCGCATTATATACAGCTTCCATTGTGGCTCTTGGTTTTCGTCATCTCCGTGCACGACCATCAAAATGTCAACGTCTTCCAGTGCAAGATTCGACGCCTACTACGACGATTGTATGAACGAGATCGAGGAACTTTCTACACTAGCAGACGAAGAAGTAGCTCGGGTGACTTTAATAATTTTCATCTCCTTTTTTGCAGGAAACTGGAATGACAGGACTTACGAATCAAGGATACAGCTGCTATGTGAATTGTGTCCTTCAGTCACTGCTCAACACACCAAAGTTCGCCTTCCTCTATATCATGAAAGCCTTAAAACCATACATCAATTCGAACAATACACGCGGAACAAAAGGCGCCATAACAGGAAGTCTAAGCGCCGTTGCCGATTGCTTCTGGAGTACCAAGTTCAAATCTGTGAACACGAAGGATTTTCTGGTAATAAACATTTTAAATGTATCAAAGTTCCATTTAATTTTAGAGAGCATTCTCCAGGGAGATAAATGCGGACTTTGACGGTAAGGCTGAGGAGGATGCACATGAGTTTCAGATGCTGCTGTTAGATAGATTGGCAGAGGATGTTAATCGGGTAAGACAAAGTTGGAGAAGAATTTACTTTTTATTACATTTAAGGTAACTTGGCCCGTTAATTTTGCACAGGAGTACAGTGAAAGTTCCAGCACTATAAACTCAAAAACGATCACTAGCTACGCGAATGACTACTTCACAAAGCAGAAAAAATACTCTTCGTCTATAGTAAACGACATCTTTCGAATTGTTCTTTGCACATCATCTGTCTGCCCTATATGTTTAGTGACACGGATCAACTTCGAAGAACTGGTCAGTTTTTAAAAGAAATTCAATAGAATTCTCCGTTAATTCTAAAGAAATGCTTATTTTTTACAGATAAACTTGAGCGTGAGCCTTGCTACTGATGGAAAGAGCAATGCTAGGAAACTCGAGCCACCACCGATTAACCTCATCACTTGTTTGAATGCACACTTCGAGTCATGTGTTAGTTTTTACCATTTAATCTTGTTGAATATAACTCGATTCTTTTCATTTTAGACTATGGAACGAACCTGCTCCAAATGCGGAAAGCAAGACTTTCTCCGATCGCTCTATATTTGGCGTCTACCGGAAGTACTGATCATACATATTAAACGCTTCAATTTTGTAGACGGGTAATAAACACAAATTCTATGAAGGAAAAATAATTTAAAATTACAGACAAACGGTGAAAGACAGCCGAGCTATTGATTTTCCTGTTGATGACTTGGATATGCGGCGATACATTCATCCTGCATCACCAGATAGTTCAAAGGAAACTATTACGCTCTACTCGTTATACGCAATTGTTGTAAGTGATATTTCACTAATCTTTGTGATCACCTATGTAAATTTCTTTAGGCACACACCGGGACTGCTAATACGGGGCATTATACAGCGAGGGTGAAGAATCTTGACCGATCTACTGACTTTTGGCAGCTCTTCGATGATCTAGATAGGCGAGAGCTGCAATTCCGTGATGTTAAGGTAATCCTTTATTTTTGATTATAAAATCACTCTAATTATAGACTAGCGCGGCATATATGTTGTACTACGCCCGCAATGCCATGAGTAAGGTTATGAGTCCTGAACAAATAAGTGGTGAGAAACGACATAATGGATAGAAGGATTAACTAAATAACAATAGATATTTTATTGTTCCTCTTGTAAATATGTAAATATATCCATTGTTTGTACAAATATCTTAATTTTCCTGTTGTACATAGTTGCCACTTAAATTGTCCTAAATATAACTAATTGTAAGATAATCGTTTTTGCCTTAACTATCTTCATACTACTGAATAAATTTGCTATTTAGTTGATTTTTTATTAGATTTTTGTGTCTCGGTCCGCCGATCAAAGTCAAAGGTACAAAAATTACTGAGGTTTGATGAATTTTGAACAATTTCGAGTTTTTACCCCGAACGGGTTCGGGATTCGAAGCAAATAAAATTTGAACTCATATTCGGACTCAGCACACTCGATTAACTACTGGAAAGCCTCAAAAATATCGAAAGTACTTCTTGCAAATTTTTTCCTAGGGGCCAGTAAACCCCACCTTTACCTGTGTAATATAGTTTTTTTAATTTCTATGTATCTCTCGTCTGAAAGTGACAGCTATACACAAATATATTGATTTTTGTTTTCGGCTGTCAGATGTTATCTTTCTCTTTTAAATTTTATTTCACTTTACAGACTTATCAACGTCATTATTAACATTTTGAGTTTACTAAGCAAATTTAAAATCATTTTTTTCTAGAAATACAGATTTTTGTAATAGTCTTTTTAAGCAGCTCAAAAAGGCACGTGGTCTTAACGATGCAAAGCCATAGCTTGCTTCAAGATTTCCGAATCTTAAACGATTCCTCTCATTGAGCTGAAGAGATTGGTACTAAAATTGGTAAGGGTCAGAAATTTTCTAGCAGGTTATGGCTTTGCGCCTTTATGGCCGTGTGCTCTTCTGCCCCATTTATGTAAGCAAGGATAGTTATTAAACATTCTAAGTGGTTATTGCATTAGCATGATGTAATTCTAATTTAGTTTAATACTAATTATTTCCTCTATATTTCCTTGCTTTTTACTTATTCCAATTTTAAAACATTTATTTCATTTAAAATATACATACTTTATATTTTTAGTATTTTCAGCATCTCATTTAATTTCTAATTTTATATAATGCCCCCAATTCCTGATGGGCCTTTGGAGGATGGAAAGACGGAAAATGACTTAGAATCTGCCAAATTTACAAAAGTTTATTACAAAACAAATTTAAAAATAAATTAAATTTAAGGATAAAGAGACTGTTGATGTTGTACAACCAACAGCTAAATTAATTGGTTTAACTAAAGAACAATTAGAACAATATCGAAATGATCCATTTTGGAAGGCAATTCGGTAAAGATTATAATCTTCTCTTAATTTTTTTTAATTTTTATTTTTAAAGTTATGCGCTATTTATTGCTTTCTGGCTTGTCTGGTTGGCAATGTTTGTTGGGGCAATTCTTATTGTAATAATGAGTCCAAAATGTGTTGATGTTGAATGGCAAAATAAAATGACTGTTTATAAAGTTTTTTTTTAATTTATTTTTTATAAATTCTAAAATAATTAATAGATCTTCTCGTTGGCCTATAAAGATGTTGACAATAAACTTGATTCGAATGCGGGTTTTGGTGATTTTGATGGAATTAAAGAAAAGCTTGGAGAAATTAAACAAATGGGAATTTCTGTCATTTGGCCATCTCCTGTTTTAAATTATGACAAAAACAAACTTTCGCCTGAAGCAATTATTGATTTGGAAATTTCAACAGAATTGGGTGGACAAGAATCTTTTAAAGAACTAATTAAATCAGCACATACAAAGGATTTGAAGGTTTTGGTTGATTTACCGTTAACTGTAGCTTCTGGAAATGGAAATTGGGTTAAACAAAAAGAAATAAAAAATGGACTTTTGCCATCTACTGGTTTGTTTTTTGATTTATTTAAAGAAAGTTTTAAATATCCAGTCGGTTGTTTAAGACTTGGTAGGCGTTAAATCTTGATATTTTGATAGGGCCATATTGACGTGACGTTCGGCCCAGTACTAGTTGAGATGAAATGATGTGGATCGGGCATTATATATAGATTCCACTTTATATATAGACCTCTTTTAAAACGAAAACATCTCAATTCAGCCCTAATTTATTTTTTATTTCTAGGTGATGCTACTCTTTTGAATTTAAAGAATCCAGAAATTCAAGAGCCTCTTTTGGCATTGGCTCGAAACTTTGCAAAACTAGGAGTGGATGCATTAAATTTGGCAGATTACGGACTTTTAGGAAGAAATTCGGAAGATTTGATAAATTTTGCAAATAAAATTAATTTGGATCCGGAATTGAAAAATATGTAAATAAAATTTTATTTTTTAATTAAAAGAATTTTTTAAAGTCATATTTATTCTGAAGCTGAAGGAATTCAAAATAATGACAAGATTAATTTAATTCGTCCACTTTTTGGAACTGGAGAAAAGAAAGGATTTAATTCTTTGTTAACAAAATTAAACGAAAATATTGATTCTATTGACTTTAAATCAAAAAATAATGGAAATAATACAAATGGAAATGCTCAACAAATAATTTGGAATATTGGAAATATAAATGCAAAGGGTTATAGAATTGATCAATTACTGACTGATATTAGGTAAATTAGTGAATTTTAATAGAATTGAATTTAGAGTGTGGGGGAAATTGTTTACATTTTTTAATAATCCTTTTAATTTCTTTACAAAAAATCAAATAGCTTTTGGTGTAACATACTTGTTCCAAATTTTTATGAAGTAAAAGTTAATAGAACCTGAATGTTGGTTTTTCTGAAAATGGATTGTTACCTACACATTTTATAAAAAATCTCTTCTTTTTAAATTCTTTTTAACATTTAATTTAAAATAATATTTTTTATCAATTTTTCCTAGTTTGCCTGATCAACGTCGACAAATTTCTCACTTATTTTCCCTTGTTGAATTATTCATCCCTGGATCTGTTAGTGTACTTTATGGAGAAGAATTGGCTGCATTAAGCGGAAAAACTGGAAATAAAAATCCAAATCAAATTGTTTATCCATGGGATAATTCGAGTACTTACACAAAAGAAAATCAATTTTTTGCCGTTCCACAAATTGTTAAAAATGGGGATTATGAAGTTTTTTTTAATTAAAAAATATTTTAAAAATTATTTTTAGAGTCAAATAAAAGATGAACATTCTCCACTTAAAGTATTTAGTAAATTGGCTAAATTACGTCAGGTATGAAAAATTAAATATTTTTGAAAAAAAAATTTTTTAAATATGTTTTTAAAGCAATCTGATTTTGCACTTGGCCAGTTAATTCACAATTCTTTGGCTACAAATTTGGATTTATATTTAATTAATCGTTACCCATCTGGCTCTTCTGGGCATTATTCTTTAATAATTAATTGGAGTGGAAATGGAAATTCAATTTCTTTAAAAGAATTATTTAATAAAATAAATTCAAAAAAATTTACAATTTTGGCTTCAACTGACAAAAATTTTGGAGAAGAAACACAAAAAGTATTTGATGGTGGAGATGAAATGGCAGAACAAAAAATTGTCTTACCAGCATTTAGTGCTTTGATTTTGAAGTCGGATTGAGGGGAAAGTTTTTAAAATATTTTGATAATTTGGTAATTTTAAAAATTAATTGACTCCCCTAGCACGTTTTTGGTATTGACGAATTTTTTAAATTAAAAATTTTGATTTGTCTGATTTTTGAGGAAACTGAAATTTATTTATTCGTCAATATCCTTTCCTTTTAATTTTAATAATCTAACAATAAACTTATTGATTTTTATTATGTCACAACAATAACCAATTTATTTTTCATAGACCTTCGTAAAAACTAAAATTGTCATTTTTTAAAAACTGTCACAAATATTTCTTATTTTTTTTAAATTTGGAATAAATTGTTTTGGGAATATTTTTTATTTCTATACATTTTTTAAAAGAAAATAATTATATATTTAATTTTTTCAAATCTTTTATTAACTTTTACTCTTTTTTTTGTATTTAATCAATGGCTGGTAATTTTTGGAGAAGTTCGCATTTGTAAGTTTTATTCAAAAAATTATAAGAAATTCCTTTGTTAATGCTTTTAATTTAAGCGAGCAGTGGATATTAGAAAAAGGTGATCTTTTGAGAGAAAGAGGAGATGATTTAAAAATTTACACAGAGGAGGAATATCAAAAATTGATGATTTTCTTTATGAATTGTAAAAGTTTTAGAAATATATTTTAAAAAATACTTTTTTAAAGTTATCCAAACAATGGGACAGTGTCTTGAAAAAGAAGTTAGTCAATCAATCAATGAAGGGAGGGATAGACCTATTTTAAGAATGCAGGCAATTGCTTCTGCTTGTGTTTATTTTAGAAGATTTTATTCAAAGTAATCTTTAAAAAGAATTATTTTTTTTAAATATTTTTCTTTTTTAGAAGGTCTTTAAAGGATATTGATCCATTTTTGTTAGCTGTAACTTGTATTAATTTGGCTAGTAAAGTTGAAGAAATGGGGCATTTATCCCCAAATAAATTAATATCTGCATATACAAGAACAAGTAAAAAATTAAAAAATTTGAAATTAATAAAAATATTTTTTAACAAAAAAGCAAAGAAATGGCCGGTTATTGAATCTTTAATAGCTCACAACCACCAAATTAATTCTCATCAAATAAAGGGAAGCGAAGCAGAATTTTGTTTAGTTGAAATGCTTGATTGTTCTTTAATTGTTTATCATCCTTACAGATCTTTACATCAATTTAGAAATGTTTTTTAGAAAATGTTTGGGGGGACTATAAATTAATTTTTAAAGGATATGAAGTCTTGTTCAATTCAAAATGTTGATCAACTATGTCAGGATGCTTGGCGAGTATGTAATGATGGAATGAGAAGTGATGCTGCTTTACTTTACCATCCTCATATGATTGCAATAGGCAAATAAAAATAATTTGAGAGAAAACATTTATTTTTTAGCATCAATTATGATTGCCGCTATTTTAAATGGCCGTGATAAAGATAAAGAAAAGGAATTGAGAAATTGGTTGGCAGATTTAAATGTTGATTATGAAAAAGTTTTTGATATTCAACAAATAATTTTGAATACATACAGAGTTTGGAGGAATTTTGATGAACAAACACAGTTGAGGCCTTTAATTGAAAAATTACCAAGACCATTACATTCTACACAACAAATGTCCAATAATAATAATATCCAATGAAAATAAAAATTTGTAAATAAATTTTATTATTTTTCGTAATAATTAAAAACCTCCTTTCCAATGAGGGTGAGGGGGGCAAAATTTAAAAAAATGCCCATCCCCCTATATTTATTTGGAATTATATAGTAACTTTATTGTTAATAAAAACTTTTTAAAAAATTTTGTTTTTTAAACGAAATTTAAAAAAAAGTCCCTATTTTTAACTAAGAAAATCTGAATATACCTATTTAAATTTCTATAAATATTTATCTTTCAATAGACTCTAAAAAATAAATTTTTTTAAAATAAAGTAATTGAGCATTTATGTAGTATATTTTTTATTATTTTATTGTTTTTTGTTCTTCAACATCAGAATATCCATCCTCTTCTGGACTACGTCTCCGAAGAGTTACCCAAATACCACACAAACATGTTAAAATAATAAAAATGCCAACCTAAAAATAATTTTTAAAGATTTAATTTTTTAACAAATTATTACAGCTATAGCTTGAATAATTAAACGAGAATTATCAAAATTTAATTCAACAGGCAAAAGTTCGTCAACCTAAAAATATATTTTAATTTTGGATTTAATAATCTAGAAAATATATTTTGTTATTCTTATCTGCCCCAATTTTTTAATTTCCCCAATTTTTCTTTCCTTTTTTACCTTTTCAACGTGTATAATTTCAAATCCACCAAGTCTTTGTATCTCATTCATTCCTTTAAGTCTACTAACCACAGTACTTGCTGATATTAAATCATTTTGAGAAAGTGGAGGTAAAATATTTCTTTTTTTATTTTTACGCAAAACAACAAATTGAACAATTACTTTTTCATCATTTTTTGAGGTTTTTAATTTTCCTTCATTTTCATCTTCTAAACAGCGAAGTCGAAGAAATATTATATTTCTCTGATAACAAAAAAATATTTTTAAATTATTATCAACTCTCGTTATTAGCGACAAAATATAAAATATTAGACTCCCCCTCCCTCCTAACTGGAAAGGAAAAAAATATTTAACATTAAAAAATTCGTCATGAACATTGTCGCTACTAACAAGAGATAACTAAATTTTAGTGAAAATTATTAGATACTTTAGGAATTTTAAAGTTTCCACTTATTTGGGTTTTAAATTTTTCTTCCAAATAATTATCTGCCCAATTACTTCCTTTTTCTTTGCTTTCATTTTGTGGGAAAAATAATTGTTTAAGACGAAGCTTTACAGAAATTGCTTCAAAATAGTTGTCTCTTTTATTTGTAAAATTGAGTAAACGACTACATGTTTGTTCTGGGGCTGGATCCTTTAAAAAGAATTTTTTTATTCAAGAATCCCCCCTCCCTCCCTCTCCCTCCTCCCCTCCCCCCATACATACACTTGATCCAAACATTGTACAAACACAATGAAATTCCCTTTCATCTTCCTCATTACAAATAACATTTTCATTTAATGGACATAAAACTCTTTTTTTATTTTCCATTTCTTGTTGTTTTTCTTCGGAGGAATCTTCTTCTTTAACAACTATTGAGGATAAAACAAAATTTTGTTGTAAAATTATTATAAATAATATTAAAATAAAAATGTCTAAAATCCTTTTTTGTTTCATTTTCTATTAAAAATATTTAATTTTTAATAATTATTTTATAGGAAATTCTTGACACTTAAAGCTGTAAACTTGTCGAAGAAAATTATTATACTAAAACAAATACTTATTGAGAAACATACTGAAAGACAAGATTAGTTGGCTTAAAAGTAGGATGAGATTAAAATAAAAAATTTATAAGTTTAAATCAGTTATGATAGTCAGAATTACGTCATAATTCGTAATTATGACTCAACTCTAGTGAAATAAATTATTAAAATTTCTTAATAATAAGAAGCCAGTTTAACCTATTTAACAATAAAAAAAGTTATTTATTTATTGGAGGTTATCTTAATTTTTAAAAATGTTTATAAAAAAGAATATAAAGGAAGGAGAAAATGTAAATAAAGCTTTTTAGTTAAAGCAGCCAACTCGCGCACATTTAGAGAAAGAGCTATTTAGTATCCTCAAAAAAGACTTTAACCATCATTTTTTACTTAAAACCACACCCTTTCTTCCACTTATATTTTTCTTTTATTTTTTCGTTTTGAAAGTGAAAAATAATCTGCTGAATTGAAATGAGACCTTTTTCTTCCGTTTTTTCTAAACAAACACTAAAAAAGCCAAGAAATAAATGAACATAAACAAAAAATTAAATGGATAATAATGTGGCTTAAACTTTATAAAATGGATGGGGATGACTTGGATATACATAAAGTAAAATTTTGGCCATTGTACAGTTTATGTCCAATTAAACTTTGTATGTCCAGTCACATTTTTATGCATTTAATAAAATTGGGATCTCGCATTATAGTATAGCAATGAAAATTTTTTCATAATTTTTTAAATTCCTCCAAATTTTCTTGTAAAAAATTTTTCCCCTAAATTTTGCCCGTACTAAAAAGGTTATTGACACATAAAGGTTGTTAATCTTGATAAATTTAAGTTAAAATATTAAATTTTAAAAATCCTTATACATAGTATAAAACAAAAAATAAAAGTAACAAATAAAACATATTTAAAGGTTTACTTTTTAAAATGTGAGAATATTTTGTCCTTTAAAAAAGAATTTAGTTAATCCTATAGAAATATTTAAATTAAATTTTAGTTTTTTTCTTTCTTTGCTTTTTCTATTTCAACAATTATTTGGAGACTTAAACAAAATACTATCTAATCGAAATTTTTAATTTTCCATAATTCTTTTTAATTAAAAAATATTTTTAGATTAATTTTATAGAACTTCTTGTTTGATTTAAATTAATTTTAAAATATGAATGTTCTACCTAATAACAAAAAACATTTAAATTATTTTTTAAATTTATTTGTATTTAAAACATTTATAATAAAAATCAACAACTAAGAGGATTGGGGGAATATGGGTAATGACAGAGAGAGAAAGAGAAACTTCGAATCTCAAAAATTTATCAAAAATTTTTTAATATTTTATTTCTCTCCTTTGTCAGAAAAAATAAATTTAATTTGTTTTCCACAAAAATAGACACCCTTAATGTTGTGTGGCAAATCCAAATGGAGCAACATTAGCAGAAGATTCAGAAAAGTTCGTAGAATGAATAGACCCACCACTAGAAGATTGCTTTTCTGATGTCTGTTTCTCTTTTGCTCCCAACGCTCTCGGCTCTTCAGGCGGCGGAGGCATTTGTTGTTGTTGACCCATCATCCAAGTTGCAGTAAATCGATTCATTAAAAGACCAGCACCCTCAATCATTGCCAAAATTATTCCACCAAATGCTGCTGAAGCTATCATTGGACCTTTTCCCATTCGAGCACAAAGAAGACCACCAGTAGCAGCACCAGCCATTATTGAATTCCAAGGATCTTCCTAATATATTATTTAAGAAAAGCATATTTATTTGAAAAGAAGCACTCCACATTTTTTCATATCACCTTTTTCCCCTTTTTCGTATTCCCAGTTCGAGTGAATTTTCAGATTTTCAGGTACTTTGTTCATATCCTTCCCCCACCCCTATTTGAGTCTCACATATTAATTTTCCTTTTATTACTATCAAACATTTATTTTCCTCATTTTTTAATGCCAATCATTTTTGCCTTCAACTATGGGAGACCCAAAAAACGGCGCAAAGCCATAACTTGCTTCAAGATTTTTGAACCTTACCAAATTTAATATTAAACGACTCCTCTCATTGAGCTAAAGAGATTGATACCAAAAATTACAAGAGCCAAAAATATTCCAAATAGGGGTGGGGGGGCAGGACATGAACAAAGTTTTCAAAATTCCTAATTTATTTTTAAAAACCTTTTTCCGCACAGAAACAATACAACAATCAATAACCGAGAACATCCCTCCCCAAGCTGCAAATTGTGATCCCGTGACAGGACTTCGAATACGTATCTCGCGACCAGCGTTGAGCAATCCTAAGAAGAATAAAATAAAGCAAATTTGCTCAATCAAACTTTGGTTAAAGCCTTTTGGTGCATTTCGAAATCCTTTAATTCCATGGAAAATAGAACCACCAATAAGACCCATGGCAAAAGCACTTCCAGCATCCGCATAAATTCGATGAGGACTTAAAAAGAAAAAAAGAATTAAATATAATATTTAAATAAATACCAAGGTTCTCGACCATATTCATCCATAATTATATTTTATTTTTAAAGCACAAAATAAGATTAGAATAAGTCTTAAAATTAAAAAAATATATTTAGGTATTTATACTTTAATATTTTGTATAAAAATAAAAAATGTATAAAATTTTATTTAAATAAAAATTTCAACAATAAAATACAATGTAAATATTTTGAGCTGTCTTACGAGTATTATAATCCCATCCCAACTTAAAATTCACTTACAAACGAACATTGTTTGCTGTGAATACGAATTTATTTTGTTTCGATAGAGGACTTTCAAATTGCTATTCCGAAGTGACTTTCTTTTAAATGCAAAATGAATTTGGGCCAAAATATGCCAGGGCTAACTTTCGGTTTTTTTGGGGAGGGGCATTTGAGTATGGAGTTTTAGACAAAAAAAGATTAAGATGTTCTCGCAAAGGAAATGGACAAGGAGAGGCCGAGAGTATTCCCATCGGCAGTTTATTACTTTGACCAGCCGTATCTCGGCGTAAAAAAAAGAAAGTCGTCACTTCACAATAGGAAGTTGGGTGCCTCCATTGTTAAAAAATCTATCAGATAAATTAAAAATTTTCCTACCAAGTACATAATAAACAAATTAATTAGTAGGTTCTTATTGAAATTTTTGTATATTATACTATTAATTTAAAAAAAAAGATTTTAATTTGTTTATTACAATCTAGTTGAGATTAGAAAATTTAAGAGATAACAACTGAAACTCGTAAAAATGAAAACCTGAGAATTTAACAAAAGTAAAGAAGCGTATTTAGTTTCACAAGAATAATTTAATAAAATTTTAAATTTTTATATATAAAAAAATATACTAATTTAAAATTATTCTAGTTCCAAATACTCTTAAATTGTAAATATATATTTCTGGGTTTATAGTGTAAGGTTTATAGTGTAAGATTAAAGAAAATTCCTATGAAATATTTATTAGTTTTTAAATTCCTTATATTTTTTGTTAGATGCTTTGTAAATATTTAATTTAAATTAAAGTAATTAATTCTACTTCGTTATCTCCATTTTTTCTAGCCAAAAGTCTCAATGAACTTCGCCTACCTTGTGATTTTTTCCGAGAAGTTTTACTGCTTTTTGGTGGTGTTTGAGCACGAATTTCTTCCATATTTTCCATCATTGAGTCACTTCTTTTGAGAATTTTTGCAGGAACAGGACAATCATTATTAGTATCATCAACAATAATTCTATCAACATTGTCAATAGTTGATCGCTGTATTTATTTATATTTTATTTTCTTATACATATCCTTCGACTAATTTATTTTTAAAATATTTACCCATTGCAGAACATTTTCTCTCCAACTGAACGGAACAGGAATTTCATCGACCAGCCTTAGATACCATTGGGTCTCAGTGACTGCAGCCTCAAATATAAAAAAATGTAAACAAGAATTCAAAACCAAATAAAAAATTATTTTTTATAACCTGTTGAGAACTGCTCTGTAACATAAATTGTTCTGTTTCCTCTTGGACAACCCTTCTAAACTCATGACTAACGCCATTTTGCTTCAATTGTTTTGGCTCAACATCTTGATTAGGCAATAATTCAGTGGGCTCCTGACCATCGTTTAGTGGATTCGCCACGGAATGCAATTTATCCATCGTTGTCTAAAGAAGTTAATTTTGAAAGTATTTACTGCCCATTTGTCAAAATTAAAATAACCTGCATAATCCATCGCCTATATCGGACTGCTTTTCGACCAAGCCTCTTTCTCAACTCTTTTCGTCTGTTCAGCTCGTCATGTTCTGCTCTAGGTCCAACAATAAGAGCCATACGTTCTTCTATTTGGCTATCTTCCTCGTCACTTGCTATATCCATCATTTTCTAAACCTATTAATTATTTATTTTGAAAGTCCAATTTACATTTAGGTTTAATAACGCTGTTATAACGCACTTTCTGTGAGAATTTAAATAACACTAATTCATAAATTTAATGTTAATTTATATATTAATCACAGCTTCTAAATATAAAAACAAAAATAAATTCAAAAAATCAAAATCAATTAATCATTAAAACTACGCAGTTTCTTTAATATTGTTTCATAGAGCTTATGTCGATCGCCTCTAGTAAAAAAGCCAGCGTTTCGCTTCTCGTATTCTACTATCCTAAATTTAAATAAAATAAAGAAAAGATAATTAAATTGTGAAACTTTTCAAGAAGAATAGCAGCATTTGAAGCCTTAACTCGAGTATATTTTGGTGCCAAACTATTTTCAGTTCTTTGTTGTTGAGACGCATCTCTTTCACTAAAAAATGTTGTCCAGTCTGGTCCCATTACTAAATCCAGTAATTGACGCAAATGTGCAAATGTAATAGCAAGAGCATTGTCTTCAAATCCAGGCACCGGACACTGGGCGGCGAACAATTCACACTAAAATTAATTTACATATATATTTAATAAATAAAAACAATTTACCTGCATGACATCTAAAGAAAACTGCTCAAGAGCACCCATACTAATGGCTTTGTGTTTAGGCGACAAAAGCATAGAATGAAGACGTTCAGCCAGGAATTTACAAGCCTAAAAAATAAACATAAAATTAATTAATTAATAATTATCCATCCACCTGCATGCAAATATGCCGAGCTAGAACATTTGGCAAATTGGTGAAATTGATAAATGTTGAGGTGAGAAATGTAATCATATCTGAAATATTGTCGCTAGCTACACCAGTTGGATGTTGTAATTCCCAATCATAATTTACTAAATTAATTATTTGAAAAAAATTTTTTTAAATAAAGTACAATTATCAAGAAATGCTTGGACTTTTTCACGAAAAGCTTCATCAATTAATTGTTCAACTTCAGAACGTGAGTCACGGAACACTGAGAAAATTAATTTAGAAACAAATTTTTTAAATTTTAACATTGATTTTTAAGTGCTACAAAATGTCCAGCCGTATCATCAAAAGCGAGTGCCGAAAGATTTCCACTTCCACCGGAGAAATTGCTAATATCAGTTTCGCTTAAATTACGTGCTGCTTCAGAAATTATCCGTTCCAAAAATTCACAAGAACGTTCCAAATAACCCATATTGATTGTTATTTGAATAAGCTAAAATTAAAAAAATATAAAAAAATTTATTTTAAAATTTACTTGAACTAAAGAACGTTTCTGACAACCTATAAATATTTTCAATTCATCCGACCATCTTGCAAAAAGAACATTACAATAACGCCTAACTGTATCACCAACTTCAGATTGCGAAAGTTGTAAATCTTCCATAAAACGAACACAATCGGTAATAAATGCTTTTGCTTGCAAAGAATAAACTTGTGGGACAAAACGAGAAAATGGAAATTTTCTTGGAAAAGCCTCCTAATAAACAAAAATTATTTGCGTAATTAAATGCTAAAAATACGTGATCTATTCCCCTTCGATAAATAGGAAATTCAGAGATAACTTGTCGATATTCTTCCTCATTTTTAGTCTCTATTGGAGTGCAATCGTCACTTTCAAGTGTTTCTTTAAATTTACTAGCATATTTTTCTATTAATATTTCACTATATTTATCTCTAAAAATTATTTATTTTAAAATTAAATAAAAATAAAATAAACCTGAAATTTTGTAGAAGATTGTAAAAAGGATTAGGATTATATCCGTAACTCTTTATAGTTAAAGAAAGTAAAAGAATTAATTTTTTCATTTCAAAAATTAGATCAACATTTGTGCAATTTCCCTAAAAATTTGTTTTATAAGAAAATTAAAATAAAAAAAATTACAAAATGAGAAGTAATTGTTTCAGTAATACGACATAAAGTTAATTCCCAAAGCTCCTCTTTATGTGATTCAGTAACCAACGTTGACTGCATTTGTGCAATACGATCCTCGATTATAAAGAAACCAATTATTGTATTAAGATAAGGAATAAATGAATTAATTGAATTTAAATTTTCTTTACTCTAAAAAAGGTTAAATTTAAAATTAAAAAAATAAATTAACCAAATAAGTATGCCGTTCCAAAATAAGTTGAATTTGATCAAAACGCTGCTTGCGGTAATAAACTTCAAATTTCTCACGATCACCCTAAACAAAATTTTTAATAAAAGTTTAAATCAAATTAAAATATACCAAAACATTAAATATTTGACAGCAACGATGAACTGGTCCAAAATCCAATTTATCATATGCATCAAATCGGCAATTAATAGGTTGATGTTTTTCATTTGAATTAATTAATTGTTGCTGTAAATTTTGAGATGAATTTGAAGTCGATATATTTGTTTTAATCACAGAACCATCTGCAGAAAGTTTAATGTCTAAAGATTGTTGTTTTCTGGACAGTGTAGGGTCCACACTACAAGCCTGTGAACGTTTAGAGCTAATAGTGCATAATTGCTGTTTTGTATAAAATTCGTCTACCTAAATAAAAATAAATAAAAATATCAAAGGTATTTAAAACGTGTTTAGAAGCATCAGCACCAATTCGTTCAGATGACTTCTTAAAAAATAAAAATTTATAAGGAAAAATTAAAAATTTTAACCATTAAATTCTCGAGAAAATCAGTTAATTCAGAATATGAACGCTCGCGTATTTGATCACGGATTGGGCCAGTAGATTTAGCAAACTGATGGGCAAAACGGTATTTATGCAATTGATTGAGGTAATTATGTTCGAGATCTTCCAAAACTTTGAGAGCTTGCAGGTATCTGAAAATAGAGGAAAATAAATTTTCAAAACAAAAACAAAGAAGCTCGTCTGGATTAATTAAAAATACTTTTTCTGTTCCATTAATTTCTCCAATTGGGCATAATTCTCCAACATTGGCAAACACATAGAAATTTGTTGAATAGCATTGTTTGCATTTCTTTGCAATTTTCTATAGCGAACAATCTCCGAACTACGCTTTAACAATGCTCGGCTTTCTTCTTGAACCAGCTGATTAGTTTCTTCTGCATTTTTCTAAAAATTAAATGAAATAATCTATAAACATTGACTCAATTTTATTTTTATTTAATTGAAAGGTCTCAAATATTTAACAATTTAAAATAACAAACTCTAATTTCAGCACATTTTTCTTTTAAACCACGAAGTTGTTTCAATGAATCCAAAAATCCTTGATAATGGTGGGTACATACACGTAAAATGCTTTTGTCATAATGTGTTATACGCTTATCCAATGCTCGAGTAAATTTATGAACACTTCCAGTATCATAGATTGCACTAAATTATTTTTGAATATATAATTCCAATTAGACTGCAACCAAAATTAAAAACAACTCAAGAAGATATGGCTCCAGGACCAAAAAACAAAAAGCCTTTAGTTCCGACTATATAATTTAAATTTTGGGTAATTTTTATTAAATTTTAAGCCGAGTGGTTTTTCTTAAAAATAATCGAAATTTACCGCAAGACTAATCCTATGCTGGAAGAGTCAGATAATGTTTCCAATTCATAAAGACAAAATTCCTGTTCGGCACTAATCTCTGGATCTAAAAATTATTTTTTTAAATAAAATAATATAAGATTACTTGCGGAGGATGACTCGCTACTTTTTGAATCTTCACAAGTATTAACGCTGGGCTCGGTAGAGACTATACTTTTCATATTAAATTCCTAGAATTAAAAATTCTGCATATTTTTTGAAGGATAAAATTTAGAAAATGATAAGACTATTTAAAAAATAAACATAAGAACTATGAAAAATATCTTGGAAAAATTGTTGAGAATAATCAGACAATAAATCAGCCACACCGAATCATCCTTCATTTCAAAAAGGACCATTCAATATTGATTGAGGGATACTGTAAATTGAGTGATGCTGTTGTGACCGGTAAAATGCGATTTTTCCTGAACCGGATCCGAATTTACAACTTGAGCCGGCCGGGATCAGACCGGTTTCCTGGTTAATCCGGTCTGGAAAAAATCCGGAGATCGCAAAAAATTTTTCATATTTAGAATTCCTTAAAATTTGTTTTAATACATAGTACATTATGATTTTATACAAAAATTTAAGCCAGATCGGTTAAAAAAATCCGAAAAAAACGGCAAAAATGTGTCGAGCCTATAATTATAAATCAGGACTTATGTACATATTTACATTTTTATACATATTTAGTAATTTAAAAATAAACAAAGAAAAATAAATTTTTATGAGTAAAAAGTAATCACAGAATTATCATTTCCCCTCACAAAAAGCATTGGAGGCATATCTCTAGATAATAATTCTAGCCAAAGTGCATAAACAGGTGAGAGAACTACAGCACTAGAGGCTGCTGGAAGTGAGCTTAAGATTAAAATTCTTTTTTTAAAAAACAAAAGAAATTTAAAAAATTCTGTACATTAAAACAACTGAAGAAGCCGAAGAAAATTCTAAAAGTAATTCTCTGTGTCTCAAATATCGATATGTTCTTTCTCTTGTTCTCTCTAACATTTCATCAGTTATTATAAATTCATCATTTGAAGATTTCCTTTTAAGTAATTCCATTAGTTCTTCATATTCTTCTAATCTAAAAAAGAAATATTTTTTTTAATTTTCCAAAAGTCTTTTACGTTTCTGTATAAAGTTTTTGACGATCATAATCTTCAGAGAAAACATGAACCATAAAAAAATGAATTCTGAATTTTTTAAGTAATTCTACTAAATTTTGATAAACTTTAATTGGATCTAATTTACTCGAACAAATTGTAAATACACGCAATTTTGCATTCTAAAAGTTAAAAAAAATAAAATAATTATTTTTAGACTAACAGGTAAATAAGTATTGTGTTCTCGAAGTAAATGTGATAATAATAATAAAAGGCCTCCATCATCCTGTAACCACCAAACATCAACAAATCCTTTTTTAAATTGTTAATATTTAATTAAGAAAATAATTAAGAATAGGGTTGTTCCCCTAATCTCGTAATAAATTCAAAATACCTCCACGGAGTTGTGTACGAAATTTTGTGTTTGGTAATGGTCTATGAAATTGATCAAATTTATTAATTCGACATCCAAAAGAAGAATTAATTGATAAAGGGGAATGTCTTCTTCTTTGTTTTTTCTTCTTTTTTGTTTGTGAATCAAGTGAATTTCCGCTTAAATTTCTTTCTATTTGAAATGGATTATCAAATTTCCCCGAAGGAAAGATAATTGCCGTTGAAGAGGCAGAGGGACGTAATGAAGATTTTGCTTTTGGACGAATTTTACGTGCCTCTACCCCTCTACTTAAATCATCCTGTAATGTTGAATTACGATCGGAATTAAGCTTTAAAAAAAGAGAAAAGAATTATTTTTAAAAAAATATTTTCTAATTTTACCAAATCAGGTAAACGAACAAATAATTGTTCTTCTTCTGAAAGTAATGCTGAATGATCTAAACCATCATTTTCATTTCGAAAAACACAAACAGCCATTTTTGCATCAAAAGCATCAGCAATAACCCCCATATATTCTTCATATTTAGATTTATCAGAAACACATTGTTTTAACCAATGAGAGTTATAACCAAGCATCTAAATACAGAAAAAAGATTTAGGTACTTTAATTTTTCCCAAAAAAATCACCAAGATATTTGGTTGCATTTTTCCTAAACCAACGGTTTGCAATAGACATTGGACACCTGCACGAAGGGAACGATGAGCAACAGCACAATAAAAAGCTTTAATATGTTGATCATAAAGCCAGTCAGTAAATCTTTAAAAAAAGAAAATTTAATTTAAAGAAAATATTTTCTAGCCTATTATTTAATTTTCGAATTAAATCTGTTGCTTGGACTGAAGATTGGTGGGGGGTTACATGTCCACAAAGGAGAAGACTTCTTCCATTAGAAATACAATAAGCAAAATCTACAAGGGCCTAAATAAATAAATATAAATTTATTTCCTTTTAAAAACTACTTGTCTAGCAACAGGATTTCCAGTCAAAACAAGTAATTGGGGCCTATAATTTTTGACATGATCTTCTGTTCTCGAAATTTTTAATAAAGAATTAAGTGCTCGACGATAACGATTTGCATCTGTTGAAGTACCCCAATTAATGTGAGATTTGTTATATTTAATAAAAACAAAAAGAAGAAAAAATACAAAAAATGTTACAAGAGAAGTTAACCAATTTAGCATAAACTTTTTAAAAAAATTAAGAATAATTTATTTATTTAATTAATTTACCATAATACAAACACAAAGAATCTTTAAAAATAAATAAATTTTGTTTTTTAAAGATATGTAAAAACATACAGATCCAAACAAAGAAAGCCATTTATTGAAATATCGAAAGCCTGGACGAAAACCAGGAGATTTGGCTATAGAAGCATCAAAACAAGCAAAATTAGTTATTGCAAATGCAGCAAGAAAAAAATTTGAGATTAAATCGGCAATTGGATTAAGCTCTCCTAAACATTTAATTTTAATATTCGAAAGATTTTTTAAATGTTTTTTAGTTATTCTGATTTTCCTCTCCTTTTTATTTTCTCCTTAGTTATACTTAGGGAAAGGAAAAGACCGTTTTTTATTTAAATTTATTTTCTTTAAAATTATCCCCCTTCCATTTATTCAATATATTCAAAATACTTTTTTAAAACAAAAAACTAACCAATCATAATAACTGATAAAGCTATTAAAAGTGTAAGAAAATAAGCACGAAAAGGATCATTATTTTTTCCATTTCCTTTAGCAAATGGGTGAATAAAAGGGAAAAGTTTATCACCACATAAAGCCTATAAATAAATATTTATTTTTGTATAAGTATTACTTCTTTTTACTTGAAATATTCTAGGTGCACCAATAAGGCAACCAGAAACTGAACTTAATGAAGTAGCAAAAACACCAACAAAAATTAAAGGTTCCCAAGCTCCTTGTAAAGTCATTACCTTTTTATTTTAATTTTAAAATAAAAATTCTTCAAAAATTACTTGATAATCATTAGCCAATCCAAAACGACAAGTATCATTTAAACGGCATTCTGGGGGAATAAAACGATTTAAATGTTCATCATATTCTGGTAATGAAGTTCCTGTAGCATCTCTGACTGTAGATAATGCTGTAATTACCATACACCTTTAAAATTTATTTTTTTTATTTTTAAAATTCTCCTTTCTACCATGCATATGCAAGTGTAGTAATCCCGATAGCACAAAATGTTCCTTTTGGAATAGATTTTGATGGATCTCGAAGATCACCTTTAAATTTAAAATTAAATTTTTGAAGGCCCCCTCTTTTCAATAATTACCGGACATATTCGCCCCCGCCATAATTCCAGTCATTGCTGGAAAATAAATTCCAAACATGTGTATAATCCCAATAGAATCCCAATTAAAACTTCCATAAATAGCATCTGGAACATTTCTAAATTCTGGCCCTAAATTGTCAAAAAGAGCAGCCAAAGAATATCCAACAATTCCTCTTTTAAGTTGATATTCATTTAAAGGTAAAAATGTTCCAATTAAATGACTTATAAGTGTTAACTTTAAAATAAAATAATTTTTAAATTAATTAAAAAACAAACACAAATAGTCCCTAATAAAGCTAATTGCATTCTATTTTCAAATTCAGTTCCAACAAATATAATTAATTGTAAAATTAAACAAATTAAAGAAGCATAAATTCTAACATCATTTATCCCTCCATCAATTAAAGAAAAATTAAAAGAATTTTTTAAAACTTCAACACAAGCTTCTGCTAAACCGACACAATTCATTGACTTTAAAAAGAAAATATTTTTAGAATTATTTTTCTAAAATTACAGCATTAACAGTATTAGCTACATAAAGTATTAATCCAATACTTCCACCAAATTCAGGCCCCAATGAACGGGAAATCTAAAAAATATTTTTATTGAAAATATACATAAATTTAAATAAAATTAACTAAATAATAGCAACCACCACTTTTAACTTCTCCATTTGTTGCTATTGCTGACATAGAAATTGCAGTAATAATAACAACAATAAAAGAGAGAATTATTACAAAAATACCCAGAACTTTATAGAATTTTTTAAAAAAATATTTAAATTTATTTACTTAATCCAGCTTGGCCAACAATCCAAGACATTCTTAAGAAAAGTGTAGCTCCAAAAATACAAAGAATACAACGAATTAAAACACCACGAATCCAACCAAAACCTCCTTCTCTTTCATTATCAAAAAGTTTTTCTCGAAACTTTATAAAAAATTTTTTAATTTTAATTTAAAGGAAGTTTTTTTAGATTTATTTGAAAAAGAATTATTTATTCGATCTAATCATAATTACCCCCGCATATTTTTCCTATAACGAATATAAACAATAAAATAGCTTTATTCTTTTTGTCCCTTATATCAATTTGTAGCCACGGATCTGCTCTTTACTACTTCTCATGTTCTTTTTATTTTCTATGTTTATACTCGCATTTAAGAACCTCTAGAATACTCCTAACTCTGGAATTATTTTTAGGCTCCAACGGAAAATTTTACTTACATAAATAAACCTCAAATTCTAAAATTTGAGGTTTTTGCAATTTAAATACAATTAAAATACGCGGGTAATTATGATAGAACCAAATACTTTAAGAAAAATAATGAATATTATTTAATTTTTCTAAATTTAAATATTTATTTTTACAATTTCTGGATCGTCGCAAGGATTTACTGTGTCCTTTCTTTGTCTAAATGTTCCTCCTCCATCTTTAAAATATTCATTATCCCCATTAGTTTTAGAACGTATTAAACTTCCCAAAAATTTTGTTTTTGCCTGAGAAAATGTTTTTTCAAATGAATTTTGATTATTTATTTCTTTTTTTAATTCATTATTGTCATTTAAAGAATAAAATTTTTGTTGTTGTTGTTTATTGTCAAAACAAACATTGTTTAAATTTTCTTCTTCTTTAGTATTATACTTAAAATAAATAAAAATAAATAAATTTATTTTTATGTTTTCCACCAACCTCTAAACTAAATCTTGGCTTTTTTGCTTGAATTTCTGTTTCGAAATTTTCTGAATTATTTTTGACTAAATTATCGGTAATTATTGTTGTTGTTGCTGGATTTTTTAATTTAGCAATCATTTTTTTAAAAATTATTTTTTTTAATAATTCTCTCAAACGTTGTTTGTGTTAAATTAATAAAAACTAAAAAAATATATATTTTTAATTTAAATGATAAATTTAAAAATAAAAAAAATTAAATTTAAAGAAAAAAACGATTAAAATAATCAGAAAAATAATTCTTTTTATTTGAAAAATATATTTATTGTTCCTCAATTTAATTTAAAGTGTTTGTAAAGAAATTAAATTGAAGAGGGTTAAAAATAAGAAAAGAAAAAAATTTTTAAAGGAAATTTTGAACAAAAAAATTTTTTTTGATTTTATTTTTTTAAATAAATTTAATTTTTAAATCAAAAAAAATATAAAACAACCACACATAATTTTGACTTTTTAAAAAATAAACACAAAAAGTGCGAAAATAAATAATATATTTGTTAAAAAAAATAAACCGATCAAGTTTATTTTACAATAATATTTTGTTGGTGTAATAAGCCGATAAAAAAGATTAATTGACTCTAGTCGAGGACATGCGTCCCATATATACAATTTCTTTTAAATTAAGATCTATTGGCCCTTGAGCAAGGATTAATCTTTATTAAAAACTTTTAAATTGTTTTTTTTTGCTGAAATGGATATTTTTATGGAAACTTATTCATTTCGATCGGGCGCATAAATGTGGAATTATGTCCTCAACAAAGAAAAGAATTGAAACGATTTTAATTTAATTTTAAGGGAAATAAAAAGTTTTTATAATTTAGATTTTTTTATTGATAATTTTCTTTTCAATTATTTTTTATAAATTGATTTTAAAATATAAATTTAATTTTTTAAATTAAAAAGAAATTTTAAAAATGCAATAAATCAAAAAGAGAAATTTGTGTACTCGACAAAAAAGTTATTACATAGTATTCTTACAGACAAAAATTTTTATGGCGAATTCACGTGTCTATTCCCGATGTGTGTGATGGTGATCTTTTGTTAAGGACGAAAAAACTTATTGTTAGAACAAAGGTCAATAATTATTTCCAAAAAATTAATACTTTATATTTGTCATTTTCCAATATTTAAAACTAAATATAATCAAAATATTTTCGATTTTTATTTAGAAAAATAAATTTATGTTAAAGTTTGTTTAGTTTAACTACCCAATTTAAAAATTCAATAAATTTTATCTTAAAAATTATTATTTTAATACATTTGTTTATTCTCTAAATAACTATAGAAAAATGTCAGAAATTCAAAATTTAATTTTAAATCAAAAATTTTATTATAATTTCAAACATTCTGAGCCTTTTTTAATAGGAAATAATATCTATTTATTTTAATACGTTGTTCTAATTAAGGTGACTTGAGCATGTGAAAGAAGCAATTCAGATAGAAAACGTGCCTCTAAATGAAGTTGTGCATCACGAATCCAATCATGAAAAGTTCTAGCAGATTCTCCCCTAAAATTATATAAAATAATAATTAAAATATCTAAAATTAATTTACTTTAATAAATTAGCCAAACGAACAGCATTTTTCAAATCACCAATTTTAACAAAATATTTAATTCTATTTAAAATTTCATAAGGCTCATATTTGTCAACATCAATTTTATCATCTTTTGAATAGTTGGCTGATGCTATTTGAAGAACAAATAAAGATTGTAACCATGAAAGGAAATATTCAAATGGACTTCCTCCGTTTTCACCAATTTGAGCAGTACGACGAGCTAATTTATAAACCTAAATTAAAAATATTAAAATAAAGTAGAATATTTGTCGGTTATTTCTCTGCATGAATTAAATAATTGGGTGTGGGCAGGGGGTGTCCAACCCTGCATTAAATACCGATTATTCGATTCGGCACGACGCTATTTCGAACAAGGTATTGTTTACATACCAAAAGAGGATGAAAAGGGAATGTGTTAAGAATAATCGATTGAAAAATATTCAAAAAAGTCTCTCCAATAATTCTCTTACTTTTTCATGAAAAACTAAAAATTCCAACCTTTTCAAAACGTTTCTTTAACCCTTCTTCTGTCTGAACATAGTTTAATTCATCTTGTTTTATTTCTTTAGGAAAACAATTACAAATTGTTTGAACAAAACCATCAAGTTCACCCAAATTACTAATTAATTTAATCTAAAATTTAAAATTAAAAAAAATAATTAAAAAATCTAACTTCATTTAATTGTATAAAATGTTGAGAATTATTTCGACCAATTAAAGAATCAACAAGATTTTGGCAAACACTCCAAAATATTTTTGCACGTCGATTTTCTAGATCCTTAAAAATATTTTTATAAAAAAATAATTTTTGAATTAGTATACCTGCGCTGTTCGACTATTTAATGCATTTTCAATTCCATTTAATCTTTTCTAGAAAAAACAAAATTAAATTTATTTCTTGGACATACCAAAGCCAATTCAATCTGTTTAGCAAACTTATTTCGTTCAATATTAACAGCTTCCTGAAAATATTTTTATTTAAAAATTGAAGTAGACAAAACATTTTTTGACGGTTAATTAATGAAAAAACTCAAGGAAATTTTCAATTTTATCAATTACATATCGTCGATATTCTAAACTAAAATTACCTCAACAATTTGAGCATTCTCAATATCATGCAACTGTTTCTGTGTTCTAATTACTTTCTCCAAATGTTCAGCATGTGCCAAAGCGGCATTTCTCAAACGAACATCTACTTCTGTCTCCCATTCTTTATGGAATTGTTGCCTCTAAATTAAGTCAAAAGCTTATTTATTGAGAATTTGGCTCATTCATTTTAATACCTTTTCTTCAATTAATTGATTTTCGTATTTTTTTGCTTTCTGTAATTCAATATCTACATGAAGCTTGGAAAGTCTAAAAATTAATATTTATTTACATGTTAAATAATAAACAAACTTTTCGTCAATATTTCGTTGTTTTTCCAAAGCCTCAAAAATCTTTTGACTTTCTCCTGACTAAAAAAAATAAAAAAAAATATAAATAAGTATCGTCAGTACCTGAGATTTTTCAGCTCGTTTTTCTAAGTCATCAACCTTCATATTTGCTATAAAAATATTTTTTTACTTATAGATTCGAAATTTACCATAAACAATTTGCGCATTTAATTCTTGTTCAGATAAACTACCATCCATCTTTCCATCTTTGTTCTGACTAATATTTGAAAAAGCTGTTGAATCATCTTTTACATTCAATTGTTGGCGTCCTTTATTTACTAATTCTTTGTAGTTCGAGAGAACATTGCCTTGAGAACGTTCTTTCTCCAATAATAGATTTAATTCGTCCAAACGGAGTGTTAACTTTTTAACAGTTTCAACTGAATTTGTTAAAGCTGGCGTAGAAGCTTTTTTTGGATCTAATCTCCATTCATTTATTTTCTTAAAAGTAAACAAATACATAATCTACTAGTCGTTTTATGAAAAGTTAGTCTAGATAGTTTTACGAATAGAAAAATAAATTTTTTGGAGAGGAAAGGGGAGAGATTTACAGGTATCGCTGACAAAAAAAATTTTTTTAAAAGATAAGAACTCATTGAATACCAAGCCAACAAAAATTCTTAAATTTCCAAATCTATTAAAAATGATATGAATCCACCAGCTTTTGAGCAGTTACAAAAATTTACAGAAATCTGACCGTTTTTAATGAATCTATTGATTTCCTTGCTTCAGCCTCAGCAACTAAATCCTGTTTCGAGAACTCTTCTACGTGAGAAGCAGCATTTTCAACTTTTCCCCAATCAACATTGTCACCAAAATTCGGGTGACCTTGACCAACCGCTTCCCTTAGCAATGTTGAATGTTTTTGCATAGCGGAAATTGTTTTCAATTTTGCATCTTTTGCCACGCTTGCCTTTTCAGTAGCCAATTTTAATGATTCAATTATTTGCACTTCAAATTCTAAAAAATTATGAACTTATTGTAGGAAATAATCATATAATAGAACAAACCATTATCCAAAATTGTATCATTTGATTTAGAACCCTTCTCATTTTCGATCTTTATTTGTTTACGAACTTCGATAGGTTCAATTGAATCAGCACTTTTAACTTCAGATTTAGTATCTGGTAAAATTTTAGTGGAAGATTTTGGAGTCAAATCCAAGATTGAAGTTAATTTAAGTTTGCCTTCTTCGGTGTTGCTGCCCGGTGGCTCATTGGATCGGGACTCTTTACCATAAAAATTAGTAAGTTGACTGATATCAATTTCTTTAATTTGTTTACTAAAATTATAATTAAATTTCAGATTTAAATCAAAAGAATAATAAAAACCTCTTTCTCTCAATTGTACTGAAAACAGCATCAAAAACATCTTTTGAATAGGGAATATTCTCCTCAACAGTTTTCCTTACTCGGTCATCATACCAAACTAATCCACCAAAAAGTGCAGTACCAACTCCCAAAATTGCAGATGATTTTAATAAAACGCGTGATGACCGTCTTCCGCTATTTCCACCTAGTATTAAGTGCATTCATTAAAATAATACTAAAATCAGACCTGGTTCAGTAGAATAATTTTTCAAAACTAAATAAGAACATCTAGATCGTCCAAGAAGCAAAGAAGCACTTTGAATACTTTTTGTATTTTGAATAATCATAATACTCGAAAGAAAAATTAAATTAAATTAACTCTAAATAAAATAAAAAATTATAGTCACAAAAATTGAGACTCTAGCGGAGAAGAGGAAAAGAAAAAAACGTCATTTGAGTGTACTATTTCTCTAATACTTTCGTTCTTTCGCTACACACTATTTTGTTAGAAGTCTTGAATTCTTGAGTCTAATTATAATTTTTCTTGTTTTTTTAGTTTGACCTGCAGATTATTTTTATTTAATTTAAAGTTTTTAATGTTTTCTAATTCAAATCTCAATGATCTTGTGAATATTTCCCGATTAAGTGGAAAATTTTCTGCTACAGAATTGGAAGAATTAGATGCTCATATAAAGGAAGACAAAAAATTAGATGAAATTCGTAAACTTTTGACAGAAAAACTTGAAAATGCAAAAAAGAGAATCAACCATCAGGGATGGACGAAAATTAATTCAACACAAAAATCTGAACTTCTTTTCGATATACAAGAAATTTTGTACGAAATGCAATTGGTTGAGCACGCAGCTAAAACTCCAATTCTGCATATTGCAAAAATTATTTTTTCTGCAAATCCCTCGCGTTGTATTTGTCGGGAAACTAGTCCAGGTTTTTTTTATTCAATTTCGCAATATTTTTAAAATTTATCTGAATATAGATAACTTTCAGAAGAAATTGCCAATTACTTAAATCCTACAATTAGTTTTTCTTTCCGCTTTTTTCCTTTTGAACAAGTAAATGAACTTTTATTTTAACAAAAAGGAAGGAAAGAATCGAAAAAATCTATATTCAGATAGTGCAATTTCATTAATAAAATCACTGAAATAATATTTTAGCCAAGTCAAAGCCGCCCAAAAGGAGAAGAAATGAATTAGGAGGTCTTGGTAGTGTTGGCAGTTCAATCGGTTCAAATGACGAGGTTCGCTCTGTTTTTGGAATTGCTAAACGAAATCCTATTCGTGATGTGGATATTTCTAAACAAACTCACAATTTTTCGGTTAAATAATTTGTAAAATTTTAATTTCTGTCTTATATTAGGAAGAACAAAGGAATAATTCTGATGAATGGACTCAAAATTCTGCGCCGAACAGTCGAAAGTCTTCAATACGGACAACAATAAAGCAACCACATCAACGAAAAAGTTTAATTGTTTCCAGAACTCCCTCTGGAAAATTTCAATGTGATAGAACGCCCTTATCGCCTTCTAATGAAGTTTTGCAAGATTTTTTGGTTTCAAAAGGCATACAGAAGCGAAATAAGGTATTTTGTTGAGACTCGAACAAACATTTTGTCTTTTTGAATTTTGCGGAATAAATTTGTAAATTACCTAAGAGAAATAGTCGTTCGCGGTAGAATCGTATCGCGGCATATTCTGTATTTTAACTAATGCCTACGAGATATCCGGACTTTACGCTCATGCTTGACATGACCCGGCCGACTTATAATAACTTTTCCTGGTGAGTCCGGCTTCCAAATCTAGGTTTATTCGCGATCTCAGGACTATTTTTAGACTGGATTTTTTTAACTTTCCCTGCCAATGTTAATGTTCTCATTTATTATTTATTTAAAACTTCATTTAAAATTCAAAGCAACATGAGAAGGTGTAGTTAAAGAGATAATAGATTGTTTAAAAATGGAAAAACCCAATTCGGATGATAAACACTACCCCCAATTATTGCAATTTTAGGTTTTAACTTCTCTTGACTTTTATTTTTTAATTCTGATATACTTAAAGGATTCAACAACAACAAATGAAGACTTCCTTCAAAATGACAATTATGATTGTTTGGCTGAATTAGAACAAGCACTACCAATTTCATATCAAGACTGCCCTTCATCTCCATTTAGAAATATAGATGAAAGATTTCTGTCAACTTCAACAGCCTCATTACTTTGTGGATCACCCTCGTGGAATGGGGGGTCGTCCGAAGCTTCAATTAACGGTGCAATTGAATTTTCACCTCTTTCAACGAGAGCTGCCAAAAAACAACGTAATTGGGGAAAAGGTGGAGATACAATTAATAATGATGGTGTAGTGGGTGGAAAAAGTCCAAGAAAACGATATATAGAAACTGGTAGTCAGTTAATCAATTTTGACAACTTTATAATTTTATATTTTAGATACACAAATGGATGGCGAGGTGCATAGACCCACAGCTTCTGCTGATGAGCCGACATATTGTCTTTGCGAACAAGTCTGTTTTAGTTATTAATTAGCGAATTTATTGTAACATAAATTATGAAAACTAAATTTTACATCTGCAATTGTTGTAACACCTTTTCTCTTTTTAGGTTTCATTTGGTGACATGATTTGTTGTGATTATGAGCTCTGTTCTGTCGAATGGTTCCACTTTTCATGTGTCAATCTCAAAAGTAAGCCAAAACAAGGAAAAAGATGGTTTTGTCCCTTATGTAGACACAATGATAAACCAGGTAGTCTTAAACCAGAATTACAGCAAAAATTGGATCAAATACATAAATTACAGAGACAATGAAATATTTTTAGAATTCTAATGATTTTTGTAATTATGACTATGTATTATAATGAAAAATAGATTTTTTCTGTTTTTTCCTCACTTTTCTATTTTTCATTATTTTCAATTTTATGTAAATTTTTGCCATAGAATTTTATCTCTCATAAAGATTTAAGATAGTTCTCCCGTTTATGTTTTGTATTTTCATATTCACGCAAAGAACAAAAGCGAAATACAAATTAAAAGCAATTTTTTGTTATTCAAGTGCAATTACAAAGAAATCGCACAAAAATGCCAGTGAACTTGTTTATATTTTATTTTGTTAATGTTGACTGGTTCTTTTAGAAATAAGCTGAGTCTCACTTCAATTATAGAATAGGAAGAAATATTAAAGCTAATTGTAAGGTGTGAGAGCAGAAAAATTTATTTATTGTTAGATTAACAATAAATATATTTTTTAAATGAAAATTATTTTTAGAAATATTTATAAATGAAAATTGAGTCAGAAGTACGAGAAGCAGCTTATTCTTTAGTAGTAAGTTTGTTTTTATATTCGGAATGAGTGTGTTTCTAGAAGAAATTAATTTAATTACGAATACCCCCACAAAAGGTTGGCATTGCTTTTGTCCTCTCTTTTGCCATAATGTTTTCTGTACTTGTTATTATACCTATATCATATCAATACATAAATGGTATACAACACCGAATTATAGACGAAATGAAATTTTGCAAGGCAATCTAGTACAAATAAAAAAAACTTTACTTTTTACTTTAAGCTTTCTATAAAGGAAGTAAATATTGAAATAAATAAACAATTTACACCCTTGAATAATGAAAAAGAATTAAAAAATATCACTGGATGGAGGAAAAAAAGACTAGCACAAAACAATGGAGATTATTTCAATGCAAAAAGTGGTTTTGAAAAGTGTTCGGGTAAAGCAAATTTTTCAAAAATTAATTTCGTTTATACAAAAGGATGTTGTATTCCCGGCCTTCCTGGTCCACCAGGACCTCATGGACGCAATGGTATACCCGGACGGCCTGGGGCACAAGGCCCTCCCGGATTTTATGGAATGATTCCAGCGTATCAATTAATTTTTTCTGTTTAAATTAATCAATTTCAAGTATTTGTGAAGAAGTAACATCACCACCTTGTGTTGCTTGCCCACCAGGGATAACCGGCCCACCAGGGCCTGTTGGCTCGCCAGGCAATCCAGGTCCGGCAGGCCATCCTGGTCGGCCAGGAAATGATGGAGCACCTGGTTGATAATGAAAATAAAATTATTTAAAAACTTTTTAAGGTCAGCAGGGTCTACCTGGTGAACAAGGAGAATCCGGAGAGCCGGGAAGAGAGGGTATGCGTGGAGAAGCTGGTCGTTCAGCAATTTCTATTCCTGCGATTCCTGGAGATACTGGGTCGTTAGGTGAACAGGTATTAGATAGAAAGTTTGTTATTAGGGCTGAGGTTAATGGGAATGAAAATAGGATTGTTCTATTTAGAATATTCAAATTTATAATGTTTCTAGGGTCCTCCTGGACTGTCTGGATCTGCAGGTGAACCAGGTCGTCCTGGCTTAGAGGGATCCCCTGGGCCTCAAGGACCGCCAGGTGCTAATGGCAAGGTGGGACCGCAAGGAATTCCTGGCGAAACAGGTAAAATTGATAAAAACTACAAACAAACCCTCAGATTTAAGGTTCTCGTGGTGTTCAGGGTTCTCCCGGAGAGCGGGGAATTTGTCCAAAATATTGTGCGTTAGATGGCGGTGTTTTCTTTGAGGATGGAACTCGACGTTGATAATTATTGTTATTTTAATCAAACATATTTTAAAAATTTAATTTTTTTGCTAACATCTTCGATATAGTTTATCTAATACAAAAGACTCTCTATAACGTCACCCAGAAGACCGAGTTGAGCCGATGTTATAAGCTATCTGCAGGTGAACCAGGACGTATGAGAAGGAAGAAGTGACGTATAGGGTTGTGTCCGTCCCCGAAACTTTAAAATTAAACGAGTAAAACTCAGTAGAAAACAAATTTTATTTTTAACACAATCAACAACAAAAATAGACTTGATACTTACACACATAATATACATATTACAATTTAATATTTGTCAGTTTTTAGTTAAATATCCATTCAATCATCTTAACATGCTGAAGTCGACGTCGTTCCAGTCACTAATTGCCAGTCATATGGCTCTTGAAGAGAGCAAGAGATCCGTTTTGCAACTCTTTTGATCATTTCACGCATCCATGCATAGTCTACAAGATCGACATAGTGAAGACCTGCCAAGTACACAATAATCTCACGCAATTCTTGCTCCTACAAAATTAGAAAAATTTCAAAGTTAAATATTTTTTTAAACTTCGTCCTTCTTGAAGAGAGTTTTAGGAGCTTTCTGAGCATCGTGTTTGAGCCTACGAAGTCTGCGTTTATCCTCCACATTATGCCAAGGTAACTTGTCCTGATCAATCAAATCAACAATCATATACATCCAGCTCTCACAATCGTCTTTCCGACCCAGATCGTCTCCTTCGTGCATACTCAACGATGCAAAACGAACCGTACCTTTGAATCTTGTCTAAATTTATCAAGCATTAAGAAAAATTAAAAAATCAATCACCTTTTTGCGTGGATTTCGAATTTTTCCGTCAGGCCCAAGGAACCTTCTTGCAATCCCGAAGTCCACCATGTATACCGTATTCTGGTTCTTTGTTCGTGGAAGCCCAATGACAAAATTTCCCGGCTTTATATCTCGATGAATATAACCGAGATCGTGCAAATCGCGAACCGCTTCGAGGGACTGTATTGCGCAATAGTATCCGGTATTTGGGCTAAAAGATTTTTTAGTATTTTATAAATTATTTACTATTTTACCTGAGGATTTTGCCTTGCCGTCCTCGTTTTATGTCCGCCAACGATCTTCCGAGCAAAGACATTACCATGAACATGTGGTTGGGCAGTGGATCGCTATTATCGAGGAGGGTCGGAAAGTGCCTCCTAGCGTTTTCAGGACGTTCACCAGCCTCTTTTAGCACCTGTTAAGAGAAGATTAATTTTGAAAGAATAATTTCTTCATATCAAATCAATTACTTGGACTTCCATCATGAGCTTATAGTGGTCTCTTGAGAACTGTCGCTTTTCAAGTTTGAGTGCATATCTGCCATCATCCTTCGAGCATGAGACCTCATATACAGCTCCGTAGCCACCATGAGAGATGCTGCGTATTACTGTGAATGTCATGTTAAGCCTTCTAAAAATAAAAAAAAATAAAACGGAATTAGTAAATAAAAATGTAGAGAAAACATACCCAATAAATTCCGCGCCATCTTGTACTTCTGACAAGGTTGACATTAGCAAGAAAGAGGGAGGAGAATACAGCAATTTGTTAGTTTTGTTAGGCAAATGAATGTTTTTATATGATCCGTATATAGAGATCACAAACACTTTTTAATAAAAATTTTATAAAATCCATCAAAACCCCCCATCTAACAAATTTTGTGATTTTTTTCTCTTATCTCATTTATTGAGGCAGATATACATATTATTGCAGATATGTTTATTTTTATTAATCAAAATTTTATAAAATCCACCAAATTTAATTCCAATAATTAAATTTGGATTTCTTTTTTTTCTTTCATTGCAAATAGGCTCGAAATTATTTAACTAATAAACAATTTATAATAAATATTTATCTATGGGGGAAATATTTGTAATTTACTCATTCAATCATCAAATTTTTTTTATTAAATTGGAAATAATTTTAAATTACAAAATAATTTTCGTTTAAAATAATGTAATTTTAAAAATTATATAATTAATTTTTATTCAAAAATTTTAAAAAATTATTTTTGTTTGATATAAGGAAATGAACAATTTTGAAATGAATTATTATTATTTAAATAAATATTATTATTATTTACATTATAATTTGTATTAATTGTTGGTGGTGGTGATGGTGAATAAATAAAGTTTGGAGTATTTGAATTTTTGGTTAAAAATTGTTTTTGATTTTCTTCAGAAAAATTTAAATTCTATAAAAAAATAATTAAAGAAAAATAATTATTTCTTTTCAAAACCTGACAAAAATTAGTTGAATATTCAAAATTATTTTCATTTTTAATTTTATTTTGTTTTTCCAAAGGTTGTTGTTTTAATAAATCTTCGAGGTGTTTAATATATAAAATTGCTGTTTTTAATGTTTCTGCTTTTGTTAATTTTCTTTCATTGCAAATTGGCTCGAAATTATTTAACTAATTAAAAATTAAATTTAAATTATTCTTTCTCCCTCTTTTATTTACTTACAGTGTTTGCCAATTTTTCATATCCATCATTTACTTGCTGAACTCTTTTACGTTCCCTTTCATTTCTTCTAGCTACTTGATGGGGCTTTTTACCTCCAAATTTAATTCCAATAATTAAATTTGGATTATTTCTTTTTCTTTTTGATATAGTAACTTTAAAAAAGAAAATTCTTTTTAAAAATTAAAAAAAAATATTTACTTTTATTTTTTTGATTTTCTTTTCCATTTTTATTTAATTTTTGTTGTTTTGAATTTAAATAAAAATTGTTGGAATTTTTAATTGAAGAAGTTGATTGGCAATTGTTTAGAGGAAAATAAATTAAATTTGAAGAATTAATTGAGGGAGATGAAGAAAATGATGAAGAATATGAAGAAGTATTTTGTTGGGTAGAAGGCCAAGATGGGGAAGAAGAACATTCACGCATTTTTATATTTAATAAATACTTTATTTAAAAAAGTTTTTTTAATTGAAACTTAAATATTTAAGTATTTTTTAGATCTAAATAATAGAATAAAAAAATTTTACTTTAACAAAAAATTTTTTTAAAAAAATATATGAATGGACGTACTATATATTTTTGTATTTAGAAATACAATTCGCATTTATTAGCTCGTGTATATTCTGCTTACATTGCCGTAGCTTTTTGGCATCGCGTGCCAGAAAAAATAAAAATATAGGCACAAAAGAATATATATTTATTTTAGGCTGGGTGTGTGTGTGGTTGTGGAAATTTGCGGGGATGGATGGATCGCGCGGGTGAATTAGGAAGCTGAATTATTGAGGGAGGAGAAGGGCGGTGCTTGATAGATAGAATTTTAGGAATGAATGGCTTATAAAGGGTTGGTTGGTTGGTTGGTTGGGAGTAAAAAAGAGAGAAATGAAGAAAAAAAGTGTAGTAAATGCAGATGTCCTCATGAAAAATTAAAAAAAAATCTAATAAATTTTTAACGTTTTTAAAGAAAAAAAGAAAGATTTATTTTTTATAATTACATTTTTTAGATATGTATATTAAATAAATTTAAAAATTAACTTCTCTCTATTTACCAAAAAATTATTTGTATTATTTTATTGTTTGAAACATTTTTACAAAAATTTATTTTCTTCTCCCGTTGTGACTTAAAAACTAATCCGCGGCACTTGTCTTTTTTTCTCGCCTTAGTTTGAAGTGTTTTTAAGAAGATATCCCATCAATGCATAATACTTTTTTAGAAACAATCCCGCCAAATTAAAAACACAAATAATTTTTATATTTAAATTCTTTCAAAATATTTTGTGTTTATTGCCCTGAGGCTTTACCGCCAAAAAGGTTATTGTTTAAAATGGACTTGCTCTAAAAAGAAGCTTCTAAATATTTAATTTTTAACTCCCGCAGAGGTGATCAAACTCTTCTTTTTTTTTAAATTTATGAAAAGAGAGAAAGAGAATAATGTAGTCAATTTAATGTTGATATTTAATATTTTTAGAAAAGAAAAATAATTTAAATTAATTTTAAAATTTTTAAAAAATTATTTAAAAAAAAAGAAATGCCGCAAAACAAATAAAAAAATTTTATTTATCAAAAAGATTATTCGCGCAATATATTTTTCTCTTAATTTACAACTATTTTTGGTTAAAAATAAAATTTTAAGTAAAATTCTCTTCAAATATAGCCGTAAAAAGCGGCAAAATCAAACAAATGTTTTTCCAAAATCCATTAGCTAAAATGAAGTTTTAAGTTAAAATTGAAGGGAATAAAAGCAAATAAACAGAGAAAATAAATAAGTAAATAAATAAATATAAATTAAAAATACATAACCTTTTCTTGACCTTTTCTTTTAAAAATATATTTATTTAATTAAAACAAAAATTATATGTATATGTATATTTTCTTGTTTTCCAAAAAAGTAATACATACATATATAATCCTTAAATTTATATGTTAATAATAATTACATATATTATTGTTAGTTCGGAAAAGTATATTCAAAACAGTCATTAAAGGATTATTTACTGGCCAAACAAAAAAAACAAAACAAAAATTTTGTTTTTCTTCACTAAATTCACTGGATTATTAGATAAATTTAGAAATATTTTGAATGATTTTCGTAATTATTAAAACTTTCTCTAAATTTTACTCTCCAATTTTTATTTATTAAAATTAAATAATTAATTTTTATATTTCATCCAAAGCGTACTATATTTTCCTTTTCAAAGCTTTATTTTCGACATAAGGCTAAAATACCTTATGTAGCGAGAATGGACTCTTTTTTGATGAAAAGGTAAAAGAAAATAAGCGGTATATATTTTAAATAATTTTTAAAAAGAAAAAAATAATTGGCACAAGAATTGAAGGGGAAAGGATTGAGGAAAGCAATTGACTGTGATTTTCTCGTTACCTTTGTCGGTCCATGAGGACACTCGATGATTATGGATGAGGACGAGAAAAAAATATTTTTTTAATTTAATAAAAATAAATTTATTTATTTTTAATTTTAAATTAATATACATATGAAGAATTAAATGGGTACTTTTCCGTTATTCCACACCACTCCTCCTATATTAGTACTCAAATTGTAATATGATGAAAGGCATGAGATTACGTCTATAATGTTTATTTCCGGATATAAAGACTATGAGATACAGACCCCTGAATATTGAAAAACTATACGGGGACCATGCAACTTTTGGGGTGAAAAATTTGAATGTGAAAATTATATACTATCTTAATCAACGCGTCATAATCAACGACCATTGAACAAGTTTCGATGAAGCACCCTATATATGACATTTTCAGCATTAATATAGGGAGGAGGGTGGCATAACGGAAATGTATCATTAAATGGTTTAAACTTTTTCATCAATTATACATATATCCATCTCAATCCATCAATTCTTTTTACTGTCCTAAAAATTCAAAATGTTTGCTTATAATGAGAAAATGTGAAATAAAAATGGCAAATACTAAAATAAAAATATTTATTATTTAGAAGGGAGAAAGTACTACCCCACTACTCCACTACTACTTTCTACTATATTTTCCCTCTTCCATTTATTTGGAATATTTCAAACTAATTAAAATACAAAAAATAAGGATCGGGTTACAACTACTACAATTACTCAGAATTCTTCTTTACTTTTTCCTTAAAAATATTTATATTTGAGATATCATTAAATATTCCCGTTCATTTAATGGCATTTCCTTTTTTCGAGAAATTTTGGCGGGAACTTTTTTTATTATAAAAATAAATATTTAATTAAAATTAATTTAGGTATATATTTTTTAAAATAATTTTTAATAAAAAAGGAAATTAATATTACGCAATTTTTAAAGTATTCTATTTTTATATATTGGATTATATTTAGGTATATGTAGAAGTATGTTTAAATGACTAAAGAAAAGATTAGAAAAAATTAGTAAGGAGAGGAGAATATATTTACTTGTGTAATCCAATTTATTTAAAAAATTTTTATTTAATACATACATACATATCTTCTTGACTCAAGTGGAATTAATTGAAAGGAAATTTAAATAAAAAAATATCCGAAGGATTTTTTCAGAGTTCGCGTCCCAAGTCTGGATATTTTCCTCTCAGGATTTTTTCAAACCCGATTAATCCAAGAAATAAGATAGATCTGGTCCAGCTTGAAGGCTCATTCAAAATTTTGTTTTCTGAGCAGGAAAAATGATCTTGTTGGGAACTATTAAATATTTCCTACAATACATAAATAATTTTAATCTATTTTTTAATTTTAAAATTAATATTAGAAAATTTAAATTCAATATATTTAAAAATATATTTAAAAGAATTTGTTCCTTTGCGGTAAAATTTCAATTATTTTTCAGAAAATATGGAGGATTTGTAAATGAAATTTCGTTTGTTTGTTTTTTTCAAATAAAATGGCACACTCTGGCGCCAAAAAACGTTTTTTTTGTAACAAATTATGGTCCTTTTTAGAAGTCAAAAAAGAAAAGATTTTTTCCTTTTCTTCTTTGAAATAAACCGAAAAACCATTTGTTGTTTTTTTAATCTTTTGTTTAAAGATTATATCTTTTTTCCTTTTACAATCCTTTCCATGTTTTAGGCCCAAAAAAACTTGTTTTTATTACAGAAGTCAAACAAAAAAATAAAAAAAATATTTTTTAAAAAGAGAGATGCCATCTTTTAATAAAAAATATAAAAATATATTTAAATATAAAATTTATTTATTTTAGAATTAATTATACATAATAATTCTAAAAATTATTTTTAAAACATTTTCGCGCATATCTTGTCATAATTATTTAGAAAAAATTTATTTTTATTATCTGTCTCCACTATAAATTTGTTTCTCTCAAAAAATGCAAATTTTCATCATTACATACTCTTGACCGATAATTTTATTTATTTATATTTATTTTTCATTCACAGCTGGATCCTTATTATTACAAGTTTTTTAAGAAATATAATAATTTAATAATAATTATTTTTGTAATTTTAAATTAGGGACAACAAAAAAATATAAAATTAAGTAAATAAATAATATCAGAAATTAACACTTTAATTTTTTATAATTATTTAAATTGTTATAATTGACTTAATAATTTAAATTATTTTTACATTTTAAAGTGAAAAATAAAATAATTATAATTAAATTAAAATTAATGATTATATTTTAAATATATGTAATTACCAGCATTTGTCTTAAGAATTAATTAATCTTTCGCCGACAATTTTTAAAATTACTCAAAAATATTCTAATTTTTAATTATTTGCAACAAAATTTAATTAAAAATTTATTTTAAAATAAAATAATAAATAACTTTAAGCAAATTTTTAATTACAAAAAAAAAATAAAATTTTATTTTTTGTTTACCAAAATAAATTTAAAAGAAATATTTATTTATTTATTTATTTTATTTCCGCTCGTAAATTAATTTTTTCTCGGATTTCGCTGCTACTAATTTTTATATTACTTTTTTAGGCGAAAACAATTTTTTATTTTCTTCCCCCCCCCCCTCCCCCCAGCTTATCTCCTAATTTTTTGCTCTTTTCAATATTGTGCTCTTCACTCCCTAATTTTCCTTCTAAATTTACCTATAAAATAGCCAATTCTAAAATTGAACACATACAAACAATTATTTCTCGCGCGCATTGCGTCATTCCCCAAAAAAACCTCCAAAAGCTAGGCAGGTGCTTCTTTAGCCAATAAAGAAAATTTAAGAAAATATTTGCAAGGAAACAAGACCAATTTTTTTTAAATTAAAAAAAAGAAAGAAAATATTTTTAAATATACATAATTTTAGAGTTGTGGAATAATTTAGAAAAACTTTTGGGTAAACCAAGGTTTAGGGTCCCCCTTTTTTTCTTTCCGAAGTTTTTGTCATTTTTTGTAGAATCAGACTTTCTTCCTTCATCAATTCCACTTAAGTATTTCCAAGTGGCGTATTCAAATGTGAGACAACGTTGGCATAGGTTCTAATTGTTGAAGTTGATTCTAATTATATGTATTAGTTTGTAAGTTACTTTTCTTTCATTCAAAAGTAAATTTATTTTTTTTTATAAAATTACCTAATCTCTTTCTATTTATATTTTTTCAGTTATTATTTTTAAAAAAATATTTTATCCGTTAATTGTTAGGGCGATTATTTTATTTTAATCCAAATACAAAAAATATATATAAATAATATAGTAATTCAAATGTTTGATTTCTTTTTGTTTTAAATTTTATTTTTCTTCTTATTATTTTGGGGTTTCTATTGTTTTTATGTATATTCTATCTATTCACCCTAATTATTTACTTGAGTGAATTTGTGCGGGAAATTGATCCAAAAAATTATTCAATGAAAGAATTGACTTCCAAAAAAACAATCAAAACTAAACAAAAGAATTGTTAATCTGTAAATAATTATTTAAAAAATATAAATAAAATAAAAATTAAATAGAATTGCTTTAACTAAATAAATACATATAAACAATTTTTAATTAATAAATTTATTTATAAAAAATTCACATACATAAATTTTAATCAATTAATTAATTTCTTTAAAAAATTATCATTTATTAATTTTTAATTTTTTCTGTTCATTCTCCCTTTTTTCCACCATTTAATCACCACTCTAATAGTATACATATTTAATAATCTAAAGGTCCATTATACCAACCATAATAATAGCCTGATGGGTTTCTAAAAATGTAATTTTTAATTTTACTTATAATATTGCTAAACCCCCCCCTCTAATAAAGAATTAATAAATTAATAAGTTTAATTTTGATTATAAAATATTTTTAATTTATTAAAAACAATCAAAATTTCCCCAAAAATTTTTTAATTTAAAAATTTACTTGTAGCTTTTATAAGGGGCATAAGTGTAACTGCCATAGAAAGAAAGAGGTTTATAATTACTGAATGGATAACTTTAAAAAAGAAATATTATTTTTCAAAATATTTTTATTTTATTTTTTACTTAAAATGATGTTCTGGCCAATTAGAATAATGTCTATTATAAAAATTAACATATGTCTAGAAAAATATATTTATTTTTATTTTAAATTAATTCTTAAAAAAACTTACCCTAACACTATTATATCGATAAGAAGGATAATATGAACGATAATAAGGGTAAAAATAAATATATTGAATTTTTGGTGATCCACTTACATCGTCCAAACTTTTAATTGAATAAGTTTTTGAAATTGTTGGTGGGGGCCTGTACGAGGACAGGCTAGACACTGAAAGGCTCCGAAATATTGGGGCCATTTTGTTAATTTTAAATTAAAAATTAAATAAAATACCTAGCAATTTATGAATTTTTTTTATATTGGAATAAAATAAAAGAATAAATAAATAAATGGATAAATTGATAGAGCGTAGGCGTTTAAATCTTAAGAAAAGATTTGTGAACTATGTTCATATACTTTCACATTTTTTAATAAAAACTTTCTTTAGTACTTAACACCTGACCTTTCACGAATTATTTAAAAATTGTTTTAACAAAAATATTTTTTATTAATAAATTTTTAAAAATAAATATTTGTTTTAAATATATAAATTACAATTTAATTTAAATTAATTCAAAAATTAATCTCAAGCAATCTCTATTTTACATAAATGCTTGTATGGATTTGTAGGTGAAATGATTATTGATGGAAACACTTTTGGATGATTAACAGCATCTGGAAATTGTTGATCCTCTAAGCAAATCCCTCCAAATGGAGGGTATAATTGGTTATTTAATCCTTTTATCTAAAAAATTTATTTTTTTAAATTATTTTTAAAATTTAAACTTTTGATGGCAAATTAAGTTTTCCAGCAGTATAAACTTGTAAAGCTGGTTGATCTGTCCATAATTTTAATGTTAATAAATTATCTGGACTTTTAAGAATAGCTACAGGCTCTGAAGAATTTTTGTTATTTAAAATAAAATTATTGTCTAATTCTAAAGGTTGATGACTATTTTTATTTAATAATTTCCCATTACGAAAATCAAATAAAGTATTGTCAACATTAATTATTTCTCCAGTCGGAATCATTTCTTTATTTGTTGGAGTATACTTTTTAAAGAAAATTTAAAGAATAAATAAAATAATAAAAATATATTTACAAAATCAGAATTTAATTTCAACCAATGATTACTTATATCCCCACTTCCAGCCAAATTAAAATAATTATGCTGCACTAAATTTAGAGGAGTTAAAGTATCAGTGCTAGCTTCAAATTCCTATAAAATAAAAATTAAAAAAATATTATTACAAAAATTAATATTTAAAATGAAAAAAAGTATTTTTGAAAAAAAAAATAAAATTTGAAAAGAATTAATTAAATCCAAAAAATAATTTGTTTGGAAATAAAGTATAAGTATATTTTCACAATTAAATTAGAATACTATTTAAGTTGGAATTAACTAGTAATCCCTTTTGTATATCCTTAGTGTTAAGCATGAGCTTGATTGCTTCTTCTTTTCTCTCTACGTGCTCTACAACTTTTTTCTTTGTAATTATTTTTGGATTTGGCTTTTTGTTGTCAATTTTGTGTTGCAAAAATAAAAAGAAGGTAAAGGTGGGAGAATATTTTAATTTTAATTACAGTGCCGGAAAAAAAGATAGGACCAGAGGCTGTTAATTTAGTTTTTTTCGCTTATCTCTTTTTTAATGGCATTTATGAAAAAAGTTTATGAAAAACTAATTTAACAGCCTCTGGTCCTATCTTTTTTTCCGGCACTGTAATTAAATATTTTTTAGAAATCGAAGCGGGAATCTAAACAAGTCCAGAAAGCAAAAAGTAGTAAAAACAAAAAGCATCGACAACATCATCGACAAACCCCAATCAAACCAAAAATTCAATTAAATAAGCCACCACCAAAAGAAAAAGAAAATCAACAACAAAAATGTCCAAATTGTAAAATAACAATAAATCCAAAAAAGTTGACAGAAGAAGATAATCCAATTAAGGAGAAAGAAAAGAATAAAGGAGAGGAGAAGAGGGATGTTAAAAAAGAAGAGGAGAAAGTTTGTAATTATTATTCTTTAATGTCTTTGGATGATCTGGGTCTAGATGAAGAATTTTTGGAAAAACAACGAAAAGAAGCGGAAATGAAGAAATTAAAAAAATTGAAAGAAAAGGAAGAAAATAAAAAATATTCTCTTGCATTTTTGGAAAAAATTCAAGAAAATAATAATGGAGAAAATTCGTCATCCTCAACGTCAAAAATTAAAAAGAAAGAAGAAGAATTGGAAGAAGGAGGAGGAAATGATATTAAGTTGACACAAGAATCTGAAAGGGATAATAATGGAAAGGAGGAAGAAGAATATACACTTGATGTATTGGAAGATGTAGTAGGAGTAGATGATAATGGAAAGAAGGAAAAGAAGGAGAAAAATGGAGGAGAAGTTGTGGGGGATAAAAGCGGGAAAGATGATTTATATGAAGTTTGTATATAAATTAATTAATTTAATTAATTTTTTTATTTTTTATAGAATTTGGACAATATCAATCTTAGTAAAGAATATAAAGAGAATAAAGGATTGTAAATAAGAAAAGAGGGAGAGAGAGAGAGGAAAATAAAGAGATAAATTATTGTGTTGTTGAGTATTTTATTATAAATTTGTGATAAATAATAAATAAATTAATATTAAAAGATTCTTTCAAATGTTTGATTTTTAATTCAAATTTCAATCTTAATCATAAACTTTTAAATTAATTCCCTCCTACATGTCCCTCCTAATTAATTCCAAAATTGCCCTTTTATTAATTATTTATTTACAATTTCAAGTAAATTATCCACCAATCTGTAAATAACTTTAACATTCAAATTCCCTGGATATCCACTTTCCTCCTCTGAACTAAAAATATTTAATTGAACAGAACTTTCTGAAATTTGTGTCATCTTCCACAACTTTAATTTTAAAAATTAAATTTTTAATTTTTAAATTTAATTTTTTACTCTTTTTCCAAAGGTTGTCTCGCCTCCATGTAAATGATTTACCCCTTCATTTTTATCTAATAAATATTCTTTTCCTTCCAACAAAAATCTAAATTTAAAAAATATTTTTTTTATTATTCTCCTTTCAAAAACTTAGCCCCTCCAATTCTATTAGCAACTCTCCCAACAATTGCCCCAAAGAAAGGACTATATTCAATATAATCTTCTATATTATCAAATCCCAGAACTACACAACGTTTACTTCCATTTAACATTGGAATTTGCCAATCACGAATTATTGCCCCATAATTTAATATTTTTATACAAACGCCGGTTTTGGATATTAATTGACATTCTAAAACATCTTCTCCTTTAAATTTACCAAAATATTTTGAAATTGTTGACATCTTGAATTAAAATTTAATTTAAATATTTTAGTTAATATAATAAATAAATATTTAATCAAAAATATATTCGATAAAATTAACAAAAGTTAGCGTTGTATTTAATAAAATAAAATAGTATATTTCATTCAATGTTTGCTCAATATATTTTTATTTGTTTATTTAAAAAATTATCAAAAAATACATAATAAATTTTGTATTTTTATTTATTTCTTTTCCTTTTAAATATTTTTTATTTATTAAAATATTTTTATTAAAATATTATAAAATAATTATATGTAGCAACTGTTTTGTGTAAAAACAACCCTTTGAGGAGATCCTTGCTTTTCCTTTACTAAATGTGAGTCATCTGGTGTGTTTCTAGTTAGTAGCTGCATATATTCTTGGTTAAAATCAATATATTTATTTGAGATTAAATAAATATTTTTTAAATAATTTTTTAATTAAAAAAAAAGACAAAAAATGCCATCAGAATATTATGATGATAACACAATAAATAGCCGTAATAGTAGCAACAAAAAAGACGAAAATTCAATTCTTTCAAAATTTGGAACTTTAACTAAAAAAAATAATAATTTAAATAATAAAAAGCAGCAATCTCCCCCTCAAGAAGAAATTCCAAAAGAAGAAAAAGAAGACGAAGTTGAACAAGTTGAGAAATTGGGGAAGGATGCAATTGATTCTTGTTTAATTTTGCCTCAACCAGATTTGAGAAATTTAGAAGATGGTTTGGAAATTAATTAAAATATGTAATTAAAATTTAAAAAAAAAGGTCAGAGTATTCGAACATTAACAATTGAATCTAGAGATGATCCAAAAGTTAAAGAAATACATTATTTGTTAATTTATTGGTTAAATGAAGAATTGGCACAGGATAGAATTGTTGTTAGGAATTTACAGGAAGATATTTTTGATGGACAAGTTATCCAAAAATTAGTTGAAAAGTTGGCACAAATTAAGGTTTTTGTAAGAGAGAGGAATATTTGAAGATTAATTATGTTTAGATTGAAGTTCCAGAAGTTTCTCAGAGTGAAGAAGGCCAAAGACAAAAATTGCGAATTATTGTGGATGCTTTGGGAAAATTATTGAATGATCAACAATACCAACAAGAAAATCAAAATATACATCAACAACAATTAAATAGAGGACAACAACAACAAAAATGGACTGCAGAATTAATTCATTCAAAGGTTTTTTTTAAAAAACTCCAAAATTTTAAGGAAACTTTAATGGAAGTTTTGTTTGAGATTGTTTGGGAAGGATTTTTAGTTAACCAAAATCCAAATTATTTTCTTAATTCTGATTAAGTAAGATAATGTGGGAATGGAGAATTTACTGACTGATTTAGAATTTATATTTAATTTATATTATTTAGAATTTAGAATTTACTGATTTAGAATTTACAAATTTGAAAATAATAAAATTTAAATTATCATAATTTTGAAATATAAAATTGCATAAATTAAAGTTAGCGCCCTCTAACACCTTTCAGTTATCTTAAGAATTTTAATTAACTACAAATTTTAAATAAAAATTAATTTAAAGGATATTGTTGCTATTTTACATTTACTAATTTCAATGGCATTACATTTCCGAGCACCTATACGTTTCCCAACAAATGTAAATGTTCAAGTTTTGATATATACAAGGAATGGAAAACAAATAAATAAAAATATAATAACAGAACAATTAACTACAAAACAAACAGAATTAGCACCTAAAGGGGAAAGGGATGCTTTTGATACTCTTTTTGATCACGGACCTGATAAATTACAACATGTTAAAAGTTGGGGAGTTTTTAAATTTAATTTGTTGGAGAATTTATTAGGGACAGGATTGAGAGGGATGGAGATTTTTGTTTTAGATTTATTTTTAGTCCGCGATCTCTACTAGAGATCGGACAAACGACAAAATCAAATCAAACTATTTGATCCAAAAGTGGTCAAACAAATATTTGATCAAATATTTAATTTTCCAACGTCAAATATTTGTTTGGTCCAATCTCTAATCCCTACTATTTACTTTAACTTTTTATTAAAAAATATTTTCTTAAAGGTTCTTTAATAACTTTTTGCAATAAACACTTAAATAAAATTAATTTGGAAGTAACTGATTTGGAAACACAATTTCAAGACGGCGTTTTTCTTATTTTACTTATGGGGCTTCTTGATGGATATTTTGTCCCTCTATATAAATTTAATTTACAAGTTTTCTTTAATTTAAATTTAAAAAAATAATTAATTAATTAAAAAAAGGTAAATAATAATGAAGAAAAATTAAAAAATGTTCAATTTGCGTTTTTTCTGATGGAGGAAGCTGGAATGCAAAAACCAAAATGTAGACCTGCAGATATTGTTAATGGAGATTTAAAGAGCACGTAAAAAATAAAAATTTTGATTTAAAAAATAATATTTTAAATTTTCTAGATTACGTATTCTTCATGCATTATTTACTAAATACAAACATGTCTGATTTTGAAAAAAAGAAAAAAAACAATTTTTTAGGAAATAGTAATTTTTTATTTTTATTTTTTAACTAAAAATTTATTCAAAAATATATACATAAACACTAATTAATTAAAATTAAATTTGTTTATTCATTTTAAATTCTTGGACTAATATCTGGACTTGTAAATAACCCAAATTGGGGTTCTCTATAAAATACATATTCTGTATAATGTGCCCAACGTTGTTCTTCCATATCTCCACTTTCACGCTGAAAAGGGACCTAGGGGAATTTTTTCTTTTCGAGAATTTTATTTATTTTAACCTGGCTATTATTTGCAGGTGATTGTTGATTACTCGCTGTTAATACAAGTCCATTTGCCCCACTAGAACAGGCGGTAATTAAACGAAAACCTTTTTCAGATAAATTATCACAAGCCTTTAAATTAATTAATTTTGTTTTTTAGTTTAAGAAGGAAAACTCTTTCTAAACATTGATGCTTTAAATAAAGTCTTGCTGTATATCTTTCAGCCCCTTCCCTGTCTGGATCTCTACTTTCATTTAAAGTATCACCAAAAACTTCTCTACAAAGTTGTGCTTTACCACAAACTAATATTCGATGTAATTTTCTAAATTTAACATCTGCCTGTCCATCTCTACCAAAAGCAAAAGTTCCTCTATAACCAAGTGTTATAAATCCACCTTTTTTTTAAATATTTTTTATCTTTCTTTTCTTTTTTTACCCGTCTCATAAAGAGCATTTGTTCTAGCTACAGCAACAGCTGCTGCAGCAGAATTTGTACTGTTATTTATATTTGTAGATGAAGTTCTTGTTGGATATTTTAAATTATAATAAGGAATTAATTGTTGCATTAACTCTTCCAATTGATAAAATTGAACCTTTTTTTAATTAGATTATTTTTTAATTATTATTATTTATTTACTTCCTCTTTAAGACGTGCCAATTCACGAAAATTTTCTGGCAATAAAAGTTTTCCACTACGAAGAAAATCGAGAATATAAGCAAATAATTCTCCATCTCTGTCAATAAATACAGCCCCATTACTCATTCTTTTGGCAACCTTTTTTGTTAAATTTAGGTAATCTCTTTAGTGTAATTTCCCCCTACTTTAGAATTAGCCTCCATTCCATCAACCGTTAATAATTGTGCAAGTAAAGAACATTGATCTCTTTTTAAAGTCTCTACAGTAGTTAAATAACAAGTCCCCCCAACATTTAATTGAATAACACCCTCTGGCACTTCAAAAGCCATTCCCAAATTCATTGACTTAACAAATTCTGCTAATTCACTAAAATAATCAGAACAGCAGAGATGGTGGTCCTCCTACTTTGATAAAAATTGAAAATTAAAAAAATGTAATTTAAAGTTTAATTTTGAAATTATTTACTCGAATAATAAATATTAATTAGAACAATTTAATGCATTCGAAAATCTGACTCTGCTCGTAAATCCTCCCCTTTACCTCATTAAATGTTGCTAATTCACTTTTGTGCTCAACAGAATTCGAATCCGATGAAGGGATTTCAGTTTTTTGTTTATTATTTTCTGTTGTTGTTTCAGAGATTACAGAGCCTTTATTTAAAAATTAAATATTTCTTTATTTAAAAATAAAAATATTTAAAATATATTTTTGCGTGATTTGTTTATTTTTGTATTTAATTGTCTAAATAATTTACAGAAATATTATTTTAAAAAACATCTGTCGTGTCTTTAATTAAAATGAACTTAACACGCACTTTTGCTCTGTTGAAGGACGTTGGTAAGAATTTTGATTGTTTTTATAAATTTATTTTTGTTGTTTTATGTTAGTAGAATTTATTTTTTAATTAAAAAAATGATTTTAATTAAAAAATAAAAAGTACTATTTCCTTAAAAATATTTTTTAATTATTTCTGATTAATTTGGGAATTAAAAATAAAAAAATAGTATTTATTTATTAACAGAATAAATATTTCCCTAAAGTAAATGAATACATTGGGGAAAAGATAAAAAAATTAATAAATTTAGCTTTTATTTGGGAGAATGAATATTTTTTAAATTTAATTAAAAAATAGGAGAACATTTTTAATTATTATTTTCTTTAAAATAAATTACTACAGGGCTCGCATCGACAAAATGCCACTCAAAAGTATCAAAATCTCGATAAAAAAGTATATAGGGAGAAAATTTGCAAAAAAAGTAGTCTCAAAATTAAATTAGAAAATATTTATTCGTCCTCAAATCTTTTATATTCTCTCCTAAATGAATCTTTTCTAATATTTTCTTGTTTCAACTGAGCATTTTGTCATTTTCATTGCACCCTTTTGTGGCGCCGAAGGCGCCAAAAAATCTATTTTTTGCGCCGCAGGCGAAAATTTTGAGAATTTTGGAGGCCGAAGACCAAAAAATTCACTTTTTTGCCCAATCCCTTTTCCAATTTCATTTTCAATCAAAAAAAAAGTATATACTTTCAAAAAAGTATTAATTCAATTTCGTAAGCATGAAGGTCGATTTAAAAGTAGAATACTTTTAAAAAAGTAGGAATGCGAGCCCTGAATTACTACTAAAAGTTTATATTTATTTTAATAAAGAAGGGTATTGAAAGGATGTGGGTAATTACTATTTAAAAAGAGTTATTATTCTATTACATTTACGGTAAAATATCCAAATCTTTTTTTAAATAAAAATAATGAAAAAATGGAAATTTTAAACAAAAAATTTATTTTAAAAATTTAAGAATTGGTAATTTGTCTTTCCTAATGCTACGGTTACATAAAAATCGCGCGCGACACGCGACAGTCGCTAGGCGACATGTCGCCGGCGACAGTCGCTAGTGGCGTGGTTACATAAAATCGGCGTCTTCCGCAAAAGCGACTGTCGCAAAGCGACAAACGCTGATTTTATGTAACCACGCCACTAGCGACTGTCGCGCGCGTCTTGTCGCCTAGCGATTGTCGCGTGTCGCGCGCGATTTTTATGTAACCACTAAATTATTAGTTTTTCTATCTTTTTCAACTATATTTTCTTTATTTATTTATCTCTAATTTTCACGGTGGTGAAAGTCAGAGTACTGTAATGTATAGGACAATTTGTTGCCACTATTTTTTTGTGGCTTTTATATTGTGATTTTTTAGAATTTTTCCATTGATATTTCGATTAGAGGTAGGCGCGGGACAGGATCCCGACGAGATTTTCCGGGATCCCGATCTTAAGGCCTTATAAAATTCTCTAAATTTTCGCCTGCGGCGCTGGAAGAGGATGAAATCTGGTTTCTTGGCTTTTAAAAATTCTAAAAAATTTTGCACTGAGCAGGTCTCCCCGAGCCTTCGGAAAAATTCAATTTTTAAGGGAAAAATGCCATTTTCAAAAAATCATATCTCTGGACCGGAAAAAGATATTTTTAAGCGGTTTTGTGGAAAATACTCAGAAAAATATGCTTTATCAAATGGGTTTGTCTAATTTTTTCAGAAAAATTTTCCGCGGATATAGGATTTGGTATATCTGGTAGATCCGGATTTTTTTGTCTAATTTTTTCAGAAAAATTTTCCGCGGATATAGGATTTGGTATATCTGGTAGATCCGGATTATCTCGGCCTATTTTCAATTTCATGAAAAATGCAGAAACATGTCAACTGAGATACGAATAGAGCTTTCGATTGCTATATAGAACGTATTTTTTGAATAAAAAATAGTTAATTTTCATTTAAATTACTCCTGTCCCTATCTTTATGTCGACTACTGTAAATAAGATTAAATTTGTAAAAATCTAATAGATTTAGAGGGATATCGGTGGATCTATATGGGTCTTATATCGGAACTAAAACTCCGGTATACTAAACTATATCCAAATCCCGACTCGGGATCCCGGAAGTGCGATTTTGCCGACTAAACTATATCCAAATCCCGACTCGGGATCCCGGAAGTGCGATTTTGCCGACCTCTAATTTTGATCAAGGATCGAGAAATAGCATGTCGCAAAAAAGTGTCGCCGAAAATTCAAACATGTTTGAATCAAAAAAAGTGTCGCCGGCGACAAGTCGCCGGCGGAAATCGCATTTTATGTAACCACTAGAAAAAGCGACAAAGTCGCGCGCGACATGTCGCCGGCGGAAGTCGCGGTTTATGTAACCACTCAAAAAAGCGACAAAGTCGCGCGCGACAAGACGCCGGCGGAAGTCGCTTTTTATGTAACCACTAGAAAAAAGCGACAAAATCGCGCGCGATTTTTCTCTCCTCTTTTTACATTATCTTTTCTGTCGCGTGTCGCGCGCGATTTTTATGTAACCGTAGCATAAAAATGTACTTTTTTGGTGTATAAATCAATATATTACTAGCTAATTTATATATTTTAGGGCAAAAAAGAAATAAAATATATAAAAAATATTTACTAGCCAAATATATGCTTGATTGGACATTTTTAAAGTTAAAGCAGCAAAAATCAGAATAAAAAAGAGGAAGTAACGCAGAAAAAATAAGGAAAAGCGGAAGAAAACAGAAAAAAGTAAGAAAAAACAAAATAATTTTATTTTCTTAGAAAATAATTTTTTGAAGTTTATTTTTTTGTTGTTAGAAAATATATTTATTTATTTTGGTTTTTATTTGAAAATAATTTCTATTTAAATACCAAATGAGGTTGGTAAACAATAAATTGAGTGAATATTTTATATAGAAAGATGAGATAGTAGAAAAAAATTGGGAAAAAAAGAAACACAATCCTCTCCCAAAGGATTTGTAAGCCAAAATGACAATTATAAAAATAAAAATATATGTACTATGTATGTACATAAGCATATATTTAATGAATAAAACAAAATATATTAATAATACAAATTGTTAATTGTTGTTAGAATTTTTGTTGTTTAGGTAGCTGTAAAAGTTAAAAAATAAATGTTTTTGCTCGGCTATAGGGAAGTATGTATAAATATACTTAAAAACAATAGAAACTGCCAAGGTATCAAAAATCAGAAGGACATTGAAAATACCTCAATCTTTTGCGGACGAGGAGCAACCCTAAAAATGTCGGAACAATAAATGAAAATTTTTGTAAAAAGAAAAATTCTTGCCAAGAGGAAAACGAAGTGATAAATCGTCGCAAGTCAGATTTCCGACCAACCTCTGCCTTAAAAAATATTTAATTTTTAATTTATTTTTATTTTAAAATAATTATTTACTTTAATTCTAAAACAGTTAGATAACTTTTAATTATTAAATATTTACTTAAAAAGAACAATTTATTTAAATACTTTTATTGTTTCGTTAATCCTTTTGTCGCGTTTTTCGGAAGTTTTTAATTGTTTTTAATTTTAATTATACATAAATTTAACAAAAAAATAAATTAACTTTAACCAAACAAAGCAAAAATAGTTGAAAAAGAAGGGAAAAACTATTGAAAGAAAATAAATTTATTTAATATAAAAACGATGCCATTCATTCATTGTCCCCAAAATAATTGTTTGGAAAGTAAATAATGGAAATTTGGGAACCAATTTGTATTCAAAAAAGAAATTTTTAGAAAAGTTAAATTGAAAAAAAGGAAAGAAAAAATTGTTAAATTGTTTGTTTATTTTATTTGGAATATTTTTGTTAAAAAAAGAGAGGGAGAGATAAATGCTTTTACAAAAAAAATTAAATTGATATGAGAAAATTTTGAAAGAAAAATGATCCAAAAAAATAAAAATATTTTTAAAAATAAAAACAATAAACTTTTTTATAGGAAAAAAAGATAAAAACTGTGAGAATAAAACAATGAAAAATATTTAAATTTAAATTGTATGTAAATGAAAAAATTCAGAAATAAAAGTTAAAAGTAGTTTTTTTCTTATTTTCGAATATATTTAAATATTTACATGATATTAAAAAAATTTACTTTTAGTTTTATTTAAATAAAAGAATTTTTTAATTAAAATATATTTATTGAAGATTACTACTACAAAAAAAGCGAGAAAACATTAAAAATCTACTTGAAGAGAGGATTAAAAAAGGAGGGGTTTTTTTTACTCTCTTCACATCAAATTTTACTTAAAATTACCTAAAACACTCAAAAAGCTTTTAAATATATATATGTTTTTTAAGTATTTTAATGTTAAATTATTTATTGAAAGGATTATTCAAAAATAGTTTAAAATTTTTAAAAATAAATTTTTTTAATTTAAATTTTATCAATAAAATCGATGAACAAAAAATATTTAAAAGACCAGAATAAAGCAAAAATATAAAGGCATTTTTAAAAGAAATATAAATATATACATAGACGAGAATGGCAGGAAAAAAATAAAAAAAGCTTTGAAGAAATTGAGCCAAAATAGGAGGAAGGGGGGAGAGGAGGGGGAGGATATTATAATAAATAATAAAACAAACAAAAAACACAAAAATATTTAGAGGAAGAAAAAGAATTGGCATAATAATTAGGAGATAAATAAAGGGAAGAGAAGATTTATCAAAAAGATTTTTTAGAAATTAAAAAGAAATTAAAAAGAAAGATTAAATTTAAAAAAAAAAGAATTAAATTTTAAAGTCCTTTTTAAATTAATTAAAGTTTTATTTTCCTTCAAATTTTACCAAATTTGCTTCCCTTTGTTTTTGTTCCATTTCAACAGCAGCAAATAATGCCTAAAATTAAAAAAAATATTTTTTGGAAAATTAAAATAACTTTAAAATTTCCAGCTCCAAATCCCTAAGAATAATTTTTTATTTCTTTTAAATATTTAAATTAAAAAACAAACATTAAAATTATTTCTTTGTATTATTTCAAAGAAAAGTGTTGCTCTCTTTTAAATTAAAAAATAAATTTTAAAAAAATTAAAAATTAATTTAATTATTTATTTACATCCTGAACAGGTTTAGTAAATATTTGTAATAAATAACCATTTTCATCAAAATCCATTAAAATACCCAATTCTCTTATCTAAAAAATATTTTTTCTTTTTTTATTTTTAGAATAAAAACTTTATTTAAATCTTCTTTAATTTTTAAATTTTTATTTAAACGTTCTTCAAGTAAATCATAATAACAAGAGGGAATTTTAAGAAATTCTAATCCCCTTTTTTGTAATTCCTCTACTTGTTTAATTATATTATTTGTGTGAAAAGCGATATGTTGAATGCCTGGCTGGCCATGAAAATCAAGAAATTCCTTTTTTAAAAAATAATTTTTTTCCAAAATTCTTTTCCAAAAAAACACCTTAACTTGCCCTCTTCTTTTTATTCCATTAACATTTACTGGGGAAACAAGGGCTATCTAATAATAGACAAAAAAATTAATTAATTTCCCAACAAATTCATCTTTACTTGAACTAAATTTTTATTTTTTTCTTCCTCTCCAACATTTTCATTTTTTATTAAAATTGCACGTAAAGCACTAAATTCTGCCTTAACTATTTTATCATCAATAGACCAAAATCTACGCATTTTAAGTATTTCCTCATACCAACTAACAACTTTATCTAAAAAATCTTCTGGATGTGCTTCCACAACATGGTCAATACCGTCAAATTTAATTGGCGATCTTTTTAAATTTTCTTTTAATTTTAAAAGAATTTTCCTCACAGTTTCGAACAAAAATCGAAATTTTGTAAGAATTTAAATCCTGGAAGGAAAGGGCCGTTATAATCAATATTTTGTATTAAAGTGTGGACAATTGAACCACCAGAGCCTGCAATTCTTGCAATCCATAAAGAACCATCAGAATCATTAAAAAATGTTTTTGGTTGTAATATTTGATAATTATTGTTTGATAAACACTAAAAAGAAAGGAATTTTAAAAAATTATTTGAAATTTATTCTCTGACAAAAACTATTAAACTTAATTTTTTTGATAATTCCGAAAAGAAAGTAAAAAAACTTTTAAATATCAATTTATTTAAAAACTTACTTCCAAAATAAAATCCAAATTATCAACTGAATAACTCTAAAACAAAAAAAAAACTAAAAATTAAATGTAATATATTTAAGGGGCCAACCCTGAAGACCTAAAAACTTTTGATCAACACCATTTTTTACTTTTTATTTCTTTACAAGTTAAATCGTGGGGATCAAGGGGGATTAAATGGGATACTGGGGGATTTGGAATGATAAAGGGGATATTTGTGGATTTGGCAGGATATCAGCAGATTTGAAGAGGTCTTGCAGGGGGAATTAATATTTACAATGTCTTTAACAAAATCGCCATGTATTGCAACTTCAGCACCAATTAATTCTGGATCCTTTGGGCAAATAACACTTTTAAAAACCAAAATTATCTTTAAAATATTTTTTAATTAGCAAGAAATTAAAAATATAATTAACTTTTCCATTACGTATTGCAATTTCTGAAGATTCCTCATATTGCCGATTCGCAAAACGTTCGAATCCAAAATGGAAACAATACCAAAAGGAAGCCTAAAATTTAATCAGAAATTTAAAGAGTTCTTAAATACCTGTAAAGCATTTGACACATAAAATTTGATGTGGTGAAAATGTTCAACTAAATTAATTGGTTGATTATTCATATTTATTGTGCAAATATTTTCACAATTAATTTGCTAAAATTAAACAAAAACTTTTTTTCTTTTTAAAAAATTTTTAGTCAATTTTTATGTAGACATCAGGGGTGTGCCGAAACGGATTTTAAAAAGTGAAACGCGAAATGCGAAAGTCCAAAAAACGCGAAAATCCGCGAAATGCGAAACACGAAACTGGCACACCCCTGGTAGACATGTACTAAATATGTATTTATAGAGTAATTTATTGAAGGAAAAACATTAACAACAACAAATTAATCTTCAGCAAAAAGTTTCGATTTTTAATTGCTATTTACTATCTAGTTAAGTTGACATTTACTATTTAAAGAGAAAAAGTAAAAACAAATGTTAAACATTAAAATATTTTTTAGAGGGAACATTTAGCTAGTAATTAATCAATCTTTACCAATACACACTCTTTTCAGATAAATTACAGAAAGTATGGAGCCAAATCAATTAAAGACTAATTGGTTGCCTGCTGCAGAATTAATTTTATTTTTGGAAAGAGGTGATCTAATTGAAATTTCCCGGCAATCATACACTGTTAGTTTATATTAAAATTTGTTTAAATTTATTTTTATATAAACAGCATTGGGTCGTATATATTGGTATTTTTGACGATATACATTGTGTTGCACACATTTCTACCGAAAATCATGGAAGTGCTAATAAAAAGGAAATTGGAGCTAAATTATTAAGTCGGAGTGTTGCTTCGGTTGTTTAAGGGAATCTTTTAAATAAATTTAATTATTCTTATAGGTTCGTTCTGATCCATTTCTTATTGTCGCTGGCGCGGATCTTTCACGTGTAAATAATTCTTTGGACAATCATCGAAGGCCATTTCCTCCAACAATTGTTGTGGAACGCGCCTTGCAGAAAGTCCTATCTTTAATTAGACTAAAAAAGATTAATTAAATTACAGCTGGGAACTGGTAACTACAATCTTATGCACAATAATTGCGAACATTTTGCTAAATGGTGTCGATACTCGCTTAGGGAAAGTGATCAGGTTTGAGCTAGTTTAGTCGAGGACCCACTCAGAATTGGGTCGAATCATATGTCATTTGATTCGTCTCGGCGAGCTGATATGAGTCGAATGGTATCACTTTCTAGGTGCGGCTAACATAAGTCGAATGACACCAAAATCTCCGTAATTGAACAAGTTTGAACAAAATAACGATGAAAAATAAACAACGTAAACCCCCCAATAGGGAGTGGTACCATTCGACACACATCAGCTCGGCAAGGCGAATCGAGTGACGTATAAATCGACCAGTTTTGGAGTGAGTCCTCGACTAAACTAACATGTCCTTTTTTAGAGTTTGTTTGGCCAGGCTGGAGCATTTGGATTGACATCTTTGATAGCTACTGCATCACTTCCGTATAGTTTGGCTGCTACTGCCGTTAGCTTTACCATCCTAAAAGTTGGACAGGCAGTGAGACGAAATTATTTAATGAGAAGTATAATTTAGAGAACGTGATTGATTACTTAAAGGATGTAATTTTAATTTGTAATTTTCATTTTTCACTTTTTTATTTGAATAAATCGAAAAACATTTTGGGGTTTTAGTCTATTGAAATTGACTTTTTTTGCAAACTGTTTTGCGGACTAATTTATGTACTTAGTACATGAGTCCCGCAGAGATTCCTAGAAAAGCTGAAGATAGTTTTTAAATATGACTGATTTTTACGCATATAATTTTTTTTCACATGAGTCTATGCCGTGAGTCTTCAACAATCAGAACCTATGCCAAATAAAATGTAATTTAGTATTTTCACATGAGTCCACAAAAAAGGGGTAAGAATAACCGAAAAGTCCCACAATAAGCTACAGTTATACCTTCCCTTCCTCATAAGTCTAACCTGCCCATGATTAAACTTTTCCTTATTTCAATCAAAATACTACAGAAAAACAAACTGATATTTATACCAAACCATTAAAAGATAATTAAATTCCATCTTTATATGTCATATAACCAAAATTCCCTAAATTTTCAATTCTTTACACAACATCCCAATTAGAAACGACGAAGCCAAGTAAAAGCTCCAACAAGCATCGCCGCCGTGATTGCCATCCAATATGAAGGCTTTGCTTCATGATGTCGAGGCAAACGCTGAATCCATTCCGGGTCAACACGCAGCTGCCTCCCCTTCGGCTTCTAAAATGAATAAATTAGTATTTTCAAAATTTCCTTTATTATACCATGGACTCAACGATCTCAGGACTCTCGGTAATCTAAAATTAAAAGCATTTAAAAGTATAAAATAAAATGTTTTACAACTTACAACATCTCGTCCATAATATACTTTAGACATTTCTAAAACTTGCAATAAACAATTTTAGTAAATATATCCTGAAAAATAAAAACAGGAAAAATAAAAATCTGGTATTGGTGATAAAAAGAATAAAAATCGATTAGTGTAGGAGGTTTTAGAGATTTACCTTTTAATTAATAATCCAAGACTTAGTCTTGAAAAATTAGGCTTTTTGGTTTTGGGGTGGAGTTTTGATCCTGATCAAAACTTTTAAGCATTTAAAAGACCGACTAGGTAGGATAGTAAATAGAGGTAGGAAATTGCAAGTCAGCGTTTTCGTTGATTCGCGGCGAATATCAACAATTAGTCGCACTCAATTTTTAAAAAACACAACGCCAGAACGACGTTAATATCAACGTGACATTAAATCTCAACGGTTTTAAATCTCTTATTCTCTGCTCTGCCATTATATTTCTCCCCTTTTTTCTACGTGCCCGCTCAACTCATCGAATCCTTAACTCATCGAATCGGCCAAAAACGCTCAACTCATCGAATCGGCTAAAATTCCTTAACTCATCGAATCGGCCAAAAACACTCAACTCATCGAATCCTTAACTCATCGAATCCTCAACTCATCGAATCGGCCAAAAACGATCAACTCATCGAATTTTTCCAAAAGGGGACGTTTGAGTCCCCTGTTTTTATTTTTCTCCCGAAAGGGCTAACTGAATCTTCGTTGAAAAAATTTTTTGCTGCTATGGAGGCTAGGAAAAAGGGCTTTTGGGCATAATCGGGGTCTACTGGACTAATTTGGTCCGGTTTTACCCGGTAAAATCTCCAGCATAATTTATTAGGAATGAGATAATGTTCTGATAATGTTTTCACTGGCCGGATAAACTTGGATGAGTGCCCGATCAACTAATTAACAAAATTAGTTGAAACCCCAGAAGAAAACAAAAAAAAAATAAACAAAACAATAAAAAATCTAAAAAATAAAAACAGGGGACTCAAACGTCCCCTTTTGGAAAAATTCGATGAGTTGATCGTTTTTGGCCGATTCGATGAGTTGAGGATTCGATGAGTTAAGGATTCGATGAGTTGAGTGTTTTTGGCCGATTCGATGAGTTGAGGATTCGATGAGTTAAGGATTCGATGAGTTGTAGGGTAGCCTTTTTTCTATTAATTTCCATTCGTGTAGTCTCTCTACTTATGTTGAGGGGTACAGCCCAAAACAACGCGGGCCAAAACTACGCGACCGAAACTACGCGACCGAAACTACGCAGGCCAAAACTACGCAAGCCCAAAACTACGCACGCCCATAACTACGCAAAACTATTTAGTACATTCAATTTGAATTCTGCTGTTGATCAATTAATCACTTTCTGATGATCAACCTTTATCAGTTGATCACTCTCTGATGATTCTTTCTTTGGAATCCGGAAAATTGTTTCCTGAAAATCCGGAAAATTCAGGAAAATCTGTACTATTCCGTAACCATTTTCCTGAAAATAATTTCCGTAATTCGGAAAATATGTATTTTTCCGGAAAATACATATTTTTCGGAAAATAATATTTTCCGGAACTCGGAAAAATTCAAACGGAGCCGGTCCGGCACGAGCATGGAATTCAAAATCCGGTTTTCGGATCAAGAAACTGATTTTGCCGGACATTACTAAATAGTTAGTTTTGCGTAGTTATGTGCGTGCGTAGTTTTGGGCTTGCGTAGTTTTGGCTTGCGTAGTTTCGGTCGCGTAGTTTTGGTCGCGTAGTTTTGGCCCGCGTTGTTTTGGGCGTGTCCCTTATGTTGAGGTATTTTTGCGGACGATCTCAAAATGTCCAATAGAGTAAAAATTTGCGCAACTCTCCAAATAAACACAAAATAAACGGAACGGCAAAAATTTTTAATCCCGGGGGCCTGTAATATATAATTCGAGATTCGATCTCGCGGTGATCGAATAATTTAAATTTTTGCTTTTAATTTTAAATCTTATTATTAGGTACATATTTTTGTTCAGCAAAAATATTTTTTGTTTTTATAAAAACCACCCACCAAAAGATGGAAGTCTTAGACCCACGAACTACATTAATTACCAACCAAGAGGTGTTATTCTTGCTTAACCAAGCAAAAATACAACAAAAATATAATAGAGGTTCACAAAATCATAATACAATTGTCTATGAGGCATCAAAATACTTAAATGATACTAATGCTGCTTTACAGTGTAGAGAAAATATTGTTGATTTGATTAACTCTCTCAAGAAGTTTAAGCTCACTGGAGCAGAGGTTTTCTTTTATCGTTATTTTTAATTCATATACTGCTCCCCATAACTATAACCTCACTCTAAATTTTTGAATTTCTTGATTTATACCGAATCAATCGGGCTGATTTTTAGTTAATATTAATTAAAGCAAGTAACAATTAATATAAACCCCTAAAAATTATTTTAAGATTGTACAAATCTTAAATCTCCGTCCAAAACAGGCGCTGGAAGTTCAACTGATCGTCGAAGAATGCGAAGAGAGACTTTCTGAGGAAGAATTGGATGAACTTGTAGAAACAATTTGTAGAGTTTTGCCAAAGGAAAAATAAAGTGTTTTACAAAAAATTTCTATTATAAATATTGTTGATTCAATGAGATATTTTTCGAAAATAAAAAATTTATAGTCCATTTGATTAAATGATTTTTCAGTTTGATGTCAAAAGTTTCTCTTGGGCTTGTCTTTTTATTAAGAAAATGCAGAAGTGTGGCCTGCCCACTTTCCTCTTCCTGTCTTTATACTACTTCGGGTACAGGTAATACTTGCTTTATTTGGATGTTTAATCCGTTAACGTTCTTCAAATTAGAGAGATCTGTATCGAAGATGGTTGATAAAGAATCATCATCATACTATTCAAACCTGTTTTCTTATTGGAAAACAGCTTATGATCGATTATACGGGCAACCGGAAGATTTTGTTCCTGTTACTAAAAGGTTGATTAATAAGTAAAAAATTCCTTATTTGATTTTTGCAGAAAATCGACTAGGAATGAAGAAATAATGAAAATGCAAGTTCTGGTTGATCAATTGTTTAAGGCGAAGGATGACGCTGATGCATTGAATTGTGCAATCCCTTTGAAAAACCAACTTTCACTCTTTCCATCATGTAGAGAAGCTGTTTTAAAAATTGCTGACAAAGATGTTGATTTACAAAGCTTCTAGTGAAAGGATTGAATCTTTTTAGGGACGAACACTTGTTGATTTTCTGTCTGACAAAATACAAAATGCCTCTCTTCGCGATACTGTCATGCATTGTCTTGAGCTTTGTGGTTATATTAGGCCGATAAAAAGCCATGGAATTCGCGTCCTTTCGATTGATGGAGGTTAATATTTAGAATAGACATTTGCATTTTCTTAAATTCAGTTTCCTCATTTAATTCGTTTTAAGGTGGAACGAGAGGAGTAATGGCTTTGGAATGTTTAAATGCGATCGAAGCCAGGATGGGTGGAAAAAAGGCTTGTACTTGTGCATTATCTGCTGGCTGATTTTAAAATAATGTAGTTTCGTGGTACTATCAGCCAGAGGTCGGATTTCTGGGAAAGGGAAGGGCTCTTATCCCGAATTTTTGCAAGTAAAATTTAGCTATTTTAATCTCCGTTCAAATAATGCACAAAGTGTTTTTTATTTTTGTTTTTTATATACAAAATTTAGATGCACGAATTATTTGATTTAATTGTGGGTGTCAGTACGGGCGCTGTGATTGCTACGTTAATTGGTGCTAAAAAGATGAGCATTGCAGAGGCTTTACAAACATATAGTGAAGTATCTAAAAAATTGTTTAATTATGGAATTTTTGGACGTATTTCACATACAAAAAAGAATTCACAATTATTTGAACAAATATTAAAAGAGGTACATATGAATTTAATCTTAATTTTTATTATTTTAAAGGAAATTGGTTCCGATTTTTCTCTTCTCGATTCATTTAGTGGACCAAAATTGGCAATAATATCTTGTGTAGTGAATAATAAACCTTTAATGCCTTTCTTATTTAGGTATGTTATTCTGATAAATTTTGAATTTACATAATTTTAGAAACTATGAGCATCCACCAACACATAGTAGCCATTATCGGGGAAGCACAAAATACAAAGTATATTTTGAATTCTTAATAATGCTACAGTCGTTGTTTTACGAAAATAAAATTTCGTTTTAGTTCTGGGAGGCGATTTTGGCATCCTCGGCAGCACCCACTTACTTCAAAGGAGTAAGGAAATTTGAAATATTTTACAATTTTAATATTCTTTAAACTAAACTTTTATTTTTATAATTCATTAAAACTATCTTAAGGTTATTCTTGACAACTTCGTCCATCAGGTAAAGAAATAAAACCAATAAAACTATTCTCAATTCAGGACGGCGGAGTTCTTATGAATAATCCAACAGCTATAGCTTTGCATGAGGCGCGTCAGCTTTGGCCCAGAAACCACCTGCAGTGCATAATTTCTGTTGGTAATGGAAGAGTTATGTCTAAGGTGGACCCCGAACCAGAACCATATTCTTGGAGTAAGCTATAAACTTTGTTATTATTGCCATTTACACCAGATACTCAGACACGTCTTTGAAATTGTGAAGACAAAAGCCCCATCGAATTGGCTATAATTTTTATATGTTGACCCATGCAAAAAAATTTTAATTTAAGACCTTGTGGTGTAAAAGGCAATAAGCCCCAAATTTTTTCTTTAATTATTTTATATTAGCAACGAGCGTTGATGCAATTATTGATTCAGCTACAGGTACGTTTAAGACACTCCTGATTTGATGCGGACCATTATGTATAAAATTAAAATAAATTTAAGAGACCGAGACAACCCATTACTGCATTTCGGATTTATTACCAACCAATGTTTGTAAAATATCTTTTCTAATTTCTAATCTTATTTAGATTTACTTCCGATTGAATCCATATACATCACAAGTTTATGCACTAGATACTAATAAACCCGATCTAATAGAGAAAATGCGTAGAGATGCAAAGTTATACATTCGACGGAACAGAGAAAAAATTGATGCTGCAGTCGCCCAGTTGGAAACAAAACCTTCATTTAAACAACGCATATACGTTTCAAGATTTCTGAAAATAGAGAGAAAATTTTCATGGAATAACATAAAAAATTGGATGAAAAATAAACTTCCAAATTCTTTGTTTAAAATGGTATATTAAATACTTTTTATGATAAATACAAATTTTGCGATAAAATAATTAACTAATGGATATTATTGACAACCTTTAGGTACTTACATATGTGGCCCCTAGTAATTTTTTGTTAAAAATGGTCAGTCTGTAACAGATTATAGAACTCGGAGTCGAGCTTTTCCTCCCCAAGTTTTTTCCTATAATAAATCTACAGAATGGTCAAAACTGGGGGGCCAAATAAGTGCCCAACCTTTGTTGTAAAATTTTATCAGAGCTTTTTTTTATTTATTTTTGGAGTTTTTTTTTAAAAACTCAAGGCGTTTTTGAAAACAACAGAAATTTTTAAGTATAAAATGTATATTTAAATTAATTGTTCGTATTTCCTCCAGATCCGTTTATAGGATTTGTTGTCTCCATCGCGTCAAAAAAGACCGAACTTTTCACAATTGCCGCGAGGTTCTCCAAATTAATCTGCCCCAAAATTTTGTTGTAATTTGCTTCACTTGTGTCTGAATCGGCGGGCCCATATTTAAGATTGCATAAATCAGAAAGAGTCTTGTATAAGCCCGCATTTTTAACCTTAACATTAATTTATAAATAAATTTAAAAAATTAAAACCGGCTTGATCCAATTATTTTCGACAGGCCACATGCAACGAATTAGCAACTCGCTTGTTTCTCTATCGTCCGCTAAACACATTACTTCTGAAAACTTCTTCAAGCTTAATGATGTATAAGTTCGTGCAATAAGTTCAAGCAGCTTGGCGACAAGTCTGTTCCGAATTTCGATAACATAGTGTCTAAATTTAAATCAAAATCTTAAAAGTTGCTCATGTTATTAATAACTTACTGAAGCGATTGATCATCTAGACGCGTATTTTTACAAGCTCCGAGCGCCTCAACAAGTCTTTTAGTGTATATGTGCTGACCAAAAGCCCAAACTTGCTTTATCAGCTCATTAGATCCTTCAATTCGTTCTACTGCACGTGTATAACAAAACTTTGCCTGTATTGGTTTATTCTGCACAAGATGTCCAAGAATAAGTTCGGCATATTGGTTCGGTGTAAATTTGGCACCGATTTTTAATTCTTCCATACACAATTTATTGAATTGGTTATTAGGCATTTCTTCTTGAAGCATCTCCTTTTTGATAGTCATGATAAAATGTAAAATTTTTTGGAGTAAAGAATTTTATTATTACTTTCCTAAAAATGTTTAGTAAAGTCATTCCGTTAAATATTTTCGGTCAATAAACCACCGGTAACTATCGGGACACGCCCGAATAGTCGCGGGCCGAATAGTCGCGGCCGAAAGGTCGCGACCGAATAGTCGCCGGCCGAATAGTCGCGAGGCCATATAGTCGCCGGCCGAATAGTCGCCAAGCTTTTTAATTAACACCCCCTTCCGCAAAGCCTACGCGGAAAAAAGTTTTTGCAGCTGCGGAGGAAGCCGGTCATGTCGAGCGGAACGACGGCCGCCGCTTCGCTACGGTCGCCGCGAGCGAAGCGAGCACGACCGCAGCGAAGCACGGCCATCGTGTAGCGAAGACCATGCCCGGCCTACCCTCCGTAGCAGCACAAAAACAGTTTTTCCAGCGAAGATTCAGTTGGTCATAACTTTGTTCATAATCATCTAATCGAGCTGATTTTGGTATCATTCAACTCAGCTCGTCGAGCTCTTCCGAACGCCATAGAAATTGTCCAATTTTGAGTCTGGTACGGAAACTGTAGTTAGGGGTTTTTTAATTTTGGAAAATTTTTTTGTAAAATTTTTGTTTTATAATTCAGCATGGTCCCTTTGATGGTCGTTGGACCATTCTAATTGATTATAAATCAAAATATTTAATTAAAAAGCTTGGCGACTATTCGGCCGGCGACTATATGGCCTCGCGACTATTCGGCCGGCGACTATTCGGTCGCGACTTTTCGGCCGCGACTATTCGGGCTGTACCCGTAACTATCGGGTGAGGGGCAAAATGAGGAATTCCAAAACACGGAACAGACAAAACGACAAAACGCGGTCTTACCAAAACACGAAACGACCAAAATACGGACCATACCAAAATGAGGAAAAGACAAAACACGGATATTTTAAAAATCGGAATTTTTTAAAATCAAAATATTTTTAAAATCAGAATTCTTCAGAATTTTTTTAAAATTCTGATTTTAAAAATATTCCGTGTTTTGGTCGTTCCGTGTTCCGTGTTAAAAATATTCCGTGTTTTGGTCGTTCCGTGTTCCGTGTTTTTGTCTCTTAATGTTTTGGTAGGACCATTTCCAATAACGTGGAAGATTGATCCCATCCTATATAATACCCGAAATCCGATCCGAAAAAACTAGAGTCTTGGTCTTAAGTTTTTAGGAAAGCATTATTAATAAATAAAAGTGGCAATATTTCTTAAATAACTTTAACATGGATATTTCGGCAAATTCCAATCATTACACTACGAAAGAGGAGGATGAGTTCTTTCTGTTTGCTCTTAATGTTGTCCGCGAAGCTGGAAATGTATGTATTTTCGTCAGTTTGTTTTAATAAATTTTTAGATCGTCAAAACTGCATTTGCAAAACCAGTGGGTACTGTTTACACAAAGGCGTCAGCGACTGACTTTGTTACTGAGACAGATAGAGCTGTGGAAGAATTGCTAATTGGAAAGTTATCTGCTCGTTTTCCTGATCATAAGTCCGTCTTTGATTTCTAATGTTTAGGGAATTTGACACTAATTTTAGGTTTATTGGTGAAGAGGGTGCGTCCACTGGAAAGAAATATGAGTTCACAGATGCACCGACATGGATTATTGGTTTTTTTGTCTCTCAATTAATTTAATCCACATTTAAGATCCAATTGATGGGACAACAAACTTTGTACACAGGTTCCTTATTTTGATTCATTTGATTAATTTATATTTCTCAGAGTTCCTTTTCTGGGTATTTGTGTTGGGCTTACAATTGGGAAACAACTGCGTGCTGGCATTGTATATAATCCGATCACTGATGAGCTTTATTCCGCCCAAACTGGACGGGGAGCATTCAAGAATGGTTTTCAAATACATGCTTCTTCTGCGAAAAGTATTTAGATAAATAAATTATTTAATATTTTTTAAACATTGAGGTCTCAAAGAAGCTGTCATTTGTCAGTCTCAGGGAATCCATAACATTCGCGAAAAAGGTCAAGAGTGGTTGGATCTTATGCTTGAAAATCAGCGAAAGTTAATTCTTGCTGGCATTCACGGGTCTATTTTAGATTTTTTTTGAAAATTTCTTAAATTTGCAGTAATCGTAGCTTTGGAGCTGCATCGATAAATATGGTGTATTTGGCAGAAGGTTCGATTGATGCTTATGTCGAATGCGGGTAAATTATTTAATTTAAAAATGCATAGACATTTAACATTTTTCTTAAGACTTCATTCATGGGATATGGCTGCATCCGTTGTTATTGTGCGTGAAGCAGGTGGTACTGTAATTGATCCAACAGGTTCTTATAATAATAAATTGGTACTTGTGTACTATCTGTATACCTATCTTCTCTCATCTAGTATTACAGTCGTTACTTTAACCCAGCCCATAGTTTTTTCTAATATAAAGTACCGATATAGAATTTTGTTATAATACTATCAATAAGAGAAAGTGTATACTGGTAATACACAACTACCAATAAATTTCTAATAACTTTTGAAAAAATTATCTCAAAATAGGTGTCCCGTTTGATTTGATGAGCCGTAAAGTACTTTGTGCGGGTACACCCGAATTGACCAAGGAGTTTAGTGAGCTTCTCAAGCATATGGATTTTGCACCAGAAATCTAAACATATTAGAATATGCCAATATATAACACTTTAATTTAGTCCACTGCAATTCTTTTCTTGTGTTATAAATATTAGTTTTATGTTTTTGTATCAATTGGAATAAAATTGTTTTTATTCTAAATAGTTTATATATGTTATTGGAAGATGTTCCATATTATTTTTAAAGTTATTTTCAGCATCAGGCTTTTTAATTTCGAATTTTTAAATTAGAAATTATGCAGGACGGGAGGCTAACTTTTTAAGGCCAAAACTATTCGATACACATGTTTATGTGGAATTTGAATCAGATCGATGCGGTCGGATTTTTCTGAACTAATCCGGCCCGAAGTTAATACGGAGATCACGGAAAACACCGGACTCCGGAAAAATCCAGACCGGCTGACCACTATTTAGTAGACCATTATGCCGTGAGTCATTCTTCCGCGCACTACTATTTTTAGTTAAATTTAAACGTCTGTTTATTTCGTAAAATTAGAAGGAAACAGTGTATTCTAAAAAACAAATTTATTTATAAAAAGTTCGCGGCAAATTGGTACGCGGGAGATCACGCGAGTTCATTTCTCAGCGTTTTTAATTTATTTTTAGCGAGTTAATGTTTTGCTAAGTTTTTATTTAAAGTTGTTTTATACACACATACAAATACATACTATATATTCAGACTTTTTTAGAGTTCCTATTTCTTCCGCTTTGCCGGAATTTATTTTATCTGTTGTTTGGAGACCTTTAAAAGATGGCCGATTCAGATTCAAATGACGAAATTCTTGTTAGCCAGGAAGGAAGCGATGAAGAGGATACCGGCGCAATAACAGATGATGATGTTGACGTGGCTATGCAGACTTCAAAAGCAGATGTTCCTTCTAGTTCAACTGCTACATCTGGATCTGAGAAAGATTACCAGGTACATATTTGCTTTACTTCATCATCCTATTTAATTACTTTTAGATTTTGAACCAAACTGAATTAATCGACGAGCTAAATAAAATTTCGAATGAGACTTCCGCTGTGTTGCGATATAATGGTTCTATTTGTAAAGCTTTACTTCAACAATTCAAATGGAATAAGGTCACTTTGATTGAGAGGTATTCAGTTGTGCAGGAAAACCATTTTATTTTTCTATTCAGATTCTACGAGTCGACTGATACAGATGCTTTCTTCAAAAAGGCAAATCTTTTGGACCCTAAGAAACACAAAAAGATTGAAGGAAAGTCTGACTTTTGCAAGATTTGCTGCGAGAAAAATCGCTTGATTGGTTTACTTTGTAATCATTTATTTTGTAGCGAGTGCTGGTCAAATTATCTTTCTAGCAAAGTTTTTATTTAATTTTTTTAAATACATGAATTTTCTAGATTCTTGGCGAAGGACATCCTCACATTTCTTGTCCAGAACTTAAATGTGACATTCTTGCCGATGACGAATTTGTTCTTAAAACTCTCAAGAACCCACAATCTTTGAGAGCCTATAATAAATTGGTGCTAAATTCATTTGTCGAGGTCTTATATTTTTATTTTTTTTAATTTTAAAATTATTAGGTTAATAAACTTATTAAATGGTGCCCTGCTATTGAATGTGGTCGAGCAGTTAAAGTTCCTCATGCAGAATGCCGCCGTATTGTTTGCCATTGTGGTTTTATTTTCTGCTTCCAATGCCTTCAGCAATGGCATAAACCAGTAACGTGTGATGTTCTCAGACGTTGGTTAAAGAAATGTACTGATGATAGCGAGACATCAAATTGGTTGAATGCCAACACAAAAGACTGCCCGAAATGCCAGGTACGGGTTTTTTGAATAATTATTATTTCCTGCAGTTATCGGTCAACTATCGGTAACTCTTATTTTTTGTCTATCATAAATTCATAAAAATTTTTCACAAAATTCTACATTATTTCAGGTTACTATCGAGAAAGACGGTGGATGTAATCATATGACCTGCAAAAACCTTTCTTGCAAATTCGAATTTTGTTGGATGTGCCTTGGTCCATGGTCACCTCATGGTTTATGAAAAATGTTTATTATTAATTTCATATCAGTTAACATTTCATCAGGTTCTGGCTGGTACTCTTGTAACCGTTACGATGACGATGCTGGGAAAAAAGCTCGAGATGCTCAGGAACGTTCGCGTGCTGCTTTACAACGTTATCTTCACTACTATAACCGATACTCAAACCACCATAATTCATTAAAATTAGAACGAAAGGTGATTTTTTGTTTAATAAACATTTTTTATTAGCTACTTTTCAGCTTTTTGAGAAAGTTAGTGAAAAGGTTGAGCAAATGCAACAACTTGGATTCTCATGGATTGAAACTCAGTTCTTGCAAAAAGCTGTGGAAGTGCTTGTTGAATGTAGACGCACACTTATGTATACGTAAGTAAATCTGAATATTTGCATGAACTAATCTATTTTTCAGTTATGTTTTCGCCTTCTACTTAAAGCAGAATAATATCACCAAACTTTTTGAGGATAACCAAAGTGACCTTGAACTTGCTACTGAACAGGTTATAAAAAACTTTTATAAATTTGACAGAAGTATTTAAGCTAAGCGAATATTTGGAACGAGATTTGCCTGAGGACAAAGATTTGGTGACCGTAAAGCAAAAGGTATATCTTTCGAAATTAATGAATCCTCATTACTTGTGTCTTGAATACTTTGATTTTATTTCGAAATTTTAGGTGCAAGACAAATATAGATATGTTGAACAGCGGCGACAAATTCTTCTGACACATTGTAATGAGGGCTATGAGAAGAACGAATGGGTTTTTTGTCCGGCAACACTTGACAATAAGATTGAGTTCAAGCGGGTTTAGAATATTTAACTTTTAAATGGAAATGAAAGATTTGAGGTTGAACGGACTTTTGCTGTATTTGTTTTTAAAATTAAATTTTGTTCTTTTCTCAGATGTCTGAATTTTTACCGTTCTTTAATAGTATAAATTATGTCCTGTATTTAAATTTATCCTCTTGTTTGTTGAACATCCTCACCATACGCTTTCTGCATATTTTTTAAAATATTTAATTTAAAAAATGGATTATTTTTAATTGTTTAAAAACAAAATACTTTTTGTATTACTTTAAAAATTATTTCCATACAACGATTTTGTTATTATAAAAATTATTGCTTTGTGTTTGGAAACTGACTGTTGGTTTATTGAAGATTAGAAGCAATGGGAGCTTTTTATAGCAGGCCTGAGATAAGAGGTCCAAATCCACAGTAAGTTGCAGTTTCTATATGATTCTAACTGCTTAATATTAGTACACGATCTGGCGAGCCTCCCCCTAAGCTTAATGTTTTAAAAGAAAAGGACCGGCCAGCTCATCGAGTTTATGATCCGGTTGGTTAATATTCAACTGTTTTTAATATTTTTTTATTTAGATGAGTCTTGAATTACATATGGGAGGTAAATTTTTTAACATTTTAGATATAAATTGTCAATTTTAAGATGAGCGAGTTCGTACGGCAGGATTAACACCAGCAGAACGAGATTGGCGCCAGTAAATGAATTTAAATGTCTTATTGTTAAATATGCTTAAAATTTTAGAAAATTTTTGAAAACCGAGCAATTGCATCCTGACGAGCCAATTCATGTGGACGCCGTGCACCGGTCTGTTTTAAGTTTCAATCTTTTGGTAGAATAATAATTTTTATTTATGTGGCTAATTGGGATTTATTAAAAATATTTTCGCATATCGGCCCGTCCATTCATTTCTTTAGGGTTATTTAAACTAAAAATTTATATTTTAGACAAATGAATCCTGTTCGAGTTATTTATCGAATGCCTTGGGATTACCTCTACAAGCATTTCCTTCGTCCAACTTTTGGAGCATACCGAGCTACAATTATTCGTGCTTATGTGCCAAGAGTTATGATTTTATGGACTGTTGCTCTCTGTGGGCATTATTATTGGAAATACGAATTGAAGGTAGATATACTCGATTATTTATTTCTACATTCAGACGTGGGAACGAGCTCTTGGTGTTGCACCTTTCTACATGTTGCAAGATTATGATTTATATAGTGATGAACATGATGAACAATCTGTTCGTGTGGGATTACCAAGGTAAATTTTTAAAAGAGAATTGTTATAGAAATTCAATTTTTAGGCCAGATCTTTATCATTTTTTTGATCGTGAATTTGTCCATCGCATTCAAAAATTTCCTATTGGTGAGACAAACAGACCTTGGTAGTTTAGATGTGAATTAAATGTTTGGATAAATTTGAATAATTGTAATATTTTAGGTTGTCTTGTTTTAGTAAAAATAAAGTTTTTGCTTTTAAAGTTAATGTTTTATTTTTTAATTTCAATTAGTAAATTAACAGGGATTATTTTTATTTAATTTTTGAATAACCTTTTGTTTTTAATGGTGATAGAAATTTTCATTTTTTAAACGAATTTGAAGATAAATTGAGAATTTTTCTGCTAAATGGGTTTTCTCTCGGCAGAAAGGAGCATTATTAAATTTGGACAAAAAAGAAGATTAAGTGATTTAACACGCAATAATTTGAAGATGCCAGGCTCTACTAAAACAGATGGAATAACTAAAAATAAAATGAAGAAATATTTTCTTTTTGTTTGTTTTTTACCAAAAAACAAACCTCATTTAATTCGTTTTAAGGTGGAACGAGAGGAGTAATGGCTTTGGAATGTTTAAATGCGATCGAAGCCAGGATGGGTGGAAAAAAGGCTTGTACTTGTGCATTATCTGCTGGCTGATTTTAAAATAATGTAGTTTCGTGGTACTATCAGCCAGAGGTCGGATTTCTGGGAAAGGGAAGGGCTCTTATCCCGAATTTTTGCAAGTAAAATTTAGCTATTTTAATCTCCGTTCAAATAATGCACAAAGTGTTTTTTATTTTTGTTTTTTATATACAAAATTTAGATGCACGAATTATTTGATTTAATTGTGGGTGTCAGTACGGGCGCTGTGATTGCTACGTTAATTGGTGCTAAAAAGATGAGCATTGCAGAGGCTTTACAAACATATAGTGAAGTATCTAAAAAATTGTTTAATTATGGAATTTTTGGACGTATTTCACATACAAAAAAGAATTCACAATTATTTGAACAAATATTAAAAGAGGTACATATGAATTTAATCTTAATTTTTATTATTTTAAAGGAAATTGGTTCCGATTTTTCTCTTCTCGATTCATTTAGTGGACCAAAATTGGCAATAATATCTTGTGTAGTGAATAATAAACCTTTAATGCCTTTCTTATTTAGGTATGTTATTCTGATAAATTTTGAATTTACATAATTTTAGAAACTATGAGCATCCACCAACACATAGTAGCCATTATCGGGGAAGCACAAAATACAAAGTATATTTTGAATTCTTAATAATGCTACAGTCGTTGTTTTACGAAAATAAAATTTCGTTTTAGTTCTGGGAGGCGATTTTGGCATCCTCGGCAGCACCCACTTACTTCAAAGGAGTAAGGAAATTTGAAATATTTTACAATTTTAATATTCTTTAAACTAAACTTTTATTTTTATAATTCATTAAAACTATCTTAAGGTTATTCTTGACAACTTCGTCCATCAGGTAAAGAAATAAAACCAATAAAACTATTCTCAATTCAGGACGGCGGAGTTCTTATGAATAATCCAACAGCTATAGCTTTGCATGAGGCGCGTCAGCTTTGGCCCAGAAACCACCTGCAGTGCATAATTTCTGTTGGTAATGGAAGAGTTATGTCTAAGGTGGACCCCGAACCAGAACCATATTCTTGGAGTAAGCTATAAACTTTGTTATTATTGCCATTTACACCAGATACTCAGACACGTCTTTGAAATTGTGAAGACAAAAGCCCCATCGAATTGGCTATAATTTTTATATGTTGACCCATGCAAAAAAATTTTAATTTAAGACCTTGTGGTGTAAAAGGCAATAAGCCCCAAATTTTTTCTTTAATTATTTTATATTAGCAACGAGCGTTGATGCAATTATTGATTCAGCTACAGGTACGTTTAAGACACTCCTGATTTGATGCGGACCATTATGTATAAAATTAAAATAAATTTAAGAGACCGAGACAACCCATTACTGCATTTCGGATTTATTACCAACCAATGTTTGTAAAATATCTTTTCTAATTTCTAATCTTATTTAGATTTACTTCCGATTGAATCCATATACATCACAAGTTTATGCACTAGATACTAATAAACCCGATCTAATAGAGAAAATGCGTAGAGATGCAAAGTTATACATTCGACGGAACAGAGAAAAAATTGATGCTGCAGTCGCCCAGTTGGAAACAAAACCTTCATTTAAACAACGCATATACGTTTCAAGATTTCTGAAAATAGAGAGAAAATTTTCATGGAATAACATAAAAAATTGGATGAAAAATAAACTTCCAAATTCTTTGTTTAAAATGGTATATTAAATACTTTTTATGATAAATACAAATTTTGCGATAAAATAATTAACTAATGGATATTATTGACAACCTTTAGGTACTTACATATGTGGCCCCTAGTAATTTTTTGTTAAAAATGGTCAGTCTGTAACAGATTATAGAACTCGGAGTCGAGCTTTTCCTCCCCAAGTTTTTTCCTATAATAAATCTACAGAATGGTCAAAACTGGGGGGCCAAATAAGTGCCCAACCTTTGTTGTAAAATTTTATCAGAGCTTTTTTTTATTTATTTTTGGAGTTTTTTTTTAAAAACTCAAGGCGTTTTTGAAAACAACAGAAATTTTTAAGTATAAAATGTATATTTAAATTAATTGTTCGTATTTCCTCCAGATCCGTTTATAGGATTTGTTGTCTCCATCGCGTCAAAAAAGACCGAACTTTTCACAATTGCCGCGAGGTTCTCCAAATTAATCTGCCCCAAAATTTTGTTGTAATTTGCTTCACTTGTGTCTGAATCGGCGGGCCCATATTTAAGATTGCATAAATCAGAAAGAGTCTTGTATAAGCCCGCATTTTTAACCTTAACATTAATTTATAAATAAATTTAAAAAATTAAAACCGGCTTGATCCAATTATTTTCGACAGGCCACATGCAACGAATTAGCAACTCGCTTGTTTCTCTATCGTCCGCTAAACACATTACTTCTGAAAACTTCTTCAAGCTTAATGATGTATAAGTTCGTGCAATAAGTTCAAGCAGCTTGGCGACAAGTCTGTTCCGAATTTCGATAACATAGTGTCTAAATTTAAATCAAAATCTTAAAAGTTGCTCATGTTATTAATAACTTACTGAAGCGATTGATCATCTAGACGCGTATTTTTACAAGCTCCGAGCGCCTCAACAAGTCTTTTAGTGTATATGTGCTGACCAAAAGCCCAAACTTGCTTTATCAGCTCATTAGATCCTTCAATTCGTTCTACTGCACGTGTATAACAAAACTTTGCCTGTATTGGTTTATTCTGCACAAGATGTCCAAGAATAAGTTCGGCATATTGGTTCGGTGTAAATTTGGCACCGATTTTTAATTCTTCCATACACAATTTATTGAATTGGTTATTAGGCATTTCTTCTTGAAGCATCTCCTTTTTGATAGTCATGATAAAATGTAAAATTTTTTGGAGTAAAGAATTTTATTATTACTTTCCTAAAAATGTTTAGTAAAGTCATTCCGTTAAATATTTTCGGTCAATAAACCACCGGTAACTATCGGGACACGCCCGAATAGTCGCGGGCCGAATAGTCGCGGCCGAAAGGTCGCGACCGAATAGTCGCCGGCCGAATAGTCGCGAGGCCATATAGTCGCCGGCCGAATAGTCGCCAAGCTTTTTAATTAACACCCCCTTCCGCAAAGCCTACGCGGAAAAAAGTTTTTGCAGCTGCGGAGGAAGCCGGTCATGTCGAGCGGAACGACGGCCGCCGCTTCGCTACGGTCGCCGCGAGCGAAGCGAGCACGACCGCAGCGAAGCACGGCCATCGTGTAGCGAAGACCATGCCCGGCCTACCCTCCGTAGCAGCACAAAAACAGTTTTTCCAGCGAAGATTCAGTTGGTCATAACTTTGTTCATAATCATCTAATCGAGCTGATTTTGGTATCATTCAACTCAGCTCGTCGAGCTCTTCCGAACGCCATAGAAATTGTCCAATTTTGAGTCTGGTACGGAAACTGTAGTTAGGGGTTTTTTAATTTTGGAAAATTTTTTTGTAAAATTTTTGTTTTATAATTCAGCATGGTCCCTTTGATGGTCGTTGGACCATTCTAATTGATTATAAATCAAAATATTTAATTAAAAAGCTTGGCGACTATTCGGCCGGCGACTATATGGCCTCGCGACTATTCGGCCGGCGACTATTCGGTCGCGACTTTTCGGCCGCGACTATTCGGGCTGTACCCGTAACTATCGGGTGAGGGGCAAAATGAGGAATTCCAAAACACGGAACAGACAAAACGACAAAACGCGGTCTTACCAAAACACGAAACGACCAAAATACGGACCATACCAAAATGAGGAAAAGACAAAACACGGATATTTTAAAAATCGGAATTTTTTAAAATCAAAATATTTTTAAAATCAGAATTCTTCAGAATTTTTTTAAAATTCTGATTTTAAAAATATTCCGTGTTTTGGTCGTTCCGTGTTCCGTGTTAAAAATATTCCGTGTTTTGGTCGTTCCGTGTTCCGTGTTTTTGTCTCTTAATGTTTTGGTAGGACCATTTCCAATAACGTGGAAGATTGATCCCATCCTATATAATACCCGAAATCCGATCCGAAAAAACTAGAGTCTTGGTCTTAAGTTTTTAGGAAAGCATTATTAATAAATAAAAGTGGCAATATTTCTTAAATAACTTTAACATGGATATTTCGGCAAATTCCAATCATTACACTACGAAAGAGGAGGATGAGTTCTTTCTGTTTGCTCTTAATGTTGTCCGCGAAGCTGGAAATGTATGTATTTTCGTCAGTTTGTTTTAATAAATTTTTAGATCGTCAAAACTGCATTTGCAAAACCAGTGGGTACTGTTTACACAAAGGCGTCAGCGACTGACTTTGTTACTGAGACAGATAGAGCTGTGGAAGAATTGCTAATTGGAAAGTTATCTGCTCGTTTTCCTGATCATAAGTCCGTCTTTGATTTCTAATGTTTAGGGAATTTGACACTAATTTTAGGTTTATTGGTGAAGAGGGTGCGTCCACTGGAAAGAAATATGAGTTCACAGATGCACCGACATGGATTATTGGTTTTTTTGTCTCTCAATTAATTTAATCCACATTTAAGATCCAATTGATGGGACAACAAACTTTGTACACAGGTTCCTTATTTTGATTCATTTGATTAATTTATATTTCTCAGAGTTCCTTTTCTGGGTATTTGTGTTGGGCTTACAATTGGGAAACAACTGCGTGCTGGCATTGTATATAATCCGATCACTGATGAGCTTTATTCCGCCCAAACTGGACGGGGAGCATTCAAGAATGGTTTTCAAATACATGCTTCTTCTGCGAAAAGTATTTAGATAAATAAATTATTTAATATTTTTTAAACATTGAGGTCTCAAAGAAGCTGTCATTTGTCAGTCTCAGGGAATCCATAACATTCGCGAAAAAGGTCAAGAGTGGTTGGATCTTATGCTTGAAAATCAGCGAAAGTTAATTCTTGCTGGCATTCACGGGTCTATTTTAGATTTTTTTTGAAAATTTCTTAAATTTGCAGTAATCGTAGCTTTGGAGCTGCATCGATAAATATGGTGTATTTGGCAGAAGGTTCGATTGATGCTTATGTCGAATGCGGGTAAATTATTTAATTTAAAAATGCATAGACATTTAACATTTTTCTTAAGACTTCATTCATGGGATATGGCTGCATCCGTTGTTATTGTGCGTGAAGCAGGTGGTACTGTAATTGATCCAACAGGTTCTTATAATAATAAATTGGTACTTGTGTACTATCTGTATACCTATCTTCTCTCATCTAGTATTACAGTCGTTACTTTAACCCAGCCCATAGTTTTTTCTAATATAAAGTACCGATATAGAATTTTGTTATAATACTATCAATAAGAGAAAGTGTATACTGGTAATACACAACTACCAATAAATTTCTAATAACTTTTGAAAAAATTATCTCAAAATAGGTGTCCCGTTTGATTTGATGAGCCGTAAAGTACTTTGTGCGGGTACACCCGAATTGACCAAGGAGTTTAGTGAGCTTCTCAAGCATATGGATTTTGCACCAGAAATCTAAACATATTAGAATATGCCAATATATAACACTTTAATTTAGTCCACTGCAATTCTTTTCTTGTGTTATAAATATTAGTTTTATGTTTTTGTATCAATTGGAATAAAATTGTTTTTATTCTAAATAGTTTATATATGTTATTGGAAGATGTTCCATATTATTTTTAAAGTTATTTTCAGCATCAGGCTTTTTAATTTCGAATTTTTAAATTAGAAATTATGCAGGACGGGAGGCTAACTTTTTAAGGCCAAAACTATTCGATACACATGTTTATGTGGAATTTGAATCAGATCGATGCGGTCGGATTTTTCTGAACTAATCCGGCCCGAAGTTAATACGGAGATCACGGAAAACACCGGACTCCGGAAAAATCCAGACCGGCTGACCACTATTTAGTAGACCATTATGCCGTGAGTCATTCTTCCGCGCACTACTATTTTTAGTTAAATTTAAACGTCTGTTTATTTCGTAAAATTAGAAGGAAACAGTGTATTCTAAAAAACAAATTTATTTATAAAAAGTTCGCGGCAAATTGGTACGCGGGAGATCACGCGAGTTCATTTCTCAGCGTTTTTAATTTATTTTTAGCGAGTTAATGTTTTGCTAAGTTTTTATTTAAAGTTGTTTTATACACACATACAAATACATACTATATATTCAGACTTTTTTAGAGTTCCTATTTCTTCCGCTTTGCCGGAATTTATTTTATCTGTTGTTTGGAGACCTTTAAAAGATGGCCGATTCAGATTCAAATGACGAAATTCTTGTTAGCCAGGAAGGAAGCGATGAAGAGGATACCGGCGCAATAACAGATGATGATGTTGACGTGGCTATGCAGACTTCAAAAGCAGATGTTCCTTCTAGTTCAACTGCTACATCTGGATCTGAGAAAGATTACCAGGTACATATTTGCTTTACTTCATCATCCTATTTAATTACTTTTAGATTTTGAACCAAACTGAATTAATCGACGAGCTAAATAAAATTTCGAATGAGACTTCCGCTGTGTTGCGATATAATGGTTCTATTTGTAAAGCTTTACTTCAACAATTCAAATGGAATAAGGTCACTTTGATTGAGAGGTATTCAGTTGTGCAGGAAAACCATTTTATTTTTCTATTCAGATTCTACGAGTCGACTGATACAGATGCTTTCTTCAAAAAGGCAAATCTTTTGGACCCTAAGAAACACAAAAAGATTGAAGGAAAGTCTGACTTTTGCAAGATTTGCTGCGAGAAAAATCGCTTGATTGGTTTACTTTGTAATCATTTATTTTGTAGCGAGTGCTGGTCAAATTATCTTTCTAGCAAAGTTTTTATTTAATTTTTTTAAATACATGAATTTTCTAGATTCTTGGCGAAGGACATCCTCACATTTCTTGTCCAGAACTTAAATGTGACATTCTTGCCGATGACGAATTTGTTCTTAAAACTCTCAAGAACCCACAATCTTTGAGAGCCTATAATAAATTGGTGCTAAATTCATTTGTCGAGGTCTTATATTTTTATTTTTTTTAATTTTAAAATTATTAGGTTAATAAACTTATTAAATGGTGCCCTGCTATTGAATGTGGTCGAGCAGTTAAAGTTCCTCATGCAGAATGCCGCCGTATTGTTTGCCATTGTGGTTTTATTTTCTGCTTCCAATGCCTTCAGCAATGGCATAAACCAGTAACGTGTGATGTTCTCAGACGTTGGTTAAAGAAATGTACTGATGATAGCGAGACATCAAATTGGTTGAATGCCAACACAAAAGACTGCCCGAAATGCCAGGTACGGGTTTTTTGAATAATTATTATTTCCTGCAGTTATCGGTCAACTATCGGTAACTCTTATTTTTTGTCTATCATAAATTCATAAAAATTTTTCACAAAATTCTACATTATTTCAGGTTACTATCGAGAAAGACGGTGGATGTAATCATATGACCTGCAAAAACCTTTCTTGCAAATTCGAATTTTGTTGGATGTGCCTTGGTCCATGGTCACCTCATGGTTTATGAAAAATGTTTATTATTAATTTCATATCAGTTAACATTTCATCAGGTTCTGGCTGGTACTCTTGTAACCGTTACGATGACGATGCTGGGAAAAAAGCTCGAGATGCTCAGGAACGTTCGCGTGCTGCTTTACAACGTTATCTTCACTACTATAACCGATACTCAAACCACCATAATTCATTAAAATTAGAACGAAAGGTGATTTTTTGTTTAATAAACATTTTTTATTAGCTACTTTTCAGCTTTTTGAGAAAGTTAGTGAAAAGGTTGAGCAAATGCAACAACTTGGATTCTCATGGATTGAAACTCAGTTCTTGCAAAAAGCTGTGGAAGTGCTTGTTGAATGTAGACGCACACTTATGTATACGTAAGTAAATCTGAATATTTGCATGAACTAATCTATTTTTCAGTTATGTTTTCGCCTTCTACTTAAAGCAGAATAATATCACCAAACTTTTTGAGGATAACCAAAGTGACCTTGAACTTGCTACTGAACAGGTTATAAAAAACTTTTATAAATTTGACAGAAGTATTTAAGCTAAGCGAATATTTGGAACGAGATTTGCCTGAGGACAAAGATTTGGTGACCGTAAAGCAAAAGGTATATCTTTCGAAATTAATGAATCCTCATTACTTGTGTCTTGAATACTTTGATTTTATTTCGAAATTTTAGGTGCAAGACAAATATAGATATGTTGAACAGCGGCGACAAATTCTTCTGACACATTGTAATGAGGGCTATGAGAAGAACGAATGGGTTTTTTGTCCGGCAACACTTGACAATAAGATTGAGTTCAAGCGGGTTTAGAATATTTAACTTTTAAATGGAAATGAAAGATTTGAGGTTGAACGGACTTTTGCTGTATTTGTTTTTAAAATTAAATTTTGTTCTTTTCTCAGATGTCTGAATTTTTACCGTTCTTTAATAGTATAAATTATGTCCTGTATTTAAATTTATCCTCTTGTTTGTTGAACATCCTCACCATACGCTTTCTGCATATTTTTTAAAATATTTAATTTAAAAAATGGATTATTTTTAATTGTTTAAAAACAAAATACTTTTTGTATTACTTTAAAAATTATTTCCATACAACGATTTTGTTATTATAAAAATTATTGCTTTGTGTTTGGAAACTGACTGTTGGTTTATTGAAGATTAGAAGCAATGGGAGCTTTTTATAGCAGGCCTGAGATAAGAGGTCCAAATCCACAGTAAGTTGCAGTTTCTATATGATTCTAACTGCTTAATATTAGTACACGATCTGGCGAGCCTCCCCCTAAGCTTAATGTTTTAAAAGAAAAGGACCGGCCAGCTCATCGAGTTTATGATCCGGTTGGTTAATATTCAACTGTTTTTAATATTTTTTTATTTAGATGAGTCTTGAATTACATATGGGAGGTAAATTTTTTAACATTTTAGATATAAATTGTCAATTTTAAGATGAGCGAGTTCGTACGGCAGGATTAACACCAGCAGAACGAGATTGGCGCCAGTAAATGAATTTAAATGTCTTATTGTTAAATATGCTTAAAATTTTAGAAAATTTTTGAAAACCGAGCAATTGCATCCTGACGAGCCAATTCATGTGGACGCCGTGCACCGGTCTGTTTTAAGTTTCAATCTTTTGGTAGAATAATAATTTTTATTTATGTGGCTAATTGGGATTTATTAAAAATATTTTCGCATATCGGCCCGTCCATTCATTTCTTTAGGGTTATTTAAACTAAAAATTTATATTTTAGACAAATGAATCCTGTTCGAGTTATTTATCGAATGCCTTGGGATTACCTCTACAAGCATTTCCTTCGTCCAACTTTTGGAGCATACCGAGCTACAATTATTCGTGCTTATGTGCCAAGAGTTATGATTTTATGGACTGTTGCTCTCTGTGGGCATTATTATTGGAAATACGAATTGAAGGTAGATATACTCGATTATTTATTTCTACATTCAGACGTGGGAACGAGCTCTTGGTGTTGCACCTTTCTACATGTTGCAAGATTATGATTTATATAGTGATGAACATGATGAACAATCTGTTCGTGTGGGATTACCAAGGTAAATTTTTAAAAGAGAATTGTTATAGAAATTCAATTTTTAGGCCAGATCTTTATCATTTTTTTGATCGTGAATTTGTCCATCGCATTCAAAAATTTCCTATTGGTGAGACAAACAGACCTTGGTAGTTTAGATGTGAATTAAATGTTTGGATAAATTTGAATAATTGTAATATTTTAGGTTGTCTTGTTTTAGTAAAAATAAAGTTTTTGCTTTTAAAGTTAATGTTTTATTTTTTAATTTCAATTAGTAAATTAACAGGGATTATTTTTATTTAATTTTTGAATAACCTTTTGTTTTTAATGGTGATAGAAATTTTCATTTTTTAAACGAATTTGAAGATAAATTGAGAATTTTTCTGCTAAATGGGTTTTCTCTCGGCAGAAAGGAGCATTATTAAATTTGGACAAAAAAGAAGATTAAGTGATTTAACACGCAATAATTTGAAGATGCCAGGCTCTACTAAAACAGATGGAATAACTAAAAATAAAATGAAGAAATATTTTCTTTTTGTTTGTTTTTTACCAAAAAAATTTTTAAACTATCTAGATTTTTAGGTTGTGCCTGCAACAACATTTTGCTTAGGCTGTTGGCAATGGAAAAGGCATATTTGGAAGACAAATTTAATTGAAAAAATTCGTTCGGGAATGAAGGAAGAACCAATTGAATTTCCGATTGATGAGTTTAGTTTTCAATATTAAATTTTTATTTTTTTTTTGGTTTCAGCCTCTCACAACTTGAACAATTAGAATATAGAAAAGTACATGTTAAAGGAATGTATTTGTTCCAAAAGCAGTTTGTCATTCGTTGGAGAGGTCGTTTAGATCTCAAAGAAAATGATCCACAAAACGACAATTTAATTCAGAGGAATTGGTCTTCAACATTAAACAATAATGGTGCCCAAGTAATAACGCCTTTTAAAATTTCTGGAACCGAGTAATAATTAATATTTTTGATAATATTAAAAAAAATTCTTATAGTCAGGTGATAATGATTAATAGAGGATGGATCCCAGCCGAGAGGATAGAATATGAACTTAATGAAGGAAGACAAAGGAAGCCTATTGAAAAAGATATCACTGGAACAGTAAGGAGATCAGAAATGGTGAATTAAAAAATAATCACATTTATATGTATATAACGAGAAGATTGAAAGTCAATTTTGAGCCGGAATGAGCCGAAATCTTAGGTATATGTCAGCGGTAAATTTTAATCTCATTGTCGGGCAAATTCTTAATTTGTCTGAGAGTACAGCTGACATGTATTCTATTTATAAATAAAAGCTGAAATTCCGTTAGTTTTATCCGATTTTAATGTTCTCTCTTTTATAGCCTCATCAGTTTCTTAATAATCAACCAAACAAAAATATATGGGTATACAAAGATTTGAAGCAAATGGCTAATCATTGTGATGCATCACCAATCCTTATAGACGTTGATAAATCTCTATTTAACGAAGGAAATTTTGAACCGATTGGAAGCCAAACAAACATTGCACTGAGAAATCAACATTTTAATTACATGCTACAATGGTTTGAATTTTTAGTTGGACCAGCCCTTAAAGTTTTAATACTGTTTGGGACCCCCGACAACCTATTAATTAGTAAAATTGATTTGAATAAGTTAATAGAAGGTGAACCTTAAAATTTTACAGAATAAAGGGTAAACTAGGAAAAATTGGAAAATATACTAGGTTCAAAATTATCAATATTTTAATTAATCTTAATTTTAAAATTAAAATAGAAAATTTCAGGTTCTCATTGTCTGCAGTTACATTAATTATGTGGATTTCAAAAGTTTTATGATTTAGTGTTTTGTTGATGATTCTAAATGTTACATATTTATAATTATGAACATGTATATTTATAAAAAGAATTTTATTTAATGTAGTATTTTCGATTTTATGTAACTATCATAAGATAAAAATACCTATATGCCGTGTCCGGTAGTTTCGTCAGAATCCCTTTTCGTCAGTAATATGTCATTTTTAAAAATCCGCCTAATTAAAGGCCTAATTCCTGGAACAACTTTTCAGGATATTTGAACGTTTCAGGTCGTTAGAACAATTTACAGTTTGCTTGGAACTTTTAAGTTATGTTAGAAATGTAAGAAAAAACTTTTCGCTTATGTTAGAAATGTTTGCGCCTTAGCAATCCGCGCCATAACGGTCCTCCCATAGGTCGCTCTATATTTATAACTTGCTATTTCGTGAAATATTTGATCAGAATTTACTGACTAATGTTATAAGCATTATTCCATCAAATTGCTTTTCTAAGTTATCTCTTAGATTGGTGATCGGCTGTGCTTTCTGTTAATTGTATTTTAACAAGAGTTGGCAGAATTACAATACTGGGATACTATAACAGCATTTTTCCAAAAAAAAGAATTTTTAACTATTGCCGAGAGTAATCCATTATTTTAGTCGAGTCTTATACCATTTGTTTTTTAACTTGTAAGTAGAATAATTTTTAAATTGTTTAGATCAGTTGGTTTATAATGGATATGTCTTTTGATTTTGATGTTAAGATAAAGTCAGAATTTGAAGAACAAAAGATTACTGGACGCGAAATAGTTCAAGGATATCTACAGGTTAACAAATTAATAATTATTATGATTATCATTAAATTATCATTAATTGATTATCAATTACTCGTCAATTTAGTATTTTTAGGGGATCTTTAATATATTTTCATATTTAAGCTAAAACCTGAGGCTGTTGCCAAATATTTGGGACTTCAAGAAGCTCTAAAAACTTTTGAAAAATGGCCAGAATCTTCCAAAATAAATTTTATTCAACAGGTTTTTAATAGAGTATTTAATGTTAAATAACTTAATTTTTTAAGTTTGCTGATATGTATGATGTTCTTGATGAACGATTTCACGAATTGATTCAACAATTTTGTGTAAGTTTATTTAAACTACTTATTTACTTTTTTCTTTAACAGAAAATTCATTGGGTTGATGTTCCTTTGTCGATTCGTGATCGTTTTGTTGAATTTTTAATTACATTAGCTATATTTCAAATTAACCATATTGAAGAAGTTTTTACTTCATTTGTTACACATTTACTACCAATCCAAAAAAAGGAAACTTGTATAGATTCTCAAGAACAAGAGGCATTGTACAAATTGGCTTTTAAATCAATTCAGAGAGTTGTTACTTGCAATAAATTGTTTGTATTTTTTAGTTAAAAAAGGAAAAAAATTTTTTTATTAAAATAGAAGTAATCGTGTACTTGTAAAATATTGTGTTCGTTTATTCCCTCACGTAAGACAACCAGCAGATAAAATGCTTCCATTTGTATGTAATTTAATTAAACTAGCAGAGCAAAGTAATGATGAAGATACAAGAATCGAAATTTGGTCATTAATTATTGATAGATTATTACAATTAGATGTTTGTTTATAAAAAAATTTTTCTAATTAATTTTAAATTTAATTTTAGGCGGCGATAACTGATTTACATGATGAGGAAAGCCGATTAAGTTTTTGCAATAATACCAATGATTCTTTAAATGTAAGGCAATTTATTTTATTAATGAATATAAAGGGGTTTTTTGGGGGTATTTTGCATTGTGCTTCTATCTAGGATGGGAGCCTTCACTTTCTAGTTGCTAAAATTTTTCCCAGTTACCCGGTCCAAAAAACTCTGGATCAGAAACGAGTACTGAAAATCGACCGGCCAGAACTGGGAATCCCTGTTCTCGCTTTCATTCCGGCATCTCCAAAAACCGGGAAATGATGAGGGAAAAGCCGGATCTCGTTCCTAACTCTAGTCTATTCATTTACTTTTCTGGTATGTCAAACGTCACTTCATCATGATAATTATAAATATATTTGTTTTTTAGAATTGTTTTCCAAGTCCGGCAAATGACTCGAATATTATAATAGAATCAATAGTTGAAGAAAAACAACCAATAGAAAATCCAATGGAAGCAAAACTTGATCAATTTGTTGCGCTTATTCTTTTATTTGTTGGTACAAAGGGGGAAAAATTAGCTGAGGAAGTTATTCAACAAATAATTAATAAAGAAACAGGTACACAAATATTTTAAAAGAATTTATAAAATTTATTTTAGATAAAAATTTTGAAGGATTATTAAGATTTTTGATTTCGAAAAATGAAGAGGAGGAAATTAATAATCAAAATAATAATAAAAGAAAGAAAAAGCCTTTTTGCACAATTTTCCAATTATTTCTTGAAGGATTTGATGAACACGTTTTAACAGCAACTGGAGTACATTCAACACCTTTTGTTTGGTTTTACCTTTGCAGTCTTTCTAATGTCTGAGAAAATATTTTTAGAAAAATATTTTTCTTAATTTTTATTTTAAAGGAGAATTGTCAAAAAATGTTAGAATTTTTGTGGGAAGTAATTCGTACACCAATTGAACGTGGGGATTGGAGAAAATCACAAAATGCAGCTACTTTTTTGTGTGGATTTTTAGCACGAGCAAATTATATTGATTTGGAGTAAAAATTAATTTAATTTTAATTCTAAATTTAAGCAAAAATTTGTTCCAAAAAAGAAATAAATTTAATTAAATACCTGAGACTTTTTGATAAAAACCACAAGGAACCACAATGTTTTACATAATTTAAAATTTTTTTTATAGATTTGTTTGTTCCTGGATAAACACAATATCTAATTGGTGTTTTAATTATATTTTGGAAAATTCAAAAGAAATTTCTAAAAGAAACATTGCTGTTAACACAAAAATGGTTCAACATGGAATTTTTTATTCAACAGTACAAGCACTTTTATTTGTTTTTTGTTATCGTTATGAAGAATTAAATAAAGAAGAAAATAGTTAAATTTAAATAAACAAATTTAAAAAATATTTCCTTTTTAGGTTTAAACCAATTTAATTTATGGAATTTAGACAAAATTGTTTTTAATTCATTAAATCCATTACAACATATTTCTCAAGGTGTTGCTTTGTGTTTTTTGAATTTGGCTAGGTTAATTATTTGGATTTTTTGAAAATTTAATTTTACTTTTTAGACGTTTTAATTTATTTGAGAAAAACACAGATAATTCATTATCACCCAAAACTCATTCAATGGCAGAAATATCATTAAAACGTAGAAGGGCTGTTATTGATTTGTTTTTTCCTTTTAGTTTTTGTTCATTAAAAATGTAAAAATTTTTTAGATTTTTTTAAAATAATTTTTTTAATTAAAAAAAGATGTTCTCCATTAATATTTCCATTAATGAGGCGTTTTACCCCTTTGGAGAAACTTTGTAAAAATGTTATAATTGATGAGGATGAAGAAGATATTGATGAAGAAGTTGAACAACAACAACAAAATAATTGTATTGAAGAAAATGAAAGAGAAAATATTTTGCCGATAGATGAGGGGTATGAAGAGGAATTAATGTGTTTACAATCTGTTAATGAATTTAATAATTATAATAATAATAATATAATTTTTGAAAGTAATACTGAAGAACAACAAGAAATGGAGATTTAAAAAGATTTTTGTTATTTTAAATAATTGTTGTTTAATTTGGAAAGTTTTGATTGTTAATGAAATGTTGTTGTTGTTATTGTTCTTTGTTAAAAAGTTTGTGTAAAGTTTTTAAAATATTGTTTTAATTTTTAAAATTTAATTGGGAATGATAAACTTGATAAAAATTAGGGAGAATAATCTAAATATACTTCAAATTAATAGCTATAGGGGTCCAGATGATATTTAAGTATATTAAGAATATTTTTAAATAAATGTGTTTAAAAAAATTTATTGAGCAAAATAATAGTGTTTTTAAAAAGCAAAATGTATAATAAATTTGGGAAACAATTATTTGAAAGAAACAAAAAAATAATTTGATTGAAAAAGGATATGTTCTTTTCAAAGAAATTTTGGATTAAAATTATTATTATTAATTCCCGTTTTGTAATATTGTTGAATATTTGTTGGAAGAGGTGGGGGTGGTGGTGGAGGTAATTGAAGTTGGGTATTGTCTTGCCCTCCCGGTGATGTTTTTCGAATTGAATTTCTGCTTGGTAAAGAAGTTGAGTCCTCATTAGAAAAGTATTGAAAATACTGAAAAATAATTTATATTTTTTTATTAATTTTAAAAATTAATTTTAAAATTACAGCATCTTCAATCCATTTAAAAATATGTACATTATAAGGAACATATGGCTGTCTTTAAATTAAAAATATATTATATATGTATAATTAAAATTTAATTAATTAATTTACTTACCTTAATAATTGTTCTTGTACTTCCAAAAAACGTTTTAAATCTTCTAAAGTAATTCTTTCTTTACTTCCTCTTTAAAACAAATTACATAGTATTTAAATTAATTAATATAATTTACCTAATCTTTTTCATTGCAGAAATTATTTTCATAGCTTCTCTCATATCTCTACTAAAATTAAATAAATATTTTTATTTAATTTCTATTTTTATTAAATTACCTCAATCCATGTATTCCATGTATTTCACGAATTTTTCTGCCAAAGTAATGAAGTTTAGTAAATGTTTTCTTTAATGTTGATGAACATAAATCGAGTGATGCTATTTTTGAATTAATTTAAAGTATATTTTTAAATTAAATTACCAGTAATTACAGCTAATCCAATAATAACATAAAGAATAACCAACTTAATTTACAATTTAATTTAAAATAAAAATAAACAAAAACTTACAATTAAATATATTCTACTTGTTACACAAATATTCCCTAAACCAATTGTTGTTATTGTATTAAAAGAGAAAAAAAGTCCGTGAATAAATGACCTTTAATTAAATAAATATTTTTTAATTTAATTTTAATTTATTTTAATTTACCAAACAGCCCCTCTTTCCCAAGCATTAAATAAAGCACTTCCAATAGCACAATAACCAACAACTAAAGCAAAATAACTAAATATAGGTAATTGTAGCCGTTCTCTTTCTTCATCATCTTCTTCGTCTTCATCATCTTCACCATTATTTAAACGACGTCGACGTTGTTTTCGATGTTCTCTCCATTTTCTTTTTTAAAAATTATTTCTTTTTCAAATTACTTCCCTTACCTAGATTCAATAGATTCATCATCTGGCTGAACAATAAAATCCCTTATTGTGTCTGCAATGGAAGCTAACCAAGTAAATAATGCTAATATTTTTCCATAAGTTTTGATAACTAAATCTGAAAGAAATTTCCCAATATCCGCGGCTGTAATAAACATTAAAGGAATTCCTAATAGTCCATACAAAACTTTAAATAATTATTTAAAATTATTTTTAAAGTTTTTAGTACCAGTAAATATTCTTCCAGCATCAGTTAAAGGGGTTAAATGATCATATCCTTTTTAATTAAAAATAATTAAAAAATATTTTTTTATGTTAAGCACCTGTAGATGTAATAACAGTTAATGCATACAAACTAGAAGCAGCAAAAGTCCACTAAAAAAATATTTAAATTTAAATTAATATTTTTTTGTGTTCACTTTTGTGTTTAAACTTTTCTCAGAATCTGTCCACATTTGTGCTTCTGGAGTAAATCTTTCATCATATTCGTGTGTACGTGAAAGTACTGAAAGTAATGGGCGCATACGTCTTTCAACAGTATTTAAATTTAATGAATGAGCGCCTGCCGAATGGCAAACAGAGGAAGTTTCGTTAATTATTAAATTATCTTTTTTAAAAAGAATTATTTTTTAATTTCCAAAATTTTTTTACAAATTTGAAGTATTTGTGCCAATTTATTTCTTCTTTGTTCTAATTCATTTTCAGCTTCCAAAAATATAAAAACAATAGCCCCAAGAGAAATATAAGTAAATAAAAGAATATTTAAACCAACATGGGGCAATAGAATTTTTAAATACTTTTTAAAAAAAATATTTTTAATTAATTTATTAAATTTAAAAAATACTTTTAATATTTTTTGTAAAAAAGTTTCTCTGTCTGAAGACAACTGAAAAAATAAAATAAAAATATAAAAATTAACAATTAATTACTTGATCAGTCAATGGACCACTCATTTCATCAAAATCGTCACCGTATCTTCGTCTTAATAATTCATCATCATCCCATTTAACACCACGATGTGGACCCAACGATATTTCTAACAAAATAAAAAAAATTATTTAAATAAATTGAAAAAAACATATAAAGAATTTTTAAAATTTGTTATCATTCGACTCAGCACGACGAGCTCTTTCGAATGATATTTCAATTTCGTAACATTTTTAATGTGGAGGGTGGGGGGGGGGGGGGGGGTGGGGGGGATGTCTTAAAAAATTAAACAAAATAATTTTCAGTCATAAAGTATTTAAAATATATTTATAAACTTAAACTTCTTTTTGTTAAATATTAAAATTATAAAAATAAAATTAATTTTGATTTTTTAAAGAATTATTTTTTTAAAGAAAAATGACATAAAAATCATACAAACTTTACTCAACTAAATATTAAACCTCAACTTGTATATCTTAAAATATATTAACTATTACCATCTGACAATTCCCCTCAATTTATTTCTAAATTTAAACACACATTTTCTCCTAAAATAAATAATGTAAATAAAAGAAACATTTGTGCCGTTCCGCTAGAATTTCAAGAAAATGTATTTTTTTCTTTTACTTTTTTAAAATCTTTTTCATTAATTGTGGGAAATTCTTTCAATTAACAATTTTAATTTATTTTAAATTAAAAACTTTATTTTTTGTGTTAAATTATATTTTAAAAAATAAAATAAATGTTTTTTAAATTAAATCAGATAAGGATAATTTTAGAGGAAAAAAGCTTTAAAATGAGAGAAAATGAAGGATTTTATTTCGAAACTAAAATGTTTAAGAAATTAATACAGAACAAAATTATATCCTATAAAATATTTAATTTATATTGGTCAAAACTTTGTCTTTATTGACTGTCAATATTTATTTATTTAATAATTTAATAAAATAACTTTAATTACATATTTCAAATTAATTTATTAAACAAAATAAATTTACCAAAAGAAGGCCTCGAGCACATACTCGAACGGGGTAATGGAGGTGGCACAATGGAGGAATGTCTGGCGGCAAAGAAGCCTCCACTACTTCTATCAATTGAAGCCTCAGTAAGGCGACGAGTAAATGCAGCGGCACCAGAGGAACCCATTTTTAGAAAAACTTTTTTTGAATATTAAAGGTTAAAATTAAAGGAAATTAGTCTAAAAAATATTTAAGGAATAAAAGAAAATAAAAAATAAAAGTGATTAAAAGTATTTAAAAAAGAGTTTAGCAGCTGATTTATTATAAATACTTAAAAGCAAATGTTTTTAAAAGAGAACAAGTCTGGAAATGTTTATAAATATGAGAATAATAAATAATAACAATTGGCTTTGAAAATATTTTTTAAAGTTCCATGATGCTTGTTAACTTATTTAGTTAGGAGTGCTAAAATATGTACCACTCCCTCCCCCCTCCAATAATGGAGATTTTTTTAATAAAATCAATCTTATTAAAAAATATTCTTTTTTCTTTATCACCATCAAAAACAACAACAATTTTTTATTTTGAATTTTTTATTTGATTATTTTGATTTTATTTTGTTATTAAAATCTTTAATTTATTTTAATTTTCAAATAAAATTTCCTCACCAGCAGGTTGAAATTTATTATTTCTTTGTTGTGGTTCCATAATTGTTGATTTCTTTTGTAAATTAATAAATTGTTTATTTGGTTTTGTAAGAGAAAATAATAATTCTTCTGAATTATTTAAAGGGAAAAGTAGAGGTGGGGGAGGGGGGACAGAAGTTGTTACTTTACGTAATAACTGATTGTAATTATTTAAGGCTACATGAGCTGCTGCCGAAGAACCCATCTGGAGAATTAATATATTTTGGAAATTAAATTTATTTTTGTTAAAATTATTTTTTTTGAGAAAGGAAAATAAGGAAAAATAAAACAAAATATTTGTAAAAGAATTAGGTAAATTTAATTAATTTACAGATGGGACAATAAAATAAATTTTTAAGAGAAAAAATAAAAATATTTTCAAAAAATTATTTACAAATAGTGAATTACATATATACATATGTCTGGGTACTTTAATATTTAAAAAAAGCATGCTTAAACACTTGAAACATAAAATTATTAATTTAATTCAAAAAAGGAACAAAAAAAAGAATTTTTAGTCAATAATTTTATTGACAAAATTTTGACCAAAATTTCAATTTTTCTAAATATAAAAATAAATAAAAAAAAACAGAATCTACAATTTATAAAATAAAAAATTTAACTTTAAGTAAAAAATAAGCTTTATAAAATGACAAAAATGTGGGGAAAGTCAAAGGTCCCGAAGGGAGTTGCTTTTTGTTGTTCAAAAAAAGAACGAGACAAAACAAAAAAAAATTGAAAATATTTTTAAAGAAGAAAAGTAGAAGAGGAGGAAATATATAAATAAATAGATGAATTTGTAGAAGTTCGGAATCCCGAAATGAGATTGACTTCCAACGGTTTCTTTCAATTCATAATGTACTAAAATCGGCGCCGTGTAGTCTCGTCAAGGGTAGTTTTACTAGAGATCCTTTCCGTAGGTAATGTCCAATTTCAACTGATTACCGAACACTTTTGGTGACAGTAAAATAGAAAAAACAAAAAAAACTTTTTATCTATTACTATTTAATTTTTGACAAAAAAGCTTATTTTTTGTCTTCATTTTAGTAAAATAATGCCAACACAAATCAAAAGAGATAAACATTTTCTAAAGAAATATATATATATTATTTATATACATATTATAATTGCACGTTTCCTTTTAAAAAGAAAATATCCGCAAATTGTTTTTTTTTGCATTTAAAAAAATAAAATAATAAAATTTAGTAAAATCGGCTTTATAATAATCTTTCAATAACATAAATAAACAATTTAAAATTAATTTAGAAGTTCGAAATCCATAAATGAGATTGGCTTTCAACTGTTTCTTTTCAATTTCCAAAGTTCTTTTCAATCCTAAATGAGAATAAAAAATTAAAAAATTAACTTTATTTTTAAATTTCAATTAAATAAAAACAATTTTATAATGCCGACAAATTGTCATTTCAATCCAAAATGTTTAGGCCTTAAAATAGGTTAATTTAATTTATTTTACATTATTAATTTATTTTACACTAAAAAATTAATTTTATATTAATAAAAGAATTTATTAACAATTAAAATATTTTAATTTGTGATTATTACTGAAACAACAAATTTATTTATTTTATTTTTGCTCCTTAATTGAAAAATTAATTTAAGATTTTTTTATTATAATTTAATTTTTATTATTAAAAATTTATTTCAATCAAATAATTTTTCCAAAGTTAGTTAAAGCAGCAAAATGTTCATTCCATCAATTATATTAAACTTCTTTTTTTCTATCATCAACTTAATTACAAAATTATTTTTCAAGTTTTTTTAAAGTTAATTACCTTGTGACAGTCGAAAATAAATACTACATAGGTAGTATGTATGTAGAATAATATTTTTAAAAAATAATTACACAGCTGCTCTCTCTCTTCGTACAAATTAAATATAAATTCAATCAATGTAGAAAAGGCTGGTTATAATTATTAAGGAAAAACTTTTTTTAAATATTTAAATTTAAATATTTTCTTTTTAAATTAAAAAAATGTATTCCTCAAATAACAGTAAAACAATAAATTCCCCAACATCATCTTCTTCTTTTGATAATGAACATAAAAGAGAAACTGTAGCTACAAGTAATATTTAGTATATTACTTAAAATTTAAATATATCTTTAATTTTAGTAGCTTCTCGTCTAAATTTGGGTGAAGATCTAACTTTAGCTTATTCTTTACAAGAAGAAGAATTTCGTTTTCATTATTCAAATAATAAAGAAAAACATAAAAATTTGTCAAAAGATTTTAAATTAAGTAGACAAGAACAGATAGCTGAATTGGAAAAAGCTGAAAAAGAAAAAAAAGAAATGTTTTTTTTAATTTTTAAATTAATTTTAAATTTAAATTAAGTGCTCGTAGAGATGAAGAATTGGCATTAGAATTAACTAAAAAATTTGAATTGGAGGAAATTAAACAAAATGAACAGGCAAAAAGGGATGAGGAATTAGCTAGACAAATAGCTAATTCTGAATTTATTTCTGTCCAAAAAAGAGAAGAAAAAATATGAAAAATAATTGTGATTTTAATTTTATTTTAAATTTAAAAAATAAATAAAAATATATATTTATTTGTTTTATACTAAAAATAAATATTTGAAAAAATATTTTTATATTATTAAAAAATATAGAGGAAAATTAACATTTTAATGAAAATTAAATAAAATTAAAAAAAACTAAACTAGGCTATTCTTCATTTAATTAATGCAAAAGGTATAGGATTGGGAAGCAAATCAGAATCCTCAATTGCCCGGACTTGAGTTTTTAACCTACTCTACCTTTTGCAAGGAATTAAATATGTATGTACATAAATTATTATACAAAAATAATACAATTTATTTTTATCATTAAAATATGTAGGGGCAATTCTTTGGAAGAAAAAAAACAAAATATAAATTCTTAATTATATTTAGAGATAAAAACCCGAACAAATACAAAAAAAAATTAAATAAAAAAAATAAGTAGAAAATAATTAATTAAATGAGCAATTTAAAATAAAAGAAAATTGTTTTAATTAAATTAATTATTCTAGACAAACTGCTCTCTTTCTTTCACAAATAAAAAGCCTTTTAAATTTACAAAATTAATTTTTAAGAAAATAATATTTAATTACCGGGAGAAAAAATAAAAATAAAATTTAATTAATTTATTTATTTGAGGCAATATTGTTAATAGAAAATAAAATTTTTTGTTTATTAAATTGTTGTTGTATATTATCAAAACAAATATTTGCTAAAACTTCTTTAGGTATATGTTCACGTAATTTTGCATTTTCTGATTCTAGATGGAAAACCTTTTAATTTAAAAGAAGGAATTTATTTTTAAAAGAAAAATTACTATTTAAAATTTACATTAGATTCTAATTCAACAATTCTAGATTTAAGTAATTCAATTTCATCACGGACAGCATAAATTAAATGTGTTTTTACCAAATCCTGATTAAAATAAAAAATATGAATAATTAAAAAAAATTTTCTCTATAATTTCCCATTTTAAAGTTAAGGGGGAAGGAAGGGGATTTTATTTCAAAAAATACCAACCATAGCCTGTTCAATTTTGTAATCTATATTAACACCAGCATCAACCTTTTGTTGCTGTACTGTGGAAGGTACTGCCCCAGTTGAGGCTGATGAACCACTGAAAAAGAAAATATTTTTTTTAAAATTATTTTTTCTTAAGAGATTTTTATTTTCTAAAGATTCTCTCTTTTGAAAGAATTTTTTAAATTTATATAAACAACGTATGTTAAAATGAACAAAAAATAAATTTAAATAATTTTATAGGTAACTGAAATGGCAGGAATGCCTAGGCCTAATTTCTGTCACTTCTGCTTCACTTTTAGCCTCCCCATGATTTTCCCAAATAACGGCTTCCGGCACAACAGAATGCCGTCTTCTAACCAAATAAGTTGCTGGAACATTTACTTTAACGACCTTGAATTGTGTTGAGGGGATAGCAGAGGGTTTTGGTGGCATTATTGGTGATAAATGGTGGTTATTACTATTTGTTACCATTTTATTTTATTTATTTATTAACTGATAAATAAAAAGAAGAAAAAAATAAAAATATTTACATACAAAAATATATAAATGTTCGTTAAATATATTTATTTTTATTACTTGAAAAATATTTTTTAGAGAGTAACAAATAAATTCTTTTATTTGATTATTTTATTTTTCAAGAAAATGTTTTAATAAATTTAACGAATTTAAAAGAGGAAAAGAGAGAGAAATAAAATATAATAAAATTATTCATTTAAATATTTAATTTAGTCATGCGTTCTGGCAAATATTAGGGAAAAAAAGTTTAAATCAAAAATATATGAAAATGCTTGTGTTTAAACCTCCTTTTTAATTTATTAACTTTTAAATTAATTTAAAATAAATATTCTAAAAAAGTTTTTTTTGAAATTTTATAAAATTGATTGATTAATAAATGAATATTAAATATTTATTTAAATATTTTATTTGTTAGTTACTCTATTTATTTATTTCACCAAAAATTCCTCCCCAAATTTGACAGGTGATTTAAATAAAAAATATTTTTAATAAAAGAGGGAATATTTAAATAAATTAAACAAGAAAAACAAAAATATATTTTTAATTGACTTTTGGACGAGAAGAGATTTTTTGGTTAGAAAATAAAAAAAAAACAAATTTTGTTATTTTGTGAGAATATTTATTTTTATGTTTGTTAACATGAAAGGAAACATTCAATTAAAAAGAAAAAAACTTTTTTTATTGCGCATAAACGAAAAGATAAAAATATTTTTTAAATTTAATTTTTAGAGAAAAGGAAAAATAATTTATTTAAAAAAAGTTTTTTGACAGAAAAGTAAATAATTATTTAATTAATTATTTTTTTAAAAATTAATTTTAAATTAAATTTAAAAGAAAATTACAAGAATAATAAAAGAAAATTTCTAAATTTTAATTAAAAAATAATTTGGAAATTTTACATTTTTTGTTGTTGATTAAAGAATAAAGGAAGAGGAGATTCTATAGTTGGGTTGCCAACAAATAATTCTAATGATTGAAGCCAACAACAATTTAATTCTGATGAAGAACAAATATTTGAAGTATTGGAAGTGGCTGGTGTTGGGGAACAGAAACATTTTAACATTTTTTAAAATAATTATAAATAAATCTTTAAAAAAAGAAAAACAAAATATTTTAAAAAATATTGTCTCTCCAAATAATAAATGTTTTTCGACAATGTTCAGCAACTGGATTTTTTTTCGGTATTCGGTATCGGTATACCGAAAAAATAACGCGGTATATCATACCGTGCCAAACATTAGAATTAGATTATGAGGAGAGAAATTCGACTTTAAATATATTTTTTGTAATTTATTTGTTAAAAACAAAAATAAATTATTAAAATTGCCTAAATAAAATATTTTAATATTAAAAAAAGAAACAAAAAAAGAAATTTTTAAATTCCATATTTTAATACTATTTATTTCCCCATTGAGGAAAATTATTACAAGAAACAAATTTTCACATAAAAAGGAAGTAAATTTAAAAAAATTTTTATAAAATTTTAATTGAATAACTTCTGTTATATCCTGGGGTAAATACAAAGATAAAAAAGCGGTAATAATTAGGAGGAACAATGAACAGGTCGGAATGCACGGTCTGAACTTAACGAAGCAACTGCTTTTATCTATTCCCCAAAAACCTAATAATTCCCCTTCTATAGAATAATTTAATTTAAAATCTTACACGGGAACTACTATATTAAATAAAATTTTTAAAAATATTTTTATTTTTAATTAATTCTCAAGAAAAAAAAATAAATATTTTTTTAAATAACAAGTTTTTTTAAAAAAAAGCTTTTTATTTTTTAATCTATTAATTCTAAGAATTAAATAATTTTGTGTGGGAGTTATAAATAAAGTTGATAGAAACAGTTGTTTTTAAAAGAGTTTATTTGACAAAAAATTGAGGTAATAAATATATGACAAAATTAAATAAATAAAAATATTTATTTATTTACTTTTATTTAAAGTAATTAAAAGAAAATTACAAAAAAATATATTTTTTAAAAATTTGTTAAATTTAATTATTTGTTAAATAAATAAATAATTAAAGTTGTTAATTTTAATTAGGGTAGCATCCTGAGCCTTCGGGGTTCGGGTCGGGGTTTTTGCCTAAGAATTCGTCGGGGGACGGGGTGCTACCCTAATTTTAATTGTCAATTTTAATTAAAATTTAGATTTAATAATAAATTAAAAATTATTAGTTAAAAACCATTTAAATATTTGTTTTTTAAAGAAATGTTCATTTAATTTTTTAATTATTTTTAGTTAAAATCTTTGATAATTTAACAATTTAAATAAAAAGTTACTATAACTAAAAAATTTTTAAGAAATCAGCTGTTGTCTTTTCTAATATTTCAATAATTAAAATGTTTCAAAAAATATTTTTTGAAAATTAATTCTTTTCTCTTAAAATAAAGTCGAGACTCTCTAATATTTAAATCCGCTTCCCAACATAATTTTATTTTTCAAAAAATTTATTCATTCTTTGGTCTAACTAAATAAATAAACTTTTTTTTTCTTTAAAATTTCCTCAAAAATTTTAAAGTTTTTTTAAAGTAATATTGAAATATTTGTTTAAAAGAAAGGCAAATAGAATGTTAAATATGCGCGGTTAGTGTCGTCATTAAAATAAATTTATATTTACTATTTTTACTCTCTAAATACTTGAAATAAAAAATAATAAATAGAAGAAATATATACAAATATTTGTGTCGGAAATTTAAAAAAAAAATTTAAATAAAATTATTTTTAGAGTTTATTAAAATTAAATTTAAAAAAATAATTAAATAAATAAGTAAATTTAACATATTAAATTTAATTTTGTAAAAAATATACTAGTAAATATTACTTCCGCAATATAATTTAAATAAATTAGAATTTAAATAATTCAAAAAAGTCTATTAAAAATAAAATCAAAAATTGTTTTAAATTAATTTTTAAAATTTAAGAAAGTATTTTGAGTAAAAAATAAAAGTATGTAAATATTTCTAACAATTATTAAACTTTGAAGAAAAATATTTTTTTCCTTTTTTTTAAATTTATAAATAATTTTAAAAACTTTTTTTTTCTAAAATTTAATTCTCTTAAATAAAATAAAATTCAATTTATCCCTTAAAATTCCCTTAAATAAAATTTTATTTTTTAACACCCACCGTCTCGCAATAGACCTTCTCCTTTCCTCTACATAATTTTGCCCTCCAACTCCATTCATATTTCCATTAAATTGAATTTGTCCAGGCCCAAAAGAAGCAGAAAAATATTGTTGTTGTTGCGGGGAATTATTTTCTTTAATTTCTTTTTCATTTAATCCAATGGATAATTGACGTTCTAAACTAGAAGGAGGTGGTGGTTGGATAAACATTTGCTTTGGTGGGGGAGGGGATGTACTAATTGATTTAGTAATATTTGGTGATAAAGAATTTGGAGAAGGAGAAGAAATTGTTGATACTAAATTAGTTGTTGTAGTAGATTCTACTAAATATTAAATTAAATTAAAATATTCACAAATTAAAAATAATTTATATTTTTCTTTTGTTTTGATTAAAAAAAGGAAAGAGAAAAAAAAGATATAAAAATTACCTAGTTTTTATTGATAATATTTTTATTGTTTTCAGTCTTTTTAATTATCCAATTTTTTTATTAATAAACACAGAGACTCCATTTATTTAAAATATTAAATTTATTACCCCAAAAATGATTTAAAACAAATTAAAAAATTTTCGTCTCTTTTTTTTTAACAAAACAAGTTTTTCTTTTAATTGAAGAAATATTTTTAATTAATAATTTTTTCAAATTACTTGAAATAGGTTGATGATTAGTTAAAAGTGGGTATGATGGAAATTCTGATAACTTTTGTGGAGGTTCTTCTACAATTTGGGGGGTTTTATTATTTTGATGGGGAGGTGGAAATGTAATAAATTCTGAAGAAGAATTTTGTTGTTTCTAAATTAAATAAATTAATTATTTTTTTAATTTAAAAACACAAACAATCCAATCTTTAATTAAATTATTTTCTTTTGTATTATCATTGACACCAATTAAATTAAGACGTTCTTCAGAAATTGAAGAAGGTACAGAATTTAAAGAGTTTTTATCTTCTAAAGTTTTTATTGTAATTAATTGGAAAGAATTACGTCGAGGCATTAATTTTTGCTTTAAATTTAAATTAAAATATTTAAATTATTTTTTAATTAACTGAAGTTGAAGTAGGAATATTTTGAAGTGAAAGAATTGATGGAGGTGGAGGATTTATTTTTGATTCATTTTCATAATTAAAAGAAGTATTTACAATTTTTGGAGAAATATCTAGATAAAAAATTTTTAAAATATGTAAATTAGAGAATCTCTCTCTGTTACGACTCCTCTCTCTGTTACGGAGAGTTGAACTAACATACAATTCTTTTCCACTTACGCCAGCTTCGTCTTGAGAGGTGTCATTATAAGTAGATCCCTCCGTAATGAGAGAGGAGTCGTTAAAATTAAAATTTTTAAAAACCATTTTCATTTTTTTGTTCCTCTTCCTCCCTTTCTTTTACTTTTCCAATTTTATTCTCCTTTGGCTGGAGAATATTATTAGTGTTTGTTGTTGTCTTTTTATCAACAATTCCTTCATTATAATAATCCCAAACTTGCCACCGACCTTTTTTATAATAATTACTATTTACTGGAATTATCTAAAAAATAAATATAAATAAATTTAAATTAATTAAAAACTCTAAATCTAGATATTCCTCCACTACTACTGCTGCTGCTACTAGCCATAATTGTAAGGGAATGTTTTGTAGTAAATATATTTTTATTATTATAATTATTTAATTGAAGTTGACTTGTACTGCTACTACTTGTAATTATTCTTTCTTCAGTTTCTTCTTCTATTTCTTTAGCTCCACTTTCAACAATTACTCGAACAACAGTTGGGAAACATTTACAAATTTTAAAAGCTAAAAAATTAATTTATTTAAAAAATTATTTTAATTTAACTTAAACAAAAAATATTTTTAATAAAAAAAGTAAGAAACTAATTTAATTAAAAAGAAATATTTATTGAAAGACAAAAAAAAATAAATGAAAGGAGACTTAGGTCGATATTGTCAAATAAATTAAAGTGTGTGTGTGTGGGTGATAATTAATTAATTTAGGTAAAATATTTTTTTAATTTAAAGAAAATAATTTTACATTTTTTCCTTTTTTTAGGTAGTAAATCTTCAATATTTTGTTGTTCTTCTTTTAATAAAATTTGTTGTTTATTTTCATTATTCTTATCTTGATTTTGTTCTAGTAAAGAATTTTGGTTAAATAATGAAGAAGAATTTGTTGTTTGACTAAAAAAATATTTAAATATTTTTGAAGAGGTTTAAAGTAATTTAGGTATATATTTTACTTTAAATATTTTTGTAGTTTAGTTTAAAACTAAACTATATACATACAATTATTTTTTTGTTAAATAAATAAATATTTAAAATTATTATTTAAAAGTTTGTATTTTTTTTATTTTTCTTGTGAGGAATTTTTAATATAAATTTTCTTTTCTTTAGTATAAAAACAATAAAAAATAACGATCACGAGGGAAAGAAAATGACGAAAGAAGAGAATTTTTATCAAAAAAATTTATTTAAAAAATATTTAATTTAAATAAACTTTTTATTTATTTAAAATACTTAACTTTTATTTTCATTTTCATCCTTTCCATGGAAGAAAAATAATTTTTTATCAAAAGTATTTTTAATATACACAAAATTATTTTTATCAGAATTTTCTTCTTCAGTTAATTCTGATGATCCCAATACCCACTGGACGGGGAATTTTGGAGTACCCAATCCCATTTGTTCTTGTAAACGAGCAGCAGCAGCCAAATTGGAAGTAAATGGAATTTTTAAAATTAAAAGGAAAAATTAAATTTTAATTTTAAATAGAAAAAAATACTTGATTTAATTTCATTTTTATTTAAATTAATTTCTTTATTTAATTCTTCTTCCTCCATTTTCTTCTCTATATTATTATTTTTAATTTGTTGCCTTTTTTTATTTTTAGGTTTACAATAATTACAAGGTGGAATTAATCTTTTAACAAATTTTGAAAATTTTTGTTTTAATTGGGAATTGTTATTTGTTTTTAATAATTTATTTTGATTTTTTGAAGAAGATGATATTTCTTTAATTGAACTAAAATTTAAAAAATAAATTAATTGATAAGTAAATATGAACAAAAATCCCCTTTACTTCCATTTATCATTTTAAAATAATTCTTTTTTATTAAATTTATTTAAATAAATTTAATTTTCCAAAAAATTATTCCTTTGATTTACATTAATAAAATTAAGTTCCCTCGGTTATATCTCCATCTAAAGGGACCTGCCGACAGTTAGGAGCCTTAATTCAATCAGGATCGAACGACTGACATTAACGTAACCCGATTTATTTGTATTTAAAACAAATTAAATACCTAGTATTTATTGGAGTTGATGTTGAGCACATTGTTAATAAAAATCGGCGTTCGTTTTCGTATTTATTTACTTTTAAATTAAAAAAAAATAAATTAAATTAAAAAAATAAATTAAATAAAAAATTTATTTATTTATTTAGTTCTGTTTAAAAATTAAAAACAAAATTTTTATTGACTTTAAAGGAAAGAGGAAATTTTGTTTTTTAGTTGCGCAAGTGAAGAGTAAATTTAGAATGAATTTATATTTTAGTATTTATTTATTGTAAATAAAAAAAGAAGGATAAACCCTTTGTTTTGTTAAAAACTTTTTTTTTTATTTTCTCACAAACCTTTTGACGTTTTTTTTATTTAATTTGTTTAAAAAATAATAATTTTTATAAAATATTTAATAAATTGATTATTTATTTAATTATAAATAATATTTATTTATTCTCCAAAATCCTTATCTTTAAAATTTATAGACAAATAAAATAACATTTACTTATCTAAATATATGTATTTATATGTATTTATTTCTTAAAATAAAAAGTCTATTTTTATTTTTTAATCAAATAAATAATAATTTTAAATAAAAAAACATTTTTTCCCAAAAAGATTATTTTAAAAAAATATTTAAACAATTTAAAAAATTTATTTAAAAATTTTATTTAAAAATGAACATTTTTGTTTTGATTATTTATATTTGTAACACTCGAAGGTGTTGATGTCATAAAGAATCGCGAAGTATTATCAGCAAAATTTTGATTATTATAATTTTCTTCTTGCTGTTTAATTGTCTAAATAAAGATTCTAATTTTTAAATTTAATTTACCATACATATACATATAAATACTTTATTAATTACTCTGGGTAATATAATTGTTTCAATTGTAAAGCATATAGCTATTTAATTAATTATTAATTCCAAATTATTAATTTAATTCCTAAGGTAAGTCCCGTATACACATAAGTTCCGTATACTTAAGATGCTGGTTAGCTCCCAGCCGCCAAATAACCTTTTGCACTTGCCAAAGGAGAGAAATAGCTATACCCCAGCTGCTTTACTCAATCTCAACCTGGAGGGGGTAATTATTTGAGAGAGGGAGTAATTAATCCAGTATATATGGTAACTAAAAATAACTTTAGGTTTGTGGGCAATTGTTGCCAATGATTGTTGTTGTTGTTTTTGAGTAGAAACGGAAATATTTGTTGAAGTAGTTGGTGTGACAATAGAGGAAGATATTGCTGAGGCAGTAGATGCACAAGAACAAGAAGAATATTCTTTATTTGTTTGTTGCTATAGAAGAGGAAAATTTTTAAAAATAAATTTAAAATTAACACAAACATTTTGTTGAATTATTTGTCCAACAGAATTTTTATTAATTCCACCCCCTCCACCTCCTCCCCCTCCCCCACCTCCACCCCCTCCTCCTCCTCCACAATTAATTGCTGTTCTAGTAGCTAATACACTACTTGTTGGGTATTTTTTATTTATTAATATATTATTTGTTTTTTGTTGTTGTTTAATTACGGGAGTTAATGAAGTATTAAAATTTGGAAGTGGATGACGGTGACGACGATTATTATGGTGATGGAAATTCTCTCTAGTAACATTTTGACGTCGACGATTAATACAAAAAGTAAATAAAAGAATTAATCCAAAACTCTTTTTTTTAATTAAAATTAATTTAAAATTAAAATTAATTTACAAACCAATCCAAGAAAAAAGAAAATAGGCCCAGCCAAAATTAATTTTTTTGGATCTAAAGGTGAACGAGAACTTCCCCCTCCTCCCCCACCTCTTCCTTCTTTATTTATTTCTTTTAATAATTCTGTTGTACTTTCTTTTGTTTTTTCTGTAGAGGAATAATATACTGATTTTGTTGTTATTTTTGGTATTTTTATTTTTAAATTTTCAGGTAGAAATGAAGAATTATTTGCCAAATTTAAGTTTGTATTATTATTATTTATAGTAGATATCTATTTAATAAAAATAATTAATTAATTATTTGTTTAATTAAAAATACATTTTTATTTGTTGCTAATTTATCTTTATTTATTTTTATTTCATTATTATCTTCTTTTATCAAATCAACATTAGTATTTATTGTAACATTATTATCAACAATTAAATTATTTTTATTTATTTTTTCTTCCAATTTATTTGTTGGTTCGAATATTTGTTTTGTAGTTGTTTTATTTATTTCCTTATTAACTGAATTTGTTGTTGTTGTAGTAGTAGTTGTTGTTTCTCCTTCTTCTTCTTTAATGTTTGTTGTTGTTGTTTCAACAAATAATTCAACATTTTCACTTAACAATAATTCCTCTTCTTCATTTTCTTCTTTATTTAAAGAAATTGGGTTTCTTGGTAACTTAAAAAGGGAATTTTAAAAATAAATTTAAAAAATAAATAACTAAACTGTTTTTGAATGTAATTGTCTTAATAATTGTTTTTCTTTTTCTTTCCAATTATTTTGTTCAAAATTTTGTTTATCATCTTCCTCATTTTCTTCTTCATTTATTTCTTTAATATTTTCTGTTTCATTCTTCTCTTTTTCAGTAAAATTAGAATTAATATTAGAACCAAAAATATCCATTGAACTATTTAAATTAATTTAAATAATTATTTTTAATTTAAATATTTACACAATTCCAGAAGAAATAAAATGTGTAGATGTATAATTAGAAGAAGCACATATTGGCCCTACACAATCAACAGAAGAAGAGTAATTTGGAGAATTTAATATTTTGGAAGGGCTCTTTAAATTAATTTAATTTTTTTAAAAATATTTTAGAGAAAACTTGTCTTTGTTCAATTTTTGTACATTCAATACACCTTTCTTGATTAGGATTTTCATTAGATTTTAATTCGGGTGCAGCACAGGGATTACAATAAAATGGAATTATTGGGGAAATATTAAATGGATTTATTTGTAAATTATTATTATTATCTTCTTTTTCGTCATAAAAAGCACAAATTTGTAATCCATATTGAATACCCCATTGAGGGGTTAATTCTATTTTTGTTATATTTCCGGGAACTTTAATATGTTGACCATTAATTATTTTTCGATTGAAAGAAGAAGAACCCTTTTTGTAAAAAAAATAAATTTGTTTAGAAAAATATAAAATTTCTACAGAATTTTGTGTTGGCCCCCAATTAACAATATAATAATTTGGATAAGTATTTTTGACGGCATTTGGTTTTTGCCAAACAACTGTAGCCCTTCCATCATTTCTTCCCCACAAATCAACAACTTCAGTACATTGAGGGCCGTTTTCTAATATTTTATAAAAATTTAAAAAATAATTTTTTTATTTACCTTTCTTGCAATATTGTAAATTAGGGAATTTTTGGCAATCAATTTCTGTTGATATTTGAATATCAAATGGTTTAATTCTAACACATCTTTAATTAATATAAAATTTAATTATTCTATTAATTAAATTAATTTGCCTTGGTAACATTTTAATTTCCATATATATTTTACATTTATCATTTAAAGCCTCAATTGGCAATGCAAAATGTAAACGAGCCCCTCCCTGTATTAATTCTAATCTTGGTTGACTTAATTTTTCTTCAGGTGTTTGACAACTAATTGGGTAAGCTGTAGGTGGAGAATAACCATAAATATCTGTATCTTCGTAACCAGATGGATGTTGCCAACTTACTGAAGAATGTAAAGTTTGTCCATCATTTGACTGTTTTGGACGATCCAAATGAATCTTTATAATATAAGAGCAATATATAAGTATTTTATATAAAATTAATAAAAAGCTTAAAAATTAAAATTATCTGTTTAAAAAATATTTTTAATTTTATAATATTAAATTATATGCTTTATATCATTAAATTTTCATTAAAAATATTAAAAAGATTTTTTAATTATTTTTTAATAAAAAAATAACATTTTCCTCAGCCACAACAAAAGGAGGAAATTCAACACGTATTTTTTGCCCTCTAAAAACAATTAAATTCGTTTTAGGATCTGTTGAACGTAAAACAGTAATTAAACGAAATTGGTAATCTCTACAAGCATCCGGTATTGAAAAATTAATTTTTGGAGAAGAAGAAGCGCCCTTTAATTAATTTTGTTTAATTAATTAAATTTTTTAATCACAAATTTACAGCAAAAATCCAAACAGGAATGGAAATACTTTGAAAAGAAATTTCAAAAATATAAATAAAAGCATTTGGAATTGGATTTACATTTACCCAAATAATTCTAATATTTGTATATCCACTTTTAAATTCAATTAAATTTTCAATTGTTTTTTCTTTAAATAATTCTTCATTAATATTTTCATCATCACAATTATCATTTTCTGTAAAAGGACAATTACAATAAACAGATTGGGGAGTTCCTGATTCTGAACATTTTTTATAACATTCAATAGCACATTTTGTTCTTTTATTAATTAATGCAAATAAATTTGTTGTATTTAAATAAAAAATAATTATTAAAATTTTAAATAATAATAACATTTTTTAATTAAAAATAAGTTAAAAGCAGCACAACAAATCAACACAAACTTTTTTAAAAATCAAAGAAAATCATTTGGGATAAAAATATATTTTTAGTTGAGTGTGTGTGAAGAAAAAAAGGAATTAATTTGGAGGAACGTGTGTGTGCGCGGAAGTCTAAGAAAGAAGTAGAAAACAACTCTATTGGAAAATAAAAATTCTTTAAAGTGGACAAAAATTGAGGGAGAAGGCGCCGGAGGGCGAAAAGAAAAATTAAAGGAAAGGCTTGTGGTCAAGCACAATTATATATATTTTTAATATAAAATTCTTTTTTTTCTCCCATTAATCATAAGAAGTCTGAGGAAGAAAAGTAGTGCTTACTTCAAAAATAATAAGTGAGGGAGGAATGGATATCTTATATTATTTTGTAAGAATTACTGAATATATTTGTAAGGAAAAGTGAAAATTTTGGGGATTAAAAAATTAATTTTATTTGGGAAAAGTTTATAAAATAAATAAGAGAATTTTGTTGTGTATTTGGTTAATATTTTAAAAATAATTATTATCACATATCTCGGAAATTTATTAGTAAAAAGCAAAATGGGAGGATTTTTGCTTGGGTAAATTAAAATGTTCCAACTTTTAATTGCTAGAATTTTAAATGAGTTTTTAAGAACTTAAGTTTAAATTGCATTCAAAAATTTTTGTTTATTGTTCAACTTAGAAATAAACAAATTTTTATATAAAAAATTAAAATGTTTTAAAAACAATTTTAAAAATAAATTCACAATTAAAAAAATGCTGCACATAATTTTAATTAAAAAATATTTAATTTTAATTATTAATTTTCATCTCTCAAAATAACTAAATATAATCATGGGGCATTTTCAAGCATTTCAACAAATTGAAAATCACGGAAATAATCGGGGATTGGTTCGTCTAATTGTTGAATTATTTTATATATTGATTTCTTCCAAGAAGGTTCTAAATCTTTTTGTTGTTGTAAAGCAGAAAAAAATTCTCTTAAAGTTTCTTGAACAACAAAAAGTAATCTTTCTGGAGGCTAAAAAGTTATTTAAATTTTTTTAACAAAAACTACTAATTAGGTAGGCTACTAATCCTCTATTAGACAAAAAACTACTAATCCTCTATCTTATTTGTGCCTTTTTAGTTATTCCGTTTAGTTATCTATAGCAAAATATTTTATCTGGGTCTATGAATATAAGATCAAAAAAAAGTTACAGAAAATTTATTATTTCCTGGAATCTTAAAAAATGACTGGATTTGTAAAAAAAGTCTAAAAGATGCTTAATGTCCCACCAAAACTTTAATTTATTTATTTAATTATATAAATTCAAAAATATATTTATTTTTTATTTTAATTACCTCAAAAACATTATTTTTATTATAATGTTGATTAAGTTGTTTAAATATTTCTGATTCTGTTGTTACAATTAGCTAAATATATTTTGGAATATTAAAAGTTAAATAACAAATAAACCTCTTCTTGATGATTAACCCCTTCTGCTAGTGCTTGTTTGGCAAACTTTTCCATTTGCATATAATAAAATTCTCTGTTTAATTAATTTTTTAAATTTAAGATAAATATTTTAATAATAATATATTTATTGGAATCTCTATAATATTAGCTTTTGGGACCAAGTTTAGATAGCAAAGTGTGAAGCGCTATATTAGAGAGGCTATGTAGATTGTATACATATAAATAAAATTAAAAAATCACTCCTTTCTTAAAATTCTTTGTCAGTTTTTCTATAATTTCCCTAAATATAATTCTTATATTACAGTTAAACCTCGCTTTTACGATAAATTCACTTTAACATAATTTTTTGCACAAAAGGTTTCGTATAATTGAGATCCAATTGTAACTATTTTTAATAGTTTTTCTTATTAAATCAGAAGAATTTTCTGAACATCAAATCCTCTTATAGATTTTAATTATTTAAATTAAATATTTCCCCCTCTTATTTCAACAATTCTTTTCAACAATTCAACAACTTCTTCTCCCTCCTGATCATTTCAAAATATTGTCACAACAAAAATATTATAATATTCAGCGGATCTTTTTTCTACATTTTCCTTATTTTTCTATTAACTACTAAATATTATTTATAATTCTCTCTTCTCTCTCAATTTTTTTAATCCCCTTCCTGTGAAATTCAGTGCCACTCATTTTTTCTTTTTAATATTTCTCTTCAACTATTTATTACAGTAATTTAATACATTTTTTCCTTTTCTTTACTTTAAAAAATTTTTTTTGATAAAAATATATAAAAATACCTAAAGTTAGAAAACCATTTAACAAGCTTTAAAAGAAAATAAATTAAATATAAATTTATTTTTTCCAAATTACCTGTGCAGTATTGTGTTTATTAAATTGAACATCTGGAAAATAACTTTTAAGAACAGAACTACTTGGATATCGTTGATAAAAGAACATTAATTTGGCTTTACGTAAATGGACATGATTTAATTGAAGAATTCTTTAAATTAATTTAAACAAAATTTATTTAAAAGACTTACTTATTTAAATCATTATTTGTTATATAATTATTGTTGTCTCCTCCAGAATCATCACCTGACGGACTTTCCCCTAAATTTCTGTCGGGGGAACAAAAAACTCGTTGTTGGGGAACCATTGTAGGCATAACAAATCCTCCATTTGGAGTTAAACGTTCACAAGTTGAATTGTAATTATTTGAGGGTTCTCGACAGTGTAAATTAGAACGGGGGCCTCGAACAGAATCTGTTACTTTTTGTCTTTTCTTTCTAGGGCTTCCACTAAAAATAAATTTAAAAAAAATAGAATATTTAATTCCTCAATTAATTACTCATTATTTTGTTGAAATCTTTGTAAATTAATTGTTGGACGAGGCTGTGAAAAATTTAACTTTTTATTTGTTTCTGTAACTGTTAATGATGAAGGAAATATTCCATTTTGATTATTATTATTAGAATTTTGTGCCGAAATTTGTGATTGTTGTTGTTGTTGGGCAAAAGAAGCTGCCGCTGCTGCAGCAGCCATAGCTGTGGCAATTAATGGATTTTGTGTAATTGCTAGAAAAGCCTGGAAGGGATTAACTGTTGATGAAGGGGAAATATTGGAATTAATTAAAGAAATAGATGAAGAGGAGGAAGGCATTGATGAAGAAAAAATACGAGAAGATGTTGATAAAGGCATTGAAGAATGGGGAATAAAAGAAGGTATTGAAGTTGTTAAAGTACGGAAATTATTCCCAAAAAAGCCAAATTGTTGTTGACGAACATTTTGTTGTAATGCTGCAAGAAAACGACTAGTTTGTGTATTGTTGTTGTGTAATTCTTGTGAAGAAATGTCGGTTAACACCTAAATTGTTAAAATTTTCTTTCAAAATTATCTAAAAAATAATAGAGACTAAAGAAAATTCCCTCTTTCCACAACCTTATCAATAGCCCCAGAACACATTATTCCATTCAAATCTTCCTTTAAATAATTGGCCATTTTACGTTGAATATCAAATATTTGATTATTATTTCCATATTGTTGAATTAATTGTGTATAAAATTGTTTCCGTTGTTGTTGCTCCACCCCTTCCTCTCCAAAAGGCATTTCCTCTGTTCTGTTTATATCAGTGGCATAGGAAGGTGAAAAGAGTCCCTCAAATGGTAATGGGGGCGGGCATTCATTGCTACTATTATTATTTTGGCCTAAAATTTCTCCCTCAATTTTGTTTTCATTTGAGTCTGCAACTGGTATAATTCTTTCGTTTCCTGACTTGAAAAAATTTTTTTTTAATTTTTATAATTTTTAATTTAAATATTTACTTTATTATTATTATCTTCATTCTCTTCTTCTTCTTCATTTTTATTTTTCTCTTTTTCCTCTTCTTCTTCTTTTTCTTCTTCTAAATTCCTTTTTCTTCTTAAATTTTTTAAAATAATTTCATCAATCATTCTTGTTGGATTTCCATTCTTCCGACGTGAGGATGAAGAAAATAAATTGTTACATGATTGTGAATTTATTGAGGGAATTGGTATTTCTTTTTTATTTTTATTATTTGTATAATTCTAAAATAATTTTTATAAATTTATTTTTTAAAAATTAAAATTAACCATTTCTGATTTTTCGTCTTTTTTGTCATTATCTTCATTGTCTATTAAATCATTTATTTCCGTTATTTCTTTTAATTCTTCTTTTACTTCTTTTTTATTTATTTCCTCCTCTTCTACTTCTTCTTGATCATCAATTCCTGCCAATCTAGCAATTGTTTCAAAACAATTTTCTTGTCCAACAAATTTTTTTGGAAAAAGTTTTTTTGTATTTTTTATTTCAGAATTACTAATTGTTGGAGATGAAGATGGTGGAGAATTTAGAGAAGAGGGAGAAGAAGGGGGAGAAGAGTTTGGAGGGGCATTTATTGAAGGAGAATAAGAAGAGGAGGTGGAGGTGGTGGAAGAAGACATTATAATCATTACTTTTTTTTAAATCTTTAATAAAATATATTTATAAGATTATGCAAATTTATTTGAATTAAGTAGAGAGAGAAAGAAGGAAAATAAAATAAAAAATTATTTAAAAATAATTTTTTAAAAACTCAAAGTAATCGGAAAGAAATTAAAATAAAAAAAAATATTTAGAGAAATTTAAAGAAAAGGTGAACAAATATATAAAGAAATTGATAGAGGGGTTGGGGATTGACAAGGTGGAATAAATTTATTAAAATAAGAGAGAATCGGGAAGAGGTCAATGAAGGATATAATACTTAAAAGAGGGTAAAAATAAATAAAATTTTGAATATTTATTTTGATTTAATTATTTTTTAATTAAAATGTACTTTATCTAATTGAGAAAAGGGAGAAGAAATAATAATAATAATTTAATAATTTATATTCTCTTTTTAAATAATTTACTTATTCATTATTTTAATTTTAATATTTTTTTTCAAATACCCATCCATTTCCTGCATTTGCTTATTTTAATGGTCATACGACACTTGCAGATATGACATTTGCAGACCCGACTTTTGCAGACGACTTTTGCAGATCGACATTTGCAGATACCGACACTTGCAGATATGACACTTGCAGATCAGACATTTGCAGATCCGACTTTTGCAGATATTAATTTTTGAAAAAAATTTAAAAATCTTAAAAAATCAAAGGATATAGTATAGTATACAGGTGGAAAGGCTTTGATATAAGACCCATACCAATTCGTCTCGACGAGCTGAGTCAAACGGCACCACTCTTTTTTCCGGAGATTCTCTTTTTTCCGGAGGTTCAAAATGTTCAACGTAGACCTATGGAGCGTCGGCGAGGCGCTTGTGCAGGAGTTTTGCGGCACGCGCCTCGCGGGGAGTCAACGGTCGCTGGGCTCCGGGCTCGAAACACGATCCTATTCCTATCATCGATGAGATGGGCATTTCAGGATTCCTCCGCAGCAGCAAACACTCAACGGTGTATAGGTAAGGTAAAGAAGAGAGCGAAATGGGTCTAATCTGCAAAAGTCGGATCTGCAAATGTCTGATCTGCAAGTGTCATATCTGCAAGTGTCGGTATCTGCAAATGTCGGGTCTGCAAAAGTCGGGTCTGCAAGTGTCGGGTCTGCAAATGTCATATCTGCAAGTGTCGTGACACGATTTTAATATCATTTTAAGTAAAAGAAAAATCTAAGCAAAAAGGCAAAAGAAAAACAACTAAATGAAGAAAAAAATATATATTAAATCTAGTAAATTAATTAATTCTTCCACATCATCATTATTTTATGTTCAACTTGTGTGGCCATGTTCATTATTTAATGATCAACATTGAGATGGGGAAATGAAGAAAAAATGATTGGAATATTTAAAGTAAATATTTAAAAGATTGTAGAAATAGATTTAGAAGGAAGGAAGGAGAAAAAATAAAGTTTTTTTGTGGAATGTAAAAAATTTAAATAAAAAAAAGGAACAATAGGGATAAGAAAAAATATATATAAATTAAAATTTAGAGGAATTTAGAAATAACTAAAATACTTAATCCGAATTTTGTTTATCAAGGAGTTTGAAAAACTTTCTTCTCAAAATTCACTTAATTAAAAATTAAAATATTTAAATTTATTTAGAGCTTTAAATTAAATTAAATAATTTAATTCTTTAATTAAATTAAACAAAATTTCAATAAAAGAAAATTCTAAAATAAATTTTTAGCTAAATAAAAAAAGAAAAAAATTAAAAAAGCTGTAAATGAATGAAAAGATTGTTTAAAAGTAGGGTTGCGCCCCGACCCCGACTAACCCCGACCCCGACCCCGAACCCCGACATTTTTTGACCTAAAACCCCGACCCCGACCCCGACATTCCCAACCCCGAAAACCCCGACCCCCGAAAGTTCGACCCCGACGACCCCGAACCCCGAAAAATTTTTATGCCCCCGACTCAAACTGCATTAATTAACAAGAGATCGGAACGGGATCGGGACTTTGATGTTAAATATATGAAGGAAAAGGGAAAGGAATATTTATATTTTCTCCTATTTCCTTTTGTTGGTCGGTGGTTGTGAGGTTAGGTTAACTGACTTCACCCATTTAGCTATTTTGATAG